AACCCTAACCCTAACCCTAACCCTAACCCTAACCCTAACCCTAACCCTAACCCTAACCCTAACCCTAACCCTAACCCTAACCCTAACCCAAATATTAGAATTAGCTGTTAGATTTTGCTATTAAATAGTAGAATTCGCTATTAGATTTTACTATTAGATATTAGAATTAGCTGTTAGAATTAGCTGTTAGATTTTACTATTAAATCTTACTAGCAGATTTTGCTATTAGATGTTAGAATTAGCTGTTAGATTTTACTGTTAGATTCTGCTGTTAGATTCTGCTATTAGATTTTGCTGTTAGATATTAGAATTAGCTATTAAATATTAGAATTAGCTGTCGGAATTGGCTGTCAGATTTCTGACGCATAGGCTAATTTTTCGAGGATTTGACAGCAAAATCCGCGATCCTAATAGGTATAGCATTTGAGCTCGCCGGCCCATAGTGAAAAGCTGTATCACTGCCCGAATAGTGACTGCACTGGTCAGTTCGTCCGTTTAGCATCGCTATTCAATCATCTCGAAAGTGAGAGCTGCAACTTTGTGCGATTCGAAAGGGTCCAGAAGCATGTCCACGATTTTATCACGGGACGCCAGAAGCTCATCGGCTTTGGGTAACTGTATAGTCCTGTGTTTGAGGGGAATCTACATAAGGTTCAGCGTTGGATCAGTACGTCGAAAGCATCGGTACATGAGCAGCATCTGGTACTTCGTAAAATTAGTCTGAGCTTACACATCATGGCTGTCCGTAATTGTTTGTTTCTCTGCAAACTACTCGTTCTTAGTCGACTTATCCTTACCGACTGCTTACAATGTCGGAATTAGGTTACTGATGTTATGGGTTGTGCCGCCGTACATCACTGATCAAGCTAGCCAGCACACACTAGGGTGTAAACTCGGCGGCTGCATTATGGCTTGACAGCAAGTGTGCAATCCCAACTGCGTATATATCCAAGCAAAGAGCTTACGGATGTGAGATCTGATGACCAATGCACTGCGTTAGCCGAACGGTTCTATCCCATCTCTGTGTTGGAGACAGCCTGCGTCGTACATCATGGCGATGCAGAGTAGACTGGTATAATAGAGAGAAACGAATCCGGTGAACCTGTGCGCTAGCCGAAAGAGGTCATTTCCAAATGTACATGTTGTAATGGTCGCATTAGGACTAGTGCGATGAAGCGGCCATGTGACACAGGAGACGCGCTTACATTTTTCGTCACCCTACAGCAGAATGTAAGCACTGTAGAAATGCAGTGCAGATGAGCGAGCTTTGTTGCTCAACTTTGTGTCTTCCGAACGCTGAAGTACCTTGCCAAGAAGTCCGCACTTAAGTGTGCCAGAGGCAACTTCTACTGCGTCCGGTCGCCTCCTCTTTGACGTATGCGCCCAGGCGTCTGCAGCTTCAGAGCGCAACCTACCGCTACTCAGCCCTTATCGCCTCTGACGAAGCGGTGTCAGCCAGTTTGCTCTTACCATTTGAGAAAAGAAGCAGATCGCAAACCATCAAAGTGTGAACAAGCAATCTTCAGTAAGTGTTATAGCATAAGATGCGCCAGCACGTTGCAAATTCATTTGTTGCGAAGAGACGATTACATTGTGACGAAATTCTTAGATTGCAAGCCGTGTATCGACATTCAAGTGAGATTGTGCCAAACCAACATAATCTAACTTCTAGAGATATCGTTGCTTGATGTTGTTCTACTTTTTACTAGTACCCGCCTAGTTTGCATTCTTAGCACCATCACTCTAAGCACGCGTCGCGAAACCGCCAGAAGACATGTCCTTCCCACCGAGAGCCTTAAACCCAGATTAGCATTCAGCGCTAGTCAGAAATCTCACTTGCGGTACTAACCTAAGATGACTAAATCCTAGAAGCACCAGATAAAGTCATTGGGGTAGACTTAGAACCGCTGTTGTCAAAAGCGCCACCAGTATTGAGGTCAGAGGGCGGCATTTTGATGTAAAACATGTCTCAGGTTGCACAGGGTTCTAGGGATTAGCGATGACCAGTCCACTGTTGATATGGTCGTGGCATTTATATGTTCGGTTACAGTCGTAGAACCAGTTGTAGTTAGCTGCTGTGCATCGAACTCAACCCCGCCATGACGAATGCTGTAGCTCCAATTCTTCGTTACCACACTTGATACCCCGCAAATATGGTCTCCGATATATCCTGCGGTCGATCATGCGAACGAATTTGAGCAATACACTTCCAGTCTGTCAAGCCTGTGTTTTCCGTTTAGAGACGGGAACGTATAGCCCACCAAGTGTACAAATTGCATTACCACTGGTGGCGCTGTCATGCTCTAATAAGAGTCTGCCACATTGTCCCCATCCTAGTCGACGTCTTCAACTTACCGTTACAGAACAATGTGTAACGAGCTGCATGCGAATGCGTATTGAGCCTCGATAGTGTGCGCCCGTATGTTTGAAGATGATCGACAGTCCAGCGTAGGCGAGCCGATAGACATAACCTATTCGTTTGCCGCTAGTGACCCACGATGGCGCCACAACGTGAGAGTCCCACGACTGTCTACTAGTGATGCTTAGCAGCCCGGACCGACACGTTCTTCGATCGCGTTGTTATATTTATGATTGTGGGATGATCGTATTTGTGGATAGTTGTCGACGGGCGACTTGGCTTCTCATTGTAGAGAAATACCGGTAGGCGTGATGTTCCCATACTGTATCACCCACCGGTACGCACACAGCCTTGGCAGAACATCGCGTATTTCCTCTTTGCTTATTGCTTCGAAGGATCTTGTCCAAGTCTCTTTTACTCATCGAAGACAAAATTTTCCAGTCGCGTATGAGGAAGCAATGCAATGTGATTGTGTCTTGTTTCAATGTAAATGTCAGTAGTGGGATGAACAAACACGATGCAATAGTAGCACGTGCGAATACTGAGACTTTGCATCACACCATACCCTCAAATCGAGATCTCTTGTGTATCGCCGTACAGTCAAGATGGCCTCAATGTGCGACTGATCTTCGCCATCGAACTTCAACAGTAGTTTCGATGAAGTGTCCATGGCAACGCAAGCTAGGGGTTGCGAACGTTCCTTTCCGCAAGTCACTGCAAAGGGAATAGCGTGTTGGCTACTTGACCTGTCAAGTTACAGATGACAGCTTCAGGCTGCACTACTGGTTGATTCTCCTTTTCGCGTCAGCATCGGCTAGCAAACCCCTTCAACCGTTTGATGTCCTTGTGCCATCATCATTGTATATGTCGATAGTTTCCGAACAAAAAGGATCTCCTCGGGAAAAAAAGTTAATGCGAAGACTGGAAATGCTATAGTGATGATTTTTAATGCGGTGTGGTGCGTCAAATCGAGAGTGTAGTGCGTTGGTGGGGAAATTATGCTTGATGTTGGCACGCAACCCAGGCCAAGCACTGTGCGGGGTCGTTTTCACTTGTCGCAAGCCGCCGTGGGTCCACAGTCCACAATGAAGAATCTGCCAATGAGCCTCACTTCCAGCGCCGAATCTGGGACTGTTATTTTGTTCGCAAAGTCAGGGTCCTCGTCCAATTCTCGTTTATGTTTGACGTCCCCGATGACGCTACTTTTCACATGTGAACACTTGACGCTGTGCTTTCACTCTACAAGCTTTTGTCTTACGAATAAAGCACTTGGAAGCCAGCTGTGCTGGCGACAGCCTTGATGACTGTTGTGATCGAATTGGATCGACATGTTCAAGAGAAAGGGAACCCGCTAGCGACAGCAGTACCCTGCAGCCGCTCCCCTCTAGGCTCGCTTCGTTGTGCGGATCACGTCAAGTGCCGCGCGATCTTTCGCTGGTAGCCGCCGGTACGTAAGGCCGCACGGGCACGCGTCGACATTTCCCGTGACAATGGGAAACCACTAGCGTCTACTTCAAAGCATCACAGCACAACAGAACAGCACCAAGGTGTCAATATGCCAAAGCGCGCGCTCTGAGAACAGCACTGCTCCTATTGATGAGTTGATGAACTGATAAGATTGACTTCAACACTGACTTTGACATCTTTCGCCCGCCTAAGTGCCATACACACTCCACTCCGTCCCGCAGTTTGTCGCTTTCAATGCGTGCTAACTCAACAGTGAAGACTATCATATTCTATTCAAGTTGATTGGAAGTTATCTGCAGCGACAGAATCCAGTCACACGATATCCTGCACTTCAGTATTTTGTCTCTGTGACTCACTCTGTGTGCACAAGAACTCCGTTGTGGAACTGTAATGGCGTAAAAAGGAGAACTCGGAAGTAATCTGGGTCTTCGCACGGGTGTTCCAAGGTAGGTATCATCATAAGATATGTATCGCTTGTCTGTCTACTTCGTCGCTTGCATGCGTCGTGCAGGGCTGTGGGTTTGACAGACGCAAAATTATGGATTCCGTCGCAACAAGGGCAGGAAAATGGAATGACTCAACCATATCAACTGAGTATGTGTGTCGTCTGGATGCTGCTCCGCCTCGGTTTCCGAAATATGGGTAAGTCGGTCCATGACGGCAGGTGTTTCTCCTGTCAGATATATGCGGCGCACTGAGTAGAAGGCCGGCCGCCAGATGTGTACTCAAATAGAGACGTCATGATTCGATCGTCAAACAACGGTTGACTTCAGCACGCTAAAACGCCTTGCAACGGCGGCAACGAACAAGTCACGCAACTCATCGTGTTCTAACGAATGCGCTACATCAGCACACGTTGATCAAAATCATCAGAATTGGGTACAGAGAAAGCGGAAAGCAATGCATCAGCTTTGTCAGGGTATATTCCAAGAGCGACGGTGGAGTGCAAACGCAAAGCCGAGCGATCGGACGTGTGGATGGGAAGCAGGTAGATATGTCTTTGTCATCATCATAGCATCAAAGTCCCATACTAGTCGTCAGGACTATCCGATAATCTTGACATCTCAGCGGATTGTTATACGTGTGTCTCAAGGCACAAATTACACACACAAGCTACATGTTCACATACTTCACTTAGTCGTGTGCTGTTGGGAAAGCAAACTTGTCAATAGATGTACACGGGTATCAGAGCATGTGAGCTATGTTCGGCGAATGACACGGTCTTCCGTACAGATCAAAGGATGCTTTGATCGTAGTGTGAGCAGTGAACACTGCATGCTATCAGGCACAGTGTTTGGGTTGGCTTCCAGCATGGCAGGGTCCAGCGAACAAATCAGCACATCATCGAATCGCGTGTCATTGTGGGTAAGATATCAAGAGCAAGTAGAACTTAAGTTGAGTTGTCCCTCATTGTCGTGGGTGATATTTTTTCAAACTGAGGAGGAAGCTAGCTTGCCTTTGAAGATCATCCTGATCACCATTCGTTGGCGATCGTTGGCTATCTCTCTACGCCTGTGCTTCGGCACGCAGAGTCATGAGGAATTATTAATGAATACCGATATGGAAGATCGTCATACTGCTTTTTTCATGCTGGGCCAGGGAGCATACCATGCGTCTTGTCGAACGGATGCAAGCTTCGCGCCAGATCTGACGGATATCAACATGACGTAAGAGCGCCGATGCAGAGATAGCAATAGCCCACTGTCCCGCAATCACAGTGTCATCTTCTTGACTTGACCGACAAGATCCGCCTTCGCTACCAGATACGTTGATCAGGAAGCCGTAAGTAGGCCCCACGCTCACGCCGAAAGCTGTTTGACGTTGTTTATCGTGATCAAAATGGAGACCAAACTCGTTACGTACCAACTTATCGTGCTGCAAACTTTGTTTTGAGCTACTGAGGCCCCTCTGCATTGTCACTTGCATGCTTGCCTTAACCATTGGCCATTGTCGGCGGGGTAATGGCTATTACGACAACAACGATGCATGCTCATCGCAACACCCAGAAGAGTCACGAATATCACTCATTGTGGCACAACAAGCGGACATCTACTTTTCATCGACTCGATCAAAGGGTTTGACTCTATTGGGCTGCATGGCTTGGCGTGTCGCCGTCTTGCTTACTTTGTATACGCCACGATCACGTAGCAGCGCTAAACCTGCAGTTACTTCCGACTTGGCTTATGTGCTCAACGTATCTAGCTGCTCGTAGGGACTTTCTGTGAAAGTTCCCCCTGCTGTCGACTGAGTTTTGAGTCTTTCGTCTTGGATTCTGAAATTCCCATCTTTCGCCATGTCTGTGTTGAAGGAAGTATTCAACCACCTCGTCCTGCCACCACAGCTTCCTGGCAAACAGGATGCCAACATCGAAAGCACCGGTGATGACATCGTCGTCCGACTCGTTCATGCTACGAATACGCTGAGCCGACTCGCTGGCCACGAACAAACATTTCCCTGGCACGCCATTCGTCAGTATCTTCATCGCTATCAATTTCTTCATATACACGGTCGGCTCGAGAAGCTGTCGCTGACCTCGAAGCTTTGCAACTTTGACCAGGAGCAACCGCTTCTTTTGCATGTCGCAGAACAGAACGCCGCGCTGATCGTTCGTTATCATGCCAGGTATGCCAGCCGCCTATGGTCCCCAATGTGGCATGAAATCTGCAGCTGATCTGCTTTGCAACAGTGCCCAAATCGAAGCTGTTGTGTTCGAAGCTTTCGAGATATCGCCCCCATCTGCCGAGGTCCTGGCTAGCGAAGGCGCCCTTATCTGCGATTTCCCGGACTGCTCGGCGCAGATACCACTCCTTGAGTTTCAGAAGCCGTCGTTCCAGCACGCGCTAGCTAACTTTCTGGAAAAGGGCAGCATAGAGCCCTTGAGATGCTTCCAGGCGTTCGTAACAAAGTCGCAAACTCCGATCGTCGAACCGCGAGATACAGGAAGTCCAAGGCTCATAACGCACCTTCTCATACCCTTGCTCGAGTCCATCGGGTCCTCAGTAGACGAAAATGTTCCTCGCTTGAGGAAACAGGTTCGCGACGATGCCGTTATTAGAGCCGCAGAACTGCCGTGGCGGAGGTTGCCTCTCTGGATAGCAATACGTGTAGGTATCCAGAGACAGCTGCAGCTCTTGCTAAGAAGCGAGGTTGGAAGAGTCTACTACAAGTTCTTGATCATCACTGTGCTTGTCGAGTTTCTGCGCGACTGCCCTGGGGAGCTAGCACCTGAGCTGACGATGATGCTGCAAGCCAAAGTCTGTCGTCGCCTCGCAAAACTTGAGTAACAAAAGAACAAGACATTGGAAGTGCATAGCAAGCTGTCTGACACTACTGCAGCTTTCTTCGAGGAGAGCATCAAGGAAGTCACCCAACTTGTGAGTCTCGCTTGGGAGAAGTTCAAGCGAGACACGACACGACCCGTTCCCCTGCTTCCGGCGCGCGCTGATGGATAAGCCCAATTCCTGTCTCTTCCCAACAGCGAGCCGTACCTCCAGAGTGTTCTGCATTCATATCGCGCGCAGAAGAGAACCTTGCCATCATTGCAGCTTCCATCATTACACGGCACTACGATTGAGCAGGTTGAGCTTTTTACAGACAAGTACCACCAATTGGCTGAATTAGAGGGCAGGATCGAAAGAAAGGAAGAGCCTCAATTGACTGAAGATCTCACTCCCGATTCGTCTTGCGAGAGGCTAGCCCATGCAATACTCGGTCTCGTGGACAGTGTTGGAGCAGCGTACGAGTCCGACCCCGAGCAAATGTCTATCTTCATTTTGAGTCTCTTTAGACTTTGGGTGAGGCTAGACAGGTACATGGCCAAGATCTGCCCTATGATCCGTGACTACCACCCAGCGTTTACTCCTGCACTTTTGGATGCGCTGCATCTGCCAACTGCTGCAGAAATGCGGCGGCTTCGTAATATTCAGCGCTATCTTCGCAGCAGGTGCGAGGAATGCAAGCATCAGACGACAATATTCTCTGTACCTGAGAGGGAAAGCTTTGTGGTGCGATACGTCTCGACCTCTAGATCAATGCAGCGACTGCACCGACGGATAGAATTAGCGTCCGAGGCGTCACGTCAGGCGAAGACGTCAGAGTTGGAGAAATGGTGGTCTGATTTCGACGAACATTCTTTGGGGATCTCTGGAGGTACATGCATCTGCACATTCAAGCAAGATGGGACGCGGGACGTAAGGGATTGCACCAAATGCTGGCACTGGCGAGTTCGAAACCGCATGCAGATCTATGCGCATGAGGACTTCCTCCCAAGCGATCCGATCAAAGCATCAGCAGTCGTCTTTGAGTTGGACATACCAAAGTCTCTCGCCGCGTATCGGAGTGCAACATGGAGAATCATCGTGTTGGCTTATCCGGCCAAACCGCAGTCTGGATCGCCGACTAAACTCTTGAGAGATTACGACCCCCTCGCTTCATATGCATCAAAACACTCCACCAACATCACTATTGCGTCAACATCTAAGTCATTCCGTGGCACGCACTACAGGGTCAGTAAGAAGAGGATGAAGGCATCCGAGTCCGATGTACTCTACCCCAATGGGCTGAACTTTTCCTACTTTGACACCGCTTCGAACACCTGGCTCAAGGACTTCGATAAACCATTGACTTTCCAACATGAGTGCGGAGTACATGTGCCGCCTGGACTTCGCAGCTCCGTGTTACCGAGCTCGCCGCACCCTCCCACAGTGGCAACTGGGCCATCGTCCTACGAAATCGTCGCATCAGAGACAAAATGTCCGTCTAGCCTGTCCGTGCACGAGTTCACGGCTTGTCAGCGACTACTCTCAGGCAATCATCGACGATGGTTGACACTGTTGGTCGAACTAGGCGCATCAAATGTGAACTTCAGCAACGAGAGCACTATGCATATGTTCAATCACCTGGCTACTCAAGCTGGGCCGGCGAAGATTAGCGACGATACACTCGGCGCCATTCACGTGGTATTCAAGGACAGATCGTTCTGTGAATGTCTAGCCGCACAAGTCGAGAAGCGCCTCAGCGACATCGCGTCAAATTGGCGCGAGGTTCACTGCATGGAGGTCATGATCACGCTGGGTCTGCGCCTGTACGACTTGACAGCCCCCATGTTGCGAGCTGATGATCTCTTGGCGCAGGCGCGTCGCATCACCTTGACTTGGATCGCCCGTCTACGAACCGATGTCAGAAATGCCAAAGAAACCTCCGTCGCCGAAACAGCCGCAAGGTACGCTTTCTGGGCTGCGTTGCTCTGCCGCAGGACATTTTCTAACATCAGAAAGTCTGACGCTGCCATGTCAGAGGACGATCTGTCAACGTTTGTTCAAGCGTCATTGGCTCTTCAGGAAAATCTCCTCGTGGATGTGGCCAAGCTACCACCAGCGCTGAAGAGGATGTTGATCCGAGACACCAAGATGACTCACAGAATCAAATCACGTTTGCTGCAATCCATAAGAGCCCACCCCCGAAGTATCGGCACGGCTATCAACGCATCGTGGTCGGAACCGGGAGGTTCAGCTGAGAAATCCTTCCGTAATTGGCAGCAGGTCTCAGCGATACATGATAAGTGGGTAGTGAGTTGGATGCAGACTTCGATGAAGGATCAAGCAAACACGCAAGTAGTTCACTACAACTTCATGGAGGGTCACTTACTGGTCGATGGGAAGCCTCTGGGACGTCTTCCACGCGACCTGCGAGAGTCAGATGAGGTAAGGGAGCTCTTTGGCGACAGGAATCTTCTCACCTTTCCGTCTGCTGCGTTCGGCATGTCGTATGTTCTCGCATCGCGGATACACAACCACGAAATACATTTTGGATCTCGCAACGGGCGCGTCGTCGTCCGCGCTTGGACTCGAGACGAGCTGCTGGAATATATTCCTTCTCGCCATTTCGCTGGGCTCGAGACTGCTGACCTTCCGGCTGCCCTCGTCTCCAGTTGTGCGCACTGGCTGAATCTGAAGACGAGATGTCTTGAGATCCGGCGCAAGCCTGTTCTGTGGAAGACGAGGAAGAGTGACTGGAGGATCGATCTTATCAAACGGCAAGCTTATCGAAACGACCGAACGTTATTGATCGATCCCAATTCTCCCCTCTTTAAGCAAGTTGCAACCCTCTTTCGCCACTTTGAAGACCCGCACAAGATTACCGTTTTCCAGCCTGCCAATTCCAGGGGGAGACTCTCCGTCGAGCTCCGCCACTTGGCACTCTCGTTCTTCGTAAACCGGAAAGGACTTCTCCAGTGTCGAGAATTGGACGAGGAGATAGATCCCGACCAAGATGTCGGCACGTTTTACGGCCTTGAAAGCAAAATCGTACTGCGAGATGTCGTGAACAGCAGGCGCCGTAGCGTGATCATGCCTCTTGGGCCAATATCGTCTATACGTCGTGGTATGCATGTGGTCGTTCGAGCGGCTGGTGGCACTGATTTCGCAAAGTTTGGGATCGATGACGTGCTTGGACGATTGTCCTGTCCTCTCGAGCCGCGGTTGTTGTATGCAAAAGCCCAATTTCATGCATATACATCGTTTGTCATACCAGATCGGTTGACTGGCCGTACTGGCACTGAGGAAGCATTGTACATGCTTCGGTCGGGTCAATGCCAACCATGGGAACCGCTGGGAGGTGCAGCGGTCGCCACTCTCCAAACAATCGCAGACCTAAGCCCAAAGCGAGAATACTATCCGCAACACAAGCAGGCACTGCAAGCGGTTTCCTGGAACACAAGGCTGACCATGACCATTCAACATGATGCATACGAAGGACTTGTCCAGAACATACTCGATAAGTCGGATTGTCTGCGGCTCTTTGTTCAGAATGCAGCGGAGGGTAGCATCAGCGTATACGACCCGTCTCACCTTCGGAAACGGGGTCTTACGCGACGCCGCCTCTATGAGCGCCTTTTCGACGGCACGAATCGAACAGCAGCTTGTGATCGGATGTACGAATCGCGTGGCCAAGAACCTGATTCGGAGCAAGCACGTAATGTTTATCATATTGCGAGCCTCTTCCGGAAGCGACCCTTCCGCATTGACACACGTAGAGAGCTTTCTGCGATACTGCAGGATTGGCAGCTTATCGGCGGCTTCCATGAGGGACGTCAAGCCGACGCTGCGAGTCTGAGCGACCTGGTAGATATGAGTATCGACGAGCAATGGGGGAGACTTGTGAACCTCTGTCGCCACTCCAAACTCGACGAGCCCTATAATCTGATGTTCCGCCTCAGTGTCATGTCGCTCAATCCCAGAACTGATCCGGACGTCATGAAGATCCTGGCAGCGTTTGCATCCCTGCCGAAGTTGAGGAACTCAATTCCCCCATCTTGCCCCTCATTCAGCCAGTTCAAGTTCAACGAATTGCCTGACATACGGTCCATCTTTCGTGTGATCTCTGTTGACCTCCCAGAGAAGCATCAGAAAATGCAGAACAAGGCCGAAGCAAGGCACCGCAAGGCATGTGAAGCTGAGGGGAAACGATTAGCGCAACACTTTCTCAACCAGTGGCCAGATAGGAAGGTTTCCCTGAACAGATTCGATTCGGACCTTCTCGATGTAGGGCTCGCAATGGAACGTGTCGTGCCGGAATGGGAGCGCCTGCATTCGAACCTACTCCTCTCAGCGTATGTCAGTGATGTGCAAGATGTTTTGAAGGATTATGAGGGAGGTAGTGGTACGTCACGTCCTAAGGCTTGGAGATGGGACCAAGAGCCATTCCCTGGGACCTCTTACGATCCTGTCGTGCCGTCGATCTCGAAAGATCTTCTTAGCAGACCGCTGGCAGCATCTTTCGGACATCAGGCATGCGAGCTGCTACTGCCCAAAAACAGCAAACTTGCTTCTCATATAGAGGGGAGCGCAAAACCCCGGATGCCAGCCAAGGAGATCGTTGAGCTACGGCAGATCCTTTCCGATTTGGCACAGTCATCCAACCCTCTCCGCCAACACTATAGGCTAGATCTGAAGATGAGTCTTGACGCCCTCGAAAGAACCAGTAATCAGACTCAAGTTCCCCATGCTACCCCGAATATCTCAGATAACGCGAGGCGCACTCAGGAACTCCATGCGATAGTAGCCACTCATTTGTCTCGGATTCGCGAGGCTCTTGCCAGAGATGACAACTGCTCCTCGTGGCTACGGCTTGGAAACCTCTGGCCTTGCACGACGTCCATCGCACTTTTGGAGCAGCTGCGCTCAAGCTCGTGTTGCAAGTTTGGGAACTTCGTACAAGAGACGATTGTGGCACACGGTATTCTCATCACGAAACTGCAGCGGCTGACACGAATCCACAACGCGCTGTGTCACGATAAAGGCAAGGATCTCCAAGCAGAACTCGGAAACTCTGGCCATGAGAACTGGAGCGCCCTGGAATGGCCGGACTGGCTTCTCCTAGAGATTGATAGCGACATTCTGATCCGGCGGGAGCAGGTCGACGTTGCACACGCGATAATTGCATCTGAATCGGGGAAGAACACAGTACTGCAACTGAACATGGGTAAAGGTAGGTCAAGCATATCGTAGACACAGTACGCTCTCTGATAGTCATCGCTAGGTAAGACATCGTGTATTGTTCCGATGGCTCTAGCGGCGATAGGAGACGGCAAGCAGCTTTCGCGTCTCATCGTACCCAAGCCATTGCTTTTGCCGACTGCGCAGATGATCCAGTCACGACTGGGCGGCTTGGTGGGTCGCGAAATACGACATATTCCCTTCTCTCGTAAGACCAACATCAACCCGCAGATACTTCAGCTATACAGGAACCTCCATCAGGAAATGTTGGACAGTCGGGGTGTTGTGTTGATTGCGCCTGAACACCTTCTCTCGTACAAGCTTAGTGGCCTCCAACATCTTGCTAACTCCAACCTGGAGACTGCACGCGAGGTACTTGAGTATCATACATATTTAAGCTCGATTGCTCGAGATATCTTAGACGAATCGGATGTTTCATTGGCGGTAAAGACCCAACTCATCTACCCAAGCGGCAAGCAGACAACCGTGGATGGACACCCGCACCGCTAGAAAGTAGCGCAATCCATGTTGTCGCTCGTGAAAGATCATCTTCCCAAGCTTAAGCAAGACTTTCCGCGCAATATTGAAGTCTTAAAGCGGGGTCAGGGCTATCCGATGATTTACATACTCCACGCGGATGTCGAAGAGGATCTGCATAGGCGCATAGTCGATGACATCTGTACCGGAAGAACTTCATTTCTTCGCTTCACGGGCTGTGCTTCGGATGGCTGTAGCCCAGAAATACGTAGAGTGCTCCTAGGGAAGACATTGGACATGATGTTGTTGGAGCGCGTGGCTAGACAGTTCACTGACGAGACTATCGCTCGCAAAACCTTGTTGCTTATCCGGGGCCTGCTGCACCATCGGATACTACTTCTTTGTCTCAGAAAGCGCTAGAACGTACAGTATGGGCTGCACCCTACGCGAGACCCGATGGCGGTGCCCTTTAAAGCAAAGGGAATTCCTTCTGAGCAGGCGGAGTTTAGACACCCTAATGCGGCGATCCTCCTTACCTGCTTAGCTTTCTATTACACTGGTCTCAGCCTGGTCCAGTTTCGCGAAGCTCTTCGCCATATCCTTGCGTCACATAACCCTGCTAGCGAGTACGACAGGTAGACCAGCAGCTGCGATTCGCTTCCAGAGGCTTTGCATCATTAGAACGTGATCAACTCCGATAACCAGGATCAGATAGAGGAACTCTGGAAACATCTTCGAACGAACACCATCGCGCTCGATCACTACATGAACCACTTTGTGTTCCCTGCTCACGCCAAACAATTCGACACCAAGTTACAGGCTTCTAGATAGGATCTCCCCTTGTTCCCGCGAACAGACTCCGACAAGACGCTAACACGTGCCAGGACCACTAGCTTCAGCGGCACTAGCGACAACAAAACGATGCTGCCGCTCACCATCCAGCAAAGCGATCTGCCAAGTCTGCATCAAACTAACGCCGAGGTGCTCACCTACCTATTGCAAGAACGAAATCGTGGATACCACACCGTTGCTCATGGAGGAAGGCGGCTATCAGAAACAGAGTTCCTTGGCCAACTGAGAGACAAGAAGATTCGAGTTCTCATCGACGCTGGTGCCTACATACTCGAGATGAGCAACGAAGATCTAGTCAAGACGTGGATGGACATAGATACGCAGCCACAGGCAGCTGTATACTTTGGCACTGATAATCGAGCCTGGGTGCGATATCGTGGCACCAAGGCGCGAGTGCCCTTGCTAGCAACCCCACTTGTCGACCATCTAGACGATTGTCTCGTGTACCTGGATAAAGCGCACACACGGGGCATAGATCTAAAACTGCCTAAAAATACTCGCGGCGCGCTAACGCTTACTCTTGGGCAGACCAAGGATCATACTGTGCAAGGTAAGTAACAACATTTAATCTACAAGGTATCCAATGCTGACGTTACATGCAGCTGCTATGCGCCTTCGGCAGCTTGCGACCACTCAGTCTGTTTGCTTCTTCGCCTTCCCAGAGACTCACCAGTCCATACTCGACGTCTGTAGAAGGAGCAGGGACCACAAAGTTGACTCTTCTAATGTCGTTCGTTGGTTATTAGAACAGACATGTCGTACGAACGAACAACTCCAGAATCTCTACATCTCTCAGGGTACTAACTTTTGCAATCGCGTAAATACAGAGTAGGAGAATGCAGCTTTTCTTTTCAATGCTCAAGACAGGAGTGCATTTGTTAAAGTGCTCCGGCATCCTAAGCAACAAACACTTAAGCAGCTATACAGGAGCCGTACGGAGAATGTCCACAGCACGTTACCTCCTACCACCACGTTTCCCCAGCTCAAAGCTTTCAGGAACAAACTCAATCAGCTACGTCTAAGTATGTCACAGGCGGCAGACAACCTCCACTCCTCCGCGCTAGAAGAGATAGAGCAGGAACGCAAGGTGGAGTTCCAAGTTAAAGAAGTGCGCGAGGTGCAGAAAGCCGTGCACTACGAGGCTCATACGTTTCCTAGACTCTATTCAGCCATTTCTAACTTTATAAGCACTAGTCGTCTGTGTAGAAACGTAGGATACAAAAGCGTGTTGAATGCTGTTTCACGCACGTCTACCAGCAACAGATCTAGCATCAGAGGAACAGAATCTAGCTTATTCGTTTCGGCCGAGTTTATAAGGACAATCAAAACAAAGGAACGTAGCTTAATTAACAATTTTCTAGTAAGTTCATCGTCTTTCGCGTTCTATTAGCATACTAACAGTTTAGCTAGCGTCTAGTTAAATAGATCCTTTACAACCCCATTACCTCTAACACACTCATCATCATCGCCGAGGAAGCAGAGGCTGTAATTCCTTAACTTCGTACTCAATCGTTCCCTTACAAAGTCTACCTCCTTACGTATTCCGCACCTGTTACAAAGAAAATGCTCCTGTTTAGCGGTCTACAGTATTACACTGCGCCAGCACTTCTACGCGAACACACTATCCCGCCAAGCCTTATTATTAAACTCAGCCTCTTTGCGGGTCGACTGTATATAGGGTATAAAGAATGTGTTTCGCTAGTTAAGTACATCAACAATGTCAGCGCGAGTAGTCGATCTAATATAACAATAACAGAAAAGACTAAATTTATCCTAGAGTAGACGTCTCTTCGTCGTAAGGGTCAGGATGTTATGCACACTCCGCTTAGCTACGTGTGCCAGGGTCGCCTGTTAGGTATCGAACATGCGTTCTTCGTGACCCGCCATGCTGCTGATAGCGGTGTGATGAAACCGTACCACACCAGTGAAGCTGTCACCGAGGCACCAGACGATGATGAGGACGAAGGCGAGTATGAGGGGGAAAGGCAGTATGATGGGCAAGAGGGCTAGCCATATGTTCGCTTGAGCTGAATCTACTTCTGTAGGACACCAAACCAAAGCGCTAGCACTGTTATGATTACCCATGCCGAGCGTGATCCATACGTCCATATACATTCTCCGCCACGGTAACAAGGACTAAGAACTGCCCTGTTCTAGGGAGTCTACTACACAAGACGTATGCTTTTTCTAACAAAGTAAATTGGCGCTAGACCTGCATATAAGGCGCGCCTCGTTCAAGAGAAGGAGAATAAGAACTACTCTTCTTTCTGCCTTCGTCTATTATATTAATATGCTAGCTACCTCTGAGTATGCTTAGTAAAGGAAAGCGAGTACTATTGTATACAGTTACGCCTTTGACAATATTCCTAGAAGTCAAGTGCATCGAACGTGTTTTGCAACTTTAGATAGATTAAGCATGATCTAATCTTCTACATAGCATCTCTCTCATACTACTCTCTAACTTAAACTTCTGGCATGTATTGTAAATTATCTGCATACACCTTTTCTCAATTTGAACAGGCGCTTATGCACCGTTGCCGTTGTACAGAAACAGGTTGGGGCTACCGCGAAGGGTGCCAGTAATTTTGTTCGCGACACCGAGCGCCTTAATGCGGTTAGTGATCGTAGCAGGGGTGGATAAGCCCTCAAGAGCCTGGAGGTAGACAACAACACCAGCGACGTGGGGCGCAGCCATGGAGGTACCAGACAGCGAGGCGGTAGCGGTGTTGCTTCCGATGTATGAGGACAAGATACCGACACCGGGGGCGAAGATGTCAACACCGGCACCGTAGTTGGTGAAGGTACCAGGGCGGAACGAGCTGTCTGCTGCAGAAACGGTGATGGCGTTGGGAGCGTTGGCGGGGGATTGGCTAGAGACGGGGAGCGGGTTGCCGAACTCGTCGCCGTTGCCGGCAGCGACGACGGAAAGGACTCCTTGAGTGTAGGCGGCCTGAATGGCGTTGGTCCAGGTGGTGGAGGCTCCGCCGCCGAGGGACAGGTTGACAACAGAGCGAGCGGTGCGGCTCTTGGATGTGATGTCGTTGACCGCCCAGTTGAAGCCAGAGAGAATGTTGGACGTGGTACCAGTTCGGCCCTCGAAGACCTTGACGGAGATCAGGTTGGTACGCTTGGCGACACCGTAGGTTGAACCACCGATGGTGCCGGCAACGTGGGTGCCGTGGCCCAGGGTATCGGTATGAGCGCTACTGAAGACGTTGTAGCCGAGGGTGGCACGGCCACCGAACTGCTGGTGGGCAACGATGATACCGGAGTCGACGACGTAGGCGTAGGTGTCCTGTCCAGCGGTGGTGTCGTAGATGTACTGGGTAGAGGAGCCGGATCGGTGGCTGATGGCACCAAGACCCCAGGGGGCGCTTGACTGGGTAGTCAAGGCCTTCTTCTCGAGCACATTCTCGTGAACCTCCTCGACATCATACCAAAGGTATGCGATTGTGTCGGGCTCGACAAGAGCAACCTGTGGTAGGTCAGTACAGGCGAAGATATATGACGGTTTCTTGATAGCGATTCGTGAAGAACAGAAGTGGGCGACGAAGGAAGGTTAAGCGACTCCAATTCATTGAAGCAATGCTGATGCGGGAACAGTGCCGATGTGCCCATCAGAACTTCAGTGATCCAGAATGCTACTCACTTCAGGGCTGGCCTTGATCTCAGCAATGGTAGCCTCGTCGAACTCGCCAGAGTACGCCTTCCAGTCCTTGATGCCGAACTCCTTCTCAATACCGGCGGTGTCGCGCTTGGCGAAGCTGCGCTTGTGGACATCGGCGGCCCAGTTCAAGTGGGCTTCGGCGGCAGCAGCGTCGACACCAGGCTTGAGAGTGACGATAAACTTCCCGGGGATGATGTCATCCTTCTTGGTGATGGGAGCAGGAGCCGCAAGGACACTGGGGAGCAGGGCTCCGAAGAATACAGCGAGGTTGCGAACGTTGACCATGTTGAAGTCTGCAATGCGTGAGTGTGAAGCTCCAGGATCGTCAGTGAAAAACTTTCTCAGGACAAGACTGAGTGTAGGCTGGCAGAAGAAGGAGATGAGGAACTCAAGGCTGATGCTTGATAGCCTCTATAGAGCGATATTCACTTCATCTTATATACACGACCACAGAGGTATCCAATCGACCGAATAGTCACAATTCTCCGGTCCTATGATGCCATTAGGACTATAGCCATGGTAGAGTAGCAGGGACTATCTTGATGGAGAAGGTCGAAGGACATCACCATTCCTGAGCACAGTATGGCGTGCTATTCACCAACTTACGAATGCCATAGCGCAAACTCCAAGACTGTAGGTGGTCTTCGCACTATGGCTACGCGGTTACTAGCACGCTTTGATGTAGAGTGTGGTGGTTACGAAGACATCCAGCCCAATACCTGCCGTATCCGGCCTGAAGTCAATATTCGATCAACAAGGATATAATGGTGCCAAGCCAAAGTACCGGGACAAGAGCACGAAAAGGAAAGGCAGCGGATCGTTGGTGCGTTCAAGACCGTTGCGCGTTAAAGTGTCGAAAAACTTTCGGGAAGATAACCATGATAGGACATTGGGTATGCAACGGATTGTGTGCTAGAAAGAATAAACGTAAGAGTAGAACTTTTATCTGAATCAGGGGTTACCTGCTCAGTGTTCAGAATGGAGCTTCGGCGGGATCCTAAGTAAAAAAAGTGATATGTAGACGTCCGAGCCATTTACTCTACCATTCGACGCACATGTGGTGAATGCAGCCTCTTACCTCAAGAGAGGTCGGGACGAGGTCGTGATAGACGATTCTCTGGCGGTTCGCGTCACCTGCCTACATTGTTGCCCTAGACTCCCCTCTGACACGTACGATAGACCTGCATTAACAGAAGCTTGTTCTCGTATTCCATAGGCACATTTCCACAGCCTCTAGTCATGTTGTTGATCCTTGAACTATTGTTGCGCTCAAATAGCCTGGATGGTGACGATATCTCGGATGGTGTATAGAAGCAGCAGTGTCATTACTGATTGCACAAATGCTGAGCAGGCTATGCCACTCGGCGTGCCAGTCACGACGGCGGAGCTCTGGAGAAATGTTGAACGAAGGATGGAAATGAGGGCGCGAGACTCTTGGCAATTTGCTTGGCTGCAGGAGCTCCTGCTTCGTTGCGCAAAGCGCGATTGGCGAGCACGACAGCAACGCGCCGGCGAATAGAAAAGAGAATCTGGCGTGCGACTTGCCGGCCCGTACCGATCACGCGCAACGAACACCGAAACTGCTAAGGCTTGAGCTTAGATAGAAAAGGCAGCTTGATCGTGCAAGGTTCCACTCGCGCAAATAGTAATCACGTCTTATCGGCAGATAAAACGAATTTTGGAAACCCACCAGAGATAGACCAGGGTACAATGCAAGAGTAGAGCCAGGTACGAGCTCTAAGCGCTTAAAATCTATCCGAGAGGACGACCGCAATCTGAAATGCAGCACGTGAATTTCCGTAGGGGCGATGAAAAGCGATAAGAAACGACTGAACACCAAATATAGAACACAACTCTCCTCAAGGTTTGCGGAACACGTCTGGGACGAGCATAATTACTCATGCAATATAGCAATCGCCGGCCGGTTGCCGCCCTGCCCTTGCGTGTACGTCGTCAACTATGTCGCGTCGTTCTTCAACCAACAGTTAGCACCATTTTCAATGTTATACGTGACTGGCAGGTCGTCCCCAATGGCTATGCCCTTGCATAGTGCTAAGCCATGCACAGCATCCCACGTGCTACACGCATCAATACATTGCTACAGCGAGTATTCGCTTATGCTAGTAATATCGCCATCCTTGATGTTCCTATCCTCAGTGCAGGTGTTTCTCTTGCTGTCCCAGGCGACTGATAACGGAGGACAGCTCGTGTCGATGCGGACGACGGAGGCTGCGGTCGAAGGAATGTATACTGATGGAGTGGAGCCGCTGGCCGGAGCGGTTTTTGTGAGTGTCACTGCATTTGTGCGCGTCGCTGATATCGTGGGCGTTGCCGGGGCGTGGGTGAAGGTACAAGTCGGATCTATTCAGGTTGCGGCCCGTTGGGTTACCGCGCGGGAAGGGAGGTGCGGACAGGGATCTTTCAGCAAGCTCGCCGCACAACAACTATCTCATCTGCCCAAGGCAGGGCTCACCCCCATCCATATCTGAGCATCTGCGTTGCGTGCCTCAACGACAAATGTTACTCAATCACTGTCGCTTCAGCCACCTCAGATCCTAGAACAAGACCGTATGTCCCTAGTACGAAAAGGAAACGAACACACCTGCAGGCGCGAATATGACCTGTCGTGCAGCCTGCCTGACGCAGTGTTGGAGCCAAAGATCGCTCTAGCAGTAACGGCCATTCTCCATACCAACTCGGCCTATAATGTCGACTCTGAATTGACTATTAACGCATTCCCAGGTCTTGCGATCCTGTCCGCACCGTCATCTGCGTGCTGCAGCTTCGCTAGGAGTAGACAATCATCTCCATATACACAATCGATGTTGCTTGGTGATGACGAATCTCAGCCGCAGCTTACACGACGAGAGTGCAACGGGTTCTGTGGCAGTCCGTTAATAGTCGCTCACGTCAGCATGGAATTGCATCTAGCTAATGGCTGGTAGCAGATGGTTTCTGAGAATCTCCTTCAGCTCAGTGCGGCTGCTCGTATTCCAGAGCCTCTGATCCAACCAACAGCATCAGATTCGATGAGATGAACCTTGTCGACGCACGAGGGGCATCTTAATCATGTTCGTGGCTGGAAGCCAGGAGCTGATCTGTGTGATAAGATGCCCAGCTACAAGTCGCAGAACAGGGTCCTTTTCTATCTCTCTCCCTCATCGAATCTCCCTTCTCCTGTTCCCAATCAGAAGTTAACCAGGAACCGAAACAATGGTAAACAACGTTGACGACCTACTCACCAAAACCGAACCTGAACTTACTGTCCTCTTCGCTAACGCCGAAGCTGGACCCATACCCAACGGTGACGCACAAGGCACCGCGATCATCGCACCCGGCACCACTTTCACGCCCGAGATCGCCAAGTTCATTAACTTCTTCGCCTGGCAGGGCAAGATCTTCGATGCGGAGAAGATGGCACTCGTGAACAAGATAACCGTCTTTGGCCTCGACGCTATCCTCGCCCATATAAGTCGCGAACCGAGCTGGATTGACGGCAAGGAATGTATCGTACTGGACTATTCGAAGACATCGGTGATTGCGCATTGGGTACGAGATGAGATTCGACTGATTTCTCCCGGATTGTATCTTGGAAGGGTGTTTTGGAAGGAGCAGCATCTGATCTTCTTCGCGTTACAGTTTTGATCGTTGATGCGACGTAATGATGTCGTCGCAAAGAGCTGGTAGCGGAGAGCGCGTTTTGTTCCGAAACACCGTTTCATGGAGTTCTGTGACTTCGTCACTGTGCAAAGCTGCAGCGTAGGAGGGCCAGGAAACAGAGGGCGTGTGGCGCATGAGTGACCGCCACTGTAACGAACAAGAGTGATGTGAAGATAGACACATGATCTTTGGTACACCTACCAACTAGCAGTGCAGTTCCCACTGAGAACTCCATGAAAGATGACCAGGCTGCAAGAATCCCCGTGTAGCGCCGAATCACAATGATTTCAGCATCTTCCGTGCGACGGATTGCATTCGATCAACAACGTGGGCGCGGAGCATGCCATGATGAGCGCCGAACACCTGGGGGAACCCGTGCTAAGCGAACCGAAGACGATAGCTTGCTCGGCCGGTCCGGCTCCCGCTCCTGCAGACCCTCTCGTCGCATGTACACACCAGAGATTTAGTTCGCGTACACAATTACTACCAATAGTATCCTCATCCATGCTTCAGAACGCCTAGTCGCGCGGCCTCGATGATAAGGTCACGTTTAATTGCTTCAATGAGGTCGCGACCACGATGGCGGCCCACTCACTCCCGACCGTCCCCGAACTTCGCCCTACCAACGGCATCTCCATGATGGCGAGACCATGTGAGGCTGCGACGTTCCCTTAGACTGCGCGGTCTCGTACAAGTTGAGAGCGGGTATCGCCGGCGTAGCGCGATGAAGCTTTGAGTACTAGAACAAGAAAAGTGTATTAGAATGCTACTACGGGTACGTCGCGCGCGCGCGTTGTCTCTATGGAACAGAACGACTCGATCTAATATTGTAGCTCATGAACATCTCAAGAATCTTGAGTCAAACCGCACGCGCTACCGTCCCGTCCGCTGCCTCTGCCGCCGTCAACACGTTCAAAGCACACGCGTACGATTGAACCTATCCGTGCCAGATTCCCGCCCATATACCCGCGACGATGACGTCTCTGAAGCTTTTTTGGGCACTCTAGATACCTCACAAAAGGCTGCCAGGTGATCGTAAGCCCTGACAGGCGGAGAGCCGGAGCGAAAACTGGACTTTTCATAATGCGATGATCTGCGCTGAATGACTACAACTTGGACCGAGGCTTTTCAGTCACGTTCACGTACATGATCGCACGATCCGGTAGGACACCAGCCTGCCTTTCAACGATGGCAATTATAGGTCAAAAAGTCATAGATGACGGACGACTACAGGGTGAGATACCACGCCATTGTCGCAGGTCATGGCGGGGAATGAAATGGCGCGAGGTCTACATCCAGCACTTCCGGCACTTTCAATGGATGGAACACTCTTTGGTTTGCGCATCAAGTCTCGTCCTCGGCAGCCTCCGGCTTCGCTGTCGCACTCGGGCCAACCTATGTGAACTTGCTCAAGTCCTGGAATGGCCGCCTAGTCTGATATCGTGAGGACGCGTCGGCCCAGCATCTGTCCGACTAGACCGTGTCAACTGATCCGATCATCTACGAGCGTCTCAAGGCAACCCGACATAGCGATGCTTCATTGATCAAGAGCCAAAGAGGTGCGAGCCCACCAATCAGCACTGCGGATCTCTGCCGAGCTCGGTATTTTATATGATCCTTCTGGTATGGCGTTATGTTCATATCTCCGGGCCTTTTGGAGCGAGCTTCCCTCCACGGTCATAGTACGTTATTCCGATTGGTAGATTCGGACTCCATAGGTTGCCATTTCTCTCACGATATTGGCGTCGTCATAAGACATGCTTCCGTAAACAACATCGCCGCAGAGATGGCATCTCACATTCACGTACAAATACAAGTCTGCCTTCGCTGTTCTCAAGTGCAATATCGAATTCCAAAAGCCACTCAAGCCATTACCAAGAATGACTTCAACGGAACCTCATCCCGCTATCGGAGCGCTCGATCAGCTCCAACCTAGCAAATCACACGCCTTCGACCCTTCTGCCGATATCCCCTCACTCAATGGGAAAGTTATTCTGATCACGGGTGCGAACAGCGGCATCGGAAAACAGACTGCCATCGAATTGGCTAAGCACAATCCCGCGCAGATCTGGATCGCCGCTCGAAATGAACAGTCAGGCCTCGAAGCTGTGCAAGACGTCAAGAAAACGGGGTCCAGCGTTGACGTGAGATTTGTGTCCCTGGAATTGACGTCCTTTGAGTCGATCAAGGCGGCGGCCAAGATTGTACTTGCAGAAGCAGCTCAGCTGGATCTTCTGATCTTGAACGCGGGAATCGTGAGTGTCCAACTTTATTTCATCTCGACGATGGAACTGAACTGATATGCTCCTAGATGGGAGGACCTCCAGGCGTTACGGTGGAGGGATACGAGCTAGCATTCGGCACCAACCACGTCGGTCACGCATTGCTATTTGACATGCTGGTTCCACTCCTCACCAAGTCCGCTGAGACGTCCGCGACCAAGCCTCGAGTAGTTTCCGTCAGCTCGCGTGGCCATGCCTTCGAAGTCCCACCGGGAGGCATCGCATTCTCAACCCTGAAATCAACCCAGTCGGATCTCTCAGGGGTGACGCGTTACACGCAGTCGAAGCTCGCCAATGTGGTGTACGCACGAGAGATTGCACGGCATCACCCCTCGATCATCTCTGTGGCTATCCATCCAGAGGACGTAGCTACGCAGTTGTTCGACAAGGGTGTGCAGGGCGGTGGACCAGAGATTGAGTACCTCGCGCGAGAAGTGGCGCCGAGAGTGGGCGTAAGCTTGGAGGAAGGCGTCAAGAATGGGCTTTGGGCCATGACTTCTGACGATGTGCAGAGCGGCAGGTACTACGAACCTGTTGGCGTACTGGGCAAGGGCAGCGCTTTGTCTAGGGATAGGAAGCTTGGAGAGAAGCTGTGGAAATGGACGCAGGAAGAGCTTGAGAATCAGACCGTTTGAGCACAGTATCTCTCCATGCTAGAGTAGACATTGTCCTCACGCTGCAACTTAAGTGCGTGCGTTTGTGTCGACTATCTGGAGAAAATCATATCATGATAGAATGTTATCACTTCGCCATCATCGGTCCATTGCTGACAACGAAGGCTAACTGTATCAGTTAACGTATCCCAAGAACTTATCCGTACGTCATGAATCAGTTTCGAAGACGATTGAGGGAAAGTCTCAACGCCAGCGAAAGTCTGAGTGTCGGTGACATCAAAGCCGTCTTTCAGGAAGCGGGCTGTGAAAGCATCTTGCTCTAATGTCACAATTTCTGCGGCAATCTTGGACATCAACAGGCAACTCCAGCCGCCCTGGCTGAAGGGGATGGTGTTGAGTAGTCTGATGGCTTGTAATCGAATGCGACGGTCGCGGCATTTGAGAGCTGTAAAGAACAACGGAGTAGCTAAGTTGTCGCCAAAACTATTGCTCTCGGTTGCAGACAGTGAAGGCAACAAGTGCCAGATTTCCACCGAATGCTCCAGTATGGCGAGGAACTTTGCAGTATGGTCCTCATACCCAGATTCTGAGGTGCAGCCTATGTGACCCCACATGATGAGTGCCATTTCGTAATGATTGAGCAGTATCGTGTGTCCAACTTGGCGGTCGCGATCTTTCTTCCTCACGCAGAAGTTTGTAGACTTGTACGTTTTCAGCCAGTCCTGGAGTAAGCCCAGCGCCTGATTGTGGATGTCGACCCTCTTCAGTCGATCCTCACGCTCCGCTGCGGTCATTCGGAGGAAACGCCGCGAGATGAGCAGGATAGCGTGAACTAGTTTGTTCAGCGAGTGCCGAGCTTCTTCAATCGATTTGAAGGTGCGTGACGGCACATCTTCAACAGAAGACTGCACGAGGATGTCAATGCCGGGTGAGCTAGTCCCGAGGAATTGCGATTCTAGATGGAGCGATGCGAATCCTTGCATGATCTTGACCTGGTCGATATCCACACTTGTGCTTCTCTTCAGCAAAGTCAATCCATGCATGTTGACACATAGACTTTGGTGAACATCCTTCAACAGCCGCAATCCGCTCTGTAGATGCATCTCGGCCTGCTCAATCCTGCCTCTTACCTGCTCTAGCAAAGTGTACAGCAGACAGGAGACTAATGCGAGACCAGACATCGTCTTTCCACCAAGCCCAATCGCGGACTGGAGGTGTCGCAACGACTCATTGTAATGCCTCATGACAAGAAGCTCACATTTCAGCTGCGTGTAATCCGATGCCAAAACGGCGTTCTTATGCGCTGAGCTCAGCGCAATGGCCGCATGCGCGATGACAGGCTCGTTCAGCAGCGTAGGCATAACCAGCGCCGTCCAGAACCCCTCTGCCAGCCGACCACTCAAGTCGTGCACAAGGCGATGGTGAAACCAGTCCAGATATTCCTGGTCTTCATTGCGCAATTCGAGCTTCGCGGCCGGGAAGTGATGGTGCAGCGACGGGGTACACCTCTTTTTGCTACCATAGCGCTCTGCGTACCCGTTTCCTCCTCCACCCCAGATGCCGTAGCCCTCACATGTGCGACCTGTGGAGAAGCATCGCTTGCATACTGGCTTGAGCTCGTCGCATTTGACTTTCCGGGTTCTGAGGTTCGGTCAGATCTCTCTCATGATTTGCAAAGGCCCTATACCTGCAGGTACCACACCCTGAGCGTACTTTTCTGCGACTTGTCATATTCATCGCGTAGATAAAGTCCAAAGGGCCGACTGTAAAATACAAAAGGATGCAACATACAGAAAAGCGAGGAAACGACAGTATGTTGCTTGTACCGAGACCTGTAAGACGGTCCATCGGCACCTTCGTCATTGGTCAGCTCGCATCTCCTGGGCTTTGATTCGCCGATGCATGTAAGCGTACGAGAGCACCGTCCTCATGTTTGTACGCGCCACAAGAATGTAAAATGTGTCTTTCAGTCTGCTGGAGGCCTGATTTGCATAGAGACCATCATTTGTTCGCGCTGACGAAATCCGTAAACCTCTTTGAGTTTTGTTTCGCTGGAGCCAGGCTTCGTCGGGATAACCGTAATGCCGTGTTTCTCGGAGTAAACCGACGGATTCAGAATACTCCGACAACCACCAATCATATTCCGACAGCTTATCGCAGAGCCTCAATTCGGACCCTGAACCTGTAATCGCTGTAATCTCAAACAGTATAAGATACCCGCGCCCTCATTCCGCATGCGCTATTCAAGTACTGAGGTGCGCACTCACTTTGGATTTCCCCGGTCGTTCCAGAGGGGAGTTGCGAAGTCGGTGTGCGAGACCCACTTCTCCGCTGCTTTATCCTGCGGGAAAGTTGCGGAGAGAGGTTGTAGGGCTGTAGGGCGTGGAGGTGTAACCAGATAAGAAGCCCGTTGCACCCGGAGGCGGAGCATAAGTACTGGGCTCCTACGCATCTGGGATATACTAAGGGTAAGTTGCATTGCTTTCTCCGTGTGTCTCCGTGTACTGTGATTCAGTCTGCTTTCATTACCGTGCAAATTACTAGCCTTTGCGTCGTTACCCATTCTCGCATGCATCAGTTTCCTATAAGTCTTATTTTTTTTTTCCTTACGTCTTCTTCTTCTATTCAGTCTACTGGAGTATGTCGTCAGTTTTGCATCTCTTTTCCTTGACAATCGATGTCTCTATCAAACACAACAACAGCTTTTCTTGACGCCCAAAACGCACCGACCATAACCTGATGCAACCTACTCGTCGATATACAGCCAGACTAGGTAGATTACGACTCAATCTCAACCTGCGACAGCTTGGGTAGATCGTCCGGAAAACTGCTGTTGTTACAGCTACACCAATGCCGATTGATCGACATGAATGCCGACTGCGCCGCGAAAGCGAATATGGCACCTGTCAAAGCCTCGCAGGACGCGCCCAGCAACGAGGTCAGTATGGGCCAGCAGGCACGACATACACCTCGCATTCACCCAGTCTCACGTTCTCCCTCAAGGCAAGAAAGAGCCGTGAAGCTGTCGCCAACCCAATCAGTCGTTCGACATGGCCGTCTCCGCTAAAGCTTCATCACTACTACACTCAAGGATGCAAAATACAACAAATATTTGAACATTGTAAGACATTCGCATTGAAATCATGCATATGCATCGCTAAAAGAACAAGACCAGAGCACCATCAAATCAAGCCTCTTCCTCCAACAGCCACTCTTTAGTGACCACCGCTCGAGTTGGAGTTATCCGCGCACGACCAAGGGCTGGTGCCACCATCCTTGTTGTACGAGTCAATGATGCCGACGATCGAACCATACGTACCACCAATGAGGAGGAACGTGCCGGCGACGATGACGAAGATGGACCATGCGACCATGCCCTTCCACTTCCAGTCGCGGTTGGACCGGTGCCAGTTGTCGTACAGCCACATGCAGCCCATGGGTTGGAAGCTCATGAGGGTGCCCAAAAGTGCGCCCACGAGCGAGACGAGGCCACCGAAGACGGGAATCGCAGACGCAATGATATAAGCAGTCAGGGAGACGGCGCCGGTGAAGCCGAACCAGGTGATCCAGTGCTTAGCGGTGGGGTGGTTGAGATGCTTTGTTCCACGCAGAGTACGGATGAAGAAGTACTTGGCGACGAGCTGTGAGAAATCAGTACATTGTCCGTAAAGAGCGAAGGAGAAGAGAGATGGTGTAACTCACATGAGTGACCAGGATGACGGACGCAAGAAGACCGGGAAGCGCGAGTCCGTAGCAAATCTTCTTCATCAAGACACCGGCGGATCCCAGCGCAGGCGATGCGACGTACGATCCGCAGTAGTAGTACACGACGACACCGATGGCGATGTAGATGGAGGTCATGACGAATTGGCACAGCGACAGGGCCTTGAAGTAGTCCTTGTGGTCTTTCATCTCGGACACGACGTTGAAGTAAGCAGGAATACCGCAGAACGCGAAGACGATACTGGATAGAGCAGCCGCGGCCTCAGCGAAGGTGGGCGACTTGAAGAGCTCAAAGTCAGATTGCCAGGGGCCGAATTGAGGCGCCGCAGAAGGGCGATCCTGGATGCCGACTGAGATGGTAAGGGTAATGACTGTAGTGGTCAGAGCACATTCTTTGGTGCGGAAATACAGGAATACTCACTGGCTGACATGATACCAGCAAGACCAACCCACGCAATCCAAGAGAGCTTTCCCAGTGTCTTGATCGAAGCAAGTGCGAAGCCCACAAAGCAGGCCACAGCCACAAAGACAGCAGTACACGTGCCATGCTCAGACAACGAGTTCAATCCGATGGAGATACCCAGCATACCGGAGCCAGCGACGCACGTCCACACTGTTGTTTGTCAGTCCACATGCTCGACTCTGGGGTGTTCTGGAGAACCATGTTTCCATAAGGTAAGGACCCACACAAAGCGAACGCCAAACCGAGCACCTCGCGGCCGGCGCGCCCAAACAGCTTCTGCCCCACATCCTCGATACCGTACGTTTCAGGATGACGCATCTTGAATGTGCCGACCATGTAGCCAGACCACAGTGTGATCAATCCGATGGCAAGCAGCGAAATGATGCCTGGGATGAGACCTAGGGCATCGAACGCAGCGGGAATGGATAGCACACCGAGACCGATCTGTGTCTTCATCATGATGATGGATGAACCCCACCAGCTGACCTGCTGGGCGTCAATATGCGTTAGGTAAGAATGGCAACATGGAGACATACGCTGCGGTAGTTTGGTCCTCCCTCGACAACCTCACCGAAGACGGCATCAGTCTGGCCTTGCGCGTTGGTTTCCTCTGCCTTGAGTTGGCTGCCGTACTCAATGTCGTCGCCCATCTTGTCGTTGGAGAAGCCCATGTCGTTTTGATGTTCCGATCCGGGGTATCAATAGGAAATGGCACGCGAGGATGAGTATTGCCTCGAAGGACGACAGTACGCGTTATATGCAGAAATCGTCGGGCCGACCGACATCGGCAGGCACAGACCCAGGAAACGATGTGGAGGTCGCCCACGGCGCGCTCATTGTTTCCCCAGGTGCGTAGCGGTCCCTCCGTCGCCGTGGTGGACACTGGTGGTTGATGCTTTTGCGCGGGCGAATGAGCGTGGAGCCGCTAAAAACCGAGACAGGCTGGCTTGGAGCCGCATCGAGCCGCAAAATTTTGGTGCAGGTACAGCGAGGTTTCGCCGGACCAGGCCCAAGACGGTTAGCCAACTCCATTTTTCACATGGTCGGATGTCGCCAGTGTCAAGCGCCCGTGGATTGCAAGTCGAGTGCGTTCGAGAGCACTCTGGGGGAGCATAGGAGCATGTCGCCATGCACCATGTGGCGTGGGCAAGCTTCAACACAAGGCCGCTTCACCACAGCTGCGTGTAACGATAAGCACGAGAGCCAGGACCGGAACAGGGACCAAGCAAGTCGGACCAAGTGAAATAGACGCTTATCTTTTGTGGATTTCTGGGCATACGTTGTGGGACGAGGGTCCGTTCAGCTCCGTTCAACAATGCTTTCTGAGATAGCGAATTAACATGACTACGTCATCCTTGTTATATTTTCAAATGAATTGTGTCAATATTGATGGTATGAGTGGGTGCGCATATAGATAGCAGAGATGGGATGCGCATATATAGGAGGTTGTAGTCGCGTGAGGATGGCGCATGAAGTGATGGTTACAGTAAACCACTTTCAAGTCGCATCAAGTCGCAATGGTATACAAGTCGGCTTCAGAAGGTTGTAGTTCGAAATCAGGGTCTTGAGCGCCTCCATGCGACACGGTATTGCTGTATTGTTGTATTCTGGCTTCAAGATCGTAACTAATTCAAACATCGTCGTGTGGTGATGCAGTACATGATATGGTATGCCGCAATGCCGTTAGTCGTTGTACGGTGGTATACAGCACTAGGAAGTGATTGCGATGGGCGTACAAGACGCGGAGAAATTCACGGAACATGACCATAGGCGTCCGAGCGTATATGCTCGACACGAGAGCTTCGGAGGAAGGATCCCGGAGAGATGCAAGTGGGACATGGATACTCTCCACACGCAATTGCCTCATGAATCGAAGGACGGACAGCTACGCAGTGAACTCCGGGGAGCACGGCTTCTAGAAGGATGGTAAGGCATGACGAAAGCGCGGTTGACGCCTGGGCCGACCCAGTGCTGCGGACGCAACCTGGGGCAGATTTACTGTTATGTAAAGAATCGGAGGATGCGGAGCATCAATCTGGGGACAGGTATTGTCGTTAGGTAAAAGGTGCAAGGTATGCATGGTAGCGCAGAGCCTCAATCTGGGGCAGGTGTTGTCGTTAGGTAAGACGTGTGGTAGCGTGCGAAGCCCCTGTGGGTCGCCCCGACATGGCGAGGGTCCCCAAGGAGCCACTACTGCTCGGCTCTACGTAGCACCTGTCTCCAATGCTCTCACGCATCTTGCCCTTCTGGTTCTCCATCGCGCGCTCCTTGAGCCGGTCGTTGGTCTTACTGACCCCAACGTATTGTACCTGATAGCCCTTCAACCCCAGGGTCGCACGACTCCTACGCGAAGATTGGCGTCGACTTGTACGGAATGTGCAAAGCGGAGACTAGTCTGGGGTCCACGCTTGCGAATGTCGCTGCTGGAAGATCGGGGAAGCTTTGTGGAGTCGAGCAGAATACGGGGCGAGGATGTGGGTTGGGTCGTCTTTGGAGAGGAGGGGCAGTGTGGAGGCGGCTGTGGGCGCTGTGTCTTTCGATGCCAGATGGGTCGCTAATGAGGAGACCGCCGGAGGCCGGGAAGATGTTGGTGCGTCGCTTGCACAAAGTATCGCGGCGCCGTGGTTATGGCTCTGGGCCGGGGTTCTCGTCGTCGCTTGTGTCGTCACCTGAGGGGAGGACGTTGTCTTCACCGTCCAAAGGCCGTCGTCGAGATCGTTTCAGAAGCCGCGCATGCGCCATGATGGGTAAAGGATCCTGTCTTCGTCGCTGATTATGGGAATCGTGTGTGTGCGTACGATGTGCTGTTCAGCGGCCGCGACTGTATGGGGGTCGAGTCGGGAGCGGGGTGACGAAGTTGTCTGCCTTGCGACGCGCACGCTGGATCAGGGTAAGACGACGTTGTAGGTGCGAGCTTCGGTGCCCAGGCCAACCTAGCAGATTGACATCAAGCGCGTGTTCCCGTTTCCAGCAGATGCTGGTGGAATGAACTCGATCCTGGTAGGCTTCCAGCTCACGGCCTGACGCGCGAGCATGTGGGCGTGTGTGCATCACACGTGATCTGCGCTAGTGAGTAACCCGCGCGAGCAACATCAACATTCCCCACGTACCTGGGAATAAATTCATGGGCGCTGTAGAGAGGCGTCGCATGCAGTCGTAGGACGCAACCAAGGATATCCGGGCTGTGCTGGACATAGCAAGTGTCACGCCCACGCAAAGAAGGCCGACACTCCGGGTCGGAGGCCTAAAGAGCAGTAACAACACAGTCGGATCGGATGCATCACTATGTCTGATCGAACGACATGTGAGGAGTTTACAGTTTTCCACCCCTGCAAGCCTTCCACATTCATCATGTGTCTTTGGCTTCATGGGGAACAATGAGGGCATAGCGCTGATCAGGTCTCTAAACGATTGCGGCTATCCTAAGTGCAAGTAGGCTGAGTCTAGATGGCAGTGTGCGACTTGGTCTACTGATATGGGGCCCTTCCACACCTTGTACGAGAGTACGAGTACGTTTGATTGAATCGGTAGGCATCGCAGCGCCGCAGCTGCAGATGTATGAAGGCCATAGCTGTCGTCACTATGATCTTCCTGCTACCTACATTTTCGCCACTCTCTTCGCTATGCCTTTGCTGGAATGGAACGATCTAAAGGTCGCGCAGCCTGGTCATGAACTCTATCGGGATTTCTCTCTACTGGCTACCGCGATAGTGCGTTCAGTGTGGCATACAATGTCATCTGAGCGGAGTGCGTTCGCTGAAGCATGGTAGTTGATAAGGGTGAACAGCGAGCAGACGCGACAGAAGCAGGAACATAAGAACCTATCTACGGAATGGGTCCCAGTTTGATTAGACTTGCCGCGGCGCACACGTATGACTCCGAGACGCGTGGCGTACACAGCTGTGACACAGATGACAGCACTCGTCTGCGGCCGCTTTAATGAACATAATCCTGGGCAGCTCCGAACACACAACCTAACGCGAAAGCACGTGAACACGTGTTCATCACCCGAGAGCCCTACGAACAGCGGAAATGTACTTATCTAGTCGCTGAAGACTCAAGCAAGTCGTAAAACCTGAGAGCTATCTCAGTGTGTGGAACGCATCGCGCTCGATTCATGTCTCGCTGATGCGACGTAATTCATGCGTACTTCGGTATACATCGTAAGTAGCAACTCGCAAGATAAGACGTATTACGATGTTCGTTGCCAAGACTCAAAACGCCGACGTCCGTCTTGGAGTTGTCTAGCTACACCGAAGAAGCCGACATTCCACCATCGCACTGCGGACTGCAGGAAACTGGACATGACTTCAGGTTCTGCGGCGCCAGACGACTTCGCTGTCTCCGACCTAGCCACACTGTCTACCCATGCTGTGCGTGCCAGTCTCTTCGAAACATGTCTTGGGAACATCGTAGCCCCCCTTCCTGGAAGATGACGACGCCTCGCTCGCAGACGATCAGAGCACGCTCGCCGAACGATATGATATGACCTCGCTCACCTCCAAGGCCAGCCTGAACTCGCCCGCGAACCAGTTCATCGCTGAATTTTTGTACTCTCGCGTCGACATGAGATACTCAGTATCAAGCCGCCCGTCATCGCCTCAAGCTCGAGCAACACTCCGTCGCATCCATACCCATACCCTCACTACTTCTCAAAGTCCTACCAAGCTCCCGAGCACGTGCTCGATTATAATTGCTACATGAGGCTCGCGCGCATGTGGGAGGTTCGGCGGTACCTGCCGCGCGTTTCCCGAAGTAAGCCCTTAGTCATGCACTTAGTTGCCCACCCGATCTTGCTGAGCCTCAAGACCTTATGCGTCCCATGGTATCTATCGCGGCGGCCAACGCCCTCTATTTGTTAGAACCCAGGCCGATTCACACATATCGTCGCAACATTTGTGTTCACACATGTAATAGAGAGAAGGTCTTTGGGAACATATGTACGGGTCACTGCCACGCGAGAATGCGATAAGAAATCGGATAGGGGGGCTTTGAGGCTACTCCGACTCCACAAGAGGATGATCTAGGATCATGTCAGTAGCGCATACATTGCGACGCCGCAAGAGCTCACCGCTGTTGTGTTCTTCCATCAAGATAAATTCACGTACGTTGCACCTTTGACTTCGATTAGTATGCAATATAAATCCCGGTCGGCCAGAATCGCTAGCAAGTGACCGCTTCATACTTGTGAAAAGAACCTGTCCGTGCGCATCATCGAGCGTTGTGTATATATATGCGTTGATCTCATCGTAGTGTAAGTACCTCGACGATATACCATTGAAGACTCAAGTACAAACCGCAGCGTCCTTACTAACTAACCATGAAACTCGTTACCTCGATTCTCCTAGCCTTTGCCGTTTCTGCCCAGGCTTCCTGGTGCAATGATGGATGGGGTTTGCCCGCAAACACTGGATGTCCCGACTCCTATGTAAGTAATATGATGACTAGCAGGAAAGCGTCTTACTGACTGCTCGTAGCCCCACTCCTTCTGCGTAGGCTTATAGGTTATCGAAAAGAAAAAGATTCAAGTCCTAACACCCAGACAGTGCGGAGACGGTGACGATGCTAGATTTCCTCGGGAAAGAACTTGCGCACAGCCTATAAGGAATGGACTTTATGTCCAGGACAGTTGCAGCGGCGGTGTAAGTCTCAAGTGCAGCTATCGCAAGAAATGAATGACTAACAGCTATGTGATTAGTTTATCAAATGTGTTCGTATTCCAACACTTGATTTATCTCTGGATCTCTGATATACTAACATGTCTAGTGTTAACTGCACTACGCCTGTTAAGAAAACTACGTCTGCCTTCTGCAACTACCTACAGCAGGGTGATGATTGTTGGACTTGGGTAGTGAGATGCGGTTAGCGACTTATCGCGGTTGAGGTTGAACGGTTCCGGACTCTCGGGCTCGCAATCCTTGCTCGTCGATTCGATGACTCTGTACACCGAAAGTGCTCCCACTCTTCTGTAAATCGATTCAGCGACGTTCACCGGTATGATCGCAATGCCAGTGTGCGGAGTAACCATGACCACTTCACAAGATTCGCACACGTCAATATCGAAGTACACACTCCCATCTGCGAGCCTGTCGTCTGTCATGCGAACCTTACACGCTCTGCTTTCACTTGATTGCTGCGGCGCTATGTCAAATACAGCAGCGACCGGTGCTCTTATCCTTGCAAATCCTTTCGTTAACTCCCCAAGCCGGTTGACTCCCTTGGGCGTGACGTCGCAGTCTAGCAGTTCTGCACACAACCCCACGCCAGGATCATTTTCGAGAAGTGTGTATATCACGACTCCCTCGACGGATGCGAAGGACCAGGTTGGAGCCCTCCAAGGTATAGCTCTCTGTGGTGGCTTTGGGAACAAGACGTACATATCCCATTCGGGTTGTTGCAAGCGCCATAGCAAACCCTGCAAGAACCAGTTCTTCCATATGCCAGCGACACAGATATCTCCAGTGAGCTCTTCCAGTGCCGAGATGACGCCAGAGAGTGCGGGCAGCTTGTCGGATTGGAAAGACATGTTCCGGGATGTGTATTCCTCAATCAAGACGAACCATGCCCTTCGTTCTAGATCAGAAGCCATAACGTCATGGTGACGATGACTCCGTCTCGTCGACTCAATGTGCGGTACGTTCTCCAAGTTCTCGACCAAGCTCTTGAGTCCATGGGCAATGCTTTCCAAAAAGATCTCTCTACGGACTGAATCTTGGAATCCATCTTCGGTATTACTCATCTCCGAGCATTCCCATGTCATCTTGTAGCTAGCGAACTGTATCGTGCGGGACGCTAGTATACGTTCTTGCAGGACCCAGACTCGGCTCAGAAGAGGTTCTTCCTATGTTGCGTCAGCTTCCTGGAGTGCGGGGCGAGCGACTCATAGTTGTGGACGTACTTTTCGCATAGTGATTGACTCATCGACTATCGATTCCATAGCCCCCGGTGACATGGTCAAGTCGTCGTAGTAAAAATACAAGTCAAACGACCCTTCGTCATCTGCGAAGGAGACGACGCGACGTTCTCTAGCCTTACGCGCATGCAAAAAGCCCTCGCCGCAGTGACTCGCACGCGTAGCAGCAAGAGTCAAGTACGCATTACTGTATACACCAGCCATTCGAGAAGCCTCTCTCTCCCAGTCAGCTTTATCGTCTTGAACGATGCACAGACAGTCTGCCCAAAGATAGCGAATGCCTAGATATCTAGTGAGAAATATCGCGTCTCGAAGAGTTTCAGGAAGTTGCATGTATTTGATGCCTCCGTCTTTTGTATGCTTTTTCAGGTTCGTAGAGGTCGTAGTATATGGCAGGGCTTTACCCCAGCAATAGCTCAATGCGATGTATTGGCCTTGACTATCTGGACCATTCTCCACAAGCTTGAGTGTTGCATCCGTAAGCAGGGCACGTGGATCACCTGCGACACCCTCGAAGTCATTTCCTTCCGGTAGTGAATGGAGGTCCAAGAGGCGTGTGGGCAACTGAGCATCGCTATTTGTTGATCGTTGGCATTTTGGATGGTGGTTGTTGCAATCTTCGACCCATGTTGCCATCTTGCCAAGCACGTAGGGGTGCAATGAGTCCTCGATGATCTCGTGCCTGTCAAAGCACTCTGCTACGGAGCTATCTGGAAACCACGTATCAACTGCAGCTCACGTGCCTAGATCAAATGACCGTACCTGGAGTTGTGTTGTACCAGAAGTTTCCACTTAGACGCACTTCTGGCTTTGTGTTTCCCAGGTACACAGTTACGTGTGGGAGTGCTCGGGCCTGTAGCCATAGGCTTCTTATGTCGCCGTCCTTGTAGTTGTTATGATAATGGTAGCTGCTGCTCAGATGGCTGGAGATGACTTGGCAGAAAGCGCAGTTCCTGGCCCCATCCTGTAATCCGGCAAGGCTCTCATGCCATCTAACAAATGGATACTCGTCTTCTCTGTTGGTCACAGCCCATGGCAGTCGAAACCACTGGAACTTGTCGTGTACGGATGTATCGCCCTGAAGAAGCCTCAAGATATTGCGAATCGGCAAGGACTGACATGTATCACAGAAAGTCATCTTTGCCTCGAGAATCGTGCGAGATGCTGTGATGAGCGAGGTACGAACAAGCTTGACCAGGGCACGCAGAGGGATGTGCCCCACCTAACATATCAACACGACTGATAGGCGAAAGTCAGCTTTATCCTACAAGCTAAGGCGAAAGATGCATCGCAACCAGTCATTTTCATGAACTCGATCCGTCGCAAAAGCGCTGCAGAATGAACAACAAGGTGATGGCATGCACCTTGAGGCATAAAGGCAGTGATTTCACGAACCAAGCGCACTCGCGAACAACGCTTGGTTGACATTGCGGTTGCCAGTCATGGCGTGAATCTCAGTGTTGGTGGGAGGTGCGGGTGCGGGTGCGGGGCAAAGGACCCGCGACCCGCGCTGTAAAGATCACCACCTGCGGTTGATACTACGCGCATCAAAAGCCGTCGCGATGGTGGACCTCGCAGCTTGCTCCGTCGCGACAGTCCAGCATGCGATACAACACGAATCCATTGTACGAAGCTCGCACCACACTTCGATAGCCTCCCAGCGTCGCTACCTGTCTTTGAAGACTCTGGGCCGCTCCACGCCGCGCTCGCCATTTCACGACGAAGGCCGCCGCCACTCACGGTTACCGCAAACCGAACAATACACAGGGAGGATGTACAACCAAAAAGTCTAGGTACAGCTATGGGGAGAGTCAGGCGTCCCGACAACACGGGTCCGGTACGGTCGCCTTGCGCGTCGCGCGACGTTCATGGACCATAACCATGTCGGTTTGGTCGAGCGCCAAGTCAGCCATCTTTGCCATTGGAGACTCGCATTTATTGAGGTATCGAATGCTGAATCTTATATTCCGCTCCTGCGAGCGACTTGCACGAAGCCAGTCTGCCCCTGCCAGCCGCAGTTTTGTGGTCGCCAATGTCTACAAGCTTTCGTCACAACAATACCAGGCGGGATGCAGCCGAGCATGACGTACACCGTCGACCATGAGCATACTATAATGAACCTCGAGCCTGTGCTCCGCACCGGTATCTGCACCTCTCAATCTCTGTATATATGTTCTGTAAACGTGCTGGTCCTTCGCAGGCAGTACCGGCGATCGTGTCATGAGGGGGACATGGCCGGCGAACAAACTAATTCAGGGGCACAGCTGAAAGCCTCGAAGTTTTGAAGCCGCACAATGCACACGCTATATTGGCGCAAGCCCATCGAGCCGCCTCGAGCACCAGCCTATCGCCCAGTACGAATGGGTGCTTGAAGCTCAAAGCTGATCATCGCTTCGGGCTAGACCGCAAGGGCTTAACCCCATCGAGAGGACACTATCGATAATTGCCGGTACACGTGTGCGTCGGCGTCCGCCATGCAAGCCACAAATACTGTACGAGGCTGATGGGAAATGACTTCTTCTAGCCAAGTCAGAATCATGTGCATACCGTAGCTTCGATTTGGCCTGCGCTTTCAACACGCTTTGACTACATGCTGTCATTCCTCAGCGCAGGCATCGTTGTCCTAGTCGTCTATGTCAGTGTAGTCGCTCTGCCGTCGCTGTCCCCGCGTTTCCAGACCAACATTTTTGCATTGTTAGCCTCATCTCAGCTGGACAAAATGCGCTTTCAACCGCCATGGCGTACGCATCATGAATTTAGCAATGCTCGTTGCCAGTGCCTACAACCTAGACCAGCAACCACCTCTCGGGCATGGCGAGGCTATCTCGCATCCATGCCAGCACAAAGAGAGGGAAGAAGGTATATAAGTTCCACCAGCACCGGACGGAAGAGAATGTGTACAGCCTGTCCTTTGTATCTCTAAACATCCGGGGTTCTCAAAACCAGAATGCGTTACTCGATAGCCGCCTCCGGCCTTCTTGGCCTTGCCGCCGCCCTTCCTCAAAGAATAAACATTGACGCTGCCTTGGCTGTTCCTACGCCATCGATTCTGGGTCCCAACATTGAGGCTACGAAGCCTGCGGAGACGACTTACAACCCTGTTGCTGCTGCTTCTGCTGTTGCCGCTGTCGTTGAGAGCGAGGGTGTTATCGAGAAGCGTGATAGTCTCACGGTGGGGAAGCGTGATGCTTGTGATACACAACCTCTTGGGTAAGAAACTTATGAAAACATGGACGGCATTCATCTGACTTTTCCAAAGCAATGGCCCTACTATCTCACCTGACACTGCCGCGGCATTCTCCTCGGCTGCTGAGTTGAGTGAGATCGCTCAAAATGCCGGAACTCCGTCTGGTTACCAGCAGTCTTTCGTAGACAAGAGCGGAAGCTCCCAGCAGATCGGCTACTTGACCTACAAGACTTTCCCGACTTACGACGTCCAGGGCTGCGCTGATGCCTGCGACAGCGAGAAGTACTGCCTTGGCTTCAACATCTACTTTGAACGCGACCCGTCGCTCGAGCCTGGACCCAATTGCCCCAACCCCCCTTCCACCACCAATATCAAGTGCTCTCTCTATGGATATCCTGTCGCGGCCAAGGCGGCCACCAATACGGGTCAGTGGCGTCAAGACTTTCAAGTCGTGATCGCTGGTAGCAACGGCTATTCCAAAACCAACAAAGGTCTGCCAAGCGTGAAGGACTTCAAGGCCCCGACAAGTCTACCAGCCGCCATCAATGCACCGCTTGACAATGGTTATGATACCTACAATGGCATGCGACTTTTCAACGATAATCCATTCGACCCTTCGCTATGTGCTGCTGCATGCGAAGCCCAAACGGAATACGATATGGCACATCCCGACTCCGATGGCACTTACAAGCCTTGCAACTTCTTCACTACCTATATCCTCACTCAGAACGGCGTCCCTCTCGGCACTTACTGCGCCTTCTACACACGCTCCTGGGACCCTAGCTACGCCGTCAACACTGGCTACTACGCTGGCGACGATGAGTACAAGGTAATCAACGCTGGCTCGTACGAAATCACTAGTCCCAACCTTTCGCCTTCGCCCTCTCCATCGCCTTCGCCCTCTCCATCACCGTCGCCTTCTCCGTCGCCATCGCCTTCCCCATCGCCATCTGCTGTCGATATCACCCCAACCCCAACCCCGACTCCCACGCCTACGCCGACTCCCACTCCTACCCCCGCTCCGACGCCGTTGAATACTTGCGGAGGCATCAGCCCCAGAAAAAGTGCCACGATACCTCAACGAACCATCATCATGGGCAGCGGCGCCAACTTCGAGCGTTCTCTCTGCAACAGCTTCTGTCGCAGCCTGGGTACCTGCCGTAGCTACGGACTCTCCGGTCCAAAATGCGAATTGTATCCTCTTCCTGTCGCGCAGGTGGCAAGGCTTAGCGATGCTGATGGCGCGGCAACAAGTGTTTCGTATACGTTTTATGATATTGGGTGTGCGTAAAGCGATGGGGAGAATTATCATCCGTTTTGGCCTCGAATGCTATAGCGTAGCCTCGCGTGATTTAGATTCTATCATCGGATTTTCTTCTGCATAGCTCTTTTGCACATGAGCTACCTTCGAGCGATCATATTGTCTTCTTTCAGATTCTACCTTCAACGCGTGTTTTGCCTCTCCGCATTGGCGTAGGCTCTACATTTCCGCTTTTAGCTCCTTGGCCTCTTCATCTCTTCCATATCTGTTCTCTTACGTTTCTTACCTCGTCTTTGTTATTACATTACTTATGTAACACACTTAATTCAATGGGTATCACAAAACTGTCCAACGTAATGATTTCCTCATTTCGTCCAAGCAAGCGAATAGGGAAGAATGAACATTTGAAGTGCTCCAACGTCTTCTTCTTTGTAATTAATGTCGCTGATAACTATCAAGGGATAGGAATACAGATCTCGTTATAGACAAGCTCAGTAGTCGTTATACAGGGATCTTAGTTCGTGCTGAAGAGCTTTGAGATTCAAGGGTGTTGTAAGCGCCTCAACACTACTGTACAGCAGCGTCTGTCGCCGTAGAGCTAAAAGCCCGATTGGGGTGAAACAACGCCCGCACTACCTATCACTTAGCGTCTGGAAGCGCAGCATATTCGCTATACCCTGAACCTCCTTTTGTGCCTACTTGCGGTCCACGTCGTACTCATACAGAGTGAGCCGCACTGTTAAAAAGATGAGAAGGAGGCTGCCTATCATGTATTTGCAAACCGTCACTGATCTGCGTTTTGTTGTAGTTTAGTGGCTTACGTTATTGAGGGCGATTCCAATGGCAGTAAAAAGGGGCTTGAGAATGTCATCACGGTCACGAAAGCAATAGCGATCGCTTCGCACTAGGTATGCCTTCTGTGCTAAAAGTGACACAAGCTTGGCGCCACAAGCTATGTGAATCCTGTTCGATGGAGCTAGAGTCAAGCGCCAGTCTCAAAAGCCGACACGAGCAATCGTATCGTTCTCGGTGCAGGAGCAGCCGAGACAAGGCAGGAAGGCTGCTGGAACTTCACTTCGCTGGAAGCAAGGCAGATGGCGCTATGACTCACTGACGACCGCAAGCACTTTGCAAAATCTTTCGACTGAGCGCGAGACTGTCTCGACAGGAACCGTGCCGCAGTGGCGCGTTTTGTTTGACAGTGAGCAGCTTACGCTTCTCATGGTGGATCTAACGATAGGGCATCGTGCTCGGTATTGCTACTTGCAGATCATGAGAAGATCGAATAGCATAAACCGTACACCAAATACTCAACTCCTTTCCAATTCATTCCCATCTGTCGTACCTTCACTTCTATAGAGGCAGAGACATCGCTCTCCGCTTTTGTGTCGGCTTACCAGCCATGTCCTTTGTATCGTGCAGGCATTTATGACTACACCACCTCTTATCCATCATACTCAACCTGTCCCAAGCCTTGACTACTACCTCGTCAGCGTGTGCCTTGACATCTACTTCTGCCTCGTCTTTCCCCTCGACTAGACGCTCCTTGAACTCCACCAACTTCTCGTTACAATCTTCATTGAAGGCGGCGATATGATCCTCCTTGAGCATAGCAAAATCAAGCCTCGTGTCATCAAGGTGTTCCTCAAATTCAACGCTAGCTGAGTTATGAAGTTCGGAGACTTGCTCGTAGGCTTCATCGAGGGCATCAGTCAAGAATTTTTGAAGGTGGGTCTTGGTAGCAGTGCTTATAACAGTTCGGATGACTGCCGCCGGCGTGGGTTTCTTGTTTAAAGTTCGACGGTGTTGTGCGAGCGTGTCCGCGCTCTGGCTGGACCGTGGTGTCGGCGATAAAGAAGGCGACGGTGAGGGGTCAGCAAGCATGCCTGGAAGAAAGTCTTGCAGAATGCTGGGAAGTTGTTCGCGCAGCATGTCCGGAAGCACTTTCTGGACAGCGGATGTGACAATGTCTTGGAAAATATCCACTTGCACGGTGGCGGTGGACGAAGGTGTGGACTTTGAGCTAGGTGACGATGGGGAAGAGGCGTGTTCTGTTGGCGACGGCACGCATGTGGGATGTTGGAGGAGGCGCTTCGGTGGAGGAGAGTCGGGTGTCAAGCTAGTGCGAGCTAGACGATGCGCGTCAGCAATATGTTGGTGCTGTATCCGACTAGAAGACTTACTATGTCTTGAGCGCTTGTTTGACACTTGCGCATACGAAGGCGGGGCGTCATATATCGCGTCTTCGAAAGGAGGGGCTCCAGCTACCGCGTCCTCAATTGAAGGTACAGCTTTGGACGTCCAGTCTCCAGTGGGACGATGAGGTCCAGATTTGGCACCCTGAATAGAGCTGAAAATTGACCAGTCTGCCTGCCGATACAAACGGGCGAATTGCGGAATGACCGGAACTCCAGTGAGTTGCCGGGAGGCCTCGACAGCACTTCGAAGCCTGGCGAGGTTTTTCTTCCCAAGCCAATTCGTGTCGAACACAATGCGCACATCTGTCGCCCTGGCCAATGTTGAGAGCTTGTGGAAACTAGTTTCAAGGCTGGACATCCCATTGCCAAAACTGTGAGGGCACCATACAGAACAGGGTGTTTTGAGTGTCAGCGACAGCGTTCGCAGCCGGGGTTGCCCATGCCGTGCGATGTCGTGCAACGACCCATCTGGGAGGGAAATATCAACATCTCCAAGTGAGGTCTTGCCAGGCATCAGATTGTCACCTTCATAGCGAAGGGTAAAGAGTTGCTTGTCGTCAAAGCCATGAATTGAATAAGAATGTTCGAGCGACACCACGAAGTGCGCGTCCGAATGCAGGATCTTTAGAGAGCACGGCCACAGCACAGATACATCATTTGCAGAATATGCCAATGCGGCCACGCCTTCCTTGCGAACGAGACTAAGGACCATTGTTCATTAGTTCCCTCTACAGTAGACGTTTACTTAACACTACATGACCCTTTTGCAACGAAGCAGGCGATATGCAGCGGCAAAAGAAACCCTCCCACCCGGGCTTTCGCGTCGGTCGCAAAGAGCAGCCCTAACTCTGTCGCAGCAACACCCGCCAGATCGTGGACCACTAAGCCCGCCTTTCCCGCACTGCCTGTGCCTTGCTTGAGTATCGCCCCGAAGATACGCGCATCGAAAACGCGTAGATCGCGAATTCGACCCGACGTGTCAGAGGCCTTGCTGTGAGGATGGCGTACTGGAGCTAGGCGCCAGGCAGTAAGAGAAGGGCGGTTCAGCGGCTGACGGCCGGCGGCTGGAGGCGATCGCGTGCGCGTGCGCGTATGCGTACAAGATGGTGGAATTTGTGTGACAGGTAGAGATACGAGCGGAGGTCGAAGTTGTGGAGATGGAGACGGATGGATGGAGATAGAGGTGGAAGGGAGGAGGTTGGTGTTCAGCGCTGGGTGGGCCGGCCTTCTAGCCCCGGTTTACGCGGCCTGGGCGCTTGGCGTTGCGCTATGCCTTGTACATCATGCTTCGCGAAATGGTGCGCATCTCGAACAACACGAGTAAAGCACGATCTAAGATTGCGAGCCGCATTACGATTCGTTCAGAGAGCAAAGAGCTTCTCTTCATATCTGCAACAAGAGAGTATCTCAGATCAGAGGAACTACAAGCTGTGCTAACAAGCCTAACCAGTATGACAAGAACGTTCGGGCGCGAATATCTCCTCAAAGGGTATCGCGTTACTTTATCGCGACTGAATGGAACTCGGCATAGGAGATAAGCGAGCTCGCAGCAGTTATTTAGAACACCAGCGTACTACCACAATCCTAAGCATACGCCTTATGTAGAGAAATGACCTTCAACACCCACACCGAAAACGATCTTCGGATTCCGCCACAAGAACACATCGATATTGATTGAAGTCGCGTTGATTGTTGTTGCGGCAATCGTGAGCGGGAGCGTTGGGCGCAGTATAGCGATTGAAAACTCAGTGTCAAAGAACGAGCAAGCCGCACAGCGATCTGCGCCAGCAACGCCCACGATATCAGCGATGCCTACAAATGCAGTAACACTCACAAACTCTATTCTAGCTAGTAGCTTTATCTTAGTAGTATGCATTCTTTTAACTGCGGCCTCTATTATCTGTATCAGCATAAGCTGTCCACTATCATTAGTTGTATAGGATAGTAAGAGATAACCCTAATCGTTAAAAAAAGGATTATAAGTGTAAATACATAGATAGAAGGTAGCTAAGGCGGGTACAGTACAGCATTACCACATTGTGACTTGTTCACACATCAGGATAGGTATGCCCGCGTTGTTCGGCCATTTGTCCTTATACGTGCGGTGCAACTTTCAAAATCTTGATTCTATGTTCCTCGAGCTGTTGTAACACAGACACACCTTGTGTCCTAAGTTGATGCACAGCTTCGTTTCAAACGCGCTACTGGAGAAACAATGCACAGTACAATCACGACCAAGATGTATGGCAAGACATTTCGGACCGGGACTGTATTTGTTTAAACACGGTGTTGAACTGTGTCATCTACAGAGGTAACAAACACAAGTCCATCGCCTTAACTACCACTTCCATTCATGTCGCCTTTCCAATCTCCGCTGTCAAAGATGTTGGCGCTGTGCCACAAGCGCAGTGCCCGCTTTAGTAGTCGCTACATCAAGGCTTCTGTTAGCTAACGGTTCTTTAGGTGTAAAGGAGTTCCGTTAGGTGCAAACTTACCAGCCAATACCCCTGTTGTTCTGGGGCTTGCATGCGATACCGGCAGGGCAGTACCAGTTGCAAGGTCCTCCGCTGATGTTGACCTGGCACCATCCCCAGCAGAGGTGCTTGTCGGCGCGTTCAGCCAGCTTGGTGGTAAAGGACATCTCAGTGTCAAAGGTTGCGGGATCGTAGGTCACGGAATCGATGGGCTCCGCCTCAACGGGCGCGGCGAGAGTGAAGCTCACAGAGCTAATGAGGAGAAGAAGGGCGGTCTTGGAGTACATCATGATGGATGAGAGAGTGGTGATAGCAAGATGGATAAATTGAAGTTGGAAGTGGTGGAGTAGATGTTGGCAAGTAGATCAAAGACTGTTGCGTTTGTGGATGAGGATGTCTCTGTTTGCGCTGGCATCCACCCATATTTATACACAAAGACCGGTACATTCATCAGATCTCAAGATGACAGAGTATGGCATCTTTCACGTAAGAGGCTTTGGTCATGGCCGGTGATCAAGACGAGTCTCTGTCTGTGATGCTCCTCAAGCTGCATAAGGAGATCCTTTTCGCGAGCGCGAGGCTGCATTCCTTGCTACGTTGCTGCCATCCTCGTATACGGCAATGCATGTGAGTCGACCTGTGATCGCTGTGATACTGCAGACGGGACAGCGAGACAACCTATCGATTGCTCCTGATCCAATTCGGCATCCCCGAGATCGACGATCACGACTAGTATACACAGGTCACAGGTTTGGTCACAGTATAGGCAGCCCATTGGCAGTGTTGGTGGCTTTCTGAATTTCTTGTTATTGGCGACGCGCTGTTTCTTTGGTGTTGAAAAATATATTGAGGCTGTTGGTCGGTTGCCGATTGTGCAGCCTCGCGGACACCGCGGGATGTAGTAGGCGGGCGCAGCCGCTAGCGTACGTCGTGGTCTTTTGGCCGTTGCTTAGTGGGCCAGTCGACTCAGCCGGATCAAGGCACACTACGTTGGTGAAGGAGACCAATCAAAGACAACGGCGTGCTACAATAAATCGGCACTGTAATAATATCGCTCACGCAGCTACAGCGATGATGGTTCAGATCGTCGGAAACAGGAATCCATCGTTGTTCACCTCGTATTTAGCCGAAAAGTTAAGCTAATACTCAACCCGCCTTGGTTCACATGACCTTGAGAGGTTCGAATTCTTTCCATTCACCTAGAGTGATGCCGTCAGCTCTGCTCAGTTCCCTTTAAAATGATGTGTAACGCAATTATGCATTTCAGACCTCTTCAAAATCGTTCGGTAGTTACAGGGATACGACTCTCCTGAAGCTTAGGCAGAGCTTGGCGATCTTTCCATAGCCACGGGACGTGATCCAAGATCCCGTTGCCAGGCTAGTTTGATTAGGGTGCCACTTACGGCAAGATGCATGTTGCTGCTAGATTGTAGGATTATTGTAGGATTCCTACGGAACTTGCCGTATGCTCTCGACTTCCACCGGCAATAACAACAGTGATATCAGCCAATGCAGTGTGTCGGGAGAACACTGAATTAGCGGGGGGGTAAAGAACACCGGCAGTAACATCGAGACGCTGTAGGAGCCATGTCCTGCTTCGTCTCGCCCTCGACTCTCTAGGTGTTTGTTCGGATACTTGCACTGTAGGCAGATTCTCGAAGTTTACAAGCCAGTCCAACATATATGTATTCCTGCACCAAGGATCCTGCACATTCGTGCTGTTGTGTCTTGAGTGACACTACCTTCAGGCAATGGCAACAGTGCCAGCACAGTCACATGCTATGTATCCAGGGCTATGCGGGCACATCGAAGACGATGCTGCTCTGTGGTATCATCAGTAAGCGGCAAAGGCTGATACAAACATAGAACTGCTTATTGTCTGGACATCTACGACTAAGGGTGCTTTCAGAGCGAGCGTTCTTAACCCATCAGCTAAGTCTCAGTAGGGATGGTTGATTTTTCGGTTTCTGCAGCAGTAGCAGTGCTTGATCATAAACCGCTTTTTGTTGGTGTCTATCGAGATAGATAAGCTACACCCTTTTAATCATCTCCATCACCCCGATCACCTCCATACGATCCATATCCATGCCCTACTCCGGTACTATGCCAGTGTGATCACTACAGTTATTGCACCAGAAGCGCTCGGTAGCTCATAGGCAGGACTATTATGTAACACTACAAATTGCAACCACATTTCCTCCCCTTCGAGAATGGCATGTTGCAAAGTCCAGCACACGTGTTAATTCTTTCCCATTTGCCATTGACGCAGTGTAGCTACAGATCAATCAGCCAGGTTATCAATTGCATGACAGGTATAAAGTGGCAGTTGAATTGTTACATGGAGCACAAATCAAAGATATCGGGAAGGGTGACTTACAGTATGCTTCAAATTGTTGCTGCATCCGTACCAGCCTTCGTTCGAGCAGGATTCACCTCGATTGCGGCTGTTGCCGACCTCGCAGGGGTATTTGGCAGCAAAAGCAGTTGGAAGCAGAGCGCCGCCAAGCATCAATGTGGCCATGACTGTCGTGAAGAACTGCATCTTGGGAAAAGGGAGGAAGCTCGACGGCAGTTGGTATTGAGAGGTTTGATGTGAACGAGGATTTGTGTAGGTATCGTATATGTGAGAGAGTATGGGCTGTCGGACGATGAAGAAACCGAGGAGCAGCTCCATGGCTCTTATATAGATCACTTAGATGCTCTGACCACGAACAGCTGAGTTCCGTGTTGGACAGCCTAGAGGCTTGGACCTGCACACAGCCTTCTTGCGCTCCTTCGCGCGACAGGAATGAAGCAGCTAGTCTTGACCGAGCGGCGTATGTTTTGCTGTCCCAAACTACCTCTGGGCCGTTCTGATGCATGCAGTCGCTGGATGCCTTGATTAATCTCGAGAGGGTTCGGATTGTCCCCCAGAGTGGGGCATACGATGGGAATTTGCAGGACGTTCAAGTTCTTTCAGGCTAGGTAGAGGCCGACAGTAAGTCGTTGTAACGATGCGAAAGGCTCGTACAATGACCTCATGTCTTCTGAGCACTCCTGCAGTCTCAATGGTGAGGTATGCGGAAACACTCTGTAGTGTATAGTTTACAGACAAGTGATAGACATGGACCGTTTCTAGAAGTCTGATTGCTAGACCCACTACATAGACTCGTAGCAAAGGATCGTGAAGCTTCCCATAGTACCTTCTGCATTAGCTTGTCAGTTCTGCGATCTGCGGACTGGAACGGCACGAGCGGCAGGTTATGGGCTCGATCGATCCCATCCAATTGAAGACGATTACGTCTAACCGCCTCGATCCTTAGCTACATCCTTCGACGTTATGCGAACTTGTGCCAAGGCGAGGCTACCGAGGCGTCCAAGGCGGGCAGCCCAGACATAGCGGTGAGTTCTTCGCATTCGCTACGAAAAGATTACAATGACAACTTCATACAGGGTACAACTGGCAATGAACCCCCTTCTGGTATGGTATGAGTAGTGTGCGTAGCGCTCAAGCCCCCTGCAGGAGGTGCAGTTGCAGCTCATGTTGGCTGTTGGTACAATTGTTGCCAAGGGGCGGCATTCGCATTCGTATTCTCCTCGTACATTGCTAAGCTTTTGTTCTTTTCACATGATTCTCCGTCAAGCCATCAATATCCGGCCAGACTTACGCGCTATCGTCAAGGAGTACATTCGATGGATGCCGACAAATATCATGGTGGCGCCCGATGCAATCATGCAGGACGACAAGTACATTGGACTCAAGATACCAGCTGAAGCGACTGTGTAATCAGTGTCCGATATGTCTATCCTGTTACCCTACTCTTCCAGATCTGATCGATGTAAAGAGGGACTTCATATGATTCTGCTATAAACCCCAACCCAGGAATAATCGACACATCACTATTTGAACACGAACTCCGCTCGGAGTTCGCATGTGCAACTGCACGCGACCCATCGCAGCGAGGCACTTACATCTTCGGTGCTGGGCGTCGCGTGTGTGAGGGCGTGCACATCGCAGCGCGCTCACTATTCCTCACTCTCACACGTCTGCTGCGGACGTTCGACTTCAAGGTACCTGAATCAAGAAACCTGCCAGATGTGGATGATCTGGTAGGTGACTCGACGGTGCAACCCGCCCTATCTGAAGTCAGAACCGTTAGGAGGGGCAAGGAGAAGAAGAGTCTAGTGCAGGAGACGTAAAAAAATGCAGAGGATATACTAATGGATGAGAAATCACAGTTGAGGGATGTACCCAAGGTCATGGCGCTTAGCACGTGAATGCCTGACGTGGAGGAGAGCAAAGGGTAATGTAGCTTCGTGTGCGTGGGGGTCTCATTCCACTGTTTTCCTCAGATGATACTAAAAAGCCAATCGAGTAAATTTCCTGCGCAACTGTTGTAAATGATCGACTCTGTGCTCATTCCATGATAATCAACTTCTTCATAACGTTTCCGACTGGCCAATCTTTCATTTCGAAGTCAACACGCCCTAGACGCGTAGCGATGTTATCACTACAAGTCATACTTAGAGTAACTACCCCAGTGGAGTGACCTTTACCGATGATAACATATTCGCGTTCCTTTCGGGTTGAGTCGGCCACAGTTGGGGCCCAAAAGATGAGCTGATTTTCGTTCAGCGTGACGTCACTGGGTAAATCATCAATGCGGACCGTCCAGTCCGAATCGTCGCGCCAGATGACATACGCTTGCCTGACATCCGATCTCCATAGCGATGTTGTTCCAGGGGTACAGATCTGTTCTAGTTGACCACTTCGCCATCAATATACTGCTAACAGAGTGTGTCGTATCTCAAAGTAGTCGTCCAGATCGATTACGCCCCGCCAGCTCAGCCATGACCAGCTCGGTATCGACAAGCCACAACCCCTCCTCCGATCTGGAATATTCCTCGACGGTATTCCTTGCATTGCCCATGCCAGGAACTGGCAGAATCTAGAGTATGGAATACCCCGGAAGAATTCGTCGTCAATCGCTGCCATGATACCGGCAAAGGCGTTCACGATGTCGGTCTCGAAAGTCAGGTTACGTCTTGTGTATTCTTGAACGAAATACCCGTAGTTATATATGTCAAGCCTGAGCTGCTGCTGAGGAAGAATGTCACCCCGCTTGCAATTGAGATTCAGATGTTCAAGATCGAGCTGTTCAAACCATTCGGTACACCTGCACAGCCACTCCACATGAGTTTCGAGGAAAATCAGACATCGTGCAGATAAGATCATTTCTTGGTATGTCCATGCTCGAGTTGCCCAAATGGTTCCCTGGGCAGACCGCTGACCATGGAATAGATACGACTCTACTATCTTATAGCATCTCATAGCCTGGTCGAAACGAATCAAGTCCAGGTAGTCCATGGTTGGCATCCTCGCCTGCTGCGGCGATGATTGTAAGCATAGCGTTGCCATATACCGACGTCATTGCAGGTATCTGACTTGCTTTGTCTTCTGGATCATTCGAGACGATGCAGAGGCTGTCGACCCATAGATATCTCTTTCCCATCTTCTTCGTCAACGTGACAGCATCTGATATGGTTTTTGGTAGAGTTGGAATCCCGTGAGGCTGACAGTATCCTTCAATGTTTTCTGTTGTCAAGACGAATCTCTTCGGCCCTCCGCCCCAAACATAGCTTAGATCAAGATACTCTATTTCTGCCCTTTCTCGACCGGTGATACTAACCAAACACATGTTCAGAACATCGATCAGTCGCAAAGGCATTGTGGCATTACCTGGCTTTCGACAGCATTGTAGGTGACTGGTGGTACAAATCTGGAGCCATGAATTGAATAGCGCAATATCGCATCGTGCAGGACGATATCTAGCCAGTAAAGTTGGCTCGCTGAGAGAAATCGAAATTGGCGCAGCTAGGAAAGCCACGCGGTTCTCCATTTTGACTTTGAACGAGCAAAAAAAGTCCATGCGATCTATCTCCCAGCCTTCGCCATCTTCGAATTCGTATGGCAAGTTTTGATCTCTATCCTCTATGGTTCCGAAGGCTGACTGACATAGAAAGACCTCGCAGGGGCCCACGTCACCCAAGACAGCTGGCAGGTTCGAGATTTCTCGTTCGTAAGACTCCTTGAACATTGTGGCGACCAGGTGGCAGAGAGAACACACTTTTTGCCGTATGACTATCGCTTGCAGTGGACCAAGGTCAAGTTCGTGCAGATATCCAAATACACCATCAGGAAAGTCTTCATCGGTCAGCGTTCCATCTGGTTCGCGAAAGCAGAACTTGATAGTCCTGTTCTCTCCACCGTAGCAACCAGAGGCATCAGGAAATTCCAGATAAGCGCGTGGCAGGAACATTGATGGGTAGATTTGTTGGCAGTTGTTGCATAATTTTGGCATTGAGGATATGGTCGATGTCGTTATCTTGATATGCTGTTCTCCAACAGCTTAGTGAGCAAACGATTAGACACTCGGAAAGATACTGATAGATGTAGTAGGTATGTTGAGCGGGGGGCAAAGGTAGGTCGGAGGCCGCATGAAACTCGGGTAAAGCTGCATGATGACTGCGTAGAGGGGGCGGTGCAGCAGCCACCAAAGTCCTCCCAAATGCAGGCGTGCTCACGAGAATACGCAGGGCGGCTCAACATGTGACCTCTGCCTCATGAGTTATCGAGTTGCGCGAAAACTATTACTAGCGCGTTGTACTGGTGTAGAGAATGTTTCAGGCTTTATGCGCCGGTCGAACATGCCACTTGAAGAAGAACATGCGGCTCTACAGCCTCGTTGTCGAAGACGGACCTGCACCTGCGCTTACTCATTATCGTAAGGCCGGACGCAATGATCTACCTTCTCTCGCTTCACCGTAAGCATATGTAAGATGTATGTAGCAAGGGAACGATGTCAAAGTAGACTCAATAGCCATGTGGAAGCTGTGACAGGGTCGACGAAATCGAGATCCTGCTCCATGAACCGTGCAGGCACCACTTCCGAAGCGTTCTATTGGCCAGAGTGGCTGCTGGAACGCAAAGGCAATGGCCAAATGCTGATTTCAATATCGCATCCACGTGAATATGCTGAGAGCTAGTTAAGAGTGACAGGAGATGCGCGTTTGCGATTGCTGCTCATGCGATATGTAAGCCGAGCGGGCGAGGCTTTGTTGAGTGCAAGTGCTGTAGTACGGCGGGGAAGTCGCGGGCGGTTGCGGCCGGTCCGAAGTGGGCTTAGAATCTTGGTGCCGAACGCGTCCACTACCCACCCGTGCACCTTCGCCTCATCCCCACACCTGACTTTCATCATCATAACACCATGTCGTCGTTGGGCAAGGCCTATCATGAATAAATGTTCTAGACCTAGAGACAATGGCTCGATCATGTTTGCCCTGATATCTCCAGGTGGAACGAAGCAGACTACTTCGTCACAGATTTCGCTAGCGATCATCATGTCTCTTTCTTTACTCACATAATAGTATCGGCCAACTAGTTATCTTGATATGATAGACTTACAGACAACAATTTAGGGTTCTCTGACGATTCAATACGGCTCTAACCTACTATGGTATCCTATATCCGATCAAGCTCACAACAGATTAGACTTTGCCCGCTACCACAAAGCCATCGCCGCTGCTGTTCCAACCACATACACATTCGTACCCGTCATCGTGAGCTCGAACCTAAGCCACGTCAACGCGAACAGGGTGTAGCATGCACGGATCGGGCGTTTCGCGGTGATATTCGGCATTATTCGTTCCTACATGTCCGAGATGGACATTCGGAAAAAGACCTAATTGGGACATGTAGAATTGTTGGCTACATCTAAAAGAAACGTCGACCAGCTTCAGCACATGAACATGCTGAACATGGCGACTACAACGATTGCAGAACAACAGCTGGAAACTCCGAGCGATACCTGGACTACCTCTCAGCAATCCATGGGAGGTGTCTTGCCTCGGAATGTCCATACCACTTTTAATTATTACAAAGACCCTGGAGACGGTACCGAACATGCCCCAAGCCTCGCCGGGAAAAGAGCTACATTCAATCAACCTTCCGTCGACCTCGAGCATGTGGTGACAGACATTACAGGCAGTGTGGGTAATTATACCCTAGACAGTCACGGTTTTCAGCTATTTGCACATGCAAGTGAAGAGAGAGATTTCCTTGACGATGAGCGAATCAAAGCAATTTACTACCCTGAAGTCGAGAAATTGGTTCATGCTATGTAAAGTTACCCTCCAGATTGAAGTTTCGAGGCTCACGTCAAGCTGTTAGAACTGGGGCCTCGCGTGTCCACATTTTCGATCACACGATCCGTCGACCAAATCCCAATGCTCTCGATCCAGACGATGAACGTCGACCAGTGAAACGAGCACACATTGATCAGTCCGAGAGCGCTGCATTCAACCACATCAAGCGCCACCTCGGTGAAGATGCTGAACGCCTGTCGCGAAGCCGATTTCAAATTCTGAATATCTGGCGTCCTATCAGGACCATTTACCGGGATCCATTTGCTGTCTGCAGCTCCCACTCAGTTCGAGACGAGGATATCCTACCAGTCAAATTAGTGTATCCTGATTGGGTTGGCGAGCCGTGCACGATCCTACCAAATCGAAATCATGCCTGGTACTACAAGTATGCGCAAACACCAGACGAAGTCATGATATTCAAGTGTTATGAATGGAAAAAAGATGGTAGAGCCAGGAGAGTACCACACAGCGCGTTTGTGGATGAAGAGATGGCTAATATGGAGCCACGCCAGAGCATCGAGGTTAGGGCGCTTGTATTTTACGAAGATGACTCGGAACGGGAATAGTAATTCACTAGACTATTTCACAAATCGCATGATATTCTATCAACTCGTGTTAGCCAGTGATGAGTTGATGGCGTGTTCAGTACACCAGTTTTGAGCTGGCAAGATAACCCTCGTTCTTGGTAGCGTACTTTCGCGCGTGACCATGGTCGTCGCGCAACGCTCACCGGGCTTGATATGAGCCACTCAGAGCTTATTGAAGCGCCATACATGGATTGCATCCCTATTGGCAACGTGAACGGCATGTGACTTCAGCGCTAGTTTCTAGCCCCGCTTTCAAACCGGCGCCCGATTAGGCGGGATTTTAGCGCAAAGATTGTTTACCGCACAGGTCCTAGGTCTAAGGGACATACGATCGGTCGTATTCCTATTTTGTACAACATCCGAAGAAGGGATATGGCCCTCTCAGCCCCGTAATCAATGCTTCTGAGAGACCTTTCTAGGCTGGCCTAGTGATATGTGGTTGTGTATTAAGGCTGGGTAATATAGCAATTCGCCATCGTTATCTAGGACTATCACTACCTTGTTGTGGCAATGGAACAGACTTGTGCAGTATCAAGCGCCATTGTCATCTTGGTACAGCAAATCTCTTCTATTCTTCTAATCCTATGCATGCTAACATGCTCGAAAGTTTATAGGGTATATCGTCTCCCAGCTTGTATACAACATTTTCTTCCATCCACTAGCCACATTTCCTGGCCCATTCCTTGCTCGATCAACACTGGTAAGCGTAGCAGTCAGTCTCAAAGCCCACTTGATTGACCTCACTAGCTATGGCGCATGTACCACTCCATGCGCGGTCACTTCCACCTCGTCGTTCAAAAGCAACATGAGCGATACGGTCAGTCTTTTCAAAAACTGCATCATATTGGCTGGGATTAATCTTCATCAGGTAGCGTATTTCGCGTCTCACCCAACGAACTGTCCTTCTCATCCTTCCGGTCGTGGAAGGACATATACGGCCACGCCACTTCCGGGAAACCAATCTTGATCAAGAGCGAGTTTTATGATATGTACGGTGCCGCGTTTGAATCACTCTGCATCGGTAGCGAACGTGATCCCACAAATCATTCGCGAATGAAAAAGTCTTTGTCCGCAGCGTTCTCGACGAAAGCACTAGCGGAACAAGAAAACATCATACAGCGCTGTGTTGATCAGTTTGTATCGCGGATTGAAACAGATGGAGCAAGTAAACAAGGGATAGATATGACGAAATGGTTTGAGATGATCTCTTTTGACATCTTGGGCGAGATGGCATTTGGGGAGAGTTTTGGGTGTGTCGAGAACGGTATGGAGCTTATCCCCACACTACGTTTGAACGAGTCTAACTCAACCAAGGAAGGAGCAGCGCATGGTCAGATATGATTGTTCAGCATCTTTTCTATATTACAGTCCTAGATAATCTCCGAAGGATACCATTGTGCGCAGCGCTAGGCAAGATATTGTTGCCACGGATGACGGTCGAAGTGCGTGATCGTCATGCAAAATATAGCAGAGAAAAGGTAGCGAGGTGAGTGCTCAGATCTCTGTCGGGACGCGTAATGAGCAAAGTATCTAACGGGATATATAGGAGACTGAATAGTGAAAGTGATCGCCATGACTTTCTGACAAACATTTCGGAAAAAGTCAAGGCTGGCGAATTGTCTCAAGAGGAGATGACGGCACATGCATCTACTTTGATGTAAGTGAAGTCATTGTAAAAGCGTTTTCGAATCACTTCTGAAGCGGGTCTCAGAATTGCAGGAGGTGAGACCATTGCCACCTTCTTCGCAGGAGTAACGTACTTTCTACTCAAGAACCCCGAAGCCTATCAAAAACTTCGAGATGAAATCAGGACGAATTTTACATCTCTCGAGAGCATCACTGCTACATTGGCAATGCAACTTCCTTACCTACAAGCCGTGATCTCAGAAGGACTACGAGTCTATCAACCGGGGTCACAGGGCTTCCCAAGGCTTTCTCCAGGGGCGATAATTGATGGTCATTGGGTTCCGAAAGGGGTGAGTTAACTGTTCTGAGATGCTATACCAGATAGCTAATCAAGGAGTGGTAGACGGAAGTATATACAAGCGCATGGACAGTTCTACACGACGAGAAGAACTTTCACGAACCATACACATTCAAACCCGAAAGATGGCTAGATCCTGGCTGTTCGGATAATTTGAGTGCAAGCCAGCCCTTTTCTCTCGGTCCCAGAGCTTGTCTCGGGAAGAAGTAAGTTTGATAGTACCGAGTTCAAAAACGGTCACGGTGCTGTCAAGCTAACAAGGTTTAGCTTTGCATATTTTGAGATGAGTTTGATCCTAGCGAAGATGCACTTCCAATGCGATTTGGAGCTTGTTGATCCTACATTAGATTGGTTAGAAGACAGCTATTTGCATGTTATGTGGTGGAAGCCAGCACTATACATCAGGTTTAAGACGGCAAAGCTGGAATATAGAGTATAGTTCGTGGCCAACGCACCTAACGGCTTCTTTTACAAAGGTCATCGTAGTTGGATGTACAGTGTCGTGTCTTATTAGCAGTTTCCAGCCCACAGCATCTTCGAGCGCACACGCAAGGACTGTACTTGTACTAGAACGCTCATGAATCAAGTATAGGGGCACATAGTGTAAGCAGTACCTCACTCTGGAAGTGGTGAGCTTTCCGAATATTGATCGTATGTAGAGACTTGTCTCTAGTAGTCTCATTCGATATGCAGAATGCCAACCGTCTCGCTTAAGGCTCTATGTAATTCCTGGACCCTCACAACCACAGGCCTCAATTTGGCTTGGTGCTTGTTCCCCTGCGTTGCTTGCGATTTGTCACTCAGAATCTTCGTCAATGCTGCCAATCGCTTGATCTGCAAGATGATCAAAAAGCCGAAGATATCGCATCTCTCTTGCATGGTATCTATTCGATATCCATCTAACAGAAACACATCTTGGTTGTGAGTTTGAGCTTCGTTTCTTCTCGATGAATCCTTCCAAGTCGAGGACGCAGAAAGCAGAGTATCCTCCCAACTTCTTGAGATGTCTTCTAGTATTCCCATCCATTTCTCAAGAAGCAGAATGGAAAAGGTTGTGGCTCTTGAGTCATACCAGCAATTCCTACACTGGAATTTCGATCCGCATTGCGCACAGGTGTTTTTCACAAAATATAACGATTGCTCTGCAGTACTGAGATCGTGCACCCTGTGCTGATTCTGAGCTTGCTCCAGTGCCCCAAGGATAAGATCTATGCATCTACATGGGGTAGATTCTTGGACGTTCAAATTGGGCTTCGTAGTAGCGCTCTTACGACCTCGGTCGCATGGTTGCATCGCTGGGATTGACCCAGGAGATCTTTCTCTCGATGCAGAGAGGACGTGATCTCTACCCTTGGCAGTTTGCGGCGTAGTTTCCACTGGGAAAAGACATCGAGCGGTGACACTGACTGCCTGCTCGCCGAATGTGACAGAACTGACGTTCCAATCTGTTTCATCTGTCTGCAGTCAGTATCGCCTTGATTACTGCTTAAATGCATGACAGAATGACCTAGTGAATACGAAGTAGGATGAGATGGACCTTACCTGCAAATGTCCCAGTGTTCATGCCATCGTCACACTCGGTAGCTCGAGTTCCGGGAGAGTCACTTGGGGACAAAGTGTCATCAGAGAATGAGTCCGCAGTTACATCCAAAGTATCAAGGTCAAGGATTGGATAACCCGAATCGTAGGTTGATATATCTGATATGATTGAGTCCAGGAAGGTGAGATCGGAAGACGTAGGAGGCGTTATAACGGTTACTGTGTTCGAAGGCACGTGAGATCGTACTCTGTAGCCTTCTTGGCCCACTCGATCACCTTCCTGTATCCCCGTATCGGAATCAGGAGGGGTAATTGCGATAGTGTTGCTAGACTTGTCATGCTCCGACGCTGTCTTTGACGTAAAATCCCTCTGGGAAATGATTTCACCGTGATTTTTAGGTACGCCCTCCTGTCTTTGCGGACTGACTTTATCACTCGTCTTTGCTGCGGCAATTGATCGACATAGGGAAACCCTTCTAGTTTTCTGCCGTTGCGCCTGAGGAGAAGCAGAATATGTGCAAGTGACATTGAGATCTCGGCACCGATCACACCCAAATCTGTGGGCGGAGCATTTTAACTGGACCGCCAAAATCAATTATAAGTCATGTCCCCATCGTATTGCCTGTAATTGACAAATCATAGAATTCTCTGGGTCGGCTTACCTTCTTTGCACGACATCTATCGCAAGCAAAGTGGTGGAGTTGACTACCAGACACGGGTGGTAAGCTCGTGTTCGATATGCAAACGATTCCGCCATCTCGTGCTTCTTTTCGGAAAGTGGCAAACATGACCTAGTGACTACGTAGAAGGAATGGTCAAGGGTTTTTCGGGGTGCCCATTTATTTTATGTCATGCGAGTGAAATCGATATTCCAGCAAGGCCATCTTTACATCGCTCATCTCTTGTAAGATGCACGGAGGTTCTGGAAGTTGATAACACACCGCTTTTGATCAGCGGTGTGTTAGCGCAACGCCATCTTGTAAGATCTAAAAAGAGCATTCAGGCGGCTTTGGTCTTGGTATACAGACTAGGGACCCAGACCCTGCTAACCGGGTAGCTAAGGCCCGTGCGGACGGCGCTCGGCGCTACCTTAATTTCCTCACCGGCTCTGTATTCTGCTTCTGTTTCTCTACGCAACGTCTTGTGACCCATTAAATATCGTAAATAGTTACAATTGTCGCTTCTAGTAAGTACTTAAGACGTGCTCGAAGCATCTAGCGACACATATTGTCAACCTATTGCCAATGGTCACTTATGTGTGTTCAATCCCGGGGCTCATGGTGGAATCGGACCGCTGTCACAAACGGGCCTTCCACTGCGTCAGATTTACCTTTCCTATCTTGTGACTACTTCGAGCAATCCTCCATGCATCATCATCCGGCGAAGGGAGATAGCCGTACGTGCTTATGGATAGTATGGGCTCGCTCAGTGCAGTATGCATGTAGCAACATCCTAAGCGGGTACAAACACAGAAAATCGAAAAAGGAAGTTCAATGCTTTTGTCAAGCACGGGTACAAAACGAGAATGCCAGATTTACCCTGGTAACTATGATCAAGCAAATCGTTGCAATAAGCCTCATTTGTGCTAATATCTTCGAAGTCATCTCGCGATGATATGCTTCCGAATACCTGTTGAACCTACTGTCAGACCCCATATTCAACATACTACGTAAACCAAGCTTAAATGCAACTGTACTGGAGAGATCATAAACGTACACTAGCGTTGAAGCCGACGGTAGTAAACTTAAAATGGAATGAGGCGAAGCGGAGGTCTAGACCTCTTTGTAGATCGATGGAAGTTACCGAAATCATACCGGACGAGTCCAATCTCGTGTCGGCGAAATGCTGATCTAGGTAGACGTTTGTAGCGGTCGAATTGCGGCTATGTCAAAAATGGAATTCTTCCGGCTGATGGAGCTTAACAGTAAAGAAGCTCGTGAGCGCAATCGTGGAGTGATCATATCAACGAAGTCGCGAACAAACGACAGATATGGCCAGCCCCGATGTACTGAGCGACGCCACCAAGAAAGATGTGGCGCTTGATGTCATATCCCTACAGTCATTAATAAACGGAGACTCAAGCACGGAAGCCATGTTGTTGAAAGCATGCACTGATTTAGGATTCTTCTATCTTGATTGCGTGGACGGGTGCTCCGGTGAAATCTTGGAGGATGTTCAGGCAATGTATTCCCTGGCTAAGAATTTCTATGACCTGCCACAAGGGGCGAAGTCTGAGTGGCTGGTGGATAGAGATCATGACGAGCATTTGGTCATGGGGTAAGACTAGAGGACTGCGAAGCCCCTGTACAGATGTTCGAGGAGCTGACGTGATGTTTTTGATCAATTAGGTATAAGCCTGCAGGTCACGGGAATGGCCCTATCGAAGGTGTCAAGGACGGTTTCGAGGGGCTAATGGTAATGCCGCGAGAACTGTTGCAGCTTTACATGCTGACGTGAACATCGTAGCTTTTTGAGCATCCCATCTCCAAGATAGATGATCCTGCATCATTTCCAGGTCCTGAGGTCATTGCTCACCAGCTCAATCCACTCAAAAAGGCGATTGCGACCTTCCGTGGTATCAGCGTCTTACTTTTGGAAAAAATCTCTGCAGCGTTAGACTTGGACCCGTCAAAAGCTTTCCAGGGATATCATCGCGAAGGCGCTGTCTGTCCAACAGCTCTTGGACTGCTGAAGTACACGATTGCTGAGGAAGAGCCCAAGAAGATCGGCCAAATTGCCCACACAGATGCCGGTAGCCTTTCAATTGTGTTCACAGAGGTTGCCGGTCTCCAGGTTCTGAAACCAGAGGAAGATGACTGGTTTTACATTGCTCCAAAGCCTGGACACGCTGTTGTGAATGTTGGCGATGCGCTCCGTTTCATATCGGGTGGAGTTCTGGAGTCCAGTCTCCATCGAATTATTCCCCACAAAGACGAAAGATTTCGGCACAAGTACTCAATCGTGTACTTACTGAGACCGGAGATGGATGCAGAGTTCATTGATGGTGAAGGGCGAATGTGGAAAGGCTTAGAATGGTAAGCTGTGCCACTGTTGTACGGATCCAGATTCTGACACGAGATGTAGGACAAACAAAAAGCATGCTGTGTTTCGTGCTCCAGCAGCAGAACAAGCTCAGGGAACTTATCTTACCGGTAGGGATGGGTATGTTGGATACTGGGATCCGGAGAAGGATCAGGAAGATGTGATATCTTAGAAACCTTTTCTATTGGCGAAATATGATTCTGAGATACACCATACAGTACAAAATCTTCGTGAATCCATCGCTATCTAACTCTTGTCGGCACGGGATCTGATTGCAACCCTCATCTCTGGTTTCTGCCATAGTGTATGCATCTCAGATTGGGCATGCCAGTCTAACTGAGGGTCCAGCAACTTCAAATCATACTTGAAGTATAACTTTGCCAGGATTGTTCTGAGTTCCAGCCAAGCAAGACTAGCAATAAGGTTTTAGTGATCGAAAGCAACATGAAGAGTCAGAAAGCTAGCGACGTACCTTCTTCCCAAGCAACTTCGTGTGCCCAGCGAAAATGGCTGGCTTGCTCCCAGAGTATCCTCTCCATCTTTCGTCAACCATCGTTCTGGGTCAAACTTCCACGGATTGAGAAAGTTCTGGGACGACATCGAAGCCGCGAATGGGTTTGTAGAGACGATGGTCTGCGGCACCTTATAGTTAGCAAGAATGCTTAAGAAAATAGCTGCATCTACTACTTCAAGCTCACTTACACCCTCTGGAATGAAATGTCCGTCAACTACATCACCTCCTTGAGGAACAACTCTTGGGAGAGGAAAAGGCAGTGGCGGATATACTCTCATCCCTTCAAGTATGACTGCATTCAAGTATAGCAGGCTTGTTGTCGATGTTCCATTGATCTCCTGGTAAAAGTTGAAAGCCTCACGGACTTCTGTCTGCAACCTCAATCCTATCTCTGGAAACTTTAATAAATGATAGGTTATACAAGCCAAAGCTGTTGCAGTCGTCTCGCTTCCTGCAATACTATTCCTCGTTAGTCTCAATAGACTAAATGGGGATAAGACTTACACAAAGTCTGAGGCATGTGCTGCTAACTGAACATCTGAAATGCCGTCATTGTCGCGACCTTGCAGCATTTTAGTCAAAAAGTCTTTTCGCGTGCTGCTTTGTTCGATCCTCCTGACATGCATAAGCCATGAGACGTGATCAACTTGACTCTGAAACCCTTACCTTCTAATCAGGTCCATTGCATATTGCTCGTGCTTCCGAGTGTCCTTGATGAGCTGCTTTAGCAGTCCCGAGAAGGCTTTCTGGGCAAAGTATCCAAGCCAAGGAAATCGCTTAAAAGTGTCGGCTAATGCACCCAATCTCAGGCTTTTCACAATGATGGATACCCAGAAATGCTCAGATCCTAGAAGCATTTTGGTCAGACACTGTACGATGTCTCAGGGCATTGAGAGGAGAGCTTACCAGAACTGATACCACCGAAAGACTCACCAAATGCTAAGCTTCCAATGATATCGAAAGTGGCAAGATTGAACCACATGACGATATCTACACCGTCGATCGAGGAGCCTTTCTCCCCAATTCGGGTGATAAAATGGTCGATGTTGTCGCTAATGAGACTCTCTTGCTCCCTCAAATATTGGTCTGAGAAGACGTCACGCAGGTAGCTTCTCATTTTGTCATGCTTATGTGGATCACGCTCGCTGACAATGGAATGAGCTTCTGCGGCAAAATTCCCGCCATCATAGAAGTCGCTCTTGATGAATGGCTTATGGCCAACCCGTTTTGCATAAATGTCTTTCCATGACTTGTACGTATTGAAAGACAGCTCGTTTGGGGCGACTCTCACAACTGGGCCGTGTTTTTGGTGGAGCTTATGAATCTCGTATGGTTGTCGTCCGCCCAGAAACATGCGACAATGTGAGAACTACAACTGGTTACACGTGTACTCTGAACACAGCGTGGTTGAAGTACGTTACTAAATTTGGCCGTCCATGGGCCTGGAAATCGGGACAGTGGATGCCTTCGAATCTGGGAAAGCTTCACAAAGAACGCAAAGATACACGTCTAATCACGCATTAGCAATTCGCCTTGCTAGACGTGCCAGACGAAATCTCACTATGGCGATAAGTGAACTGATCTTCAATACGGAGAGGCAAGCATCATTGCAGACATCGAACGATAGAGAGGGCCACGGATTGGTAGATATTGCCGTTGCGTTCATAGTGGAGCAAGGATTATGAAGCGGTCTGGATAGATTTTCTGTCGGAAATGTTGGTGTTAAGTGCTAGAGGATTCGTGTGCAGTTCCAAAAAAGGTAAGACTCCGAGACCAATCGGCCACCTCGCAGGGCTTATGTCAACAATCGGTGTAACAGCGGCAAGATCTATATACGAAACTATAAAGAATAAACAATCAGTTATGAATAGCTAGATTATCATTATTTGCAATAAGATTGTAACCGGAATAACAGAGTGGAAATCAATGACGTCGCTGAAAATCGAAGAAGGAGACATACCGCAGCTTGAGGGAACAGTCGCTATCATCTCAGGTGGGTAATCCCCAGTGACCTTCATAGATGAGTAATTTCTGAGGCTGTTAGGAAGGCGCTTCGAGTGGAATTGGCCTCGCTACGGCAAAACTGCTGGCAACGAAGGGCGCGACAGTCTACAACCTTGATATCGACAAACCGGAAGAGACAACTCCTAGAGTTACATACATAAGATGTGACATATCTAGTTGGGCAGATCTACTTGCTGCATTCGCGACTACAGGACCACCACACATTGCTGTCGCTAATGCAGGCATCGATGAAGATGGGACATATATGACCGATTCTTATGACGATCATGGCAATTTACTCGAACCGTCGTACAAAGTCATTGACGTCAATCTTCGAGGAACCCTCAACTTCACCAAGATATCTCTCCATTTGATGAAAAAGAATGCAATTGCTGGTAGCATTGTCATCACTTCGAGTGCAACTGCCTATCTACCCGAACAGACGTTGCCAGTATACAGTGGAACAAAAGCAGCTGTAAGTAAAGAGAGCATTTGCAAACCCAAAGAAGACATTGAACGCTGAGACATCGGCCCTGTAGTTAATCAACTACATGCGCGCTATGCGATCGCTCCTTCGCGATTCCAACATCACGATCAATGCTGTTGTTCCGGCAGCGACTATTACAAAATTACTACCAATGGACCTAGCCGGCCCGATACTAGCTGCAGGACTACCCGTTAGCACAGCAGAGTTTGTAGCATTAGCAGTCGCATACTCTGCTGTTGCGCAAGAGCCACGTAAAGTGCAAGGTTATGGGAAGGATGAATGTGAATGGATACAGCGATCTGGAAGGTGGAATGGAAGGACAATTCTCACTTTGGGAAACTCTTTTACTGAGCTTGAAGAGAATTTGAGTGACTGTCGAGGTCTTTGGTTCGGACATGAAAATCTGGAGAAGACAAAGATGCAGCAGGCCGCTACAGATTTTCGCGACGTGCTACGGGGATGATTTTAAGTTGGAATTCTTAGTTCAAGGTAGAGCTTTCTGACACCCAAACAATTAAAGTTACCTGACACCGATCAACACATACTCAATAAAGAAATGTGGCGCGTCGATGTACTTTTCTGGGACTTCTTAACACGGCAACGCGCCTCGCAACACTTCCTATTCAGGCTAGCGCATCCCCAAATGAAGGCCCCGATCTCTTCAATACTTATACACCACTTTCATTGCTGTTCGATGCCTGCCTAATTGTAATAGTACAGCCTTATTCTTTTCTCTTTAGCCGAAGATGACCATACATGGCGCCACGATCCCGTCGTCCACCGCGGACTTTGTCAGAAACGAGGTCCCGCAGACAATCTTCCGAGCCCAAATCCACAGAAACGAGCAAGAAGTGACGGCCGAAGTTAATGACTATTTCCTGAAACACTGGCCGTTTGAGAATGAAAAAGCAAGGATGAAGTTCATTGCTGTGGGATTTTCGCGTGTGACATGCTACTACTTTCCGCTGGCATTGGACGATAGGATAGCTCTTGCCTGTCGCTTGATCACCCTGCTGTTCCTTATCGATGGTATGCAGACCTCTATCTTGCACCACGACGTTGCTCAATCAGGAACACTGATATATAGAGTGAATGCAGACCAGCTCGAGTTCATGTCATTAGAAGAAGGGTCCGCGTACAACGAACGTCTGATCGCCATTTCACAAGGAACAACGCGACCAGACCATAGTGTTCCTGTGGAATGGATTACATATGACTTGTGGAACGACATGCGCGCCTGCGATACTGAGCTAGCGGATGATATGAAAGAGCCGGTCTTCACATTCATGAGAGCGCAGGTTGACACGAAGCGCCTATGTGTAAAAGCCTTGGGAGAATATCTGGAATATAGAGAGAGAGACGTGGGTCAAGGGTAAGTCAGTGTTTGCCAATTCAAGGCCTCATTGTCTCGAGCATTACTAATGTTCGCAGGTTGCTCTCTGGTCTGATTCGATTCACAATGAGATTGAGACTTGACCAACAAGATTTGTATTCCATCAAGGAAATAGAAACAAACTGCTCAAAACACATCTCCGTTGTGAACGATATCTACAGTTGGGACAAGGAGCTGAAAGCATCCAAAGTCGGGCATAAAGAAGGTGCTGTGCTCTGCTCCGCCGTTTCTGTGTTGTCGGCAGAGATGGCGCTGAGCATACCGTCAACGAAGAGAATCCTGTGGGTCATGTGCCGGGAATGGGAATTGCAACACAAGCAACTTGTTGTGAACAGGCTGGCCTCTGGTCAATCTTGTAGCTATGACTTGCAGATGTTTATGAAGGGTCTAGAATTTCAAATGAGTGGGAATGAAGTGTGGAGCTCGACGACTTCGAGGTACCATCCTGTACAGATGTAGTCTTTATTAGATTTTGAGCATTTGATAGTACACAATACCATAGAACAATTGACTACTTATTATGCATGTCTCCTACGGTGCCTAACCAATTTCCTAGTTTAAAGCCAGATAGCCATCTAGTGAGAGGATGCAGTCAAGCGTGAGCCCTGAATCGTTACATCACATTACAACAACGGCGCATGACAACAAGCATAGAACCTTGCAGCTTTATTTCAAAAAGCGTCGAACGAAGTACATAGCAAAAACAAATGAGTCTGGCGTTGTGTGATACACATGCTCTGTTCACTATCAACTCTCAACAGCCTGTTGCCGCCCAGGTGGATGATTCGTCTTCGAAACCAGGACATCCGTATCGTTATAATCAGCCAAATCACCAATCAGGACTTCGTCCTTTGCATGAGTTTCCAATTTCTGGATCAACTTCTCATCAAAGGCATTGAGAAGATCTTCAGGGAGTTTTGCCAAAGCTTGATCGAGATCGTCAATGATGTCTTGGACATCTTCAATGCCGACCGAAAAACGAATGAAAGCCTATCAAGAATGTATGGATCAGTTGGTGTCTTTACTGTAGCATATCAAGGAACAGAAACTTACGGGAGTGATTCCAGCTTCGCGTCTATCTTTCTCTGACATGATCACATGGGTCGAATTCCATGGATGGGTTGCCAGCGTTTTAGCATCGCCGACACTGTGTTGTATCAGCGCAGAACCTGGGATCCGACTATCTAGAACTTACTTGGTTTGATGCGAAACGACCTTGACGTAATTCATGAGCATTTTGCTCGCCACTTCACCACCCTTGGGCCCAAACGCCAGTACGCCACCAAAGCCGTTCTTCAGATATCGCTTTGCGTTCTCATGATAGATGTTTCCTTCCAAGCCTAAATAAGATGTAAGTCGATTGTCGTGCCGCGATTAGTCAAAAGTCGGACAATGGCTTACCAGGATAGTTCACCCAAGCAATTCTAGGATGCGCCTGCAAGAACCTTGCAACCTGCATCGTGTTTCTCGCATGTCTCTCGCACCTTATACTCAACGTTTCCATGCCTATCAACAACTGCTGCGCCGATGCTGGGGCCAGCATGGATCCCACCTCCATCAAAATATCGATTCGCATTGCCATGGCGAAACAAATATTGCCAAAAGATTTCCAGTAGGAGAAACTCATCGGCCCGTCTTTGTTTGAGAGGCGAGGAAAGCGATGAATGGCTTTGCCCCAGTCGAATGTACCGCAATCAATGATCACGCCTCCTAATGTGGTTCCATGACCGCCCATCCACTTGGTTGCGGAATGGACAATGACATTCGCGCCGAAGTCGATTGGTCGACACCAAGTTCCGCATGCGCCAAAGGTGTTATCCACTACAAAGGGAACATTGTTCTCATGCGCAAGATCTCCCAAGTCCTGGAGGTCAGGAATGCTACATCGTGGGTTTCCAATGGTTTCGACGAAGATCATCTTCGTCTTGTCGTCGATGTACTGTTCGAACTCTTCTCTTGTCTCGCGCTTCGCCCATTTGACTGTGATGCCGAGTCGTGGTAGCAACGTCTTGAATAGGCTGTAGGTTCCTCCATACAAGTTGATCGAAGCAATAATATTGTCGCCTGCTCCTGCGAGACAAATGATCGTGTTGAAGATTGCTGCTTGACCTGAGGATGTGGCGATGGCCGCTGTGCCACCTTCGAGAGCGGCTGCGCGCTTTTCGAAGACTGCAACTGTTGGCTGTGTGCTAGATTTAGTGTCTGTTTCTACTCTGAATTCATGTCGGCGCTTACGTTGGAGATTCGACTGTAGAAATATCCACCCTCTTCGGTTGAGCAAATTCTCTTAGCATGATTGCTATCAGTGAAAACGAAGGACTTGCATTCGTGTCAGCCTTTCGTATTTCTCAGGGGACCAGAAACCTAAACGCCATACATACCACGCTATTATAAATGGGTACTGCGCGAGCATGCGTCTCCTTATCGGGCCGATGTCCTCCATGAATCTGAAGGGTATCGTATCTCAGGCCGTCGTCAAACTTATCAATCTTGTACGGCTGCAAAGGGTCATGGTTCTCCGGCAGCTGAGACAAGATCATACCGTTTGGGTCGGGTGTCTTGTGGCTGTTGGTTGTACCATTGGTCGATGAGCTATCTGTACGGCTCGTTCCGTTCGTGGCACCAACATTGTTCTCGTCTTCAACAAATGGTGCCATTTTCCATGTAGAAGCAAATGATAGTGAACAAAAGGTCTTGACGAGATGAAAGGGATGCGACAGGTATCACAATAGATGGTGCTGCTAAAGAGGCCAAGACAAAACTAGACCCGGAGTCCTTCCTTATTTGGTAAAAGGGCTGGCTTTAGTCTACTTATGGTATCACCCCGAGCCAACCACTGAGACTCCACAACAAGTACCTGTCAATCACGACTCGAATCGTGATCATACAACACAAAACTACGCCCTCAGATTGACAGAAAAGTCGGCCAAGAATAATGCATTTCGCAACATACGCTGCAAGCCTTCAAGCCAGCATCAAGCTTCACTTGCTTCAACACCACTTAAGTCATGTATTCGCATACTGTTGTTCTCTCATCATATTTGTCTACATTCTGAGAGAATTCTTCAAAGGACCAAGGCAAAAGTTGATCGCAGGCATTCCTGTCGTAGGAGGCAATGATGTCAAAAGTATCCAACTCAACCGTGAGAGATTTCGAACGGAAGCGAAGGAAATGCTATTAGAAGGCTACAAGGAGGTACAAGTGATTTGATAGTCACCATTATGTCGCACCACATTCTAACATCAGTCTTAGACCGGTGGAGGTTTTTTCTACGTCCCGAGCCCACTTGGTGAACGACTCATGATTCCATCGAAATATCTCGAGGAGCTAAAGTCCGCACCAATTAATCACGTAGATTTCGTCGCTACGTTCATCGAAGTACGAGAATCTTTGCATTATCCCTTGCTATGATGCCTGAGACTAAATCTATCCGATAGATGTTTGAAGGCAGATACACCACCATGGGAAGCCGCTCAACTCTTCACCCACGGGTTGTTAAGGCGCAATTGAACCACCATCTCGCGGACGTCATGCCTGCCGTCCAACAGGAAATCTTTGAGTCAGTGAAGGATAACTTTCCTTTGTGTGACGGTAAGTGTACCCATCCGCTGTTTCAACGAACGCTCAAAAAATGACATATGCACCAGACTGGACGCCAATATCTGTCGTCTTAACTCTAACCCAAATCGTTGCGCGCGTCTCCTCTGCCATGTTCGGCGGGACTACACTTTCGCACAACAAGCCTTGGGTTGCCGCAAGCATCGCCTTCGCCATTGACGGCTTCATCGGGGCGCAGAAACTGAAAAAGTACCCCGTGTTTATGAAACCCCTAGTTGCACCTTTTATCCCAGAGCTTAGAAATATAGCCAAGCATTACAAAGCCGCTGAAGAGGCTGCAATACCTCTGATAGAGAGCAGGAGGAAGAGGCAAGACGAAGCGATGGATTTACTATATTGGATGGATGAACAAGCCAAGGGTGAAGAGAAGGATTTGAAGTTCCTTGCGGGAATACTGTTGAAAGTTTCCTTTGCAGCTATCCACACATCTGCTGCAGCTCCAGCACAACTGCTCTTCGATCTATGCGAAAGACCATACATTATCCACGAACTGCGCAAGGAAATCACCAGTGTAATGGACAAAGATGGAATGATATCAAAGGCAGGGTTCCTGAAAATGGTCAAGATGGATAGTTGGATGAAGGAAGCCCAACGCTTCAATCCGCTTCTGCTCATCACTTTTGAACGCGTAGTTCATAGGCCGTTTACACTGTCCTCGGGTCTCATCATTCCCGCACACACTACAATCGGCATCCCGACACAAGCTATCACCATGGACCCAGCTCTCTATCCTGATCCGGAGACATATGATCCATGGCGCTTCTCCAAGCTACGAGAAGAGAGTGTGGAAAACGAGGGCAAGGCACAATATGTAGCGTCGAATCCTGCGAGTATGAGCTTTGGATATGGAAGGCATGCGTGTCCTGGGAGATTCTTTGCAACGCAGGAGATCAAGGCGATCATGGCGCACATCATCATGAGCTACGATGTTAGATTTTCAGAGGGGCAGAAGAGGCCGGATAGTCTTTGTGTTGAGACGCAGTATTTGCCGAGTCCGGAGGCAACAGTAGAGTTTAGGAAAAGGTGAAAACAGATGATTAGTAGTAAGAAGTTATACAACAGAGTTGGAGTTTAAGATGAAGAAAATAGAATTAATTAGATTCTAATATTCCCTGTAAAAGGGATACTTGGATACCCCCTAGAGGAGATGCCTTGGCCTTTTGTACGTTTTCTGCTGAATTTGAAGATTTCTGGACCCTCGTTGGCTGCCTGCTATTAGGACGTTGAATTACCTTGGCCTATGTTCCTACTCTCTTGTGTATCTGGAAGCTATGTACCTGACCAAGGCGAATGCGCGACACGTTGTTACTAGATCGCTCCTCAAGACCACAATCTTTGCGTGTAGTCTTTGTATAGGCTGCATTCATGATGCTGCATTTTTCGCTATTGGTCCTTCTCATGTCATCCTTGCTGATTTTATCTGCTTTCTTCACGCTCCGTACGGATGACCGTGGTATAGATCAGCGCCATGATCGAAGAGCGACTTGGAGACGTCGACCTACCCGTTTGACGGCCTTGAACCCAAATGTGTTCTGTCACTGGTCAATGCTTGGACAAGAGTCGTTTGAGGTCGGTAGAACGTACTAACGCCATGTCGATCGGTTAAATACCTGAAGTGTAGACTTGCATTAAGCTGCGTAAGGTAGAACAAGACTAGAATGGATTGCTGAACCGCTATTTTTTGATACGAAAGCCAAGTAGGGAAATCCCTATGGCAGCGCAGGGTCACAAAGAATGAGAAAGTAAACGCGAATATAGTACTAGAGATAAGGTGAATGGCAAGAGGTAGAGAGGGCCCGCGCAAGATACAATCATGATGTACCGAGTATAATGAACACTGATTGTCTCAACGTTCGCTACTACGATGATCACACCACATTTCGTTGAAGCTTGATCCGTCAAGCAACAAGTCCGCCACCGATGCTGTGCCTCCTACGCGCCAATCTCATCTCTCCATCTCGCCAGCATTCAGTCGCAGTAGTATCCAAAGCTGTGATACTGCTCGAACCCATTCCCATTCCAAAAGCAGTTCGCGCTATCAGTAGGAATTCGGAGCTTGCTGCCATCATTCGGCGACTGGTTGGCGCCCGTGTAAAGCGTAAGGTGACATCCCGCAGATGTTTGCAGGATCTGAATAGCGCCGCGGGGTCCTTGCAAGTTTGTCAGTAAATGTAGTCACACTTTTGGCGTTACGTCTCACCTGGAAAATTTCCCTTCACTGTTGCGGGGTTGAGGTCGTAGTTCTCCTCGAATCCTTGGCAGTTGACGTGGTCGAATGCGTTGAAGCGAATTCGGCCGTTTGCAGCTACGAGGGGGAGCAGGGGAAGGAGGGCGTAGAAGAGCTGCATTGTGCTTGTTGGTAGTAGCTTGGAGCGCGCGTATCTTGAAGGTGATAGTTGGCAGGAAGTAGAAGTGGATTCGGAAAATTTGATACAACTCGACGCGTGGTTTTTGTGAGGGAGAGAGACAGACTTTTATATCGGTGCTGTGTTTACGTGTACGTACCCCGGTAGCTACACCAGCATTCTACCTACATTTCATAGTATGCATTAGCAATGCGACATCAGTTAACGTTTACCACATCTGGTAAAGCAAGGAGCTGGAAATATTGTACTACTCAAGAACCGATGTTGGGTCTTACTGGAAAGACCACAAGACACCAATTACAAGCGAACCTGATAGATTAAATATCAGCATGAGCATCTATTACTCATACCCCGTGTTGTACAGGGCACACGGGAGGAAGCATGGTATGTCCAGATATAGTCCGCGGGTAAGCAATGCGGGATCAGTAAGCCGGCCCGCCCCACAAGACCTAACGCGATGCGACGAAGGATAAAAAGCAGGATGCAGTAAAAGAATCGCATGTGTTCTCGTATATGCAATGGGGAGGTCAGCCTCTAGCGCGCTTTTTCTGGCGCACGAGTGGAGTTCTAGGACCTTCCTTAGAAGCGACGGCCTACACTCACTCGATCACAAAAGCTTGTGCAACAGGAACCCTCACAGCATCTACTTAGCAACCCGGTCTTCGAGCGGCGATTGCGCTGTGAAGCCCATCTAGTTCTGTCTGGGATTATGTCCTTCGCACGGAACCCCTTCCGCCCGCGAAGATGTAACGTCGTCACCGTATACTTCGCCCGACTGGAGCAGGTACTCGCTTGCTCGGTGGTGCATCCCTTACCTCCACTGGCTGCCTGACTGCAACTTCGCTCATGCCAACCCATCCAGCTTATGTCCTCCATGAGCCGTCGCAAAGGTGAACCAGCTGAGCAGAGACCTGTGGGCGTCGAAGCAATCGAACCAATGGGGGAAGCCGAAGGGGTATTGCTGTAGGTGTCGCGGTGAGCCATGAAGAATGCTAGACTCGTATTGCTACTGAGGTCAAGACTTCTGCCAACGCAAGGGTGGATCATGGCCCATTCGCATTCCATGGGCATCGTCCTGGCGCGAATCCCTATACACTGGGATACACTATCGCATCCGTTCCTCGAATTGTATAACCAGACTGCACCCAGACACAACTTTCATCAGCTTGTCTTGTCTGATCGTTGTTGCTTAGACGCGTTGTAGGGCCGTTGGTATGTCGGTGGGGCGTGGGCGCGGTTCATGCGCGTGTCGAAAGGGGCGGGGTGGAGGACGATAGGATGCATAGCTATTCCAGTCGGATAAATGTCCCTATAGAGGTTGGAGGATCAGTATGAAGCGCGCAGCAGGTGTTGAAGCTTGAGGAATACTCACCTCAACGGGCCGAGAATACGTGCAACATCTCGTGCCTGACCGATCACCACTACTCACTCAACAACTGACTGACATTGCCTTCATATGGAGACTCTGCTATTAGCTCTGTGCATAGCGAAACGGTGAAAAGTGCGACGGTGCGTGGCGCTCGCGTGGCTGTCTCGTGGTTCAACGCGTCGCGGGACGCGTCGCGCAATGATGATGATGACGTCGGAACTGACGCGGGCACCGCACTCGCAGTTCGGTGCTAAGCTCGTGATGCCGAATCGATAGCAATGCCATACATGGCGTCTACGATGGAGTGTGTTAGCTGAGATACAGCAACTAGAACACAGAGTACTTACATAAGCTTCGCCATGCAGCCTTGCTGGATTCTCTGCTTCAATAACATCGTCCGAGTGGCTGCACCAAGGGCTCCGACTAGTTGGTTCGGCCCAGAGGCCTGGACCAATGGCTTTGTGGGCTTGTTCAACTGGTTGAAAAGGTCTTGGCATAGTGGGGCGGTTGGCGGAGTGCATAAGATCTCATGATTTTGTTTGTCGCATACGACACGACGAGGTAGCGGATCTGCTGTTCACAAATGGGGAACGATGAAAAAAGCGGGGCTTCGCTACCCTGCTGTCAGGAATGGCTTGATACCATAGCCGAAGCGAGCCACGAATTGGTTTCAACAACGAATTGCTGGAGGTATCCCCTCCAGCAGCTGTTCACGTCAACTCCAATGGGCGGCACGCGCCCATTGGGGAGATCTCATGATCGACTCGCTTAGCTTGAATCTTGTCTGTAGATCCTAGCAACATATCGTCAATGACAGATGCTTCATTTCAACTCAACTGAACTCGCTCGCAACCAGCTTGTTGGGTGGTTATATTCGTACGTGACACTACGTCATAGCATCGTCGTGCGACTCTAGCCGGTCGCCTTACGGAACATCTGCTCTCATGAAAGCAACCGGTTGTTTCCGGGATGGGATCAGCTGAAGTTGATCCAGTTGGGGGACCCCCGGGTGTTCTTCCGCCAGCACTGCGACCACATGGTCCAGCAGCTCCAACGCCTTCTTCAGCTATCCGTCTGCTTGAACTTCAGCTAACGCATGGCTGCCTCGATGCGGTCTTCCTAATGGACGAGAACTTGTCGTGAGTGAGGCAGTGGCTGCACGTAATTATTTTTCTTTTATTGATATGGGTGGGGTTCAGATCAATTGGTCGGCCTTCTCGGTCGCCGTACTCGGTGAGACCTACCTAGTCGCTGAGTGATATTCAGCTCGGACTGGTGAAGGCGGAAAGGGCGAGATTCGTGATCCTTTCCTATGAGCAAGAAAGCCACGTAAGGTGTCACTTGAGTATATATAGTATATCCTCGTCCATCATCGCCGTCTGTCCGCGTTGAAATTTCAAAGCTCAAGTTTTTTTTTGAAAGAGTTGAGAGACGTAGTTCTCACAACTATGGCTCGAGTAACCTTTGGCGGTAGAGATGCCACGGGCTTTCCACTCTATTTCAACCCTAATATCTTTTTCACATCTGACCCATCTGATCCTACTCCTGCTATTCCAACTCGAGATGTGCCTGTCTACATCTTTGCCTCGGTAACTAACATTGGGAAAGAGGTAAGTGCTTGATGAATGTGTTACACCATGGCCAAATACACTTCTGACGCCAGACAGACCACCAACGGGGCTTCCGTCAAATTCTGGATCTGCAGTCCCTCCACAGTCCCTGTAACTGAAACTCCGGCCCCATTTGCAGTCAGTAACGTCTCCCTTAGCCCTGGAGAAACGAAAGAGGTGCTCTGTGTTCGACCCTGGATTCCTGAATGGACCAACAACGGTCATGTTTGCATCGTTTGCGAGGTTTCGGACCTATATGATCCTGCGCCTGCGCATCCTCCTACGAGATGGGATGTGAATGATCGTCACGTGGCACAGCATAATGTGAACGTACGATTCAACGAAGCTAGGAGGTTCGGTATTCTGAGCTCCATGTCTGCCTTCGCTTTGCCGACGAAGGCGAACATCAAGGTTTCGATTCGTCAAGCCCCGAAGGACACGTTCAAGCCTGCGATGGCGAAGTTTGGACTGAAGGGAAGAAAGAACGTGAGTGATTCGACGCAGGCAGGTCTACTGGACCGTTTCGAGCCTGGAGATACACTGCCCAAGGAAGCCCCCCACGATGTGGAGTGGAAAGACTCCAAACCTGGACTACAAAGACCTTTCCATGCCTTCCTCAAATTGCCAGAAGATCACGGGGAAAATAGTGCAGCAATCTACTTTGTCGAACAGCATGACGACAAAGGAAAGCTCGTCGGAGGTGTAGCGGTCATCCTCCTCGGTGGCAAGCAGCCTGATGTTCCACGAATTCAACCAGCAGTTCCTGCAATCCCCGTTGCTATGCCTTATCGCCCCTACGCCACGGATCCAGGAAGCGGCATCATGTTACCAGATGGGCTATTCGTTTCAATCCTCGGCCAGCAGTATATTAATGTCGAGACTCGAAACAACGGTGGTGCCATACTCGACGGTCTTTCACTCTATATCGAGGGAGTCGCAGATCCGGCTATATCGGCGCCCATTCGAATCACATCTCCTCTTGGAGGTCGTGCTCTTGGCGGAGCATCCTTCAAGTCAATCTTCTCTGCTGATTTCACTAATGCAACGCCAGGAGCAACCAGAGTTTCCTTCATTGTACAGCAGAGATCAGGTACAACTACTACCAGCGTTCGAGTTCTGAAAAAGATCTTCGTCGTCGGTGTTGGGCTTGACAAAGCGACCAAGACGTGGCAGATCAAAGTACCTGAAGGGACGTTGCACTACCATGCGAGAACGGTAATTGCACCCAAGGATTTCGACAAGATGGGCTCCACAAGTCCAGGGTGCAAGTGTCCGGACTCTGGTGAAGACAAGGAAATCACCCCGATTCCAATTTTCCCTCTCTCAGGCACACTGTTTTGGGTCCCTTCCACACCTTATGCTGGCACTCACGGACCCCTTCCTTTCGAAGATCCTGTTAACAAAGTCCTAGCAGGTATCGTTGCTGGCATTATAACCTTGATTACTCTCATTGCGTGGCTCAAGAAATTGTTTGATGACGATGACGACGAAGGTGGTGCTGATGGATCATCGGGTGGCGGTGGAGGGGACAGCACGATCGGTGGAGGAGTCAGCGGCACGTTTGACGAAACCACGGGTGAGATCACTTGCTGCACAGGCGTTCAAGTCATTACTGATAACAAATTCCTGGGAGCTATCACAACGCTTGCGATCGCAGCTTGGGTTTTTACCTTTATGCAGGATGGGAAGGACTTGCATGAGTATGGGAGGGATAACACGACGCCAGCCGTGGGAGAGCTGACGATTGGGGAGTTGGTGGAGTTCGATATCGTTCCCACTGATAAGGCGTCTCCTGGGGTAGCTTGGGGTGGAGATATCAAATGGAAATATGAGAGGGCCTTGAACAGCGGTAGGTTGCCCAGTCCGCGACACGTGGACATATCACAAGCTAACGACCGTTGAAAGGCCGCACTTTAACCTACGGCACGACAACCCACTCCGAAAACACTCATCTCCTCAAATCCTACCGCGTCAGCATTGATGGGAAAATCTCGCCAGACAAGCATTATATACACATGCGCAAGAAACCTCTCGTTATAGGGGCTCAATTCGTCAGGCTCGACGGGAGTCTCTTCAAGGGGTCGGACCTCTACGTATTTGCTTGGTTGTGGTCCAACCGCGGGCAGAAAATCAGCGTTGAGTTGAGAGATGACGGATACGGCCAACTAGCAGGATTTGATGAGGACGGCGCCTCCTTATCTGCTGAAGAAGGAAGAGACATTCTCGAGAGAGTCGCTCCGGGCGGTATGCTGCTTAGAAGCAAGGCAACTAAAACCGTTAGGGATTGGGAGAGGGGAGTCATTCCAGTTGACAAGATCGGAGGACTGCGTGCTATTGCCGATGAAGAGGCAATTCCAAACACAGGATCATACGTCGCCGTCGCCAATTCCGTGGAACAGTACTCGGGCCCGACGACATGGTATGTTTTTGTTCTTGCTCAGGACGTCAATACTGTGGCTGAAGGGATGGAGCCAAGAGAGGCTGCGAAGACTGTTGGGGGATTTCTGTTGACTACTGGATATAAGTTAAAGTGGGATGGGAGTCCATGCGAGATGGACTATGATGCTGTCGTTGAGGTTTTTTGAGGTTCTAGCAGAATTCTTACGCAATCTGTGCGCATGAAGTTTATACCTTCGAGGAACACCATACAAAGGTTGAAGCAAGAACAGTCTGAATGAAGATGTGGTCAATCTCAGAGGCATTACTGTGAGATGGCACTGCAGTTCCTAAAGACGCTCAAGACGCTGCAGTTATCATCGCTAGAGAGGGTCTGTGGAATTCATAACGGTCCAACATTCCAGGAATATCTCGCGTCTCAAGCTACGACCTCTCTTGCACTTACGGGCTTCCAACTAGCTTCACCATGGGATGTACTATCACAATCGTACTAAGATGGCACACAACCATGTCTCGCTCTGAGAACCCATATAGCTTATACACCAACTAGCAGGCATCAAATTATCTTCATTCTGTAAGTCCTGTCCCCGTGTCTCTATTCCTTCAAATCCTGCTCAATGATATGAAGCATGACAGCATCCATCGGCCGATGACTAGCAAAAAAATCATCATACAACAGATCGTATTCACTCAATTCATTCCCTTTCAAGTGCTTGAACCTTCGGAAGATGGACCCCAAGGTCACGTACATTTCACAAAGAGCAAGCCTATAGCAATCAGCATTGTTCTCACAGGATCAGTTGCAGCGAAAACTTACGGCATCCCAACACACATCCTGCTCCCCTTTCCAAACGGAACAAACGCCTTCCACATCTTTTGCTTGTCGCTGGTTAGCGCCCATCGCTCAGGAATAAACTCATGTGCATTGGGAAAGTAGTCTTCGTTCCGATGCAGGACCCAAGAGGACATGGAAACAGTGAAGCCGGCGGGAATCATGTAGCCCTCGAAGTTGGCGCCGCCTTCTGGGACGATGCGCGGGAGGCGGGAGATGACTCCGAAGGAGAGGCGGAGGGATTCGTTCACGACGCCAGACAGATAGGGCAGGCGTTCCAAAACGGCAAGTTCCATCTTGGCGCCTGGATCTGGAAATGCGGTTTCTAGTTCTGCCGTGAGCTTCGCGTAGATCTTGGGATTCTTGATCACTTCGTAGACTCCTGTCGTCAACCCATTGCCCGTTGTATCTGCTGCTGCTGCCAAGATACCGTAGGTTTCGTATTTGATCTGATCTGGAGTTGGTGGAACCCAGCCTTCTTCGGGGTTTGGCGTCAACATTTCGTAGAAAATTGTTTTGCTGGTGTCTTTGCTGACTCGGCCGGAGTCGATATCGGCTTTGGTGACGAGGATTTGTTGTTTGGCTTGCTATAATCCCTGTCAGATGATGGATCTTCAGGAGAGATTCGGGGGGAGTGTGGCTTGAGGAAAAGACATACTTCTTGCAGGTCTAGGATGTGCGCAAGAGGCGGGCTCATTTTTCTCAACATCCATTGGGGAAGGCGGTTCATGATGCTCAGCTCCGGCCATTGCTGGAAAACCCATAGCGCAGGGCCAATGCCTCTGACGAGCTCGAAGAAATGGGTGCCTAGATCCGGGGCGTCGAGAAGAGCATAGGACTTGTTGAACATATACTGAGTGATTACATCAACTGACAAAGCGCGGCATCCATGATGGATATCCAGCATTTCCCCAGCCTTTGAATTCCTCGTGATCAGATCACATAGCTTGTCGGCCTTTTCTTTCACGATGTTCTGCAATTCCAGCACCGCGGCCCGCGAAAAGAATTTGTTCAGCGGTCCGCGACGGAGACGATGCAGCTCGTTAGGGCAGGAGGTGAAGGAAGCATATTCCATGCCGAATGCATCATAGTATCTTGGGTCCTTTGAGTATTTCGACCCTACATAGTATATCGCCTCGTAGTTCTCAGGGTTGCTCAAGGAAACTTCGTTGGGGGTGATGCGCACAATAGGACCGTACTTCTCGTGCAGGAGGCCGACCTGCTTGTAGAAGCGACTACCATCTTTGAAGCTATAGTAAGTCTGGTAGAGGAAGGTGAGAGCTGCGAGCTTGGGGCCTGGGATTTGCGCGAGGGGGTGGAAGAAGAGGCGGTAGACGACGATGTAAGCGACGAAGGAAGTGATGAGCCCTGCGGCGTAGATCCCTGTCTCAGGGCCGAGTCCAAGCTCCAGCCCCACCATGGTGATGGACCTCGGGATACTATATGATTGCTTGGGGAACAAGTGCCCGACGCAGTTCCACGGCGCTGGGTCAGCAAACGCGTTTTGGTTGGTGTGTATATGTACAATGGGGGCACGAACACACCCTTTGTAGCTGCCATGTTGCACAAAGCGGCGGAATGACCGGGCGCGGCTTTCCAATCTCTAGGATGCAGCTAAGTCTTATCGCCATGTTGAACGCGGCTCACTCAACCAATCACCGTCAAGCTCGATCACTACTCCGTGTTGAGGTCACAGCTCAGCCCACCACACGTACCAACGCATACTCCTCAGGTCGCCAGGCCGTTCGCGGCAACGACCTCTTTAACCTCGGTTATCTTGATCATCAGCATTGATTCCAAAGTCCAGAAAACAGGAGTACAATTGCCTTAATCTATTATCATACCCTATATACATTTAGCGCTAGAGCCTCAAATGTTGGAAGTGTCAAAATATGGGGGGCCGCGCCGAGCCGTGCTACCGATTTTTGGACATGCCGAAGCAGGTTTCTCCACCATGGCGGGGTAGGCAAGGATAGATGCGGTAAGCTGGTTCACTAGCTCAGCTGTCATGACATCTTCCGCACTCCCCGTCTTTAGCATTCTGGTGGATGTAACTCCACTGCAGCACGAGTAAATCTTTGGTATACGATCGAAGGACGCTGGAAATCGCGATACTGCGGTCCACCATCTCTGGGAACCTGCCGAGGATTTGTATATCCTTCTGATAAAGATATGAGTCTCAACGCCACAGAAGGGCCGTCTCCGACAGCAGAGAGTCCCCCAACGCCGCCTGCAAATATTACCCCGGTAACTGCCGTGGAAGGGATCCCTGCTGCGGCTGAAGAAACTGCCGAGACGGTCTCGGTGGAAGCGACCATCTCTATCGTGAGTATTCATCTGTCAGAAGTGGTCAAGCTTACCAGTGATCAAGGACCCATTGGAAGAAGATACTGATACAGACTCCGCGTATGGAGACGATAAGTAAGGCTAAACACCTTGCGTAATGGACAAGACGTTGATTATCGTAGTGGGAGCACTACGTCCTCGATCGCAAGTAGTATTCGGAGGTACCGTAATTTGCATGGACGGACGTATCATAACTTCAACACGGAAAGCTCCTCGGAGTACTGGTGAGTCAAGTCTGCAATGGACAATACAAGCGACTGAGTCTTATCAGGGGCCCAAATGATGACAAGATGAATGAGCAGTTGGATATTGGGCATGCGCCTTCCCTTCTCCGGAATAAGAAAATGGCTAACGAGCTCGTAGACATCATATGCTAACGCTCATGCTGGACGGGAAGCTCTTCCTTGCACCAATCGGTCCAACTCCACAGGTTAATCTGCGCCGTCAGACAATAGAGGCACGAAAGCTGATAAGTCATTCAGAAAGTATTGGACGTCGGAACAGGAACTGGAATTTGGGCTATGTATCTAGTGTGCTCTCCGCATCGATCAACAGCTACTGACAGTAATCAGTGACTTCGGAGACCAATTCCCATCAGCAGAGGTGATCGGTGTAGATATCTCACCTACACAGCCGACTTTTACCCCTCCAAATGTCAAGTTTGAGCTCGATGACGTTCAGCTTGAGTGGACCTACCAACCAAACAGTTTCGATTACATCCACGTGCGCTGCATGCTTGGTGCAATTCAAGACTGGGCACATCTCTACCGCGAGATCTACAAGTAGGTTTTGCCCTCAAATGAACCACAAACTACCCCTGTGCTCAAGGAAATTGAATCTAGATGCACCAAGCCCGGGGGATATATCGAACATCTCGAAATCTCAATCATGTTCAAATCTGAAGACGGTACGGTGACAGAAGACCACTTTATGGCGCAATGGTCCAAGATACTCCTTGGTGCTGCCGAGAAGATTGGCAAAACCTTTGCCATCTACGACTTCAACCGGGAGATGATCACGCAGGCAGGCTTCGTCGACGTTGTGGAGAAGAAGTTCAAGGTCCCTGTTGGCACATGGCCGAGAGATCCGAAGATGAAGGAGTTGGGCCAGTGGAATCTGCTCTTTTGTCTTGAGGGGCTGGAGAGCTGGAGTTTGTATCTACTGAGTATGATTTTGAAGGTACGTGATGTCCGGAATCTTGGGAGGAAGATGTTATAATGGGACGGTTGACTAACGAAAAGTAGTGGTCGTACGAGGAGATCCAGGTGCATATTGCGACGATGCGCAACCACCTTTTGAATCGGAGGAATCACGCTTATTATGATATGCACGTTCTGTCCTTGTAGCTCTTCCCCTATGCTGCGGACCCGCTAACGTGGAGCAGTAATGTTGTCTATGGACGCAAACCGGGGGAGCCTTAAGATACAATTGACGATTGAAGGCAGATCGTTTTTCATGAACAGTGGCGAGGTGTCGCGCAAAGTGAGCCAGTTGGTGTTTGGGTGTTTGGCGATTGTTGCGCGACTCCGATTCGTTTCCTAGCTACGTTATCGCTTGTGATCATTCAGCATTTTGTAGGCTAGCAATGACAAAGACAAGTGGGCAACCTCCCTGCCCAAAGTGTGATCGCGTTGGAAATAGAAAATAGTATACGTGCTAGCCGAGTAGCAGTCATATCGGCTCCAGCTTTTGGTACAACACGGCATGAGAGGAATTTGCTATCCAGATAAGTGCGACCTCAAAACTAGCTACATCCCTTGCTGAAGATAACCCATCGACACACATGTCGAATCTTTTCTGTAAGGAGATCCTATAAGTACGATAAAGGTCTAGTTTACTACTATTAATATAATAGAATCGCGACTGTCTGCTTGTTCCTGATCCTAGCGGTTAACGACTGGTTACCCGAACCTTGTGAAAAGGGGCGTAGCCAAACATGCATATTCATCGGCGCTACGCTGTTGAGTTTGAAAAACGAGGTTTCGGAGACCTATAATCAATTTCGGATGGATATGCGAGTGATGTAGTGTTTATTAAGTGTGAGGTGGCGCCACTGTGACATAAAGACATCACTACGTGTCCTTCGTTACGACCTCCCGCACATTCGAAAGAAGATATGGCGGTACTTCCTCCCAGAAAGATTACATGGCAGCGTATCGCAAGCCCAGATGCATTCCAATCGCTTTTGCAACCTTTGATGGGTTGCCAAATGATCCCGCATCCCTTTACCTCTCCAACACTTCTCACGACCTGATCATTTACGTTGCGCCAACGCGCGTCGTCAATTTGATCAACATCTCTTACTTAAGCAACGCGCTCTCAAGAAAAGAGAAGGAGGCATCTGCAATGAAAAGCTTCCTCGAGACCGGTACCGCATCCTTAGTATTCTTCGACGCGCGCAAGACAGCGAAGATTCTGTTCGAGGAATGCGACATCAGGCTATCCAACCCAGTTTGTTCAATCTACCGTGACATCAAGACATATGCTAACATCTCTAGCCCGGTACGGAACGAGCCCGCATTCATGAAGTACAGATGATAGAGCTCGCAGTGCGTGAGGGTGACTATGGTCGGGAATGGCTAGCGAGCCTTGACAAGTGTATCGCCCGGCACTCAGGTCTCGATGTTACTGCGCTTATGCCAGACGATTCGATTGGCGTCAATCAGTTCGACAGCAGAATCTTGCATCTACCAGTGTTGTGGAAGAGATACCATGACCAGTTACGTGCAAGCCGTTACGGATTTGGCGGAGGGGGCTTTTGGGTAGCTAAAATCCGGACGGATACCCGACTGCGACTGGCCGTGTCATGTGGTGAAACCCACTATGGGTATAGCGCCGACGGTGCTAAAAGCGGTTGGTACAGGGAACGTGTAGAAGAGGAGACTGATGCCTGGAACGATGATCTTATGGACGACATACGCCATGGCGGCGAGATACTGGGCGACGATCATTGGGCAAATTTTAATCTGTTGTGAGCTTAGCCGTATACAGGATGATATGGCAGGATAGAGCTGAATTCAGTCGTCAGAGAACCTCAATCTACTGTCTACAAACTTACAGGGCTCTTCGAACATCGACAGAAATCACGCGGAACAACGCCGAGGAGACATTGGAGGTAGCCCAGGGGAAAACCAGTGCGAGAGTCCTGCTCCGTATGTGCAAGCAAGATAACAGTGCTCAAGGATTTATTTGAATGGTTTGAAGCTAAGTCTAGTTGCACTACTATCGCGCTACAGATGACGGAAATGGTGTGCATCCGAAGCAAGTTCGGTGCTCGTGTTGATCCCCCGTGACTTGCGGCCTTATATGCTCACTTCTACAAAACAGCGTTTCCGATCGCCTGAGGATTCCAAAAGACAGCCCCTGGATCGACGTCACCCTTGATCTTGACGAGCTTACCATAGGTCGCAGGGCCATAGTAGAGGTCCGCAGCCTCCGCAGGTGTCAGTGCTGGATCGAGGTAGTTCGGATAGGCTAGGAAGTCGCCGTCGGGTTGCGCGTCAGTGAGTGCTGCGTTGAGGCCGTCAACAAAAGTCGTGATTTCTGGCGAGAACGGCGGTAAGCGATCTGCGCTGGAGCCGATATTCTCGAAACATGTTAGCCTCAGTGTCCATACTGAAAGGCGCGCTGTACTTACCTGGAATACCCACAGAGAGTCTCGATGAGAGTAGGCGGCAGAATCGGCCGCAGGCGTATTGATCTGGCTGTCCTTGCCACCATAGAGCGAGATGAAGGTGTTCCAAGGAAAGGCTGCGGTGAACCCCTTGTCGATTATGTACCGGAAATAGCTCGCCAGAGCCACTTTGCTCAATGGCTTGGCCTCCCTTGTCACGACAGACTTGGTGTAGAAGGTCTGGTGATTGTTGTAGCCGGTCAGTGGCTCGCGGAGCGGCTCGCCCTCAGCTATGTTCTCCAGTGCCGTTAGCCAGCCGTACTCCTGGACAGTAGTGTTATCAGGCGTTGGCATTCCGCTAAGCATTGCTGGAAAGACCGTTTGGGTAAAGTGATCTAGATCCCCAAAGTACCATCCGCGGACACTGAACTCGCCAAAAATGCTTGTATAAACCTCGAGTGTAAGATTGCGATTGACGTATGGCGAGGTGGTGACGAAGGTCTGAAGCTTAAAAACGATATCTGCCGCCGCATCGGCTGTCTTCAGAGCTGTCGAGAAGTTGGACGCGTAGCTCACGACTTGAGCCGGCGCCGGCTGCGTCTGGAGATGGAACGTTGTGATGATACCGATGCTGTCTGCAGCACCTCGCAGGGCGTAGTACAAGTCGGGATAGCTTGCTGGCGTGACATGCACAAGACGACCGTCTGCCAAGACGACATCCATGGCTACGATTGTGTCAAGTGCGAGGCCTGTTCGAGCTATTAGTCAGCGATGATGTTACGAGGTCAAGTGTAGCCGACGTTGATTTGCAGTGTGCGCCCAAAATAACGACCGGCTGGGGAGGAAGGGCCAACAAATGCAACATACGTACCCCAACGACGAGATGAATAGCCAAAACCCCCATGGGTGTAATGTCCGCCGATTCCCACGCCTGGGAAAGTTCCGTGTGGGAGCGCTCTTTGGCCCTGGTTGTATATACCCAAGCCAAGATTGCCAAGACGAGCACCTCCTCCGACGGTCACAATGCCAGTCGCTTGGTGATTGTTAGCAATGCTGTGGCAGTGGACATAAAAGAAATATGAGAACTCACAGTTATCGAGAGAAATGGTGTTGAAGTTCCGCAAGTCTACCACCAGACTGCCATTCTTTCCGCCGAGCGAGAAGCTGCCGTACGAATGACCCCCCGATCTTGCCTGCACTTTCACACCGGCTGCTGCAGCACACACAACAATATCAGAAACCTGCTGAGGAGTGGTCGGTAGAGTGACAGCAGTGGGAATGTATTTGAGACGGAGATTGTACGGATCGATCAGCGAGGCCCAGTCAGAAGAGGAGTTCAAGCTAAGCGGGACGCTCTTGCTTGCGAGACAAGCTTGCAGGCTTTGATTTGAGGCAGATATATAGCCATCATGAGTGCTAGAAATTGCTAGCACGGAGGTGACAAGAGCTGAGAAAGTGGTGATAGACAAGATCATGCTTGACAAAAAGATACGGTCCCGACGGTTGTTAAGATACCTGGAAAGATTCTCGCCCAGAGTGCTTATTCACGCTCTATATATGCTAGCTAAAAAAAACCACCTCGGAGCTTTTCGATGTGCTATAACCCTCAACATGCTGCGCATTACGTGTCGCCAACGGTATACGAACCTGGACGCGAAGCGCAGACTGGTGTTAGTGCTGATTGTCCTCATTGAGCTGTGACATAGCTGCGCCGGGAAGACCGACTCCCCTGGTACGGTAATAATTTCGGATCTCTGCTGTTCAGCTATACTGCAACATGCTGGGAATAGAAGAAGGGGCTAACGGCGCGCTGAGGTTCTCGAAGTCCGAGGGAAGCGAGGGGACAACGCTCTCGATCGATCTGCAGGGTTAGGGTATCCGTCCGCGACATTCACTGCGCTGTTTGTGCTCCCCACTGGCTTGCGCCATGTTGAACGCACGAAAGCAAGAACAGAGGAAATCCTCATACATCCCGAGCAGATCTGTAGATGTTCTCCTGGGCATTCGGGCATGCTCACATTGCGCCGATGAGTTTCGCGCCTGGACCGTGCTGCTCGGAAGTCCAAGCTATCCGAGTGCGACACACTACGGCAACTCTGTCCTGCAGGAAACCAGGTATGCCAGCAACGATCTGGAGACTATCGAGCCAAATCTCTCTCGGATCCACTGTGTATCCGCAGTCATGTTCAACGAACGCGGCAGCATGCGTAGGAGGACTGCATGCAGCTTGACTCGGCGCAACTTGAGCACTAGTTCCGACAGATCTCGGTCTTAGAGAGACACAGCGTCCTTGAGACATGGCTTTTCGTCTCGTCCGAGGACGGAACTTCGCGGTGTGTATAAGGACGTGCAGGTATATATTTAACGACTGTGCAGGAATGCAGCCGGGCAGCTACCCCTATATTGCTGCGTAGTTGGCAGCATCTTCCATCGTCACTCGGGTTTCTCCATCATAGATTCGCAACGCCTCACGTGCTTCTCCAGCCTCATCTAATAGCAGATTCTTGATCGCGTCTGAGCGTGGAATAAAGCGCACTTGGAAAGGCTCCGGTCGCATATTCTCGCTGTTGGTGTAGGCGAATATGTCCAATTTGACTTCGTTGTGCTAGCGCAACGCGTAAGCTGCACAGAAGTCGAAGTTCGGGTGCGTATCTCTGACAATACTTACATGCTCGTCAAGACCTGGCAGGATATTAAAGGCCCACATCATTCGCGCGAGGGAGTAGAGAAGGCCTTGTTCGGCAAGCGGCTGGCCGCTACACTGTCTACGTCCCCAACCGAAAGGATTCATACCATACTTGTTCGGGTACGGTTGTTTCGCACTGCCTTCGCCCTCGAGGAATCTCTCTGGTATGAACCTGTCTGGATCGGGAAAGTCGCGTGGATGTCTGTGGATAGCCCACATGTTACCAGTAAAGTTAGTGCCAGCTGGGAAATGGTAGCCTTGGTAATCAAAGTTGACAGTATTAGCATGAGGAATGCCAGCTAATATAGTGACAGTTCTCCATCGAAGCGCCTCTTTGACCTGTCTAGTGTTAGGCATGGAATCGAAATATGTTTCGCCTGCATCATACCACGGCAGTCATGTATGGAAGCGCGTTCGAGTCGATGTCCTCCCAGCTTGGAGAGCGATCAGTTCCAATAACTGCATCAAACTCAGCGTGAACTTTTTTTTGCACTTCTGGAAAGCGTGCCATTGCCAAGATGCACGACATCATGGTGCTGCTGGTTGTATCTACTCCACCACCAATCAGGTTGCCCATGAGGCTTGCAACCTCCACATCCGTAATATCGCTGCCTTGCTGAGAGGCCATGACGTGCTTGCCAAAGTTGTGTTCTTCTGCCTCGGCGCCTTCTTGTGTGAGTAAGTAAAAGTAGCGTGACAAAACGCTAGCACCCAGTCGCATCTGACTTGGCAACGCGTATAACCAAGCAGGCAAGTGCATCAGGAACGGAACAGCTTCCATGAGATAGATGCCAGGGACGACGAAGTTGACGGCTTCCATGAGTTTGAGAGCTTGTTGAGCGACATAGTCGTTCTTGCGGTCGACACGCCGACCCCAGCCTACAATTGAGGTAACGGATACAGAGTACCGCTCGATGGAGAGCTCGAAATCTTGTGGCTCAAGGAGGAAGTCGCGGACTAGGATAGCAGACTCGTGCGCTTGGAAAGTACGATATTTACGTACGGCTTGAGAGCCAACAGCCATGTGCTATGCTATCAGCTCGCGATACTGCGGATGTAAACAAGCCGAAGTGACATACCATGAGCTTTCGATGTTTCCTCCATCGATCACCATATACTAAAGTAGTTTGATTTGTATTAGTAGCGTTGATCGCATCGCCCATAGCGATCAATCTCGGTCTGCTCGAGAAGATATCTGACCTCTTCTCCAGCAAATCGCTCGCGACCCAGGCATCGCTCAATACAATGCGCGGATGCCGTCCGATCCAGAGTGTGATCATAGGTGAGTTGTAGTACTGAGCCCATTTCTCCCACGAAATCCATGGCTTGTGCGAAGGTGTTTGGAAGTGGTTTCCAAAGATAGGTAATGGAAACGGTCCTGGAGGGAGGTATCGGCGCCGCCATAGCATATAGACATAGTCTATGGTCAAAGCAAAGAACGCGAGAACAGCAATAACCTGAAGCATGGTTCTCAATCAGAAACTAATTGCCTGTTGTGCGCGTATTATGTCAACAAAAGTTTCGAATGAATGTGACTTTCAACTGAGAAAGGCAGACGACGCAGTTGGTCGACCCGGCCATGAGTTGCGCAGGGGAGCTGGACACTATCCCAACGAGACCAACAGCCTTGCAGTATCTATGCATAATCTCCAACGCAGGTTGGGAAATCTTGTCTCCATGTAAGGGTGCGGGGTAGCGAGTTTATGGACGTGCGGGGTTGTGGGTACCTAGGTATGTGGAGTCGGACCGACTGGCTTGGAGATAGGCTGTTGGGATACCCAGTGCTCCCCCAACAATAAACATCATTATGCATTCTTCGCATCACGATCGCTGAAAGTTACTTTGTCTGCCTCCTACAGCTCTTCGAGCAATTTCCTTCATACTAAGGTTAACAGTACTCACAGCGAGGATCCAGGGATACTCAGGTAGGTGCACTCTCAGTCATTCGTTGTCGTGCCTCCACGTCGGTCACATCTCGAGCAAAGGCAATATTGTGACAGTTCAAAACAAGAGAACTTTCTATCAATTACTGCTACGTCTACCAGTTCTAAAAAGACCAGATTCACTGCCCTGACGATACATCGTACATTGTCTTTAGCAAAAACTATCGTGTCGTAGCCGAGAGCAAGCGTTATCTCGGGGCGACTTGTTCTAAAAGGCTTGAGCAAGACATTCTCTTGCAGTAAGCTCTGGCCCAACAGATTCGTGTGCGCATCCGTCATTGGTCATATTTCCACGCCGGTGATGATTTAGGTCAGTATGATGGACAATTGCAAAACTTCTCAGCTCGTCCAAAAGAATAAAAAATACGCCGTTGAAGGCCTGAGTATTGCACTAATCGACTGACCTCATCAAGCGTGCTTATGCCCAGCTTCCAAACACTCCAGAGAGACCAGGATCTTTCAACTCGTACATAAACCAGCCGGCGACAGGTTGCAGTGAGTCCAGCCCAGTATCTTCGCCCACTGTTGGTGCTACATCTACAAACTCTGAACGCCCAAGCATCCCTTTCGTCACCCAGGCCTTGTGGCCTTGGCTGGTGTCCAGCTTTTCTCCGCTGCTAGATGCCGCCATACCGACTAGCCCGGCAACCATTCTGGTCTTGTACTCCCGCGCACCATCATCGACCACAACCGGTACAGACATATGAGCGCTAGGTATGTCTTTTATGTCAACCCGATGATACAACGTACCATCAAGGTCACAAGCATCCCTGGTTGCGCGGTGCAGCATTCTACCCTCGCCGTTCCAGAAGCAAAAGGCTGTGATCCATCCCGAGAGATAGGACGGACCTGAGCTATTGCTCTCTTTGTCTGCAATCTTCGTCCAGAAATCTACAACTCTATGATTATCAGGATCCTCAAATGTAGCAATGAAGTAATCGAGTATGGGAGATAGTAGAGCGGCAAATTGTCTGGGTTCCTGGCCGAATTCAGGTAGCTTGTTGAGGCGTTGGCGTAAGTCAACCCAGTCAGCCTTCTCCCCCAAAAGAGTAACAGAAGGGATGCCACATGTCAAACCCATGCGATAACTGAAGTACTTTTGCATCGCACCCATCATGATGATGGCAGCGGTCTCGGTATCTATTCGAGTGGTAGTGGTAAAGCTTGGCATGATCCAATCACGTAGCCCTGGATCAACAAGGTATTGGTCCATTGCTTTGGTAAGCCATATCGCCAGTTTCCCGGCATCAAAAGTTTCGATACTACCAGAGTCAATCACAACAAGTTCTTCTTTACCTGCATGGCTGACGAAGGACGATCGAAGTTCCTGAGCGTGAGCATTGATGTAGAAGGTTATCTGGGTCAGGATGGTGAACCAAACATCTTCAGGTCGGATCTTGAGGTGATGGTGGTGGCTGTAGGCTTCGTACGCCGCCATGACAAGGCCATTGGATGAAGGGATGATGTTCAGACGATTGAAGTCAGTGGTTGGAGGCCGAATCATTCGCTTGCACCGTGCGGCCTCTTTAGGGCAAGACGCCTTGAACAGTACCTCAGCAGAGTTCACGGCTTTGGGAATCAGCCTTCGTGCCGGGTGGCTAGCAGGGCGCACGGTGACTGGCATTGCAATGGCCTCCAAATCAACAAAAAAAGTGGTCGTAAGGGAAGTGTGGTGGTAGCTCGGTACTCTGAGTTCACTGGAAGAGACAGTAGTGATGAAATCAAGATACAAGAAATATGGTACCATCGTAGTCAATATAAATACCCTAGAAAGGCAGCAGCCTCTTCAAGGCAGCCTGCTGGTCGAGGTGGCTGCCTTGCCTCAGGCTATTATGATCGGTGCGGCACTAACAGCCCCTGGATTCTTCTCAGAATTTTAATTGGCGGAAACGGACCAGCTACAGGGGCCAAAAGAATATAAGGCGTCCCATTAGCTTGGCAAAGCTGACTTTAGCTCTTCCACGTTGACTACCGATACCAGAAACAAATCGTAGATCAGGTTGTGAATAAGGCTGAAGTACATAGCCTTCGTCGCCGTGTGGAAATTCTCAGTATCCGCGTATAACGTCGAGGCAGCGAACTACGGTTCCCATGTTTGAGGCTGCAGGTGTCTATCGGGGACCGCGCGCGCCTCACAGCCGACAGTGCTAAAGCTGTTGCGCCAGATGAACGTACACATACGCACATACTGCGGAGGTTGTGTTCGTCTTCATTTAGGCATATTTGTCTAACGCGATGCGCGACTGAACAGAACAGTGCAACTCAATTGTGAGTGGGTGTATTCGTGTGCGAAAGCGAGGCTGGATGGAATGAGTTCGTGTCGGGGAGGGGCAGAGGCAGCTACATACGGTAGAACGGGTCAGTTGTTGACAGTGACATCGCTGATCAGCGTTTCCATTACGCTTATATACAAGTTTCTACTATACAACAAGCTCTTGCTATACAACGAGTTTCTGCTATACAACGAGCTGCTGCGCAGATTTGACGGTCGCATACACATGGAGAGCGCTGCAGCTGTGATTGGGGATATCCCGGATGGTTCCCAAAGCGAAGGCAGCGGCAGAACAGTTTCTGCAGGTATCATGGCAGCCAACAGTCATGTGGCAGCAGCAGCAGGACTTTGAGAATAGTCCTTCGTCGCATCGTGTGAGGTTAGACAATCTTGACAGTTATGACAAGGGATGCGCTCTTCTTCAGTGTTCGCTTGCAGCATTTCGCGACCCTGATCTCAATCGCTTGGCGGCGTTGTATATCCTTCGCGTAACTGCCCATTCGGGATCAACGTGTTTCACATAGAATACGGTACTCTCGATGTGATCCTGTACGGCATGATAGCTGACATTACACAGCCTGCAAGTTTCCAGCTTCTATAACTCCTTCAATCCATGCCATCTTCTAAACATACGTCGCGCCCCGGTTTGCATTAAATCGTTTTGCGATCTCTCCCTTAGTGTACCAAGTCAAACCCACTGCATCGCTATGTGTAACACTGATCCATAGTCAAAGGTGTGCTAGCACACCCCTCGAAAGCGATGATGATGGACAACCGCAAATCTCGATGAGTCAGGACTTCCTCAAATATTGGAAGCTGCAGTTTGTTGCCTCAATCAAGTCATGGAGATCCCCTGAGGAGTGTCGCAAGACTGCGATGCATCAGAGTCGTTGCTTAGCTACTGGCCATGCTTTACTACATCTAATTCCCCTGAGCAGCGCAGTTGCGGTATTGGTACTCAACTGGAGTGAATATTTTGTCGGGCCCTCCTTCACACTGTCTACTACGCTACAATTTATCGCCAAATTACAAGAACTTCTAATGCAGGCATCACTTGCCGAGATCGCCTTAAGCATCGTTCGTTCACAGATGATGGAAGGATATCTGCCCCTAGGTGCCCTGTCAGCATCCACACAGGCAATGCATCTATCTTACCTCTGGTCAATCGATCTGCTGGCTACAGTAACATATCAGTCCTTCCGCGGGCGGCGTAAAGCGCTGTTCGTTTGTCTGGTTCCTTTATCAGTCCTTTTGACAGCTCTGGTTGGGCCGTCGAGCGCTGTTCTAATGATTCCAAGGGCGGAAGTGTCAAGCAGGCCAATTTTTATACATTGGAAATCCGCGAACGATGAAAAGACTATGTTTCCGTCTCGACTAGAGAAAACGCAGGACCTGACATTGTAAGCGAGACACACCGCGGCGCATTATGACCTTCGTTGACAAGGTATAGCAACTTGGATCGGTTCAACACAACTTACGGCTTTGCGGAAGAGCTTCAGACAGAGTTTACTAACACCCAAGTCTATTACAATAGAAACGAAACGATGGTACAGTTGACTTCACGAGCTTTGCACTATATCACGACCGAGAACGAGATATCAAGCCGCTATGGCGATTTCCTGGTTAGCTCCGCAAGCGCTACGATCCCAACTCAGCTCAGTGCACAGGTCCTGTATCAAATTCCTCTTGACATGAGCGGTGGTGCTTGGGACTATGGACACGATTACACAAGATCTGTCAAGTTACCACGTGTTACAGTCACAGCGCATTGCTTGACTGCAGACAACACACGGCACACGACAGTGGACACGCTAGTTACCTACGCTCTCGACGGCGGTACTTCTATTGGCATAGTTTCTGATCTCAAGGCCCTACTTCAGCACCTCCTCGACCACGGTGGCTCTCAAGATACACCGGTCAACGCCATACCGCCTATCTGGATTGCTTCGCCCGAACCTGGCTCCTCTTCATTTACTGGCAGTTTTTTTCAGAGCAACTGCGAAGGCCTCGAGCAATTCACGATTTCGGATCTACTGCTCAACAAATTCAATGAATCTGTGCTGTTGTCAAGTTCTTGTTTGTCTAGAAAGACCTGTACAGTAGCGGCTTTCTGGGAGCCGTCCCAACACGAGCTTGCTACCGACAGCGGCTCATGGGTGGTTCATACGGGCTCGCTTTCGAGCATGAGCAATGGCTTACCCGAGAATACACGGCCAATTTATGCAGATCCCAACAGCATCACTGGCCTAAGCACCCCTACATTTGGTGCCATGTTATCTAAAACTTTACGAGGTGACAGCACCAGGCTAGCCGCCGCGCTAGCTACCGTCTTCGCCGAGGTCCCTTGGAAAGAGCAAATAAAGAGCGCGTCCCGGGAAAAGCAGTATACGGTGATCAAAATTGCCTTGACGCGTTTTGGCTACGGATACGAGACATCTTCCGTATCTGCACGCTTGTCGCTAACAGTCATCATGGCGTACTGCATATTTGCCGTCGGATACATAACATACATGCTCAGTAGCGGCCACACATCTACAGCATGGAGTTCGGCAACCGAGATTATCGTTCTTGCAATGCAGTCCAAGCGCAGTGAGCATCTGCGCCATGTTTCGGCTGGCGTCAACTGTTTAGCAACATATCAGGAGCCTGTTGGGATACGAGTCAGTGGTCGCGATCATTTAGAGCTAGTGTTCGAGCATGATCAAAGTAATCAGTCGCGAAGTCTAAGAAGGGCTAGGCTGAACAGGGCGTATTAATTCGCAAATGCCCTGAACGATGTAGCCAAGGATATTGAACACAATGTTCAGGCTAAAACAACGATGAGCCAAGAACTACCATCGTACTGTTCTGTGAGTCGATTTGCATTGTAATCCAGCTAGATCGTATCTGTTTATCCCCTAACTAAGATGACTCTGAACGAAATGCATGATAAGCTTTCGAGCCTGCTCTCCTTCCCAGTGCGGAAGCAACGGATAGACATGAATCATGTGAGCTTGCTCGACATAAACAAATCGCTCGAGCTGGACGCTCCCAGAGACACACTGATCGCTGCCATGGCCCTGAAACCGAGCATTCAGTCGTCTCGCGTCGGAGTTCAAAATGTCGTCTGTGCCAGAGAGAAGGAGAAGCGGCGGAAGTCGCGCAATATCGACATGTAGCGGACTGACTAGAGGATCTGAGGTAGTTGTGCCAGCTGACCACAGCGGCGTGATGACTTGCAGGCCACCGATGCCGAGCCACGGATCCACGCTGTCTAGCTTCTGAGCCTCTGGATGGCAGAAAGTCACGTCGAGGACAGGTGAAATCAACACAACAGATTGGACCTTGTTCGCGTAATCTGGCGCAACGTCGGACATGTGGTGCATGGTAGCCAACGCCAACGCCCCTCCCGCTGAATCACCGGTTAAATTGACAATATCTTGCTTGATCTGGCGGCAGATGTTCACCAAACCAGGAACCACCTGTTTTGCTGTAGCGGCCGGTCTTGGTATCAGGGGGTATATGGGTACGAAAACGTCCAGTCCAGTTTCACGTGCGACCTGAAAGACGAACTTCCAGTGATTCGGGTCGATCTCGCGATAGAATGCTCCTCCATGGATGTAAAGCATGGCGCGTCGTGGTTCCGATGGATCGTCCTTCCCTAGGATGCGCCGTAATGATACCCGGTACAGTGGCCAGTCATCGACATCGACCCGATTCACGTCGATATCGTGCCCGTGATCTGCAGGTGGGCAGAAGCTTTGAGGGTTGATATAGACATCGTGTATGTTTTTGCGCATGCTCTGTGCATCTCCAAAGATCTGTTTAGAACGTCGTATGTACTTGATGTAAAGTCGAACTGCTAGGGCAGACCAGGAGGCCATGATGAATATGAAAGAGAAGGAAACGTGACGGTGTCGTGATTCCTAGATGTGTAGTCCCACCTTCCCGAGATAGATATATGTACGATTCTTTCAACGACATTGGAGGAATACCGGGATTCATGCTTAAGTATCCGCGTATGCGTGGTCTAAAGACGGCTAGGAAGACTAGTTTCGTCGATCAACACTCGGTTTCACGTGTCAAAGTGGCATTTCAGCCAATTACGTGATGCCTCGGTTTGGCTCATCGTTGGATTCGGGATACAAGCTAAAGTAAGGCTAAAGTAGCGGACGATCAGACTTATGGGATCGACGCGTAGAATTGGTAGCAGCTCAGCCTACGGTATTAGTCCTGAGCACATGAATGCTTGTTGTGTCGGTTACATTGGGAATTTCGGCTGATATGCGATACAAGGACTGACTTTGCACGCCGTTGTCGTCTCAGGTCACAACGTCATGCGACTATCTGGGAATGGTCATCTACTACAAAGCAGTATGGTGTACTTCGGTCAAGGTCCATAGATACTACATGGTTCTTGCCCATAATGCTCGCGTTGGATTATCGCCATGTGGCGTCTAGTATAGGCAGTGTGTATAGCACGACGTGCACCTCGATTACATACTATAGTGGGCGAACAAGCATCTGGTGCCAAAGCGAAGGATAGTGGTGATGCAGAAAACGATGCTGGAGGTCAGGTTGGTCGCAACATATCTGCCCCGGCTGCACTGACCTTACTGGACCGCGTATTGAGCACGTGATAGCGCGTCATGCTCAGCGCGTCATAGCCCGCATCTCAGACTACTACAAGCAATACTGCGAGAGCCTTGCGTCAACGACACTTGGCGACGAAAAAGAGTGCAAACAGAAATGTTGGCAGAGCGCATGATTGTTAGTGTTGGCTAAGGTCATTGTCCTCGAGAGCGATGTGCGCCTGTGCCACTTGTCAAAATACACGCCAAGCAAAACTCCTCGCGGTTCGTTCACGCGGTGCAGAGCCGCACCATCTGCAATATCACTGCCAATCGCCAATGTGCCGCCCTCTCTCGTCCATCTCGCGAGAAGCTTCTCGACAACTCATTGCGCATCAGCCCTCTGGCGACTCCTCCCGAAGCTCCACCAACGAAGCTCGACCTGATTGCTGAAGCGCAGCCCGTGCAAGTCGAGGCACGACGTTTTGGGGCAAGGTGGTGACGAATGGATGTCAAGGCGCAGGCTAAGGGGGTTGAAACTGGTAGCAGCGAGCTAGAGCATCATCCGAAGCTCTTCATCATCCACCAGGGCGACTGACGCGGTTGTCTGGGCAGAACAGAGATGCGGATGCTCCAGCGAGTGATGCAAGTCCACTAACACTACATCCACATCTCCCGGCCCGACTTCCGAGTAGAGTTCTTGCTGGAAGTAACAAAGCCTGATGCGCTTCAGGAGTCAAGCACGGTATCCGTTGTTGGTCTGCTTCAACCACGCGGGAAGCCATCTTGTGGTTCCCGGTCCGCCTCCAATCCGGCTTCGACGACCGGACCATCCTTCTTCATATACACGTTCACGTCTCCTACCTCCTCGACGAAGACACCACCCATGACAGGAGGAGCGACGGGCCCGGATCATACAAGTAGAGACGGGAAGAAACTCGCCTTGGGTTATCGGGTTAGAGAGCAAGTGGCATGCATACAGACGATCAGATGTATAAGGCGATGGCAACAGTCTCTTTACGCTAGGTAGGTGCGGTAGGAGCTAAAGAGCCAGAGGTTGTCAGTCGCGAACGGAGACACCACGGATGCTCGAGCATGCGGTCGTCATGTCCAGCCAGTACCCCATTGGAGTACCTGGCTTGCTTGGTACCTGAGGAGGGAAGATGGTCTTTGGTTGGACGTCTTCGCTATTCGTTGACCTCATCTTGGACCTCACGTCGATGTGCAGTGCCGTTAATCTCTGCTATAGAACGACAACACGAGCACAACTGTGAAAGTGTGAACGGGATAGCATCCTGCGTCTTTCACTATGTGAGGGGTAAGGGAGCGGTCTGGTGGCACTGAGCCCGAGACACTCAAAATGTCATTCACGTAGTACTGCTGCTGGATGTTCCGGTTCGCGACATTGTGAGGTGAAGGCAAACGCCTCTAGAGCCGACTTCTACGTGGCTGACCATTTTATCTCGAGCGTTCTACTCTCACTCTTTGTACCCTTTGCAACCGCGATACCTCCGTCACGCACGACGGCTAAAACGTTTACCGCATCCATTCAATTGTCACTTGGGCCTCTGTTACCCTTTCACCTCTTCGCCACGTACGTATGTCGCCCAACATCCACCCCACCACCTATTCACCAAAGCAGGTAACTTCATGGATTGAAGACAACACTGTCGCCAACTGTAATCCCGCGTTCACGAAGCCAACTGCGACTACCGACATGAAAGAGTGGACAAGACTTCGCTGGTTCGGCTTCGTCACCAAGCTCATGGTTCTGAAGCAGTCGGTCAAGATATGTTTACAGAAGGTCGGGCGTCCTTTACCGAGAAGCAAATCCTGAGGCCTGCATCGGGGAGGGTAACGAATCATTCAGGGCCGTTGCAGGTACCTGAAATGACATGATTGACGCCAAAAACATGGAGATGAATGTAAGAGCACTGCTAACCTTGATGATTGGGTGACTACTAAGACGTGACAGGGCTGCGACATTGCTACCTAGGCGCGCATTTTTGAGAGTGTGGAATCCAGGCGACTGGTGATCCAGACACAGTTTGAGCGACTACGACCCTTAACCTCAGCCCTGAAGAAGAGTATGATAGCTTACCAGGGTTAGGTGTAACCCTGTGGGCTTGACTTTGATCAGGAAGACGTATGATTAGTATATCGATAGAGTGACCTGTTTGTACCTGGTTCTGACAATCTCATGGCATGCGACGGAAAAATGTGAGGACGAAAGCGAAACTATGTTCCAGTGCGCAGACTGCAGTTGGGAAAGAGCGCATTAAATTGAGAAGTATCGGCGATGTGCCGGGGTGTCAAGAATCGCTGCCCTGCACGTCGTCGACAGGATCTGATGTTGCCCGGATCACACCATCAGTATTGACACCAGATGTTAGTGCCACTAATGAAGGTATACTTTGAGGATGCTTCGCAATGCGCCGCCCACATTGTGTCTCCACTTACATCAACGCAAGGTGCCTGAACACCCATTACCCAGTCGGTACACTAGATAAGAGCAGTCAAGCTCAAGCGGGCGCATACCAGGCAGATTCAAGAAACTATGTGGACGCGTCAGCGATTGCTTATAGACGATGTTTCGTTTCATAAAAGCTGCATGCACCTTATTTTATACACAGATATGCATTGCGCTTAGGGTCCTGCGCAGCTAACCGCTAGTAACGCTGTTGCGAATACAGAGACAGAACTCTGCGAGCTGTTTAATACAATAATAGAACTAAGAGGTAATAGAGTACAATGCGCTAAGATGTAGGTATTTAGAGGTTCGCGTAAGTGACATGCTGCTTGGCGAAGTGTGCATCGATTAGTAGAGAACGTAGTAGCGTAGCGTGGTTCAGTTTTTAGGTTTACCGCGAAGCTCGTGAGAGCCAATGTAGCTGTTCAGGCGGCGCAGTTAGCCCCAGCTTGCCCCCCAAACTCCCGCTGGCTTACCGCAACCTCGTTGCTTTCTTCTTGGCCTCGCTGTCGCACTTTGCTTGTGGTCCTTACCTCCTCGTCTCCGCCCTCAACATCACCTTGCGTACGCGCTCTGTGCTCTACCTATCCCTCCGTGTGTTAGCTTATCCCGCCCTACGCTCGTCTCTAATATCATAGCTCCGTTAGACTCGTTGTCATTTCGTCATCTCGTCACTTGTAACCCGTCAAGCCCCTGTCGCCCCAGTTTTCTTCGTCATGCAATCGTAATCGGGCATATCTAAGCGGTAGATAAAGAGGGACACCTCTGGAGACCACCAGTGGTATACAAAGGAACAATTAATAGAGGTGCACAGGCTGCTTTCGCGTTATCTCTTCTTCTAGGTTCCTGCTAAGCTACACATCTACCTTACAGTGTCGAATTTTGGCCTAAAGCGAGCGCCGTGTTTAGAAGAAAAAGAGCAGCCTAACAAGATGTCAAAGACAGGCCGCAGATCACAACTGCTCACAACAGCACGATCACCCATAGTGGCATGCCGAACCCGAATCATGCGGACAATTCCAATGCAAGAACTGCAGAACAGATGCGTATTGTACTTGTCCATAGTGAAGAATACTGTTAGCAATCCGAGGGTCTGGAATAGCAAGCGTCCCGTTACACCGTGCGTCTCGGTATGTATGGATCGACATTAATGACGGGTCTTTGATCTCCATACCACATCCAGATTACATCACGCTTTCACAACAGGGATAAAAGATAAAAGACGTGCAACACTTAGCAGATATTGCAGAAGACACTTTTGCAGCTTTGAAATCATTGTTCGCCTATCAGACGCAGCACGAGTCTACGTGCTGCCTTTCCTTTATGCTACTACAACATCAATTTCCGGCTGGCAAAGAAAGACTCAAAGAGTACCGTTGCATATGGCTGAGGCGCCTCGCTTAGCTCGTGCTTTTTGACTCTTTGAGAAACGGAGACGCTCGAAGAGCATCGGCTTGGATCTTCCAAAGTGGCGTGGCAAGATCGATAAGCTCTGGTCCGAACTCTGCCAGCATCTCGCGAACTCGATCTTCAGATGCGCGGGGACAAGTCGGGAGCGCTTCACCTGATTGACACATTGCATTCTCCCATTGTTCCTTCCATTTAACAACAGCAGACTGCATTTCTTCACTCCGCGTATCCACCTTCCTCGCCACCATATAGAAGGAAGAAGTGATTGCATGCTTCGTTTTCGACTTGAAAAGGCGCACGCTTGAGCACTTTGTGAACGTGCGGATGATCTCGGCAGTATCGAATGATTCTGGCTTATGCATAACTAAGACCAGTGAACCTTGGTTGCGTAAACGCTGAAGTGCGAAGACCAACTGGCTCGTGGCTAATCGTAGCCTCTTGTGCGGCTCATGATGTTCAGCACCAGCACACGCACGTCGAGTCGTTGCGCCCGTCGCGCCACAGAACACAAGGTCGAACATCTCGTCCCCGAACAGTCTTTTTGAAGAAAACGTTGCGGTGTTCGGGTGTCGAGTCGGTATGAATGTTGCCGGCCGTCCCAGTCCCATCTCGTTTACTAGCATCGTGACATCGGCGAATTCTATACGAATCTTCAGGTTGTTCCTCCATCTTGGAAGCATGATTCGCAGACCTCCCATGTCTGATGGCAACGTGATGCCCCGTATCCTGGCGTCACGATGTTTACGTAGCACAGTCTGAGTGAACCCACCCGGGGCCATACCGATATCCAGGACTCTTGGGGACTGACCTCCATCAGCTGCTGCGAATGTAATGACTGATGTGTTCTCATCCATCTCCTGTCCGATCTCACATGTCATCTTGAAGAAGCCTCGCAGTTGCTTCTGTGTCTTATTGGCGTTGTCAGATTGTGCACGACGAGCCTGGAAAAACTGATCGCCCTCAGAGGTATTCCAGCCCTAACGGGATTTTAGTAAAGGCCTTGATGTATTTTACTCCTAAATACCTTCAATCGGAGATCAGTCAGTTCTTTGAAAATCTGACTGTTTTCTGCTAGATACTGTGCGATGATCGCCGACACCGTGGTCTCCTCAGGGGGCAAAGTGCTGCGCATCATCGTCTCTAGGTCTAGGTTCATAGCTGGAGTGTTGCTGAATCGAAGATTGGAAAGCCAAATGGGAAATGTCTAGCTATCGAGGCAAGAGGATTGTTATCGAAGGACAACAAAGGGATGGAAGCGCCTACTTTTCCAGCAATCACACAGTACGTGCGGTGTTGCGCTTCCAACAGGGTTGCCGTAAGGGCCCCGGCTTCATGTGAGGGGGTTCACGTTCAGCTGCGGGGTATGCAGGAGGCTGTACAACGTCAGGATCTCATCCCAAGAGTCCGTGTACAGCGAATGCATGAAGAACATGTCCCTGACCGTAAATAACCTGAGACTAATCAAATAAGCCTGATGCGACTGAAATCGATGCCAGTGCTCTACAAAGGGGAATTGTTAACGGCGAGGAATCCTCTGTGCATATGACGACGAAAAACAGATGAACCTGCAAGTTTTCGCGATAACAAAGGTTGTTGAGTGCCATACTGTATGATCCCTGCGCAGTGGTATGTTTCTCAGAATCCTAGCGGCTAGCGGTTGGCTATCAGGGTGCTACGAAAGGCAAACCAATAGACCATGCATATCTATCAGCCTGTCAGCATGACGAATATCGAGTATGTTTCGCATTGTGCTGCCCCCGTCATGACTGCGTTTCGAAGTTGTTGCCTTACTACGCAACCCTTCGCGGGAATCGGGTCATGTCGCGAAAGTATCACGCTATCATGCCTGATCGCCCATACATATAGCGCTCTCCTCGTCCGAGTCGCTCGTTTTCACGCTCACTTCACAGCTGATATGTCAGCTGAGTCGATTGACGAATAGTCATGTCATTATGTGAGGAGATTTACCTCAAGATCTTCTCTTATCTAACACAGCACCATCTACGTCCAGTGCTGCAATTTACGCGAGATCAAATGGCAGTGCCCTTTGAAGCAAAAGGCATTCCTTCTGAGCAGACAGTTCGGACACCCTGACGCGGGGATCCTGCTCACCTGAATGGCTTTCTACTACGCTTACACAGATCAGCGACGACGATCTTGGTCTGTGCCAAGAATTCACCGTCTGGCATTGGATGTGCCAAGCCTTACAGCCTCGTCAATGTTGCCCTATCGCCTTCTGGGATTGGACCATGAGTGGTGGGTGTCAGTCACGGCTCACCGGTCGGTCACAGTAAGGGGCCAAGATGAGATGTTGGCCACATATATAGCCTGCCTACCAGTCGCTATGGATGACTCTTCCTGCCTCTTTCGTTTCTCCTACTTGCGTATCTCAACGTCTCACAATGCCCCGCTACGACATGAACAGTGGAAGGGTCGACGCTCGAGATCCTCACTGGCTCGCATATCGTGTGGCAGATGCACTTGCAAGTCACACTACGAACATCATATCGAACTTCGAGCACGATGCCGGCGGCTGGGAGGGTTGGCTCCAAGTCGAACTCATGTCTGCCTTCACGGCACTGTGTGACTCGGCAGCGACATGGGCGCGGCGGTCCTCTCTGTTCGAAAGCGTTGAGACCGAGTTCTTACGCGAGGAAGCATACAAGCCAGCGAGCGACGATGATCGCTTGCCCGAACCTTTCCGCAACTTCGTGCCGGTGGACAACTCTTTCATCACCCTCGACGGATCGACCTATCGACAGTGGAAGAAGGTCTCTGAGCCCAAAGCGAAAGTGCAGCGAGCGGACTTTGTGATCCGAGTGGAGGTCGATGGGGAGCTGTCCGAGTCACACTATGTGGAATTGAAGTGCAGGAGCTCCAAAGAGTCCAGCTCAGAATTTGTGAGCCGAGTCAAGGAAGATATCAAGAAAGTCCGACAAACAGACTGGGCCGCATGGCGCACGACTGAGAGCGCACTTTCTGTATGGATTGTGGCGGTCTCCATAGGCAGCACTGACGAAGTCGATCAACGTATGAACGAGGCCGCAAGGGAGGCAGGCTTTCAATGGAATGTGATTCCGCTCGCGAATTTTGCGGATGGTGCAGGCGAGATGAAGATATGGGCTCATGGAGAGCGATATAGGGGCTTTGATACCGAGTTGTTGTTCGGCTATGCGAGCCAACACTCGCTCCAAAAGTATGCGGAGTTTGGCGAAGTAGAGAGACCGGAGCCGTCTTATGATCCAGAGGAGCATTACATGTAGGAAAGGAAGAGGTTACTAATGCTCTGTTGAGGCTTTCAACAGCGTTCGTCTGCTTCTGCACAACTCGGTATCTATCTCAAAGCATGATCTTCTTGGATATTTTGGTTTGTTTGAGGCATGAAAGAAGGTAGCGGAAGTTCTCGTAATGGCGCGGTGCATGGAAGCTGTTGTCGCGCCATGTAGTAGTATTGGGGATGGAATCGCCTCAGGTCGGCCGTACAGGGAATGCACTCGCACATGATCTTCGACTTGAATTTCCCCACATCATTACCAAAGCTTGTTGCAAATTCTCGTAGATGATGCCCCACCAAACAGGATAGTTCTAAATACAAGTAACAATTTCATGAGACGCCCAAAGCCGCTGTATCTTGCGTTTGTAATTTGTACAAGGTGTGGTGTACATTCTCTTTAACTCGGGCAAATAAGACTGCATGCGATCGTTGCCCATCGAGTAGTATCGATAGGTGTGTATGGTGATCATTCATATTCTTGGTAGTACGTTTGAATCTACTTCGACCAATGCCTAGGATAGATGGCGTCTTAGCTACGTCCGCACCACGATGAGCACGTTCATCAACCCGACCTCCAACCACCATCCACAAACCTCAAAGACACCTCCATGTCCTTCGTTCGACGTTCCATGCCTGTGGAATCATCTTGCTCAACAACTACCTCCGTCGTGCAACAAACTCCACATAGGCAATTGTGGCCACGACAAATTTGATTCGAAAAACACCTTCTGTTGTTGGCCACATCATATCACTCCTTCCCCAAAAAGAAGGTTTCCCGGCCATTTCAGATTGGCAAGTGACTGAGTCGTTCATTAAGCAGAAGATGGAAGACGAAGAGCAAGCACAAAGGGATTTGGTATGGCACATGGCGCCAGGCCCGCGAGGTGGAGCGCCAGGATCGGGCGGGTTGTATAGGACTACGATAAGAAAAGACTCCAGGGCAAATTATGAAACGGGTCATAATTGTGCGGTGTTCCGGAGGTCTTGAGTTAGCCAGGATATAGAAGATGCTAGATAACTAAGGGACGTATCGGGTCGTTGTAGAGCTCATACGCGAAAAACGCCAGCCGCATTCTGTAACCATCGGGCTTTTGCTTAGAATCTTCGGCAATTCCGGGCTGGCTACGTCCCAACCAATACACGCATTTCACAAGCCACGAGATTGTTACCTCGTCTGTCTTGTACATCATCGTCTCAAGCTTCATATCACCTCTTGGCGACTAATTAGTGCTCGTATTGAGGCTGCCCTTGACGTCACACAATGTTAGTGTAGCGGGTTTAAGTATTGGTGCGAACTTTGATCAGGAAGCGCGAGGATAATTCGTCAAGCGAACAGCATAGGTACACGTTTGAGTGTTCCTTCGAGTGACCGCCACAGAGGTGAGCACTCGAAAGACAACCACTATCGTCGAGAAGAAGTGTAACGGGATAACAAAGATCGGATATCTACGAAAGCACGTTATTGCTGACCACAAGCTCGTCGGCAGGAACGATCCAGAGCTGGGTGTGTATTTTGTGGTCGGGAAAATCGGCAGATTGTAATTACAAGAAGGCGCACGTCTCGCTCCATAATCTAGACTTTGTCCTTTCTATCTCCGAGAGCGCGAAACTCAAGCCCAATCAACGAACGACTCGCCACAGTACCCCAGTCGCTTCTCACCAACATGACGGATGAGGAGAGTTTTCGTAGAGACGGTATCTGCTTTCGCTTGACCTTCGAGGGTTTTTCGCAGCATTGTATTTCCTAGTATTCTTGCAGTCTCTAGACCGTTTAGTATTAACTCATGATCTAACTTTCTTGAAGCTGTCATTCTATCTCAAATGTAGAGACTCGTTGGTCTCCATGGCTTCGAAAGTTGGTCATGTCTGCGTCGACTACAAACATTCCAGCTCGTCGCCAGGTTCGACCATTCTCACATGACTCCAATACCATCAAGAAAGAGGTGAGGAGCAGGCGACCGACAAATACGAACTGCCATCTTGAGGTCTCTTCGAAGACCTCTGCTAATTCTGCATCGGTTTGGTCGCTACTAGACCACCACAGTCTTGCACCACGCCCAGCTATGCTCCATGGGCGTGACTTTCTTGCAGCCCTACGAGAATGGGGTGATGAACCATGATAGGCATCGGGCGCTAGTGAGACTACTTTCGCCGTGATTACCAATATAGCGTGATTCCTATCTTCGTCCATTTCCTCCAAAGCCAACAACTTATTAGTTGTCGTTCGGAAACGCAAGTCATGCAGTCCACCGACAAATCTAGTTTTGGTTCCACTGCAAGATTCATAAATGATCTTTCCCTCCCAGCCTGCCCAAGTCCATGAGGGGAACAGGTTCCGACGGCGAGCCTTAGTCCGATGCATCCACGTTAGCGAATGGACGAAAAGATCCAAGCTTTCCTTGCAGTCTGAAGGATATGCCAAACCCCAGACGTGATTGATAGCATATTTCTCCTGCGAGAACTGTCTAATGACGCCCTGGAAAGCATTGAGTGAATCTTCGTCGAAGCTAAGCTTTCTGCTGGTATAGTCTTCCACATTGGATAAGTATCGACCAAAGCTTTCGTTCAAGCTCTCCTCATCGCGGACAAGCTTCCCGGGGTTTTGATGCTTGCTATTCCCGAATATCCCAGCGCGGACGGATTCAATAGTCTTGGATCTGTTCTTGGCATGTAGCTTGTCCAGCGCACAGTGATTGCTCTCGAAGCAGTTCATGGTGTTACATTGAAAGTACACTTGATCTTCAGTAAAGACAAGTCTGCGGCGGCTCAGCAGAGCTTCTTGAAACGTCCAGCCACGGGTAGACCAATGAGATAGTGAAATTACTTCATGGGGGTCGATTGGGTTCCAGAATAGTGTCGCGCCGTCAAGCTTAGCGACAAATTGGTGTCGGCGGCCTCTAGCACCGACGCCTGGAAGACCATACGATTCATCTTGGCCAGCAGCGCCAATTATGGTGAGTTCTGAATTCTTGTAAATCGCATCCATCTGTTGTATCTGATCGTGTTTGAGCTTAGCGGCATCTTGGTCTATACAGAATTTGTCGATCCAGAGATATCGATATCCCAGAGTCTTGGTAACCTGAATTGAGTCTCTTATCACTGGTGATAATCGCTGCGGCAGACTCTTTCTTCCTCTAATAGTCTCGACAGGCCCACATGCATCCTTTGACTTGCCCCAAACGTAGCTCAAGCTGACATAAGGTGTGTTCACGTTGTGATCCTCGATCTGTAATGTAGTGCAATCGATGACTTTGACGCCATGTACGGGCAACGGTTCGAAACGGCAGAGTAGTCGATGGTTTTGTGTGCAGTAATTGAGCCATGACATTACGAGGTTGGAATCGAACGAGGGTGAAAAAAGTTGCGGATCGAATAAGTCAGGAACATCGAAGCTACCAAGCATGACCAAAGCACGTTGGAAATTGTGCTGATCCGGGTAGGCTCTAACACCCAGATCTCTCCCCAATGGTACTAAGCAGAGGCACACAGCAACCTTGTTTGACTCGCGGAATACCCTCAAGAGGTGAGACGGGTAGTACCGCGTGACTAAAATCGCATCACCGATATCCTTTACTTCAGTTTCTCCCGTGCTGGAACTTGTCTCAGGAGTTATGCGAGACGCAGCAAGTGCCCGACATAGCGAGCAGGCATTTTGTTGTCGTCGGTATCGAAAGCCGACACTCGCCCGTAGCCGCGAAGTCGCCCGTAGTTCCGAGGCTTCCTCCCATACCCAAGGAGCAGTGTATTGCGCCGAGACAAAGTAAGAATTTGAACCTTGAATTTCTCTGATCAGAGTATCTAGATTAAGGCTGCGGCATTCGTCGCAAATATCGTTGCTTTGTAACGATAAGCTACGCTCTTGTACTAGATTTGACGTACCGCTCGGATGAAAATTTCTTTCAGGACTTCTCTCATCATCGTATTGCTCGTCTGTGCTGTTGTACTTCTGTGCTAGGTTGTGGAACCAGCGCTTGATCCTGGGTTCCTTCCTGCTGGCCTTCATGTGCCGCACATCTGAAAAAATATGATGGTTGTCGTTCCAATCCTGGTTCTCTTCGCGTGCGTGGTTCGTGGAGTTCTGGTCGGGAAAAGGGACAATGTTGATATTGGACATTGCAGATGTAGGCAGGGGTGAAGAGAATGCAAGGCGTCATGGGCAGGATCGTAATTCGTGTGCGAAGTACAGACAGTGGTGAGTTCATGTAGTGGAGGCTCGAGAGGAAAAAGGCTGGACTGTTCTTTCGGTTCGTGGTTAAACCAAACTGCATGCCAGGCTGATCAAGTTCTGTGGAAAGCGGGGAGCGGAGGTCGGATCGCATCGACTGTCTCATCCGCGCGTGCTCATTGGTCAGCCGGAAGCAATTGCTTCCGAGAGGCACAGTGACGACGCAACCCTCCTAGCGATGATCCCACCTCCTACGGACGTGGATAATGAGCGCTTGACTCTGCTGGATGCCTCGTTCATAGGTACGGTACCGATTATTGGTCTATTCTCGTCTTGTAACACTGGCAAAGAGATGCAATGGTAATCACCTACTTACTCAGCTGATGCCTTTGTGCTTCGCGCGAACAGAAGCAGAGTCGGTTGCTTACGCATAAAACCACGGAATATACACCGCGACCGTATATGTCACCTGACTAGCTTTAGTAGGGTTCCCTTCTATATAAGAGTCCTGACCTCCACGTCAAATATCTCAATCAAACACAGCTTATACACGATTCACATCACGATATCCCATCACAGTCTGCCTCTACCTCGCATCCTTTGATTCAATTTCATCATCATGGCCATCAACTTTGACGAGTCCGTTTCTGTTGTCAAATCACCCAGCAAGCTCGCACATGTCGTCCTCCGCACCAATAACTTCCAAAACATGGTGCGTTATTACACCGACTTTCTAGGCGCACGCGTACAGTACGAGAACGAGTTTCTGGCGTTCCTCACCTATGACGACGAGCATCATCGCATCGCCCTTGTTCAGGCTCCCGGCACACAGAACCGAGTCAAGGGTACTTGCGGCCTCGAGCACATTGCCTTTACCTTTGGCTCATTATCTGACCTTCTACTGTCTTATCGGCAACGCAAATCGAAGGGCATCATGCCGCTGTGGCCTGTTAACCACGGACCCACTACGTCGATTTACTACCGCGACCCTGACGGCAACGAGCTTGAGACGCAGGTCGACAACTTCAAAGATGCAGACGAGGCTACTGAATTTATGAAATCCAAAGCTTTCGCCGATAACCCTATAGGTGTGGACTTTGATCCAGAGGAGTTTATCACGCGCTTGCAAAATGGAGAGAAAGAAGAGGTCTTGATGAAGCGTCCGGAAAGCGGGCCGCGTGGTTTGCCAGATCACATGCTATAGATCAACTACGACCATCCCTTTGTACCTTTCTTGTCATGCCTTTCACTCATTACGCGACTATCCGAGATTGGGCCATAAGCTAGAACCGATATTTCGTTTGATGATAATTATCCTACTTCCCTATGACCATCGTGTTTCTCCGCCTCCCAATTTTTCCAATCTCCAACTCTACTCCATTGCCATCCTTCAGCCAAGCATGAATTTTCCTCAAAGCAGCAATGCCGCTCGGTGTACCAGTTATCATACGATAGCTTTACGCCGCTCATCCCACCCTTATCCGCACCTCACATCTACCCACACATCGTTGAACGTGGTGACGACCGGTCCGCTCCATGCGACTACCCCGCGCAATTCACTACACTTCGGGCGGTGCACCAAACGAACCCTTGTTCGAAGGCTCGACTTATTTGGCGATGGGCTGCCACCAATATCAGTCCCCACTACACCGCCGCTGATATCCGAGCAGAACACTATGGATAAGCACAAATATGACGGTGAAGAGTGCTTTGTGCCGCTCACGAGTGCGATGGGGATATATCTGGACGCCAGCAGGTTAGCAGAGTCGTGTCGCAATGAGATATCGCAAGACATACATTCCGGTTCTTGGAATGGCTAAGATGCTATTCGAGGTACTCTGGAGATATTGTGAAAATCCATACCCTCTTGACGTTTGCCATACCGACTGAGTTTTCGGAAAAAACCGAGAATCCCGTCCGGTACTCTGGTGGTAACCACAGAACGTCAATCGAGTTGTAAGTAATCCATTCCCTATCTAGGTTCAGCCCTACACCATTGAATGCTGGGGAATGAGTAATTGAGCCAGCCGAATTTCCTTCCAAGTCCGAAGATTCAGGTATCGCGATACGGCCATAGTCAGTCAGAAGGAACCGCCCACTCTGATCGAATGACACATCTCTGGATAGTACGGCAGTTTTGATAGTATGTAGACACCTGCCGCTACTTATGTCCCAGACTCGGATAGTGCCATTACCCCACGCAGACACTAGCCGTATCGCATCCTTAGAGAAGGTGACAGAGTAATGACCAAAAGGCAGTGAGTACCGTAGCTCCTCATCTGTCTCATCTGTCTCAACCAATGTTTGGACACAGTCACCGCTTCTCGTGTCGAGAATCCTGACGATCTTGTCATCCACGAGCACGGCTAGTTGTGTTGAGTCGCTGGAGAACGCGAGTGAACGGATATGTGCAGCACTGTCATCGCACAAAGCTGGAAGGCTAATGTCATGAATAACGTCCCAAAGCTGGATTGGCCATTTGCCTGTTGTCCTGGTGCCTTTTGTGCGGGCCAGTATCCTTAGATCAGGTGACAGAGCGATTACCGTACCAGACCCTCCCCACTCATATACATGGAGACACTGGCCACTAACCACGTCCCATATTCTGTAGGTATTGTCCCGCGATAATGATCCAACGCGTGCTGGGTGATGGAAGCAGTCCACCCTAATGACACTCTCGCTGTGTCCATGAAGTGTTTGCAAACATCTGCCGTGAAGGTCCCAAATCTTGACAGTCGAGTCGAACGCTCCGGACGCCAAATAATTTGAGTCATTGGACCAAGTCAATGAGTTAATCCAGTCTTGATGGTCATCAAGCCTCTGAGAGACATCTTCGCCAAAGATGTCCCAAATCTTTGTTGTACCTCCGAAAGACATGGAAACGATTCTTCGGGAATCGGATAAGAAGGCTACGAAAATGATTTCATCGTCACTGTTGTCGACTAATGTATGCGGGTTTGAGGTGTCGCTGAGATCCCAGATTCTGATATTTGATAGGCCTGATGGTGTTGCTACTCTCTTCGAATCGTAGGATATGGCCACCGTCTTTTCCCGATCCCAGCCGGGTGGATCTCCAGATTGAAGTATATGTAGTACGTCGCCACTGTCGATGCTGAAAACGATTACCGTGCCATCAGACAATCCCACTGCCAGTAAGGCCGAATCGGAAACCCAAGCGGATGCCACAAAAGTCGAATCGGAGTCTTCGTTACGCGGTGGTAACTCAAATGACTGAATGTGTCTTTTGCTGGTTGCATCCCATATCTTAAGATTTGTCTCGAAGTTGACAAATAAGAATCTTCCCGAAGGAGAGAATGTAGAATTCAACTTGGATCTGCCGTCGCGATGAGGGCTCATGAGAATTGATAACTCTCTGGCCTCAGCCGTATCGAAGATCCTGGCCGAGTCTCCCACGGTAGCTTTTGCAAATACGCGAAGCTCCGTATCGTTGCAAAATGGAACTATTCGGTGCAACGGTCCCTGGTCATACTCCTGGGTGGATAAGCAAGTGCCGGTAGCGACTTCCCAAACCTCAATCATCTCGTGAACGCCCAGAACGGCAACCAACTTTGATGATTCATCGAAGTATCTTACCCGCTCTATATGGGAGTCCGTCTCGTAACTCTTCAGTTCCAGGAGATAGGTGTTGCTGTCTGCGTCCCATGTCTTGATCATACCGTCTTCTAGCCCTAATACCAGCTGATTAAGATCTTGTGAGTATGCCACCACGCTACAGCTGTCCTCGAACGTGTGCAGACAAGAGCCCCATGTTTCACTTATGTCTGGCTCGATCGTGACCCAATTTGATTCTTCGTGTTGGAACGCTGTTCTGATCAAGCTTCCTCTTGGGCTGAAGAGAAGAGCCGAGTGGTACGTCTGAAGTGGGTAAGTCTCTATGACGTCTTTGCTGTGAACAAAAAACCGATGTGCGTCTTTCACAAGGTCGACAAGGTCTTGCGCGTCTAAGGTCTTCTCTTTATGTCAGCTTCTCTATCGAATACGATCAAAAACTCGATAAGTGATTATTCCATACCTCTGCTAGGGAAAATAGAGCTTTCATCGCAAGTACACCTTTCGTTGTACTCTCGCACAAACTCAAACCTTCCAGCCAGTACAGATATCTCTCTTTCATGAATAGCATAATCTCATCGGTAAACAGCGTACTGCCGGCATGGCTGAGCTGGATCGTCGACTGCGAGTTGCAGAGATGATCGATCCAGTATATGCACGAATAACGTAATGATGCTAGTGGGTCCGGGCTTGGTGGTTGAGCAGTATAGATGGAAATACCCGGTGCCTTTAGCTTGTACATATCCCTGTGTAACTGACTAGATAGAACTGCCAGTGACCTCCGGAAGATTCTTTGATGGGAAATGCCGATGCCGTATGGGAATATCTTATCCTTTGCATCTACGAGGAGAAAATCTTGGGCAGATTGGTGAACAAAGTACACCGTATCGTCCTTTATGGTGAGAAAAGATCCACATAGTTTGACAATCTCCCGCACCGTCTCCAGTTCATCAGCGAATCCCTCTAGGGGTTCAATAACCGTAATCAATTCCTGAATTACGATAGGTCGAAACAGAATGGCGGTAGTGGCCAGCACACAAAGACAGATTTCAGCGTCATCTGACTCGCCTATACCATTCAACATCCGCTTGTAAAAAGGTTCTAGCCCAGGTGGGATAGACTTGAGCTTCTTCATCACATGCCGCTTTGCTGTACCCTTGAGATGTTGACATACTAATGCTACCCACAAGAATGTGTCGTTCGCATTCACGCTCAGAAACTCTGACATAGCGATCCGGGTTTGGTCGTCATATGTTTCCTCTTTTGTCAGTTGGGACACCTTCATGTCGATGAACGTCTTGACAGCTGCCGAGACGGACCGCGCGTTAAGCTCGAGGCTGAGAAGCACTTTGTCAGCAGCTGGTTCCAGGCATCTCTCTATCTCGGGCCAATTGCGGCTGGAAGCAATCCATTTGAGACGAGGAGAAGAAGACGACTGCACAGCAATGAAGCGAAGCAGCTTCGACCGATCAGTAGTGCACTCATCAAGCGCATCGATGAGCAAGTAACCCGTGCGCAGACCAGGATCCCGAAGCACGTCTACCCAGATCTCCGTCAACGCAACCCAGGCATTTTGATCCTCGAATAGTCGGATTCCTGCGAGATCATACCTCTTGAATACGTGCGACGAAAGTGATGGTTGCTGCGATATGAGCATGTACAACAGCCCTCGAAGCACGGCTGTAGCGTTGTTGAGATGGGAGATTGTCGCTTGACAAAAGAAGAATGACAGCAAAGTTGTTGTCGGCATCGAGCTGCGTAGCTCGTCGATGACGCCACAGAGCAGCATCGTTTTGCCTTTGCCAGGGTCGCCCTTTACCCATAGAAGTTGGGCTTGCGGATCTCTTTGCCATTGCTGATAAGTATCGTTGTTGAGCACCCAGCGGTATGAGTCTACCAACAACCCGCCCTTGGTCTCCTCGATTCGCTTTTTGTCGTCTCTGGGATCGCCGTGGCGCAAGTCACGCAAACAGTTCCTCAACTTCTGGATCTCTTTATTAAGTCGCCTAAATGCTTCCTCTTCTCCTTCCCCATACAAAGGCGCGATATCGACATCACAAATGCCTGACAGCGAGTACGCCATATCCTCTTTCAACTTAGTTTTCCGGTCACCTCTCCAACGCAAGCGCTCGCTAATGTCGAACTGCGAAAGAGTACCCTCCTGGAGTACGTCCTGTGGTATACCCGTTGTCCTGCTGATCAGCGGTCCGAGTGACGTCTTATCTCCAATTCTTTCCCATTCCTGAGAGAATAGCTCAACCACACTCGGGGCCAGGAGCTCCTGCAGGGTCCAGCCACGCGTGAACCATCGACTTGACCTCAGCGAACGCTCCCAATCAGTTTCACCAAGCATGCCATCAAGTTTCTTCTCCTTCGTTGATACGTCTGAGAGGTATACGTAACACTTCGCCGCGTCTTGATACCAGCGAAACATGGACCGAATAGCTGAGGAGATCTCGGCCTTGTTCGACTTGTCGATACAGCAAGTATCGACCCAGAAATATCGTAATCCATCCCGTCGTGTTTGTTCTCCACAGAGATGAATCTTATTGTATCCAAGTTTGTCCTTGCCATTCCCATTCATGAGATCTGCGAAAGACACCTCTTCTTCGTCGTCTCCCCAAGTGTGTGAAAGTATAGTATAGGCTGGCTGCTCGTAGTCGTCGAACGCAGTGAGAACGAGCTCCCCATCATGATCGTGATGCAGAAGGCGCATTGGTTCGTGGTGCTGTTGATCGGTTTAGCGCGCACGAGCCGAGGCTGCGGTGTTTCACCGTTGCGCACGCTGTTGCTCGCCCGACGTTTGCTTGCGGCTGACGATGAGGATCGGGGTAGAACTGGCACGCGGCGCATGCGTCGCAAAATGAAGATGAGAGAAGGATGGAGATGGTGCTAAAGGGAGAGGAAAGAAATCAAACATCAAACTGTACGAAGATCAGGCTGAGAGCAGCCTTGGTGATGTGCTGTGCAGTCAGCTGCATGTCGCAGCGCATCAAGCCGCCTCCCCGACTGCATCGCCTCCGGGCTGCCAGGTCATTTCGATATTGACATCGACATTTCACGCGCCATTTCACAAGCTGCTGAGTCACTTCAGGATCATTGCGATTTCGCATGAACCTGGGCGCGCCTTCATCCGTGTGAGGGGTGCTTGCGATCTTTGATATTGGTCACCGCGGGCGACGGCTCCGCGGGTGGGGCGAGAAAGCCACCAATCGCAGTTGGCGTGTGATCATCCTTGTGGATCTGCATCACCAGAAGCGTTCAGACCATAATATCATGGACATTCAGATTGGATTACCTAGTCGCCCCACGCTAGACCTCTAGTCTACTATGAAATGTATGTGTGCCAGAAGGCACTGTGAACACCGTAGAGTTATTACCAACACCCTTAGATGCAGCACGCTGCGAAACTTCCACAACAGTGCAGCCAGCCGGCAGACGAACCTCCGCCACCACATTTGCAGGCACTGTGACCGTCAGAGTAAAAGCTCCATCAGTCGTCCTATTCCAAGCACTCCGTGCCTCTCCCCAGATAGTCTGGTAGGTACCTTCTGCCCACTGAACATCGCCAACGAGCTTTGGCTGGAAAACAAGTCCCTCGCCCCATGACTTGCTGACCGTCGTAAGAGCACCGGGTTGTATTCCAGCGATACCAGCGTGGAGCCATTCTTCAATCTGAGCAAGGATCATATGGTTCTTGGAATCCTCACGTGTCCAACGCTCAGGCATGGTCGAGAGACCTTGTGGATTCTCCGTGGTAGATGCCAAGAAGTAGCCGTAGCTAGGCTGATCGGTTTGCTGCAGCGTTTCCCATAGTATGTCATCGCGGCCTCCGGCGGAGAGGGCCCTTACTATTGGCCCCATACCAATCGTTCCACCGCTCAGATGTGGTCCAAGTCCATCCTGCGAAGGATATTCATATGTGAGTTCAACCAGCGCGTCTAGAACTTGCTGTCGATGTTCTTCAGGTACAAGACCAGCATCTAAAGCGAGAGCTTGCGCAGCCTGCGTAGCGTTCACAGTAGAGTTGTTTCCAAGGCTGGTGTAACGACCGGTGGCAGTGTTGTAGAAGGCAGCGTTGAAAGCGTCTCGAATCTCCAAGGCCAGACGCTCATACTGTACAGCATCATCTACATGCCCAGTAAGATTGGCCATGCGTGCCATGGCGTTGATCGTTAGGTAGTACCCCCAGGTACCAGTGATGCGACCTGACGTCCTTGAGTCGTCTTCAACCCAATCGGCAAGCGCAGCATCGACAATGTTATTCCGCACCTTTTCGCGCTGCAAATATCGTACAAAGTCGGTCATCTGCTTGTAGTACATGTTCATGACTGTTGTATCGCCATATAGATCGTACAAGTAGGAAGGTACGAGCACGATGGCATTACCCCAATTGATCTCGTCTCCAAATCGTCCAGAGTAGCCCCAGTCATATACAGGTGCTTTCAAGGCCACATTACCTGCCATGGAGGTGTTTGCGATAGACTGCGCTTCTACCAGATGTCGCATGTTTGTACGCAGGAAGGCGTTGATGTGAACATTCCGATAAATAGCACCCATGGGCATGGTGTAATCGGCTGGGTACGAGAGCTTCTCCCGACCGGGACAATCAGTGAATACTGATATGACATTGCTCGCGATGGAGTAACGCGACATATTGTGGAGCCGATCGAGAAGCGAGCTGGACGAACGGAAAGTGCCAGCAACTGGTACATCAGCTTGCACACGGGCGCCTGTTATGAGTTCGGCACTTGGACGAAATCCGTCAGGCAGGCCGGTCACTTGCACCCATTGCATAGCGAAGTAATTGAAGTCTGGGTGCCAGGTTTCGCCTCCAGCACGACCAGAAGTGGTGTAGGTGTTGAAGACGTCAGTGCCTCGGTTTCCGATACCCAAGGACTCCTGGTTGATAGTGCCATTCGCATTGAGAGACTCAGCAGCCACCATTCTGATGATGATGCCTGCTGGCATTTGCGGAAGCCTAAGTACAGGAAAACCCGCGATGTTTTGGCCAAGATCAAAAACCCAAGTTCCGTTGAAAGGGTTTGATATCGATACAGGCTCGAGATATTCCATGACCCTGACTGGTTCGGCTGCACGAGCGACGAGTCTTGTTGCCAGGTTGGGTGGAGGTGCGATGCCAGCTGAGATCCATTGAGACGAGTTTTGCTGAGACCCGGGACGATCCCAGTCATCTATTATCTTGCGAGCGTCGAAATCGGAGCCAGAGTACCAAGCGTCGGTAACCAATGGACCGAGCGTAGTACGCCAGGACCTATCGGTCACGATGAGGTCTTCGCTGCCATCATCATAAGTGATCTCAAGACGACCTATAAGGCGCGGAGTTACTATAATTAAGTTAGTCAACCCATCGAACACCACTTATGTATTCAGATTAAGGCATACCTGCGGCGCCAGCAGACGGATCACTAGCTGCAACATTGTTGCCCGAACCGGTGACTCTTGCACCCACAGCATGTTCAAGCTCTAGAGGCGGCGAAAAGCTGATAGTCTGTTGAGTAGTATTGATGGCGGTTATGACACGCGACTCAAGCCTGTCACCGCCTCCACCCGCGTCGATATTGATACTGCCTTGCACATGATATCCAGTTGCGTTGTTCAAGCGCACACTGGTGCTTCCTATCGTAGTAGCATCGAGCAGGATTCCGTCGCCCTTAAGCTGGCTCTGCCACCAGGCGTAGGGCGCATTCCGACCAACAGCTGCATTCGTGATGTTCCGACGAACGTAGGCTGGTCCATTGCCCAGTTTTACCCCAATAGCGTTCGCGCCGGTTTGGAGCAGTGGTCTGATATCGTATGTGCGATATTCGCTGGAAAGTTGATAGTTCGAGTAGCCTGGTGCTAGCACTTCGTTGGTGACGGCCTTGCCATTCACAGAGGCAAGATGCATCCCCACCCCTGATAGATATAGACGAGCGCCGACAATGCCTTTGCCGCTGGGTACATCGAAGCGGCGGGTGAATAGCGGGAGGGGTTGGCTTGGGTCACGGTCAGGATACTCAATCCAACGAGCTCCACCCCAGTCTGACTTGTTGAGCAGCCCTACGGACCAAGATGAAGCCTCCGACCAGGCTGAAGGTTGACCGAGGGCGTCCCAGACACGCACACGCCAGAAGAGTGTATCACGCGAACCAAGCTCACAGTCCATATGCACCAACTGACTTGAGCCACTCTGCTTCCCAGAGCCCCATCGTAGCTGGTCCGTACTCAGATCATGTTCGGATGTGGCGACTTGAACTTCGTACGCAGTCTGTCGGTCGCCTGGGCAGACAACTTCGGTGCATTGGGTTGTTTGAACAGTCTGCCAGCTAAGAGTTGGACGGCGGCTCTCAAGATCCAAGGGCTGGTCGTAACGTCCATCCACGCTGAGCCGAACGACTTTGACGGTCGATTTCTGCGCCGCGACAAGATTTGGTAATAGCGTGAAGACGGCGGCGGCCAAGACAGATATTATTTGCATAATGAGTTCTTGGATTTAGACCTGACACCCTTGGCTCTGGCGACTTACTATATCCAACAGAAACAGTCTGGCAGTACGCTTTATACATCTTCAACGCGAACGCGGTCGATGCGGAGGGAGTTTTCCTCGGATATTGATGTCGCGAGCATGCGAACGGTTCGGGCAGATGGCGAGCGACGCCGACCTTTTGTTCGAGCTTTTGCGCCATGGCGGGTGGCGATTGTCAGCAACTTGCATTAACCCCAGATTTTACCCCACAGATTCTTTGTATGGATCATCCTTGGCATGCGAATTATGCATCACACCGCGCAATTCCAAGAGCCACGACTCCAGTTTCGGCAGATCAAGTGAAATTGAGGGGAAAGGGGCAGATAACTCCCGCGGTTCTGCCGGCGCAGATCCGCACAGCGTCTTATCACTGGAGCTTGGCGATGGGGTGTGACTAGAGGCGTCTGAAATTCGATGCATCGATGTCCGCGATGCAATCGGCAACATTCTCAATTGGTATTGCGAGCCATGGTACTGATCATACCTATAGCCGCACTTTGCCCGTCTGACGATCCTTGAGGACCGCATCGCCGCGCGCAACTTGTTGTGCAGTATTCCCGTCATCACATTTTGGCGCGAGGACGCATTGTCGATAATTGCCATGAGTTGCTTCCATGTGCCATCCCTAATCCAGCAATGTGTCGACGAAAGGCGAGCGGCTTACGACTGGCGCTGTGACATTCGATCGTACGTAGTCTAGTGAGGGGTGTAGTCCAGCGCAGGTACTAGGAGCCAGTCTCAGGCTATTTTGCCCAAGTTTTGATCAAGGAGATCAGACATATAGCGTCGTCGTGCATACTCACCGTGCACCATGATGTGACGACGCATAATTGCTGCCTATAGTATATTAGTAAGTTCTATCAATGATAGCTATCGAGCACATCACTTGCCCAGCGATTACAGCCGTGATATGTTCGGACGAGGCGACGCGCTTTTTGGTAAGTGCATCTGGTTGTGATCCATCGCTCAGCACTTGCAAGCTTCCATCGATGAGCAGCGACCAATGCAAGCGTGCTGCTGTTCTCGACAGTGAAGTATATCGGCCTAATCTAGTCCAAAACCAGGAGTCTGGATGAGGCTACAAGATTGCAAAACTAAAGGCCTGTATGCAGATCACGGTTGATGTTGGACGACAGTCCGTGAAAGATGCGGCTGGAAGAAACGCTCTGTCGATGGGGCTCCGATTCGTGCGCCGTTTGGTTCTTAGTACTCTAGTCGCTACATTAGCTAGGCAGAGGCAGGTTGGATACTACCTCCCCTGTGCCGATTCGTAAGACGGATGGCGATATCGAGACACTGAGGAGCTGCAGAGCGCTGTGACCGTCGAGCAGCGCTGTCATCACGATGATCGCGAGTGACGTCACACCTCTCATCAGACCAACTGCGCGTCTTGAAAATTATACTTCAGCATTGGTCATGAAATTCAGTGGCGGCGGATTGATGGCATTATGAGTGGATGAAGGTGTGTTCTTCGCCAGTAGCTTTGTGTCCCTCCCATCTCAGTCCCAACCAACTCAATCGTTCTGCCACCGTGTACCAGCAAGGATATAGACTGGCGATGAAGTCATCATGAACGTATTTCGAGAGTCCCACATGATAGACGTTGCTGTGCGAGCGATGCTTTGATAGAACCGAAAGTCAGAGGTATGCAATGTGTCGAAGGCTCAACCAGACAGGACTGTGCCCGAAGCCAGGAGGGCTTGGCAGGATGCGGGGCTTTCAATGTCAGCCAATAAGATCGCTAGTGCTTCCCAAAGCGCGATGCAAAGAATTGCAACCCCGTCCATCTTTCAGATACGAAGAACAAGGCACTTTTCGGTTCATGTTGATAGTAGAGTCATTCGCACCCCCATAGATGACCGTCACGTCTTTCGGCAGCTAAGTCAAGCCCAGCTTTGACGATGAACGAAGAAGTATCTGTCACACGAATCCTCGCCTCTCTGGTCGTTTCGGGTGTGTGACATGGAGTTGATCGAGATCAACGCGAGTTCCAAGCGCGTCGTGATACTCATAGTCACGTTCCGAGTGAAAGCGAAGCGTAATTGAGCTCGACCAGCGAAGTCCTATCCGAGTATCGTAATCGCATATATACAGCCCGAACGCGACCCGTTTGTCTATCCATGAAAGCGCAGCGCCTGCAATGTTCATCGAGATTGCTGCACGCGTTCGTACATGTGATACATTAGATACACTGGACAATCGATTGGTGGGTTTGTTTGTGTGTCCGCATGCCTGTGTACCTAGGCATATCTCGTCCAGATAAGTATCAGCAATTTGACTATCGACAGGAAAAGGAACGAGTGGCACATGATCAGACCAGCGTAACCGTATATCTGCCCGTTTGATCTGGAACACCGCACACGCTGTCTGGTAGCTTGCCATGTACGAACTGCTTACGGACGAGGTCGCGTACATGGGCGCGGAGGTTGACAAATCGGTCAACGGAAAGCTTGTCGAACATGTAAGGGGATGGCTCGAACTTGACATAGCCCAGGCGACGAAATTGGCATGACTGGCCGAACTCCTCGAGAACCAGGCATTCATAGCTCAGGCCGTCTAGTACAGTGAAATCATGTGATGGCACTCTCGAGACTCTATATGGTATGTTAGCTCAGCAGCAAAAGAGGCGCAGTATCTTACGGTCCGCGACCTTCAATACGCGCGACTGACTTGTCGCACTCTGGATCTCGAGCTCGTCCCAACATCAAGTACACCGTTCTGTTGACAAGCTGATCACCATCGTCATCTGTGCAAATCTCAAAATGCTCTTCCTCGCGCAACGTCGACCCATCGAGATCTATGGAATAACCATAATCAGATCCACCAGTGTATGGGGGGATCATCCGGCGCATGTATCTTCTGTCAAGATGTGTGTAGTCCTCTCTATGTATAGTGCATTGGCAGAGAAACACTTGTAATGCTACCTTGCCAGAAGATACTGGCCCAAATGCAGTCTGAACAGGCGTAGTCGAGGCATGCACGACTTCGGCAGTGGTCAAATCATCATCTTCTCTTTGACCCCAAATCCATCCAGAACAGATCCATGTTTCTGCGCACATGGAGAGCCATGACCAAGATGGCAAATCCGATAATCTCGTATGGTGAGACGCCCAGCAGGGCCCATTTCGTTTCCACATTAAGTCGTGTTCAAGTTGAGGACGCCATATTCCGCATAGATAGTCGCCTTCGGAAAGTCCCAAGAGGCGGCAAAAGATACCAGCCAAACCAGCAATGGCGATTATGCGGTCAGACGTGAACGTCAAAGTCCCACTTGAGTATGCAATCACAAGCTGATATCAGGCGTCGTATAGCACCCGTGCTTTATCTTGCTCCGGTAGATCGTGTCTTAACGACGACTTGAGAATGATGCTATCTGAATCCGGAATAATGTTGAATAGAGTTGGCAAACTTTCTGTAGTACAAAGTTCCATACATTCCCAGTGCACTTCCTCTGCTGCAAAATGAAGTACCCTTGGTGCCAAAAACATCTCTTGAACTGTCCACGCTCGTTTCGAAAGTGGGCTGGATTGGATATCCCGGAACCATCTATCGGTATAGAATACGGATGCGCAGCGCTGTGAGTCTCCTTTCCAGTGGGGCACGATGAAAGACTGACAGGCTATCGGATTACGCCATCGAAAAAGGCCCCCAGCGCCATCACAGGATGCATCTGCAGAGATGTTAAGATAAGAATTGAGATAAATCTCAGTCATCCGAACGGCTTCGTGATTCCAGTCTTCTTCGTCGTCTTGGATGATACAGAGGGCGTCAATCCAGATGTAGTACATCCCGAGCTTCAGCGAAGTGACTATCGCATCTTGGAAAGTCGAGGTTAGATGTTTCCACGGAATCCCCAGTGTGTAATCATCGACCAGGTCAGTCGTCAACCTGGCTTGGAGTGTTTGTCCCCAACAGTGACTTAGGGTTACATATGGAAGGTTTTCGACATTGATGCCAGCAGTGTGCAAGAGTTTGACCATCGGCTGACCATCGCCGTTTGAAAGCTGCAGAAGTCTCGTTGGTCTGGTGTCAATGTTCTGCTGACGCAAGATCGATCCCTTATTACACCATTCATGAGATTCGCAAGAACGTACCCAACTAGCTATCTGCCCAAAGGTCTGGGCCGAGGCTGTTGAGAGACTTGATACCTCATGTGCGTGTAATGCTCTGTGGTCTATGACGAGTGATCAGCGATGATGAGAAGACAAATTGACGATATCTCACCCGCATCATTCTGTATCCACATTGAAAGGATGGTAGCATTATATCCATCCTTCAGCCACTGGGATCGCGCTGCTGCTGCTATGGAATCTGTTCCTGGCCATAGCACATGGAACATGAGTGTTTCACCCTCGTTTGCCAGGAACGTCGCAAGTAACATGATTTGCATCGACTCCATGTCGGATAGATTCTTGGCATCCAACCGGCTTAGAGCAATTTCACAGAGCTTACAACAGCGTGTGGCACATCGTCGGAGCGATGAGATATCGTGCCACCACACATCATTCAGGTTGTCAACTCTTCGAGACGTTAGGACCAGATTCGGATCTTCGTCTTGCTTCTTTTCGCGGCATAAGTTTCGCTCGTGGGCCACGCGCACGACATGGCTGTCAAATAAGTAGCGACAGCGGTTGCAAAGGATACCGTCCCAAGAGATAGTGTTATCACACGATTCCATGGCTCTGCAGCCTCTCCGGAGGAGTGCTCGGGTGACAACAAGAATGCTGTATATATACTGAAGATAGGAGAGATACTGTGAATGCAAGATGGAAGGCCAGCAAGAAGATCATGAGCGGGGTAAGGCGTCCACGTTGTGATAATGCGCTAACCTCAATCGGCTCCTTACGCGCGCATTTACCACGCACATGCAGTTCATCAGGGCCCTGAGCAAAGCTCTAATGCGCGATAAGACGTGCCTATTGTCGGCTTATAGATGATAAAGAAGCCGTTCAAGTGGTGGAGCGTATATTTCTGTTATTACTCCTGTACGCACTTCGGGTCGGAGAATGGAAATCGTACTTGACATGGTCCATATTAATCCTACCAAGTCATGCTTCTATTAACCCGCAAGGCTGATCCGGCCCACTCTACTTCTCATACAATCGTACAACCCTAACCACACTAGTCACCATCAACTCATTCATCCTACAAGATGTCCTCTTCGATGTTGTCGGCAATGACCAAAAAGCTAGAAATTTCCCCGTTTGTTCTCTTCCACTGATCTCTGAACGGCCAATGACCCGACTTTGGCAACGTGACGAGCCTAACTCCGAATTGAAACCAGCCTTGCAGCCCATCAATAGTCTTAGGACTGAAGTAATCATCCTCCTCGCCCCAGAGTACCATGGTGGGAACGCGCTGGGTCCAGGTCTCCTTTGTTATATTCAAGGCAGTAGTGAGGTCCTGACCGTACGTGGGGCCAGGGTAGTTGTTCTTATAGAAGTTGAGCATGCCGTGAATAGGCGAGCGATCGAGATAGTCTGCAATCTTGCGGCGGTAGACGGGATCGCGAATGGTTTTAACAATAGTGGGGATGTTTTTCGGCTGACCGGGGACGTAGCTGTAGTATGGGATTGTGTAGCGGGCGTACTCCTGTGCTTCGGCATCATAGGAAAGTAGAGGTAGGAAGGTGGGCATTATCGGCGCGTTTATGATAATCAGCGCTTTGACTCTGTCAGGGAAAGCCTGTGTGAATCCTTGCACCAAGCCGCCTCCAAAGTCATGGCCGATTAGGTACACGCTTGTGACATTTTCCTGGTTGAGGATAGCGAGCATGTCGGTCGCATAGGCTGTTCCAGTGTAGTCGGATATATCTGGTGGGATATCGCTTGGAGGAAAGCCGCGAAGGGTGGGAGTGATAATGTTGTAGTGGCGGGAAAAGACCGGGATCTGGTAGTCATTCCAGGTTGTTTCCTGGTCGGGAAAGCCGTGTTGAAAGAGAATGTATGGTGCGGACAGACCTCTATGAGCGTACTTTCGGTAGTGGATGGTAACACCAGCGTTATTGATGTATTTCTGCTCCCCAAGGGGTGGCTGATCGGCTGCGGCAGGAGGTTGCGAAGACACTGCGACTCATTGTGATCAGATTTGTCCCGGGGCCAGAGATTCAGCGGACGAACTTACTCGGAACGTTGCAGCTACTATGCTTCTGTCTGTGCAAAGAGGTCAAGTTGATTCAATGTGATGGAGTGGCTTAGTTGATGATGAAGATGAACGGCATGATCGATGGTTCTTATATCGACATTATTCGGCCGCGTTGGCGATGGATTCATCCATCCTGAACTAAGACATTGAACTGAATGAGTCGCACAGGGATGTTGCTTTCGCCCAGAAGTCGGATGATTCATAACAACAATCAGCTGCAGTACTGTCTAGCTTGCAGGCGATAACAGTGTGCTGATCAATTTGGTAATGCACGGTTCGTTGGAACGAATGTTTTAGAAGTACCGAAACCAAAAGAGAAACCAAGCTCTACTGGGACTGTATGTCAGAAGTTTGAATGTATCGACGTGCATCATCCATAATCTTCGAGAAGATAGACCGACTAGATGCGGTGAGTGATTCTTTACACAAGATCAACGCTAGCACGATGATCTTCAACATCTGCCTAAACAAACCAATAGATAGAGGACGGACCATTTCTCCGAGATGACTAAAGTTCACCCGTAAGGGCGGAGATATCTTTGATCGGCCCTTTGGATAACCCGAAACGAACTCGCTAACGCCATTGACTTAGGTAAAGCGGAGGACGGCAATGGACCCTTGTTACGCGCGTAACACACGGTACCACGGCGACCCACATGAGCTACAGCGGAACAAAACCACAGCGATCTAATCACCCCATCCTGAAACGCACATGTCAATAACCATATTGATATCAATCAGGCCTCCTTGTACGTCTAAAGTGTTCGTTAGTATCAAGCAAAGATTGAACGCGCATCAACATCAGAAAGAGCGGCTTCCGCTTCGCACGTATCTACAGCTCACCTGACATTTGATCGTTTGTAATCACGAATCAGAGTTATAATACGCAGGTTATTATCAATCTGACTCCATGTTCGTGCCAAATCGCGTACTATTAAAGCTCACGTCCCACACGCTCTCCTTCTCATATCGCATCATCTCTCACAAGACTACTTACAACTACCATGTCTGTACCAATCACTCCCACTCTTGCCATCCCCCCAGTCAAGCCCCGTGGCTCCTCGGACGTTACAGCTGAAGAACGCAGTTCAGCAATCGATTTCGTCAACCGGAACAATTTCATCATGGAGCAATTCCAAGTCGAAGAGATTCTTTCTCAAGCGGCAGAAGGCGTCGTCCTGAGACACTGGCACGGAACAGTCACTGGCGTCGACGAAATGCGAGCGTTCTTCAACACCACATATCCCTACATCATCCCGGGCGTCAGTCGCCATGCGACCAATCACATTGTCGACCGCGACGAAGAGACAGGTGGTGTGACTGTGCGTTATCATGAACAATGTATAAGATATGCCTGGCCGTCAGTTTTTGAGACGCAGCTCAAAGGAAAAGAAGGATCTTTTATCGAATCAGACGGGGAATTGCCCCAGATCTGGATCTATAACATGCATTATGATCGTCTGGTGATGTCGGAGACGGGATGGAAACTAAGGGAGAGAGTACTTGGTCCGGCTGTTGTAAACCCTCGGATGGATCCTAAGAACGCGCCAAAGCCGTAGCCACAATCGATAGACCCGTTATCCCAAATGATTTGACTCTGTTGCTTCTAGGCACTAGATATCTATCCCATAGCCCATGGCTCTGACATACATGCGTGATTCCAGATTGGTCTGGACAATTCTGTCAGCCAATCAGCTTTGCGGAAGCTTGGCTAGCATGCTATCGGCGTTGTGGATGGCCCCGGCACGAGCCGCACTAGACCAGGTGATATGGTTACGGACGTAACGATATCAACGTTGATGCCGTTCAATGTTGCAGCGGTTGAACTTTAGTGGGCGAACATGCTGGAAATTCGCGCCGATCTGAATCGGAGGCAAGGACTTTGACGCGTGCGCATGTTCCAATACATCAACAAGCCAATCGTCCACCTTCAACCTTCCTCAGCTACAGCGACTCGCTACACTGTACAAAACTCCTCGTGACACGGCGAGCTGATTGCCGCTACCTTGCGCATTGGACATGCCTCCTCAGCCTCCGGGACCACTTCTTCCCAGGTTCAAGAGTTTAAGAAGCTGGATTGTTAGATCTAGCCACTCGGACTCTTTTTAATCTTTTCGCACAAGTACTTGTCTACTTGCGTGGGCTTCTACTGCGACTTTGCACCAACCCTGACCCAACAACAGTAGGTCGCATAAGTATCTTCTTGCTTACCATTCATGGCCGCGGTACGGAGACAATATCGGAATAACATCTGCATGTAGCGTCAGTATAACAACCTTCACCGATGGCTGCCAGAATTGCGACCGTATCCTCGGAGAACCTCCAACCTTGAACTTCGCCACACTAAAGCGCCATATCCGCAGCGATAGCAACATCACCGCAATTCAAGGCACGCAATGACCACAGCTTCGAAATTAGACAATATTTCTATCAATCGTCTACCTACTACCAAGAGAAGTGATCCTACGACTTTGACGCATTCGGCTCTTCGCTTTTAGCAGGAGTAGGCGCAAACTTCGACCGTTCCCTAATCGGCCCACCATACTTGTAAAAAACAAACGGAATAGGCGCAAGCAGACAAGCCACGCCAGCAATGAGCGATCCGCCACCGCCCACACCAAGAGCATCAAACATGTACTGTGTGAAGAGAGGCGCAGCAGCCCCTGCAGCCGAGCGCACAACCGTGTTGGCTGCCAACGCGCTCGCAGCATACATGAGGTACGTGTCTGTGAGATAATTGAGATACGCGACGAAGATGAGCAGGATGGACGTGGAGAGGAAAACACCAGCGAGGGTAGGAACGATCCAGTGCACGCTGTTATATTCGCCAGACCAGGCGAACCAGAACATGGTAACGGGAAACATGACGCCGCCAAGCATAGCCACGGGGAGACGGTCTTCCGGAACGCCCTTGTGGCCCAATTGCGCCTTCTTCTTATCCCTGGCTGTGTTTGCAAAGATGATGGCACCGCCGATGACAGCACCAATGGCAGTCCCAAGGAGCGGCAACTCGCCAACGCCCGAGTTCCAGCCTCTTCGTTGTTGGAAGACGATGGGGTAGATGGTGAAGAGCATGTACAGCAGGGCGTATACGACCGCGAGGTAGACGGCGACGGCGAACGAAATCGGATCGACGAGGATTTTCCAAGGTCGAGTAAGAGAAACACGGAACATGCCTGCAAGGGTCCTGTCTGTAGTCTCTACTGGAGCCTTGACATCTTCATACCCAGAAATCTTCAACGCTCTTATGCGCTTGGCTTTATTGCGCAGCACAATCGTAGGCAATGTCTCAGGAATCGTAAACATCAGCAGCTCGGTGACGCCGCCCAACCAGAGAAGCACGTAGAAGCACCATCGCCAATCCTTCTTCAATTCCAAAAAGCCCGATATAACAGGTCCAAGTGCTGGACCGACAAAGGTCATCATGGAGAAGGCAGCCATCGCATTTCCGCGTTCGAGAGGTCCCCAGATATCTGCCAACACGCCTGGCGCATTGGAGAGAGGAGCACTTGCAAACGTACCCGTCAAGAAGCGGCCTACCAAAAGCCCACCAAAGTTCGGCGTGAAGGCGCAGAGGAAGTTGAAAGCCAGATACAGAGTAAATGTGACGTAGAAGATGTACCTGCGACCGAAGAATTCCGAAAGCGGAGCAAAAACTAGGGGACCGGCACAGTAACCCAGAAGGAATAGAGTGATGACGAGACCGGCAGCCTCGGTGGAGACATGCAGGTCAGTCGAGAGAGACTCCAACGTGCCAGATGGACTGGAGGACGCGAACGTGGCGTTCACAACCAGGATGACCGAGACCACGGTAATGTACCATCTTCGTGCAGTCGACCAGTTCTTGGGGTTCTCGATGTCATTGGGGCCAAACTCAAGAAGGCCTTCGTCATTGAGGTGGATTTCTTCGGAGGCCTCGATGTCGCTCGTCTTGTATGGCTTCGCCGTCGGTCGCGACAAGAAACGTTCAAGCTTCTCCATTGTGGGGACGTTGCCGAGGATGGGGAAAGGGAGTACGAACAGGATCAAGCCGTTTCCGCGACTTGGTCTTGCGTCTCCATACAAGTATTGAAGCTACACCGCTGAGCTAATGATGAAATGGCTTCGGCCGAGCTTGGTTTGTAAGAGCTTGTCGTCCCGAAAAGCAAATCGCGTGCGGAAAGCCGCGAGCGCGACACTAGCACGAACTCACAACGTCATCAAATGTAGGAAGGGGGGTATGACGTAAGGTCTGCGATTGAGCCGGCATGATGCAGAGCTGTAATTTATAAGATATGTACAGCGATATCATGAGCAAATGTACACGAGTAACGATCGAACATAATGTTCGGAATTCGCGGCGCCACGCGACAAGCAATGTGCAGTGTGGAGGATCGGCGTGGTTAATCGATCCCGGGAATAACGGAGCACGACTTCGGCACCCCTTCGATGAGTTGCGGCGCCTCAAATCTTAACCATGCTTGTCCTTTGTCTCCACACACAGCCGAGAGGAATTGCATGGCTTCCATCGACCTTTTCGGCTTACGCACCCTGGTCGGACTCCGTAGCTGGCAGTATAATCGAGATGCTTGCTGAGCACCCCAATGAGCCTACATCGTTTGAGCGATAGCCAAAGATTATGCACGATGAAGCGAACTTCAGCGCTCTGCACCGTTCAGGTACCTCACCGTCCGGAGACGACTCGAGGACAAATCCACTCCTTCGCTGTTATGATTCATGCGCGTTGTGAGCCGCGAACAATGTCAGCATCTTCGCTATAATACCCGTCGTCGTCGGCGCCCGCGTTCCCGGTCAACTCATACTCTCCAGCATCCTCCAACTTCGCAACGGGACTGTCATCAACGTCCTTGAACATGCGATAGAACACTATGCCAGCCATAGCGGCAATAGTTGCTAGGCCAAAGTACAGCCACTGCAAATGCGGATCTTTTGCCAGCGGAGCAATCAAGATACCCAATGCGCTTCCACCGGCGCTCGTGAGCAAGAAGAGACTCATGATGAAGCTCTTCATGTTCTCCGGTGCTTTTGCATATGCTAGCTCCAATCCGGTGATGCTTGCGAGGATCTCACTCAGAGCGATCAAAACATACGCTGGGGCTTGCCAGGCGACGTGAACTTCGTTTGGTTGGAACCTTCCCTCGCTGATCTTTCCCGCGTTGCAATTCGATGGACTAAAGTAACAAGGTGGTGCTGCGTAGATCTTGGATTGGAGAGCGCCAGCATACAACATTGCAAGCGCAGCCATCAGAAAGCCGAGGGAGATGCGCGTAATCGGCATCAACGCAATGTGTAGCCTTGTGCGGACGAATGGGTAGATGAGGCGGTCCATGATCGGAATGAGCACAATGATGGTGACTGGGTCAATATTGGGAAGGATGTCGTTCGGTAGGCCATGCAACTCCATCTGACCAGCCTGTGAAACGAAATTGTTCAGCATTTGCGAGTACGAGAGCCAATAGATCGGGAAGAACAAGAAGACTTTACACGCTACCAACGCAGTCTTCAACTCGTCAATGAACTTATCATCCCACGTCACTTTCGATCTACTTCGGCCGTGACCCTGAGCGGAGGCTTTCGCTTTGTTGAGGTCTCCACCGTTTCTTGCGGCGATATACAAGGCGCGGAAGCAATTAGCAATCACACCGCCCTGTGGTGGTTTGATGATGTACTGCTTCCTTCCCCGGACCAGTATAACATACCCCACGCAGAACATGACCAGTGGTAAGAAATAGGCACTCCAAAAGCCAACGTGTAGCTCAAGCATCGTTGTTGCTATGGCGGATATGGAACCAACGTTGATGCACATGTAAAAGATCATGTATATCCTCTGCACTGTGATCTCTGGATCAACAATAACCCGCTTGCCGCTCGTCAAAGTTTTGACAAAGGGTTTGTTGGATCGTACTTGCTCCGCGATCAGTGGCGATACGTTGCTCTTGATGCCGCCGGTACCAAGACCGATGACCAGCATGGCGACAACGAGTCCGGGGTATGCAGCTCCACCTCTAACGGCCCACGGTAAGCTGGTAACGAAGAGAATGCCGATGCCGACCATGTACACTAAGCTGAACCACTTGATCGTAGCATACTTGCCAAGGTACTGGTCTGCAACAACAGCTCCGAACAAAGGTGTGAGGTAACACCAAAATTGGAAGAAGTTTGTCATCGCCGTCGCACCACTCTGTTTCAGACCGAGAGCGCCAGGTAGACCGTTGGGATCATCGTAGTCATTTGCGATGTAATTCTGGAATGGCCCAGAAAGTCCGTAGTAAGCGAAGCGCTCGCAGAGCTCGACAATCGCTACTAGAAAAGCGCCATGTGGGAGTGTGTCTGCGACACGCGGAAGAAAGAGCATGTCTTCTGCTGTTGGTATGGAACCAATGTGAATGGGAGCTTCGAACGGTACATCTTCTGTGGGGGTAGGGTCGACACCTGCAGCCTCGGTCTGTGCGACAGTCGTGTATGCGCCCAATTCTTCATGGTCCTGTCGCCGAGATGAAAACATCGTAGATTAGATTATTTGTTTGAGATATCAGTGGTGATGGTTGCCGTCGCCTGCTGGCTTATCCTGCTCGCGCCCAGCTGGTACCAGCCTGATGCAGCAATCGAGACCTTTTGCTGCCAGCTTTTGCCCGCGCGTCGCTCACAACATGGTCAACATGTAGGGAGATTGTGTTCTTGCGGACATTGCTAGAGAGGCGGTAGGTTTGAAGTGATAGATGGCATTGGAGATAAAGCCACGCGTTCGGGAAGGTGAGACGGTGCTCGCGTCCGATCTAGGCCTGATTGGTCGCTGAATAGCCCCCACCTTGCACCGCCAGATTTCCCAACCCTCGTTGAAGGGCAGCAACACGCAAGACTTGGACGTGACTTGTGAGTTTGTACGAGCAGCGTGAATAGCCTTCAAATTGCGGCTCTCTATGCCGCATTCTGCGACAGTGGAATGGATTTGGAAAATATGCTTTGTCGACTGGACTGGACATTGAAAACATGTCAACTTATAACTTACGGCACCGGTACATAGGAGGCGATGATTTGCCTTGCAGTAGTATTCAAGATGCGTTCGTGGTGCTTGTGGCGCTAGATACACCACGTGAACACCCGTTCCCATCCACGCGACGCGTCCCAATGTCGCGTCAGCCCACTTGTTCGACACCACGGCACAATGCACAACACCAATGAGCAGCGAGACTTCCACCACCCATACACACCATACGATATCCAAAATGAACTCATGGGTGCTGTCTATACATGCCTGGAAGAAGGCAAAGTCGGTATCTTCGAATCGCCGACAGGAACCGGCAAAACGCTGAGCCTCATCTGCGGCTCGCTGACGTGGCTGCGCGATCACAAAAGACGGACATTTGAGGAAGGATTTACAGTCGATGCGGCAAATAGCGAGGAGCCGTCGTGGATAATCGAACACGCCCAGAAGCAGCGGAAGCAGGAAGCGCTGAGGCGCAAGCAAGATTTGGATGACCGCATTGCGAAGATCAAGGCGAAGGAGAAGCGCGCCAAAGAGCGTTACGAGAGCGGCGAGCCGAAATACAAAAGGCAGAGGATCGCTGTGGCTGAGGATGAAAACGACGGCGATGCACAATTCGCGCTCGACGACTACGAAAGCGATGAAGAGTCGCACAAGCGGGCGAGGGCAGGCGGGTTTGATGAGTCTGGGCTGTCCGCGGAAACCCAAGCATTAATGGCATCACTCGGTTACAGCACTGATGCATCGAAAGACGACGACGGAGAAGCGCCTGACGAGACGAAGATCTTCTTCTGCTCTCGGACGCACTCACAGTTGACGCAGTTCTCCAGCGAGCTAGGTCGCGTCAAGATGCCGCCCGCCATCGCTCCGGACGAAGAGAGAAACGACAGCGAGGTAGACACACTTGTAGAAGACGTAAAGCACCTCACTCTCGGATCAAGGAAGAATCTCTGCATCAACAGCAAAGTCAATAAGCTCGGAAGTGCCACGGCGATCAACGAACGATGCCTCGAACTACAGCAAAACACCAAGACCGAGAGCCGCTGTCCACACATGCCGACTAAGGAGAGCGAGCCGTTGGTCAATGAGTTCCGGGACCATGCGCTTGCGAAGATTAGAGATATCGAGGACTTGGGCGTCCTAGGGAAGAAGCTGGGTGTGTGTCCCTATTATGCTTCGAGACCAGCGACCAAGTACTGCGAGGTGAGTCGACTATCCCGGTTCTACGATAGACTCGTGGACTGACAACAACAGATTGTAACACTACCGTATCCCCTCCTCCTCCAGCGCACTGCTCGCGAAGCCCTCGGTCTCTCCCTCAAAAATCACATCGTCATCATCGATGAAGCACACAACCTGATGGACGCCATCGCTGGCATCTACTCCGTATCCGTGACACTAGAACAGGTGCAACAAGCGCGCGCCCAACTGACAGCCTACCTCCACAAGTTCCGGAACAAGCTCAAGGGAAAGAATCGCGTCTATGTTGCTCAGACAGTCCGCATACTGGACTCCATCATTGCGTACTTGCAGTCAATCGATGGAAACGCGAAGGCGGTGGACGGCCTGGTAGACATGGCTGCGATCATGTCAGGGAAGGGTGTCGATCAAATCAATATCTACAAGCTCAATACATATCTCCAGGAAAGCAGGCTCGCACGCAAAGTCGACGGCTATACCGTCTTCGCTGAGCAAGCCGAGAACGCGAGCGTGCAGACGTCGACAACCAAGTCAATCAAGAGTGGACCCAGAAACACTGTACCAGTCCTGATGCACGTACAGTCCTTCCTCCTCTCTTTGATGAACCCATCCAGCGAAGGCCGCTTCTTCTACTCCAAGGAAGAAGCTTCAGGAACAACGCTCCGATACATGCTCCTCGACCCAACATACCACTTCAAAGACATTGTCGAAGAAGCGAGAGCAATCGTACTAGCCGGCGGCACCATGTCTCCCATGAGCGACTACGAGCAACACCTTCTCTCCTACCTCGCTCCCTCCAAGATCACAACGCTATCCTGCGGGCACGTCATACCGCCATCGAACCTCCTCGCCTTACCCATTATCCGCGGCACAAGCGGTGCAGACTTTGACTTTACCTTTGAGAATCGCAACAAAGAAGCCACGATGCTGGACCTCGGAAATGCCATTTTAACATTCGCACAGCACATTCCCGACGGCGTCGTCGTCTTCTTCCCCAGCTACACTTTCCTCGACGCATGCGTCGCAGCATGGAAGCGCATCAAGCCATGGTCATCACCGTCCTCAACATCACGTACCTTCTGGGACGCATTCACCGCAACAAAACCCACTTTCCTCGAGCAACGCAGCAACAGCAACAGCCAACAGCAACCTTGTTCCACCCAGCAACAGCCGCCACCACAGTCCACCAAAGAAGCAGCCGTAGCCTCCGTCCTTACAGCATACAGCACCGCCATCGCCTCTCCTTCGAACCACCGCCGTGGCGCCCTCCTCTTCGCCGTCATCGGCGGCACACTCTCCGAAGGCATAAACTTCAGCGACGCACTCGGCCGGGGCGTCGTCGTCGTCGGCCTTCCCTTTCCCAATCCCCATTCTGCAGAGTGGAAGAGCAAAATGCAGTATATACAGGCCAAAAGTGGTGGTGGCAAGGCGGCTGCGCGCGAGTTTTACGAGAATGCTTGTATGAGGGCGGTGAATCAGTGTGTGGGGAGGGCGATTAGACATAAAGGGGATTATGCGAGTATATTGATGTTGGATAGGCGGTATGGGAGTAAGCGGATTCAGGATAAGCTGCCCAAGTGGATAAGGGGGAGTTTGACTGGGGGGTTGAGCGTTGGGGATGTTGGGGCGAGGTTGGATGGCTTCTTTGCGACTAAGAAGTAGAGAGAGAAAGAGTAACACTTATCAAAAGAAACCTTTGTGAGCTACTGAAGCTCATCCAAGTTCATTCAATTGTGGGTGTCAAGCATTTACGCACACCACCGGCTTGCATCGTTCACACGCCTCACGTATCCTCGCTCACACTTCGACTCTGCTCCCTCGCCACGAAGGCGTTGGGATCAACGGGATAGGCCTTCAAGTCCACTTTGTGCGTATCTGCCCACGCCCGCACCCTGGCCTTATTGATGACAGCATCGGCACCGCCCTTCTTCTTCTGCTCCAGCACATCCATCGTCTGCAGCGTTGCGATGATATCCTCGGGTACAATGTACGTCTTCTCGCGCAAATCCTGTACCGTGACAGTCTTCTTCGACGGGCAAGTAAGGATCGTGCGCGCAAGGGTCTGCGACCAGTAATGGATGTACGCAATGCGACCGAGGTCCGACAGCGCTGGGGCAAGGAATATTAGCATGATATTTCAACGTGGCACGGATAGATGTACATACGTTTCTCAGGTCCGCCCAGCCTGTCCTCCCGCCTACTCATCTCATAGCTCGCTCCCATTAATATCTGTCCGAGCCCCTGCTTCTGCCACGGCGGAAATACCAATATGCACGCTAGATTATTGTTATCCCAGCTCATCTTCTCCTTGCTGAAGAAGCCGACGACCTGCCCTTGGCCGCCAACTCGACTCGCCTCTGCATCGTCGCCGAAACTGGTATTCGGAATCTCCGGTGTGGGGTTATGTGCGACGAGGAGGTAGTATAGAAAAGTTGTGACATCGTAGAAGACGGATTTGGTATCGAGGAAAAGCTTGGCGAAGAGCGAGAGGTTCTGCGCGTAGAGCTTGTGCTTTTCGCCGTCAATCTCGTAGAGCGAGTAGTTGTCTTTTGTGTAGACGTTGACGCCGGGCGGGGGTGTGTTGCGGAGGGGACATGCTTTCTATTGCTCGGCAGGTCAGCTGTCCGCCACGCCCAGTCAGCGCAGAGGGAGATAGGAATAGGGAAAAAAGCGTACCAAGTGTCCAATGAAGCCCAACAGCTCCTTGCTATACTTGAAGCACCATTGGCATACATACAGCCGCTCGACGCGTCGCCCCACGAGCTCTTCCGGGTAGAAGGACGGGTACCAGGGCTGGATGAGCAGCGAGCCGAAGACGACTTCGAGCACGTTGGGCCCGGAGAGAGGCTTCTGCGAGGGCTTCAAGGCGGGCGTCGAGGGCGTCGAGGTCATGGAGGCTACATCGGGGGCCATTGGGTTGGTGACGACGACGCGCGCAGAGGGGCGCAGAGCTTGTGGGGTTGCGAGCGGAGAGCCTGGACGGAGCTTCTCGCATGGGGATTAGCGCGACGCGAGGACACGTGCGTGGACCGAGGTCTGGGACGAGTGGGTTTGGATGACTGGGTAGCCTCGAAAGACAAGAGTACATGCCCCCCGCAAAGCGAGCATCGTAGTCGGTCCACGGCTACAGTTACCGGCACACATGTCCAGTCTTGGGATTAGTCAACCCAAGAAGGAGGGTGTGTCTCTAGGATTGCTAGAGGCCTGCTTTGTGGTGCAACGGTCATTGGTTCGAGATTACTGAACACCTTGTCGTACGGTCGGATATGCTCCCCATTCATCAGAGCTTGCGAGCATATAATACTAATCTACGCCCTGCCTCTCAGCTGATGCCTGAGCTAACCGGGTCCGCGGGACGCGCCAAGGTTTCAATACGTCGACCTTGTCAGCAAACGTAGACACGACGACCAACAAAGAGTTAGGATTCGATCGTTTGCAGGTATCACCCACAGGATACTGGATAAAATGACACGTCCAGGATCATTACAGGGTAACTTGGCGAGTGGAGAATGACCATAAATACAACGCGCATTCTCTCCCAGGAGTTTCTTTATCCATTCTCATCACACAACCCAAACGAGACAGCTTCCTACCCGGCAACATGAGTACCACGATAAATCCCGATTACCTCGTGATTGGCGCTGGAGCCATGGGCATGGCCTTTGTCGACACCCTGATCACAGACACCAACGCCACAGTAGCGATAGTGGACCGCTACGCTCGACCGGGAGGCCACTGGACGATTGTGTACCCTCACGTTACCCTCCACCAGCCATCAGCCTTCTACGGCGTCAACTCTCAGGAATTTCCGGGCGAGAAGAACATTGACAAGATTGGCTGGAACAAGGGCATGTCCGAGCTGGCAACAGGAGACGGAGTCTGTTCCTATTTCAGCAGAGTCATGCAGCAGACGTTTCTTCCAACTGGACGGGTCGAGTATTATCCTTTGCATGAGTACGTATGATCCCTGTTCGAGATGCATGTAAGACGGATGCTGACTTGGTACACCGATCTTTAGGTACGTGAGCGAGGGCAGATTCCAATCTGTCATCACGAACAAGGCCGTTCAGGTCGGCCCAGAGACGCGTATTGTGGATGCCACATTCATGAAAGTCGAGGTGCCAGCCATGAGGCCACCGCCCTACGAGGTAGCAGAAGACGTGCATGTGATTGCACCAAACGGGTTGGTATCTCTTTCCCGACCGTACGGCCGCTACACCGTAGTGGGGGCCGGAAAGACGGGCATCGACGCCTGTCTCTGGCTACTTTCAAAAGGAATCGATGCCAAAGACATCTCCTGGATCATGCCCCGTGACTCCTGGTGCATAAACCGTAGTACTCTCCAACCCTCATGGTCCCCCGCAAACGATTCCCAGATTTTCGAGGCAGAAGGCGAAGCCATTGTGAATGCCACCTCGCTAGAAGATTTGTTCTACCGGCTCGAGGCCAGCGGGAAGATGATGCGGATTGACAAGAACGTCTGGCCCACCATGTACAAGTGTGCAACCCTTTCCGTCCCTGAACTCGAGCAGATTCAAAGAATCGGAAACATTGTACGTCAAGGACGCGTCGTCCGCCTTACCGCAAACGAGGTCACGCTCGAAGGAGGCAAGTACACACCCGTGCCGGATACACTGTACATCGACTGCAGCGCCAGCGGCCTAGCAAGACTCAAGCCCGTACCCGTCTTCAACGGCAGACACATCACGCTGCAAGCAGTCCGCTTCTGCCAACAAGTCTTCAGCGCCGCCTTCATCGGCCACGTCGAAGCCACGTATGACAACGACGAGGTCAAGAACACGCTCTGCACTGTCGTGCCCCACCCAGACGAAACGCAAGACTTCCTCGGCATGACTCTTGAGACGTATCTCAATGCAGCGAAATGGCATGCAGAGCCCAAAACGCGCGCTTGGCTCGCGCACGCCCGTTTGGACCTGGTGAATGCACAAAAGTCGCCGGATCCGGATGAGGCTGCAAAGGCTGCGGCGAAGAAACCGGCGTATATACAGGCCGTTTGTCAAAACCTCGGACGTCTTCTTGATGTTGAAGCGACGAGGACGAAGAGCAAGATTTAGGGACGAGTATGATTGTATGTGGTTGGTAGGTTGTCAGGCAAAGCGATGATGATTTGACGTCGACGGTGAAACAGCAAAAGCAGAACAAAATAATTGACTCAGGGTGCGACTGGTATGAGAATTACCAGCCTTCAAAAACAAGGAATGGCAATGGTTGTGGCACATGTCTCCATCTGTTTTACTCACACTCTGTTCTTCCTGATCTCTACGATCTTTCTTCTCTCTAGGCAACATGCTTCATCCAGGCCGACTCTGCAGTCTTTCGATACACAACATACCATTCAATCCTCCAAGAGCAACTGTCCTCCCCCTACTTCGCCGTATGGTGTACCGTCCGGTCTGACTCGACCACCTTTGTGATACTGGAAGTATCCTTCAGCCACCCAATAGTAGTGGTCTTGACGATGGTCATCCCATTCCCATTGTACCAGCTGTTCAGAATGTCCCTGTGCGGTTGTAAGCTCTGGCGCGGCCAGATCATGTTCCTTCATGTCCTCCTCGAGTCTCGCAAGAGCACTGTCCAAAGCATTAGTCCCTTCCGAAGCAATGCCTTCCAGCAAAGATGTGATCCTCGTTTTGATTCTTAAATGATATCCGTATTTTTCATCCCGGGGTAGGCCGCTCGATAATATTTTGCCTTGGTGAGGCCGTCTACGATTTTGCTGCATCGAGCATCATGCGTGGTAAAGCCATGTCACAGGGCGCTGCAAAGCCACATGTCCTGATTGGACATATTTGTAGCCTGGTCCTCCGTTCTCTCGATCAGAGTTGCGTATGTCTATGATCTAGGGGTCATGTCGCACGGAGGCAAGATGAAGCAGGCGTTTTTCAACAAGCATCACCACGATGCGTAAACTAGAAGGATGCGTACTCGAAAGGTATTCATACTGGATACACGATGTTTTCTTGATTAGCTTCAAGTCATGTAGTGACCATCAGTTGTATTGAGGCTGAAGGTGTAAACGTCCGAAAATGTTACATCGGTCATCACACTAATACCGAATGGAACACGGAAGCTGCTGTCGTACTTGTGTCATCGAATCAAGCCCTACCACTTTCCTTCTCCAGCCAAGAGTCGGTGCTGCAGTCATCTTGCTACTCCCCTATTCATAACATGAAACTGTGCAGCATTTTGACACAGCGCAATGCCGTCATGTAATCAGCCAGTGCGTACGCGAGCCTCGTGACCACGTACTCGAGCTTCCCGTGCCTATTCATCACATCTGCTGGGAACATCTCTCAGACGCGTCGTGTGGTCGACTAGCCTGCGCATGTCTCAGTCCGATCCGTTCGGCCCTTATTCTTTCGATCCGGACAAATCTAGCCGCATGCTAGTCGCAAATAGTGGGTGATACTTTTGTACGATCGACCTTGTTTTGATTTGACATAGTCTTTAGTCATAATAGCAATCATACAGGTCAGTTGCTGAGCTCCTGGCATCCCGTAGGCCTCAGCAGCGCGGCATTATTCCACCATGTTCTTGCAAACTCTCTCAACTTTCTCGTCCAGAACCGCAACGGCCGTTTTCCCTCGCGGAATGATCATGCAGATCTCACTCGCCGTCAAAGAGCATTTCGTTGTACGATCGAGATGATGAAGGATTCATTGGAACATAAGAGCGATGGAATGATCCGAGCTGTTGTCTCTACGTCGAGTCGTCTTGTACGAAATGAATAAGTCATTCAAGCGACGATGGGTCACTTATATCCCTTCGGCGTTTTTAGGCTGTTTTGGAGACGGGAACTGGGACAGTCATTGAAATGCATTTTCCGAGATCATCGCACTTAGATGCGGTTATGACACAGTTGTCAACGAAAGCCTCAGGATTACTATAACATAGTATTGCTTGAATCGTTCTGGCGCTCTTTGGTGCATTTTAATCCCCAGACTTTCGAACAGCGTCGACGTCATAGGATACTTCGCTCAGGATGTTCCTCCAGTTGTCCCTGTGCCAAGCAAGTGAGAAGATGCCTCAAAGTCTTCTTAGCACCTACCACAACTATCCGGCGCCATATCTCTGTTATGGAAACAAAACCTGACAGGAGGTGTAAATGGGATCTCAACCTTGACGACATTGTTCACTTCATTTCACTAGACCAAGCGTTTGCTGTGAATCAGAAGAAGCCAGCTTTCACAAGCGGGATGTAGATGGACCCAACTGCGTACAGACTGCTGACTATACGACCATTGAGGAATGGCGGCCAGCGCGAACATTTGATGGGAGAAAAGTGTCGACTAGGAACTCTCCTATCCCTTGCCTCATTTTGGAGGGCCTTCGGTCAGAATCCAGTTTGGACATCAGCCATATCTCGCAAGCTTTTTTTTTTCCTTCTGGGAAGCAACCAAGTCGATTCGGGTCAGCTGGGTTTCTTGCTTCTCTGAAGATTGCATTTCGCCGCTACTGAGATGGGAAATCATGGAAAGCGAAGCCATCTCGTCACGATGCTATTTGCTCTACTAGAAAGCATGAGCCTTAAGAAGTGGGATGAGATAATGCGGATCGTGCAAGGGGTGCTATGGGCAGAGGACGATTTCGTGGGGAGTGACCGCCTAATCTGCGATCAAGTCATGCGGGCTATGAATCACAGTTCTATGGCATATAGTTTATCAGAAGCTGGGCCTGCTCTTATTGAGTAACACTAGTATGATACTGCACATCAGCGTTGCCGTACTCCTCTAATCATATCATGCAATAGCCATGTTCTTGATCGTCGTCTCGAATTTCTCCGGTTCCCTACCAAGCAAACGACGCAAATGATCAGTGACCACAGCCCCTTCTCCACGCCTCAGAGCATCGTACGCAGTGGCCCAATGCTTCTTCATATCTCCAGCCAGGTATTTCGAAGCCCCATCAACAGAATTCTGAGACGCCCATTCATCAATGGAGCATTGCTGAATCTTGACGTCTTTTCCAAGAACCCGGCTGATCGACTTTACGCTTTCCGCTATTGAGAGTTCCTGCGGGCCAGACAACAGGAGTGTTTTGTTGATATGCGAGAAAGTTGCAGGACTTTTGATATAATCGGCGAGCAAGTGTGCAGTACCTTCGCCAAGCTCCTCGCGCTTAACCCATGATATCCCAGGGCCTTCTCCGTCGTGCGGGATCTTCAACTCTTTAGGAGGGTTCTTCAAATCGAGGAAAGCAAGGTACAAGCCGTACGATTCAGTGTATAAGCCCTGACGCACTATGGTGTATGTGAAAGACGGACGTTCCGCAGCAAGCTGGGCGAGATACCTCTCAGTATCGAGATGGGCTTGCATGACAAAGGCAAGAGAGTCGGAAGTGTTGCCGGCGAAACCAAGGGAGGAGTAGAAGATGTGTTCTACGCCAGAACGAATGGCTGCATCAATGGCATACTTTTGAACCTATGAGACACACTTAGCAAGGCACTTTATTTTCTTCATAACTATCATTACTTACCTTGGTGCGGTACTCATGTTCGATACTCGCGTAAGAGATAAGATTGAGGTAACGCGCTCCATCGAAAGCATGGTCAAGAGACTCCAGCTTGTCGTAGTCCCCGTATCTGCTGATTGCTCCTGCTTTTGTATACGTCTCGGGAATCTTGGTTGGGCTTCTTGCCACGAGGATAACATTCTTCGCGTCTACAATATCGAGAAGGTGCCGGTACGTGCTGCCGCCAATGCCGCCCGAGGCAGGAAAGATGGCGATTGAGTCGCTGTGCATAGTGCTAGTTGGCGAGTGTGATCGTGTGAAGGGGGTGGATGTCGAGTGTAGGGCGTAGATGGAGCAAGCCAAGTTGTACCTTCTTATACGCAGCTCGGCGTTCTACTTTTACATCTTTCTCTGCATATTGCCTATGAATTTCTGAGCAGAGCCGAACGAGATTATCAATCAATTCTGTCACGAGGAAAGATCTTTTGTTGAAAAGCGCATTTGTCATCTGAGGCTACAGGCCGAAATCTCAAACAGGATCCAAGCAGCACTACAGACATCTAAGATTTTGAACGTATCAGGCACAATCTACATGGTATTAGTGCTATCTGCGGGGCTCAACATGCCCAGAAACACTGCTAACTTGGAGCGTGTTTCAGAAAAAGATTTCGGCAAGCTGATTAAGCACCCGCACCTATATCTTGAGGCTATGGTGTAATGAGCCTGCTTTCATAGTACGCCAAGAATCAATGTGTACATGTCTGTGCACGACATCCGAAGCTTCGATCTCATTCTATTCCGAACAGTGCAACAAGGTTCGATTGCATAAGCGAACAACGGATACAAGAAGACTCAGGGATCGTCGCGTTGACAGCTAGCTGGCTAGCTTTGATGACGTAGTCGCCGTAGCCCAATCGTCGCTTAGAACCAGCACCTTCGGACCCACCGTACACGCTAGCAGTACAGGATTTACTATGAGTTAACAGCTTTTCGGCGCACGGTTCTAATATCATAATTTATAATTGCACGTTCCTCTTAGGCGAGCATGGCCGCTTATCTAGCATCTCTATTCCTTCTTTCCATAGGTGCTTGTTTTGAGAACGACTTTTCGATGCGATTTAGGCTTAGAGACGATGCGTTAGCAGAAGATTCTTCTTATTATACCGCAGACTCGCCTAGCCAGAAGATAGATTCGTGTCGAGTTACAAGGAGAAAACCACTTGGAATTTGCACGCGCAGGGTATCCAGCCTAAAGGATTTGCAAGGTCAAGTGAAGTTAAGAAAAGGCAAAGAACTAGTATACCTTGCCTTACTACCCTTCAAGTATACGTTCTAGTCTATCCTATCTATTTGCTTTCTCTAAATGCTGTCTAAACTGTGATATTTTCCAATCATAGACCTACAGGGAAAGCATATAGTCATCTCAAAATAGAAGAAGATATTATTGCTGCCGCCTGTAGAGACACACAGTCGTTAAGATTATATAATTAATACCAGACGAGTTGCTAGGGCCGTTTTAGCACTGACAACTTAGCGGGGCTGCAACGGATTGTTGCGATGGTGGTTTCCTTCATATATCCAGGATGCTTCGAAGACCGTGATTACGATGATGCAGTAGGCGCGAGTAGCCCATCGTCTGCAAGCCATGGCAGTACTGTGGACATCTGTATGTTTGGAAGTTTACAAACCATGCGTATCTATATCGCTGAGAGTAAGCAACCTTGTGGTATATTCTTGTCTTGAACTAACAAGCGCGCTCGTACATGGACGTTTCTGTGAAACGGCAACTGCAATGTCGTTCAAGGTTGAACATAGTCACGTAATGGTGCAAAGCCGCTTCATGTGCAACGAAGGTGCGTACAGCTGCCAAGTTCGCGTGAGTCTGTAAAAGCCCATAGCATTAGCGTTGAGTATCGAAAAGGCGGTCGAAAGCCAGGGTCCGCCAACGAAGTGGGAATTTGCCTGACTAGATCCACTCCTTCAGACGACAGATTCGTCGTAGCGGATACAAGAGCGCACTCTAGTCTTGTCTTCACTCTCGAGATGTGTCAATGCAATGCTCAGACCTTCGCTTTCGAATCATTATCTAATAAGATTGATTGTACAGAGCATGCGAAATCCAATCATCAGCCGTCTACTTACAGCGATCAGGCTATCAGGTTGCTCCGTAAACACTCTGGTGTTTGCGTAAGCATAGACATCCTCACTCTAAAACTACCAATTACCATATACAGTAATTGATGTGAAACATCCATCCTTCAACGCGCCACTGATACGAAATCCCATTTGTTATTCCATGGACATGACGTTTGATGTCTTCTTGCGGAATAGAGATGAACGGCATACAGCACACGATATAGTACCTTGAATCAAGATGATCCACAGAGTCTAGGTAACTCATTCCAGGGCAAAAGATCGTCACCAGTAAACTAGTCGCCCATTGGTTCACATTGGCAATACCAAGTCCCACAGGACGAACCGAAGTGCTCCCTGCTTGCTGCCCAAAAGTGACACCAGTCCTTTTCCCAAATTCTGTACTCGCAAGCTGCAATACCTTGACAGCCGTTCCTCCACGGTATGCTGATTTCGTCAATCAGGGATGGTATCACTGAGTTGGCTCTGACTGCGAAAATACTTTCGTCCCCGTAGCGATCATCTCAGGGGTGTGTAAGGAGGATACGTAGGCACGTGCACAAACATCACTGGCAGACACACCTTACAAGTCGAATTGGAAGATTGGTAGGATCTTGGCTCATTGATCACTGATTGGGAATGATACTGCGCTGCATGAGGATCTTGTGCCATGCATGGTTTGTCGTGCAGTGTCGACAGGAGGATCGCTTGGTCCAAGAGCAAAGACAACCAAACACGCTCAGTCCTGGAGATATTGCCAAGATAGAGCGATGCGAAGACTTGCCATTAGCGAATAGGCAGGCACGATTGCCTCGGGGTCTATATCTCTGTTTATCACTAGTGATGTGAGAAGGCATAGCGTTGCACACTTTGCGTGCCGCTGACCTCCACTACTACTTAAGTTAGACAAAAGTCCCCCCCTTCGCCGCACAATCCGACAATCCATCTAGCGATAAGTCACAACTCTAATAGCTCCAACCTAACGACCGACTGCACTTCGAAAACGCTTGCTACTCAATCTACCGCCGACCGTATACATCCTTCCTACTACTTCTAGAGCCCAAGCTTTCCCTTGGTGGAGAGGGCGTGAGCGGCTTTCTAGAAGAGGGTGGTCGAGGCTGGCTCCGTAAATTGGTGGGTTGAGCAATCCCATAACCCTTGTTACCCCCACACCGAGCGCGAGTGTGGAGGCGACTACCGCAGCCACTGCATACATGAGGGTAGCGACAACCGCTCAGATCCCAGCAGTTCCCCTCATTCCAAAAGTAACAAGGTCTGATTCGTCTTCCAGTCTTCGTAGCGGAATCGAAACGGACCCGTTTGTCACGGGGGGCGGGAGGTGGCGATTCAGAAGCGTTCCTGCGGCGAGGTATGGACGGTGGGTTTATCGTGGATGGTACGTTATCATGGATCTTGTCGTGAGAAATGGTATTTCTGGTATCCGAACGGGAGCATATGACTGTGCGCTGTGCAGAGATGCCTCGAACATCTTGAAGTCCCGATTCCTGTACGCTCGGAATTTGCTTGCGCTTCTGGTAATCGGCCAACGAGATGTGCGTACGCTTTAGATCATCGGACAACGAGATGCGTTTGGGTTCACTGTCTCCGGTCTCTTGCCTTTCGTCTTTGTCTCTTTCTTCTTCCAGCACTTTCTCCTTGCCTTTGCCTTTGTACACACTTTCGTCGTGATCTTTAGCTGCTGTCGCTTGGTCCTTCTCCTTGCCCTTGTGCTCAATCTCCAACTCGACTTCTGCCTCTTCCTCTATCTCGCCGTCCTCCTTCTCTCCACCCACTTCACGACCTTCCCCCTCTTCAGCGGCGTCGCCATCTCCATCCCCATTCCCAGGTGCTGCTAGGCCTTTCTTGCTTTGGTTGATACACGGAGATTCCGGCGGAACAACTATCTCTCCGGGGTGTACGGCGTCACTTGACGAGGATGCGGCGCTGTGCGCTTCCATCTTACGCTCCGTCGATACCGCCATACTTGCAGGCTGGGTTGGCCGAGCCCATTGCGCCTTGCCGCAGGCAGTGTAGAAATATGTTGAATCATTCTCATCTCTAGCACGGTACCAGCCCTGAGGAAGAATGACTTATGATGCTGGCAAGAGCGAGGGTCGTGATTCGCGAAAGGAGGATGACAATAGCGATATTGGATAGGAAGAACCGAAGGCGATGATCTCTGCGCCACACCCTGGGAGACTAGTCGCGTCTCCCAAGGACGATGTGCCATCTTCACTATGATGTGAAGATGATGCTGGAGGAGCTTGACTTGAAATTTGACTTGAGGGTTTATTCCTACGCTCCTCCGCCCTTCGCGCCGCTCTTGCGTTGTTCTTGGTTGACGCCTTAGAGCACGGTCGTTGTGGCGGCATGATGGTCTTTGCGACATGTGTCGGAGGTCCCATTCGATTAGCTCTTTCCGGTGACGGGCGCAAAGAAACACGAGCTGTGAGATCGTCGGAACGTTCCAAAGCCATGGGCGCTACTTCTGGAGATGAGGAACGGCCGCGATCGTGGAGTAGTGGTGGGGTTAACGGAGAAGATTTGAGGATGCCGGATACTACATGTGGAAAGAGCTGGTCAGTATTGGCAGGTGCGAGCGAAATAACATTCACTCATCTCGGGGCTGCTCAGATGGTGAGAGGTGACGAGCATCATGTCGACCCTCGCCAGTTGTGCACCACTTATGGTTACAATGCATCACGCATTCTTGTAATAGCGGCGAAGTCTATGAAGTCGGTCGAGGTTGGGCTGACTTACAAATCCTGTCTTGGAACATTTTCGATGTATGAGGTCCCATACCGGGGGTATTGAGAGAGGCTCAGAAGTCACATTGACTGATGTTTAACATGGCAACGGTGAGCCTTCGAAGCTGAAGAGAAGAGATGCGTATTTGATAGCCTACGTACTCTTCAACTTGTTCTCCGGGCGAGAGTCTGGATTGAAGCCGTATATCCATGGAGCGCGTGTTTGTTTGCGTTGGTGCATTGACCTTCATGCGATGAGCCGACGTGGCTGCAGTATCGTCCCGTTCGTCAATGCTGCATCGCAAAAGTGAGTCGGCGCAACTATGGAAAGGCGTACTGCGGCCAAAAATAGGCTCGATCCGTTGTTCATGGTTTTCATGGGTGGATCAAGAAGGGAGTCAAAAATGTTGAGTGGTCAAGCTCAATCACGATGCGCCACGTCGTTTTATTGTGCTTACAATGCGAAGTGGGAATATTCTTGCACTACGAGCATGGTTCATGCGAGGGACGCCGGAGTGAGTGTCGTCGTAAGCCTGCCTGATAGAACCCACGCTGGACATCTCGTAGATAGCGCAAGCTCAGTCGTGGTGTCTGTTTTGAGAGCATCAAAGATCGTGTGCTCCCAAACTCACAATAGTTGGATTCAGGTACATCACACATGAAAAAAGGACTGCTAGTTACCGTCATGCGCTCGAGCCAAAGGCACTGCATATGCGTGCGTTACGAGTGACCACAGGGGTGCTTGGAAAAGCGACCACGCATCTTCAAAGTGGCAACGATACTAACATAGCTGAAGACACACCGGATGCAGCGGACCTTCAAGCAGAGCCCTTCGAATCTCTCGAGATAAACCTCGCGGCTGCAAGAGTATATGCTGTTAATGGCAATGCGCCGCTCGTTTTTGCCTCAGTGGGTAGCGCAAGGTTCCTTGATGCACAGGGTCTTGACCTCTCGGTTGTCGAAGCAAAGACGTCGACGGAGGAACAACCGCTGCTATACCACTCTTTCAACACCTCTAGGCTTGCTGAGACCGTACCTTACACAATCGATGGCGAGCAGAGCTGGGGTGTTCTGCAGCAGATCTATGTTAGCTTTCCAAACTACATCCCGAAAGTTGTCGGCACTTTCGTGCAAAGACGTATCAATCCCACCTCGGATCTGTAGTCATCTGATCACGAGTGTGTACTATGATTATAAAAAATACAGCCTTGCAATCTGTCTAAACGTTACCATGAAGTATGTTTAGTTGAGGGCGATCACCTATCACCGTTCACCCTTCGATGCTCACAACACTACTATCCTCATCACGCAACTTACCAGGGGTAGCGTTATTCCGCTCAAGATTGAATTGAAAGCTTACCACTTATTTCTCACATCAAACTCTGCCTGTGAGGTTGATCTCTCACAATATACTACGGCACACCACGATCAATCATCGAAGTCAGACAATACCATGCCTCCCTCAACCAGGGCCTCCACAGAAGACCCGCAACCACTCATTTGGCTTCTTCAATCATTCACATTCGGCAAAGAACAAAAGATTACTGGACCTACGAGCCTGTTCTTGGATCGTGCGAACGCAGAGTTCGGGTTCATCCGGTATAGTGCCCACAATGTCGCGGCGATTCTACGTTTTCCTGACACAGATGAACCCATGTACTTCCAAGCCGAGAGCGTGCGCGCAGCAGCTTGGAGGGAGAAGTGCAAGAAGGTCTGTCTCCTCTTCCAGCATCTGCAGCTTGACCTAGAGTTTGCTTCGCCAGATCTCGCTCGCTCGTTTCTGGACATGTTGGGAGACATTATGATGGCAATAGGCAATCAATTCTACACCTATGAAGTTCCGCCAAAAGTTGCATTTATGAAGGCCGACTTCGACATGGAACAGCAGGGCTTCATCAGCCGCGCTACGGAGCCTTGGATCGCGCTTCAAAAAGAGTCATCCGAGTGGCCTCGTCTCCGCAAAACGGGTGAGTGGTCAGACTTCACCATTTCCGCAGGAGGCAGCCAGTTTCCGGTTCATCGCGTCAAGATTTGCAAAGAATCGAACTACTTCAAAGCGGTATGCAGCGGTGGATTTCGAGAAACCGCACAGCAATCTGTCGTCCTACCCGAATCAGCGCAAGTCATATCGTCTTTGCTCGACGAGATGTATGGCGTCTACAGTCCCACGACCGGCTCAATCTTCACGAACTTCATACCCCGTAAGGCGATTGAAAAAGAGCATATGTTGAACCAACTTCTTGATCTCTTCGTTGCTGCGGACAAAGTGTGTCATACCATATGCTTTCTCTTCTAGCTGCGACGCTAACTGATTGAGCAGTACAACCTCGAAGCTATCAAGCGCAAGGCTGCAGAAGCCATCATCGACCGGCTCCCTTTCGTCAACGATGCGCTCATGATCGTCGACCTCGCCACTTGCGTCTACCATGAGAGATGTCCGGAGAACGATCGCGGTTTACGTAAAGCCATCATTGCGTGTGTTCGGACGAGGATGCCTACTATACTAGGAGACGAGAGCGCGTGGAAGGAATTCTCAGAGAACAAAGATGTACTGAGAGCGTCTCATTTGCATACGTGTGAGATGGACGGTGCTGACGGCAGTAATGGAAATGTAGTTGGGATTGGGGCTGGGATGACGACGCCGCCCGCTTCGCCGAATACGATAGCTGGGCGGTAAAGGTGGATGTGGCGTAAGAGATCTCGCGTGTGGTCAGATTGCATTGGCACAATAGGGTTGAGGCAAGCCGACGTGAGAGTTTACTTTGAGAAGGCCTGATTCATGCCGCATGTAGTGGTAATAACCAGGTTGTCTTGATCTGTCGAATATTTTGATGAGGGCGCAGCATGCTGATGACAATACCTTCGACCTTGAGCATACTCCTGTATGTCGATACAATCTGGTGCTTCACATTCGTGATTCGCGCAATGCTCGCGGAAACCGTCTCGGACGAAGTATTGTCTCCAACTGCGAAAGACTCCAGGGTCGAACCAGTCCCAATGACCGTACTCTTTCCGTGTGTTTGGACAACTCAGATGAATGCAAGTATTGTTGTGGTCGGGACAGAACCTGTCGTTGATGTTTTTGATGGCCGAGCACCCCGACTTAGTACATCGAGCGTGGTTGTGGCATAGATCAGAAGATTCGCGGTGGGGATGAGGACAACCTTGAGCGGCGCAACGATGGTGTAAACACAGGGTGAGCATTTGGTCAGATGTCTCCCCCCTGTTATGCGTAGGCCACAAACAACCGGACGCATTACATGTGTGCGTGATGCAGTAGTAACGACCTTGAGAATAGTCTGCCCCGAACTCGTTACAAGTAGTTGTTGTGATCCTGCAAGTATGATACGCGCAGGCTGTTCGCCCGTCAGACATAGGCTGCGAGCAGCCTGGATTTTGGCAGCCATGGGCTCGGCAATACGGGGTTCCTGCTGCGAAGTTTGATTGCTCTGGACAGTCGAGAATGCGACAGGAATACCAATGATTGGCACAGAACGGTGAGGTTTGTTGATCGCTGTCGGGATGGTGCCGCGGTGTACTACAGCCAGTTTTTAGGCAATTCATAGCTTGTCAGGACCAAAGACAGTGTTCCAAGTTCGAGTATAATTATTGAACCACAAGTACGACGTAGACGTAAGAGTAAACCAAAGGACGGAAGTAGAAGTATAAGTAAACGAAGCTGCTGGAACATTAGGCAGCTATGCATTTGGAGGCTTGATCGCTAAGGTGATATCACCAGCTTCGCGAGTGGGGTGTTGGCCAGCTGTCCAATACGGCGATGTGGGCAACGGTGGCGGCTAGGCGTTTTCATAGTGATAGGAGTTTCATGCTACCAAGAAAGCCTCTACCGTTTATAATGGAGGGTCCGGTCGTGCCTTTAGAGGTCAAGTGTCGGTGCTAGCTTGGGATGTGCTGACCGGTTTTAAGACAGCCTGATCCAATATGCATACGTGACTACATAATTCCCTCTCTTGAGCTACCGCATTGTAGTATCTTTGTGCTAGGTCGTACTTGCTCACCGTTTCTAGGGAAGATATTGAAGCACACTTATCGCAGTGGTAAGCCGACACTGTTGTGAAGTCATGCCTTACAGGCGATCGCTGGTTCGTCGGATTGTTGCGCTCCAATCCCGAACCCCTGCGGAGTGGGCCTCGTCGTCATCATAAGACCTAGGTCTTCCTAAACGTCCTTCGGTATTGGATCGGCACCGAATAGAAGCTTTGTATCGTCTCCTGAGCGTAGCACGTGTGATCCTCGTACTATTGTTGGGGACGCACATACCATGGTACAACCAAGAGATGCACAAGTTTAACGCTAGTCGCAAAGCGTATGACTTTTCTGGCAGCTTGTTGTGCAGCTATCACCTATTATTGTAGAAGTATGACACTGATGCAGTATTCGCTAAACTAATAAAGGGACGGAAAATCAACACAGCTTTCGCACGATCACCTGTGACCTGTATAAAAACGACGCTTCAAGCCGGCAGCGATTCGTTCCTTCACTCTCTTCCAATGAGCCGCGATATGGATAGCCTTATGCTTATCTCAAAACGGTAGTGCCCACCGCTTTCCCCAAGCCGACTTTCTTCCAGTCGTCTTTACGCGTGAATTGTCTCCCACCAACCTCGGTGCTAGATTGCTATCGTCTGCGCTGCTCCGATTTCCTTTTGGCCTTGTTTTGTTCTGTTTCGGAACTCTTTTGAATCCGAAACCACCCTCTTAGACCTGAATCATCTTATCGCGCTTCTTGTGGAGAGGCTTCACTTCCCGCGCATGAACGCTTTCTTGATCTGGCCCACGTCCGTCGGTTGCATGATCCGATTGATACTCATGATCGTTGGTTCGCTGGATGCGATTTGGAAGCATCTTCAGGCGCATATCTGGGAGGGCTTTAGAGACCAGGAGACATTGGCGGCGTGGTGCGGAAATGGTCGTAGGGCATGTAGCCCGGAGGAGGAGTCGGATACTGTGGTGCGTACATGCCGTTGGATGTCGCAGTGCGTATGTGGTGATTGTTTGGGAGCGTATACTCTGGTGATGGTGTAGGTTTATCCCGCGTACGCTTGTACAGTGGGTTGTCGTTTGGTGTTGTTCTGTGTGGATGTGGAGTTGGACGTGAAGGTTGTGCGACCATACTGGCATCAGAATTATCTTCGCTCTGAGTCCCTTCGCTCTGGATCTCCCGCTCGACCCGGAAAGGTATTGAACGTTTCCGTTGGATCTTTGGTTTCTGTGATTTCTGTGGCAGTGCCGTTCGAGATAGAGGAGAAGCTGGCACCGCTCCATACCGGTTAGTTCCTGAACCTAATGGAGCCTGCTCTTGCCGCCAAGGAGAGTTCCTGCGTTGTGGAACGTAAGCAAACGGGTTAACTGACGGATAGGGCTGCCTGACGATCTCTTCGTCCTGTGACTCATACCCGCACGTTGCTGCCGTACTAAACGCTGATTCTGTGTGGGTGTCGTTATGGGTATCGTTCTGAGTATCTGGCGAGTTATCTTCGTCGATATAGTCCCAACTATCATCGCTATCAGCATCACTACTACTTTCAGCATCACTGCTGCTCTTGGCACTATTAACACCTGCCGCTTGTGGAAGCGGATAATGTCCTCGTTTGATAGTAATAGAGCTGTTTTCTTCCTGCCGTTGTGAAGGTATCGCCCCTCTGCTCGCAGGCCCTGATGGTAGTAAAGAACTGTTAGCCTCTCCGAACTCGACGATAAACCCATTATCTCCGACCTTCTTAGCTGAGACCCAAGGATCTCTCAATGTGCGCCTTGGTTTATTAGAAGTTCCTCCCTGTTTTGATGAAGTGGTAGCTCGCCTCGGTCTAGATGAAGCTGACTCTGGCTCGTAGATCGGGACATATTCGGGAGTTCCACGTGGTGGCTGATAATCTTGCCATAGTCTCCGCGGGTCAGATGCTGCGTACAATCCAGCGGCGGATGGCGTCGGTTTGGATGCTGGTGAGATATCAGCTCGCCTCGGCCTCGATGAACGGGGCCCTGGATCATATATAGGAACATATTCAGGTGTTCTACGTTGCGCTTCGATGTTCTTGTGGGAGCGAAGGGGATACCGAATTTCCGCTTCGAGGGATCCGTTGTATTGGACTGACTCGTACATGGGGTCAAGAGGGGTTCTACTTTGCCTGGAATGGTAGTAAGGCAATTGACGTGGGTCTGCCACTGATCGGGTTCCTCCAGTCTTGTCTTCGCTGAGTGACTCTTGGGTTTTCGACCACCTACGTCTCGCTTTGGGCTTTTCATGTTGGGCAGTTGATGTCGTCGCTCCATGGCCTACAACAAATGCAGCATCAGGACACCATGAACAATATTGCTCACCCCGACATCCTAGTCTGTCGACTTGTGCTCTGCAATACCAGTGAACTTCATGAGAACATGACAGCACATTTTCCCTCTCTAACAAGTCCCACTCACGTTCACCCAATGGTCTCTTGCAGATAACACACATGTGTAATCTTGCCCAAAAGGTCGTTGCTTCGGGTAACGACCACAAGCTCCTCTTGAGAAGCGAAGACGGTCGGTCGAGCATGCTGCGCTCGACTGCTTTTAATAGACTTCTCACTTGTATGTACTCCAACGGGATGGTGCGTAGAGGAGATGGACCAGCTCTGAAGATAGGCCATAGGTGATTAGGCTTGCATATATATTGATACTTGGTAGTCTGGTGGATCTTTCCGTCAAATCTGCATACGTGTTCAAGAAGAAGACTTGCGTATGCGCGTCCTTCCTCGCAGAGACGACGGTTGCCAAGATAGATGCCAAGTGGGTTGTAACAATCAGAACAGTCGCGAGCGTGCCGGTCAAAGTCCCACGCAGCCTTTCTTTCTGGCTCAGACATGGGAAATACCGTCGCAGAACAGTTGATTATAATTTTCGCCTCCATTCGCTTGATGGCAACTGGTGAGGAGACTTTTGAATCAACGTCGTGTTCATCGATCGACCGAGCCGAGTTTCGCAAACACAAGATCTGATTGTTAGTTGCTTGGGTCGATTCGAATTGCATACCAGGTAGTGAAACGGAATCGCGAGAAAGGCTTTGATATGGTGGAGCGCTCGCGTAGCTCTCGTCTCCACTCGAAGGGGAACTCTTGGCCGATGATGGTGCTCCGTCGTTGCTCAAATTGATCTCACCGTCACTGATGCTAGGACCAAAGCCTGAAAGCAAACATGGAGTTTGAACGGGCATGTTAATCTTGCCGTTTGCTTGGTCAGATGAGCTACTCGCTTCATTGGCTGCTTCGCAAGCTAGTTCCTTAGCCCCACGTTCAAAGTTCTTGCTCGTGGATGGTAAGCCTTCAGGTTCAGAGCACAACCCAGGTGGACAAGGAGAATCATTAAACCCCTCTGAAGCGTTCGATGCTACGAGATTGGTAAACATATCGCCGACGACTGCTTGATTCGGTTTGAGTTCTGTACAGCTGGACGTGTTTTGAGAACGTGGCAGCGGTGCTATCGAACTCTCAAGATCCTCATCTGACAAACGGCTGTCCTCTGATATCTCGTCTTCCAGTTCAAGGCAGCACAGTCCCTTGAAAGTATGTTGTGTAGACGACTCGAAGCTCGCTTCTCCGATACGATTGTCAAGGGTATGGATGTTCCAGCGCGCTACCGGCTTCTCTTGTAACATGTTCAAGATCCAGTCTACAGGGAGAAGATCACTTGACGGTCCAGGCAGTTGTTGAAGTAATGCAATCCAACTGGCAATAGCTTCGAGGTTGGAGTGATATCCCTCTACCTTTGTGCCTTGGGTCATCATATGGGCCCGCAAGTCCTTGATGGTGCGATGTTTCAGCACAGTCCACATCTCTAGGAAAACACAACCGAAAGACCATATATCAGACGCTGTGTTGCGCTCGATATACGCCATTACCTCAGGAGCACAGTAGCGAGGAGTCGTGGGTGAAGCCGTTTCTGTAACACTGTTGTCACGACCCGACCAATCGAGTGAGGTTCCAAAGTCCGTGAAATAGACCTGGTCATTTTTGATCAAAATATTTGAGGGCTTGATGTCCTTATGACGGATGCGATTGTCGTGGAGGTAAGATAGCGCGGATGTCAAGCAGCCGAAGAAAGGTCGCAAGAAGGACCGGGCTCTCTCTTCGAGGTCTGGTCTCTCCATGAAAGACTGTAGGTTGGTGTCAGCTACAGGAAGCATGATGAGAGCCACGAATCTCTTGTCTGTATAACTTCCAACCAACTCGACAAGATGCTTATGACACAGCCGCTTGAGGTTTGAAAGCTCCTTCGTAAAGTCCCTCAGAACCTGTTTGTTTTGCTTGAATGTTCTTCCTCTTGGCATCAGTTTCCTTGCGTACTCCTGGTGGCTTATAGTGCTAACAACACGATCGACGTATCCATAGCCACCCTTGCCCAGCTCCCCAACTTTCTTGAGAGGCACTTCTGTCGGATCGCTAAAGTGTCCATGACGTGCGCGTCGCTCAAGCCTGAGCGCTTCAGTGTTGTAGACGAGGTGTTGTAGCTCGAGGAATCGCAGTCGTGCCGAATGATCGCAAAGCGCTTCCGGCAATGTATTCTTCGTGAAAGGGAAATAGACGTCTGTGATATCGCTGTCAATGAAAGAATCAATCGTATCTAGCTGCCCAATCTTTCGGAGAATGCTATACAATCTTGGAACGCGGCTCCAGCGTTCGCGTGCACAGCGTGTCAACACGTCTGCGACCTCGCGAATATCGTTCTCAGTGAAGGGCGTCAATGTCTTCTCGGCGTTGGCTGGAAACCATCTCCGTAAGAGGTCCTCCTCGAAGCCTTGCTGCGCCATTTGGCGGATTCATCCGGTGAGCGGTTACTACGCGGGCGAGGTTCGTAAATTGGAGCGTCGCGAAGAGACTCAAAGGCGTTCCAGCGCACATGAACTGCGTATCCCGTCCAGGAGAACAATGGAGGGCGGGATATTCTGGCAATCGTGGTAGGATGAGTGGCAAGACAGGCCAGCGCCCATGTGAGAAGGATGGGAGGGGCAGTCAGCACCGCCCCCAAGCGTGCAGCTCTACTCATGCAGCTACCTGCATCCATCCTCCATCAACAGAGTTGTAGCGACATGCGCCACTATACCCGACTTGACCAACTCCATAGCGCAAACCACTGACCGTTTCCATACAAATCAAACATCCGATAACCGTCCGACCTCTCGATCGTGCTTTGTTAGGAAGGTTGCCGCGCACAACAGACCAAAAGCTGTCGGCATTGCAACTTCCGTAATTCAGTACGTTGTCGCAATCGTCATATCGCATTCATCATACTGCGTAGCGTTGAAAGGAACAAAGAAACAATGTAAGCTGGTGAAATTCAAAAGTGATTGCAGTCCAAGGTCTGTTGTGGGTGGTTAGGCAAGGTGGTGTCTCTCAGTACGAGGGAGCTCTCAACGCCACTTCCCCGTGCCCCCATGCCTTAGTCTGTATTTGGTATAGCGCAGATGCTTCTCAGAAAATATGAGCTCTTTCGTATTAGCACAAAAAATACCAGCTCAAAAAAACATACATACGTAAACTTCATATCGCATAAACCATCTACATACTTCTAAACAGTAATAAACCTCGCCATCCAAGTCTCCGTAATCTGCTTCGCCTCCTCCACAAGCCCCATATCAAGCAAGACCTGCACAGTCCCCCTCGTCGCACTCTCCAACGCACTAAAAATCCACGTATGCGTAAACGTCGCCGCCTCCCCAATAAAAACAGTATTGTACTCTGTCTGGTAAAAAGCCGGAAGATACAAATGCTGCTGTCCAAAAATCTGCATGGTAAAAGCCCCAGCCTGATGCTCATCCTGCTCCCAACACTGTCGCGCATAGTTGCCCGTCCAATTCTCCTCAATCACGTCTTGGCCGTGCATTTCGATAAAGGCGCGTTTGATGTAGGCCATGTGCTCGGCTTCGGGCATGGCACAGGCGACGGTCGCTTCGTAGTCGGAGAGGTAGGAGGCGAGCATGGTGCCGGGGCCTGTGGCGTTGATTTGCCAGGACGGGTAGCAGATTTGTCCGAGTTGGGGTTGGTACAGACGTGTGCACCCGCCGATGATGGGCTGCGGGAGGTGCTCCCAGAAACGTGTTTTGAACTGCACGGCGACTTTGCAGGCGTTGGCGAAGAGGGTGCGGTCGATGGCGCGTTTGAGGAGGCTGGAGTAGCGGGGGAGATGCCAGAATTTCATGAGGTTCAGGGGTACGCTGTTGAGAACGTAGTCGAAGTTTTCAATGTTGTCTGGTGTTGAAAAGGCGTCGGCTCCGGTTGGCTTCCAGGATACGGACATTGTTTTGTTGTTGTCGTTCCAGTGGAGGCCGTTGATCTTGGTACCGTATTGGACTTTGTCCTTGACTAGTGGCTCGAAGGCTGCGGGCATTCTGGAGAGACCGCCTTTGATGGTTACCCATTTGGTGGCAAGGAAGTAGACGGTCTCGTACTCCCACATAGGCCAGTAGATGTGGGATTGACCGACCTCATCGGTGGTGTTGAGATCGAACTTCAGCTTGTTGCGGAGGTAGGCAACTTCGGAGTAGTCGAACATGCCGTCGTCTTTGGCCTGCTTGTATGCTTTGAAGATGTTGGTGGCGTACATCTTGACGCGCTCCTTGTCCAGACCCTTGAACCCGTCAAGGGCAGCAATAGCCTCCTCGGCAGCAGTGGCATTGCCATATGTTGTTGGGTTCTTATATGCGGGATCATTTGCGATCTCAGTCCTGCCCGGAATGGTTCCATCGGGACGACGGAAGGGACTATCAGCGGGAGTGTTTGGAGAAGTTTGGATCCATTCGATAAAGTCAACAAGAAGGTCCTTGTTACCACCATTACGTTCATTGAGAGCTTCGGCCAGCTGGAAGATCATGCGCTGGTCGTTGAAAGGAAACGTCTCGTTGGTCTCGGAATCAGTGATCTCGTACGGGAAACGCATGGGTCCAAGCTCATGATATTGGCCTTCATCCGGAGAAGTGCCGTTGAGATAGACTGTACGAATGCGGCCACCGATACGCTGAGATGACTCGAGGATTTTCCAGTTGTGTATGCCAACAGAGTCTAGTAACAGCTGTTGATAGTTTCATTAGCGTACTGTGAATATTCCTCATATTTTGGGTACCCACAGATGTCATGAGCCCAGATATTCCTCCTCCGAGGATACCGAAGGATTTACTTTTAGCTGAGGCTACAAATACCTCATCTGGCTGCTTCTGCTGCAAGTATGCAACGCCGTCGAACCAGTTACTGTCGACTCCTGCGACATCGACAAAGGACTTTTTCTCGCTGCGGCGAGTGCGACGCTTGCTGACAACAAGCTCTTCTGACTTTCCGATGAGCTCTCCATCAAGGAACGCATGAAGACATCCGCCATCCATTTCGGCTGGGGTTAACCAGACAAACTTGTTCGGCCGCCTCTTCTCGTGTTCTTCATGGCGTTTAGCCAAAGGATGAGCGCCAACATGTGTTCGGCCGATATGTTGCTTTGTAGATGCGATGGAAGCGCCTGCATCACATGCTGCGTATGTGATTGTGAGCTCACCATCGACATCTCCGACATAGTCAACGACAATATTCTGGGCGCTTCCGGGCGTAGCTCCAGTTAAAGGAGCAAAGGTAACTGATGGGTGGCTCAAAGGCTTGGACTCGGAGAGCGAAGCAATGCTTACCAGAAGTGGCAGCAATTTGGTAAAGGGCGGCATGTTGATTGCTGATGTAGGATCAAGCCGCTGGTCAACAACATCTTGCAGTGGTATCTCTCTACGCCTTCTTATGGATCTTCCAGAAGAACTCCTTGGCAAGCCAAGAACCGCTGGTATCTACCTTGATGTCCTCGATATCCACTGTTGAATATCCATCAGTCACCCCGCGATGTTATCGTGCACCGCCTTATGTTTTTCGCCAGGTAAGCTCACCGAAGAGCCGCCGGCAAACCTCCGGGTCATGTTCGCTATACCATTAGCTCAGTGCCTCTGGTAAAGAGAATGACCGGTATTCCTGGATACTTGGGAGCATCTTCATGAATACTGAGCCCCCACTTACGAAGATCTCTGATGGGTTATCGCCTGAAGTTTCGTGTCTCGATCCACCCACGTAGTTCGGTATCCGTATGCTCGGAGTCGGCATATCTGAGTCCGATCCATGATTGGAGCGGGCGATATCCTTGAGTCTTGGCCGATGGAAGTAGACAAGTGTAGGTGATCGTGACGGTCCGTCGGCTGGGCGCTACCATGCCAAGAGCAAAATGGTAAGATGCCAAGTACACCCGAGTACAATCAGGTAGTTTTCCCGCTCCGAACGACGGGTCCATCAACCCAACCATCACCGACGGCATAGATACTGTGATATTCTGCTGTCATCATTTACAAGGTGCCAAGACAGTATCGCGGAATATATAAACTTTCAACGTTAGTGTACTAAGTCTCTGCTTTTTATTTTTTACAACGCCGCACAGGCCTATAGCTTCAGTCGCTACTTTCGCCTTTTGCAAGTCTCTCAAACGACTGCGTTTGATCAATCCGTCCTCTGAAAACTGTTTCTTTCTCTACTGGGTCCTCCGATGACGCCCATCTTCTCTTCGTCAGTACTGCGCCTTTCGCCTCTTTCAGCCTCTTCGCTCTCTTGCAATACCTGGTTGTTTGGGTTTGGTTCTACAACCTGACCGTGATTACCACCCACCGACTCCATAGTGAACGGACTCGCAGTCGGCGCATCAAGAATTCCCAACTCCTCCTGCGTAAAGAAGTTGGGCATTAAGAATGTTCGCATCGGGATATATAACAAGATAAAGACGGGGAAACCAATGGCGGCAATAGTTTGAGTGATCGCGAACGTGGCACCAAAGCCGATGAGTTCGAGGCCAACGAAAGCCCAGATCACCCATCGGCGCTTGATCTGTTTCAACGGGTCGGATCGTGATGTAAGGTGCTTGTCCTTCGCGAGAAAGACGAGCTTCGCCGTAATGCCATTTGCTTCCAGTGCCTGAATTCCCATAACGAAGAACAAGCCTGCTAATACAGCTTGCGGGATAAGATGCAGAACAATGAGAAGAGGTCCGCTCATGGTACCTAGCGTCAGAAGTCCTTGCGCAAGGTTCGATACTCGCTGCTCTACCACGTGGTCGACAACACGCTTGGCATGTCCTTTGTTCTCTTCGTCATCCGAGTCGGACACAGTGCGTGTGACGCAAAGCGACGTGGTATGGAATGGCGCCTGCGGGATGAGGCCGTTAGGGAACGGGATGCCTAGTAGCCCGGCAACTCCAGTTGTTATGCCCAAGAGAAAGATATCCCAGTGAAAGCCTGCCGGTTTGCGTAGCGGAAATTCCGTGCCTTGCGCAATTAAACTGGAAACGTTATGGTCAAACCAGAAAAGAATGGTCAACAGTATGGCGAACGGAATAGCGAGAAAGACATCACCAACGCTTATGTCCCAAAAGTGTATGAACCATCCGCGATCCGTGGTTGGAAAGAAGGCTTTCGACGTAGGTAGCTTGAGCAATTCAATGCCAGCCATCTTGCCAATGTGCACGAAACCAGTGAAGAAGATGACTGTGAGTGGGGTGCCATAGTCTTCGACAAACTTTCGAACGTGCCGCTGAAGCAGCGATGATTGCCCAACGATACCACAAATGTACGCGACCGCGGTGACCAGCAAAGCAATCACGATTGAGAGATATGCCGACGCGTCATTGACAGCCCATTGCCTCGTCAAGACCTGTATCCCCTTTTGCAGATATATGAATGCGACGTAGAAGCCGAAGATGTCGCAGGAAAAGCGCGTGACGTATCGTAAGCCGTTACAGGAATTCGTGAATGCGAGGATCCAATGAAAGACCAAAGACCATATGCCAATCCAGCACATAAATGCGAAATAGTTGGTTCCCCGTGGGGTAATGATATCGTATACGGTGTAGTTGAAGACGGTGATTGGTCCTGTGACTCCCACGATGACCAGCGGCTGCGCTGCTGCGAGTGAGAAAACGACAGAGGCTAGCGCTGAGGCAAGAAGAACCTCATTAACACCAAAACTCTCATTCGTCTTTTCAAACATGTCCAGCGAGAAAGCGAGCGCGGGGAGGATGTTCGCAAAGTACATGTAGACTGTCGCAGGCACCACACGATAGTCCCACGCGTCTTTCCAGTCGCTCCAATAGAACGGTGCTCGTCGCCGCACATCGTTTATCATGCCACTGAAAAGGCGTGTCTTCCACCAAGCAATCTTGCTTGAGGCTACAGTTCCGCGTGATTGGCGCGTGTTCTCCCGATGGAGATGGTGGTTCGACGTGGCATGGCGCTTCGAAGGGCGAAGCATACGCGACTTCCACGACCTGTTCGCGTAATTCGAAGACATTGGTTCGTCCATGGCGAGGCCGTGGTCCTGGGTGGGTACGCTACGGGTATTTTGCTGCAGGCGGAATTACAACGGAGATGTCGTCATGACCGGACAATCTCTGCAGATATGGGCGTTTTCCTGGCGATTGAAGCACGAAGATCAAAGGTCGTCCCAGGGAGTATGTATTTCTGCGAGGCCATGCGAACAGACCAAGAGATTTGCCGCCATGACAGAAGGTCGGCGAGCTTGTATATGTATGGTAAGTGGAGGAAATCATCTTCACACCGCCGTCACCGGCTTTGCGGCGGCAATAATCTTAGCGCGGACAGGCTTGGCAGGTGCCTGATGTCACCAACACTACAATCTAAGCATGCACCGGCTCTGCATAGCCGATACGACCCTTTCATCTCAACAGCTGACTTCGATCGGAAAGTGACTACGAATCGTACATCTCCATCTCGTTTTTCGGTGTTCTCGCCTGAACGCCTTGTTGGCACCGATTGGTCAAGCCGTATCAGCTCCGAGGACGCGGAGGTCTCTCATCGACACCATGATACGGCGTATACGGTGCGACCAAGAGCACGCGCTGGTTGACCAACGACAGTTATTATCGCGCTCGATATCGCCACCGTCAAGCCTCGTAATTCTCTCCAATGCTACATTACTTTGCAAGGACTACTCCAAACGCCTCAATCATGTAATCATCCTACACCGAACTACAGTCGAATAGGCCTTCAGGCTCCAATCATCTCACAAATCCACACCTTATACCAATCCTTACGGAGTCCACTTCGACGCTTAGGCTGATACGCAGCAGTCAGCGTGGCAGCAAGACTGCAATCTAAGCATTCCTTTTCGATGATGAATTCTGTCTCTGTACTGGCCACCAAGAACCACTGTTGCAGAAGGCTGGCCTTAAAGACTGCTACCTCCACCTCTCCGGTTTGACACCGAATCAAGTTTTTGCTTTGTACTTTTTCAACAGCGTTGCTAGCGGTAGTCGTAGGGTCGTTGAAACTGGATTGCAATGCTCGAATCTAGTCTTCCAGATAGATGATCGAATCGCGGATGCAGACATGATCCGATATACCCTACCATCCTTCTGGGACGGATCCTTGAGCTCGAATCGAACCTTTAGCACTGTCGCTGTCTCGCGTACGACTACGTAAATGTCATGGGAATTCAGACACTATGGCAATCTAGATGCGACGGCAATGTCTAATGCTTGCTCTAAGTATCTAGAACTATAACTATTTTCTTTTCTATATGTTTAATGAGCGTATAAAGTTTATTTTCTGTTGACTTCCACAAGCTACTCGGAAGCACAAAGTTAACACCTCTGTAAGAATGCGCTAGAGGTGACGTGATAGATCACCCCACTGTCTCTATATCCTCGCTATTCTCCCTTCATCTGCCGTATCTATCGATTTATCCAACTATCAGTCTAGTGAGTTGCTCGACATGACCCTGCACCTTAACTTGTCGACCATTCCAGTATCCAGACCCTTCTCCGTAAGACTCTGAGATGGTTGTAAACGTATCTCGCTGCTCAGGCAATACTGGCGAGATCTCTGCCTCGCGCACCCATTTCTTAAAAGTGAATGTGGCGTTCTTAGCTGGGAGATCTAAGACAAAGTGGTTGAAATAGCGTCTTCCAGACTCGGTACTTGTAATATCCGAAGCTATGCTGTTCGATCCAACAGGAACGTTCTCGTGAAGACCATTAGGGTGCCAAATCGATGCGAAAGCGATTTCAGAGGTTCCCGTCGCATAATCTGGTTCCATACTCCAGGAGATTAGCACCTCGCCAGTCTCGAGATAAAGCCAGAGGATATAATAGCCCTGACCAACAAAGAAGTCGCCCCACTGTCGTTCGAATAGAGCATAGGACTCCTTAAAGTCAATCTCTTCAACCTGCCCATCTACAGAGATTGTTCCGTTGATACGAGTCGTAGGGTTGGACTTTCACAGATGTCAGCATTCCTCTTCGTTCACTCATCCACTCGACGTACCCAGTACCAAGACCATCCTGGAATAGCTGAAGAATAGTCGGCGATTTCACCCGTGCTGTTTGTCACATTAACCGTCCGAGCAGAGAATTCTGAAGTCCTGCTGAACAGCTGAATACCTCCATTGCCACCGTAGTAGAAGTTATCACCTGTTGGGTACATATTCATGTCGAGTTTGATACCAGATAATTCCATGTTGAACGCTGTTCCTGTCCAGCCGTCTCCACCTTGAGGAGCTCTTATAGATTGATTGGCTGCACGCCAATCTAGGACATTGGCTGCAGAGCCGGGCTGCAAGAGAGAAGACCCGCGTCCGGTTCTGTCTTGCAGATCGTTGAAGGAGAGGAAAGCACCGAGCTGGTCAGATCCGATCATACCAGAGTTGGTGGTAAGATGGTACTTGTTTCCGTTCGTTGTCGTCACCCAGACAAGCAGAAAGATACTGCCGTATAACATGAGTAGCCGTTCATGAATATAGCATGCAAGAGCGGGGGTAGATATCGCTTACTTGTTGATGTTGGTCGGCCTGTCAGTCGTGTACGAAAGGGTCTTGCGCACATCGTATCGATTGAACTTGGTCTTGAGAGTTGTTAGCAATGCGTCTTTTTGTATTTCGAGAATAAAGAGGCAACATACACCATCATTCTCGATAGTTGTAGGTGGATAATCTGGTGGAGCCCAAGGGTAAGGTTCCGATAGGGCCAAAGAGATTGGCAGAGAACAAAGCGTCAGGAGAGTCCAGTATATCATGTCTTTCGGTGATGTTTAGTTGTATCTGCTGTATGACTGATAGACTTCGACCCCGTTCATGGTCTGTCTTTTATAGACCACTCTGTAGAGTAACACCGGATCGAAGCGGAAATATTGTGGCTGCTCACTGTCAAAGCAGGCTTGGCAATGCGCGTCTATGTCGCAAAAAGAGTGCAGAGGATATCTTGGAAGGGTCGGGATGATGCAGTTACCAAAAGCTTGTTCGTCTCTTCCAGCGAGTCAGGCCTACTTACGTGTGCAAACAGTACTCGGAGGGTCGGAAATGTTACCAAGATCCCAAATCGCGACTCAGTTTTGTTTCACAAACCAATTACACAGCCTTGCGATTCCGGTGTAATGTGCCATGGGTCGCAGCGGCCGTATAGACCGTATAGACCGTATAGACCGTATCGACCGTGTTCACTCCTGACTTCCTCCGTATATTCTACATTGCCGAAGTTTTTTCTTGTGCACTAACAGGAATTGCGTGCTGGATTTCGTCCGTAGTCTCCCAAGTTATTCAGACCTGTGACAATTTGCGAAAATACACGTACGTCTGTTTCACATGTAGCCACAGAAAATTGCACTCTAATTGAATCCAAGTTAAGCTCAAATCTTTACCCAGGTGGTCATCGTGGTGGCACGCATACGACATATGCACAATATAGCACAAAGCAAACCAATATCGAATAGAAAACATTGAAGGCCGATATGTTTCTCGTATATATTCTTAAGCCACCAGAAGGGGAATTTAACGCTCTCAATTCGTCTTTGCTTGGATTAAAGTTATTGTTGTGAACTGATGTGTGCCATGATTTTTGCAGACCCTTCGTCATGGTCGACCGGACAATCTGTACGATTATCATCGAAACAAACAACCTGCCCCCACATCTTCAGAAGCGCTTCTGGCGTAGCATGAGATCCTAGTGGAAATTGGAAGCCGCCAGACCGTTGCCAAACGGTCTTGCAAGCTCCAGTTTCATTGATCTCATACACCTGAGCGCAATTCTTGCTGTGGCTGCCATTGGTATCGCAGCTAAGGATCCTCGTGATGCAAGCCAAGATATCACCGTTCGTGTGCGGGCTTCTGACGGCATTCGGGATAACTACACCAACTCTGATGTTGTTCTCAGCACCCTCACAAGCAAGACTGCGTGAAAGTCCTAATAGCGCCCACCTAGCCATAGTGTGTGACAGCTGATCCAATCTTGGTAACACATCACTAGGATGCGTGATGGTAACAATTTTGCCACTCTTCTGCGCATGAAAGTGTGGCCATAGAACCTTCGCAATGTCTTTTAGGCATTGGACATGTTTTAAAGCAGAGTTCAAGTTTGTATCCGCCATTGGATCAGAACCTGGAACAGAACCTAGATCATCTGAGAGAGTGGCGTCATTGATGAGGATGTCAACGCAGCCGTAAGCGTCTAGAGCAGCTTTGACGATGCTTTTTCCGTCCAAAAGGCTGCTCTGAACTCCTATAGCACAGCCACCGAGTCGTTCAATCTCTCTCACGACAGGGATCGGATCGAACAGATCATGAACAACAACTTTGACGCCAAGAGAAGCATAGTAAAGACAGCATTGGCGACCGGTTCTGCTGTCATGTCAGTGGAATCTTCTTGACTAGTCATAAAGATTTGAGTACCCACCTTGTAGCTCCATTGACAACGATTGCGACCTTCCCCTGCAGGTTGACTTGGTCGGTCTTTGACCCAAACGGTCGCACTCCAATGGAAGGTGAATCAGTTCTCGCAACGTTGTTCACTGCGGGTCGGATTTGTGCAAAATGGCCGCCACCCGCCTCAAACAAAGCGCCTGTGACCTCTACGTTGGTCGAGTGCACAAGTACAGCGACCAGAGGCACAATGAGATCCATTTGGAGAGCTTCTAACAGGTTTGGTGGCAGAAAAGGTTCAAGCATCTTGCTTGCCGCAAGAGGAGCGATGGTGTTGACAAGTATGTTGTGCTTGAAACCCTCGTTCGCGAGCGTCTGTGACATGCCAATCTGGGCAGCTTTTGTAGCTAATGTTCATTGTTAGTTATGAAGAGTCTTTGAGTGGCTTTTCAGAGGACTTACCGGCATAGCCGGCCTGATGAGGTATACCAAAGAGGCCCGCAATCGAAGAGGTATTGATGATTCGACCGTATCTCTGCCTGATCATATGGGGCCAGACCGCTCTAGCACACTCGAATACAAGTTAGTGGATGTAGATACGCACTCATAGGGAGCGAAGAATACCTTGAATGATCCATTGAGATTAACGTTCATAACCGCTTCCCAATCTGCCTGGGTCGTTGACTCAAGGCTTCCAACTCTTACAATACCCGCATTATTGATCAAAACATCGACTCGATCGAACGCTCGGAGCGTAGCATCTATGATGTTGTGACCATCTTCGACGCTATCGTAGTTGGCAAGCGCTTTGCCACCGAGCTTTCTGATCTCGTCAACAACCACGTCTGCAGCCTATGGATTCAACCCTGAGTCAGCCACTATTCGATGTCCAGGATAGAACTAACTAAGCTTTTGGGTTGATATACCTTCTCGCATCTCCCAGAAGGTGTCGTGAGCACACCAACGTCGTTGACAATCACGGTAGCGCCCCGTGAAGCGAAAAAATGGGCGTATGCTCGCCCTAAGCCATTTCCTGCTCCTGTGATTACAATTACCTGAGCATCGTAACGCAGTTCTTGTAAAGTTGTTGTATTGTCCATGTTCTGCAACTTGCCGGATGTCGGACGGGATAGTGAATGCAATGTTTTAGTCTTGAATAAAGAGCATGTGCTGCCTGCAGTGCCTCTTATTTAAGAACATCTTCTTATATAAGAAGAGCAAGGTTTATCCAGGTAGCTACTCCTCAACCTTACTACGATTCGTGACATGTAGCGATGACAAGGGATGAGTCTATCAGAATTAGGATATCTCGCATCTGAGACTACGAATGTCGTGCACGAGTGGAGTTGGCCCGCCTCATCGTGACGAAGAATGACTCATTCCTTGGCGTTTGACAGAAGCACCGAGATTGTTCCGACTAGGATGCCAATGGAGATGGTTTGGAAATTTAGACATGTCAAGCGTAAATCTTTCAGAGGCATACGTGTCAAGCGCAGATAGTTGACAAATTCTAGTTTCATTAAGGGCGGTTCTTATCTCGACCAAAGTCAAGCTAAGCCTAGACAACGGACTTAGGGACAATCAAGACATTAGCGATTTTGTATCCCTAATTCAAGGTGGCACAAGCCTTAGCGTAATATAAGACACGCTTAATTAGAAAATAAAACCGCTAGTGCCTTGATTGTTCCTAAATCTGCTAGACAAAACTAGCAAGAGCCGCTCTCTCTTCGCCTTCGTCCCGTTCCCCTCTTACGACCACACTATGTCTTCTAACAATATAGGAGTGAGATGTGACTCCAGTAACGATCCCCATGGTATTGAATACCGACGGGGTATGCCAGCTGCGTAGCTTGTTTCGCACTTCCTCTGTCCCAATACCCAATTGTACCAGTATCTCCATGACCGCTGCGTACAGGATATTGATATTTCCATCCTCTATCTTCACTGCAATGCCGATTCCGCCGGTGGACATACCTAGTCGTTTTGTATACTCTGACTCCCTAATACCTATTCCGTAACACCCATCAGCGCCCAACTTGCCAATCAACAAATCTCCGTACGCGCTCATCAACTCCGTGCAGAATCTTCCCTCGCCAGCGACCATCTCAGGGTGTGTATACATGGCCTCAAAGACACGTTTCATATACCGCGTCCGAGAATCCTGCGCGTTGCCGACAGCATCCGCAAAACGCGCATATAGGGTCGCCATTCCGGTTAATGGCATTGCCGGGGCTGGCAGATTGCAGCCATCGACGGCCCACTCAATATCATTCGTATTCAACCCTGAGATCTCCTCAACTACTTCTTTTACCGCCCTTTGCATCGGATGCCCGGGAAGATGATAGTCAGCAAATCCTGCACCTAGTGCTTTCGCTCCGCCTAGCATTCCTGCATGTTTGCCTGAACAGTTGTTGCACACCGCTCCGGGCGTAAAGCCACGTTTGATCCAGTTGTTGTTCACAGCTTCGCTTAGTGCTGGGTGCCCCCCACAGCGCATGTCGGCTTCTCTTGCACCAACGGCAGCTAAGATATCTGAAGCCTGTGATATGTGTCGCGCCTCTGAGCTGTGGGATGCACTCATGAGGGCAATTTCAGCAGCAGAGAAACTGAAGGTTTCAACACAGGATTCGAGCACGGCGACGGTCTGGGCGGGCTTGCATGTCGAGCGGAGCAACGTTGGTCGGTAGGGATTTCCGACTGAGTACAACAGGGAGCCGGAAGAGTGTACTATGGCTGCGTGAACGAGGTGCGTGGACTCGATAACATTGCCGCGAACTGTCCGGACATGGTCGCACATGATGGTGTAAGGTCGGACGCAATGGTGAAAACGAATGGCCTTGTGAGTAGAAGTGCCTGGAAGTGCTTAGTGTACATATATAGTTCGATCTCCACCATGACTTGTTAGAAGGTTCTAGGGCTCTATTTCATAAGCACAAACATAATAAGCTCCGTCTTTCCCCGTTGTTACTAATACTACAGTAAAGAGCTTCGGAAAAGTCAGGGCGTAGAGGCGGCAAGTGGAGGCATTGACGCTATAACAGGCGAAATAAGGCTCTGTGCGGTCGGCTATCTCACCGGTACGTTCGATTGGACAGACGCGATTGAACCAGTGAGTTCTTCCTTGTTTGCTTCTTTGACGATCTCCATTGCGTGTGACGCATTCTATTTCTAGAGAACATTGTTAGTTTCTGTCCACATCTATCCGCCCCATTTCCTAACTTAACCATTTTTCTCTTCCTAACAACCTGTTCTTTTCATTATGGCTACATCTACTCAGATTCTGTTGAGCCCACAAACAGCAGGTGTTTTCCACACCTCAGGGCTAAGCCCCGCTTCTGCGCAAGCAGTCAGCGAGGTTCTACAGCACGACATGGAGAACCATCATATCTATCTGAACAACATCGAGTTCCACAGTGAGTGGGAAAACTTGTGATATGCCGGTGACCGTATGGGACTGACATGAGCAGATCACATTGTCCATTTTATGCTCACCGTCTGGGCGTTGGGGGCCTCGCCCGAAACAATTCGCGCCCAATATCACCGCGAACACATACGTCAGCGACAAGCGATGCAGAGCCAGCCGGAAAAGGTTCAAGCATTCAAGAATAAACAAGTCATGCTCGAACACATGTACCGAGAGGAAAACTATGCAAGCTTTCTGGTCTTTTTCCAAGGAGAGATTGGAGAAAGGGGAATCAATGCTGTACTGAACGAGTATCTGTTCCAGGGCGATGAGCTTGCCGAATCACTTCTTTCAAGGATGTTCTCCGGTCTTGTTCATCCTATCATTCATCTAGGCTTTGGCATTGAGTTTGACCAGCCAGCTATAGTCGCTCAAGCTCTCGCTCAAGCTTCCGTGCACCAGGACTACCTAGGCCGTGCGTTCTTCTCTCCTGCGGCGAAGAAAGCGGCTACCAGCCAAGCGCCGACAGGATCCGATAGTACCCTCGTCGATATAATGGAGTCCATGGGTGCTGACGATACCATTAGAAACGGCGCGAAATATGGGGACACTGATGTGTTCACTGAGGGGCTTCTCAAAAGAGTACCAAATGAACTCATCGACTATTGTAGTCGTTGGACTGTCGCAGAAGACCAAGTCGACGACAAATACATCGAGATGATCAATACAGCTAGTAAGATGAAACCGTACATGGAAGTGTTGCAGTCCGTATTCGTCTAACTATATTAGTCTACTGGACTGCTACCGCGCAAAACCCCCACAAACAACTCAAATTCGACTTCTTCTTCATTCACGCTGTTAATCTTTGCATCGTTATGAAGTCAATTCTCGATCTCCCAATTCTCTCGGCGGCTAACAGGGCCCGTCTGCTTGAGATGAAAGGTCGAGTCGATCTGCTAATATGGGCTTCTCGCAAAATGCCCACACCTCAGGACACGGATGTCCATACCTACCCTATCCGATTAGGCTGGCCGGAAGTGTTCGAAAGATCATACAATCATCCTACAGACGATGGGCATCTAGCCAAGTTCGTGCGCACACTGGCGTATGCGCAGGAGTTGTGCGTGCCATACGAAGGAGAAGCGAAGCAGAGAGGCCTTAAAGTTACCGGTGATATGTGGCTTAAAATTGGAAATATGGGTAAGACCTACCTTCACTTATCACCGTGCTATCAAGTTATCGTTGACATCTATATTAGCTGTCGATACGGCGGGAAAGAAATTCGAGGACATATGGGTGCGCGGAGCGGGCTTCGACGAGCCGTGGGACAAGTTTGACCGTAGAAACTAGCGAGAAGGATCTTAACATTGTATCATCCCCAGGACAGGATCCTTCCAACAAGGGTGCTCATTAGGGATGATCTTGTTTTAATCACATATTCCTTCGATCGTCTTGTAAATCTTCAGTGAAGTTGGATTCAATCTGAGACTAAATTGTCAACCAAAAAAGTTAGCGTGAATTGAGACTGTAACGTAAAGTCGACCGCACGACTGGGGAGACTTCCACAAGAATGATTGCGGTAACCAAACTTGGCGTGTTCGCGGAAACCCCTATATCCGGGCGCCGAGCGGCTCCTGCACCACCGGCGCTCGGAAGGAAGGATCGGTGTTTATATAAGAGCGAAGCATACTCGTTTTCCTACATCTCAACGTGATACAGCAGCAACTCATCTCCTAATCGACTAAATCCTACATTACTTCCAGCCATGGCAGAGAACACAGATTCCATGCCACTGACAGTGAAACTGAAGCTTTTAGTTTACATACCAATCACGAGTAAGTTTCAGATCCTACAAGTCAGCCCTCGACTGACCATCGAACTACGAAGTCCTTGCTGCTATCAAATACGTCATCACAATGACATTCTCAGCTGGGCCTCGTCGCTCACTCAGACGGACAATTGTAGCAGGACTCAGCCGCGCAAGCGCTCTAATAATAGGCCGCCTCACTTCCAAGTACACTGATACGCAACCCTCTACCGGAGACGCAATCCGAAAATACTGCGAAGCCAACAAGATCGCACTACGCTCTGTCAAAGTCCCGATACTTGGTAGAAACAGCAAAGATATGGGAACAGCACCTCCTCCTCCGCCGCCCGCAATACTACACATGTTGTCAACAACGACCCCGGGGCACCGCGTTGTTCTTTACTTCCACGGCGGCGGCTATACTCAACCAGCGTTCGAGCCCTCGCATATTCCATTCGCTCTCAAGCTGGCAGCGGCTGCTAATGCCTCTACGCTGGGTGTTCTTGAATATGGGCTTGCACCTAAACTACGTTACCCAGGACAACTTGTGCAAGGTATCGAATCGCTCAGATATTTACTAAGCTCTTCGACTGCTGGTGGCGCAGGAATGGCCGCTTCCAGCATTGTTGTCATTGGCGACTCGGCAGGCGCGAATCTCGTTGCAGGTGTTCTTGCTCACATGCACTGTACGAGCCCATATGCCGATCCTCTCAACCTGACGGATAGGATTGGTGCAGCGGTTCTGATAAGTCCCTGGGTCAGTAACGGATTCAATAGCGACAGCTACGTGGCCAACGCTAAGAAGGATACCATCGACGTAAAGGGTATGATAGCAGCGAGGGAGAAATGGAGTCCAAAAACCGAAGAAGTTTGGGCAGATATGTTGGAAGGGAAAATACCAGGCAGTGAGGATCAAGCCAGTTTTTGGACTAATGTTTTCAGCGGTCACGCAAGAGCTGTAGAGAAAGCGGTCGTGACTGTTGGCGAAGATGAGATATTCCTGGACGACATTAGTGCTTTTGCTAAGATGGCTGGAGCGAAGTTAAAATCTTCAGATCTTGGAGAGGATGCAACAGCGACATTGGTCAGATGTCCTGGGGAAACTCACTGCGGGGCGATGCTTGATGCGCTTATAGGGTTGCAGAAGGAGCACTCTATGTTGTCAGAGGTTATGATGTGGCTAGAAGGTTTATAAGACAGGCGTGATACATCGGCGATAATTGATGACTGCTATAGGATGGGCAACATGCGAGCTCCCTACAGCATGCGCGTGAAGTTGAGGACGGATACCTAAAACTGCTTCAGCGAGCGTAGGATGCAGAACACAGAACATGAGACACAGAGCTATACTACATAGAACATTGAGAATTGAGGCGTCGATGAATGATTTGTGCATCACTAGCGACACCGACGATACTAGAACCTCCCTAGAATCGAGGGAGACCATGATACCACAAGTAAGTCGGAAGATTCAAAAGACTTCCACCACCACCCCATCTCCTCCCTCCGCCTCCCACATCCAAACAAAGAAAGGAGTAGAGGTAGATAAGAAGTCTGTGTCGTTATCCAAGCGCGCTGACGTATGTCGAACAAAAGGCACAGAGACCTTGATGTGGCAAAACTCTAGCGGTACCCCTGTATGTGAGTGCTGCTGTGTCAGCGACACGAACAAAGGCCCCCTTCAATCTTCTTGCCATCTTATCACTTAACAAAACTCACACATATACAATCTACTACTCGTAACTTCCCAGATCACACAGCTTTCAAGAACGAATTGAACCCTCCTTGTTTGTATAGGTACCGCATTCTTCTAATATCTTATGTATCTGTGTTTCTCTGAAGCTCTTATCTACAGGTTCCCTCTAGACCCGATTATATTGCTGCTGTCCTACTTGTTGCCCATCTTCCCCCGTGCGAGCGGCGGGAGCGCTTTATATGGCTTCTATCCTCCCATACTACCACTCACAGGCGTATAAGACCTCTGACCCAGACAAGTCGGCGTCGCATTCGTGAACGAACCTTGGTTCGTTGATCTCGAGGCTGGGCAGCCGGCTTGTAGCGTCACTGGTGCTGCTGTCGGCGCGTACTCTTCGTATTATGGCGATGAATTGTTGTTGTAGGTATTGTTGTAAGGGTTTGCGGAGGGTGGGAACTGGTGGCGGTTGTCGACGTGTTCGTCGTAGTGGTCTCGCTGGTCATAGGTTTCTAGGACTTGTCAACCGTAAGGCCCCGGGTCTTGTTGATTGTATTGATACAGTTAGTCTCGCGAGTTGTCGTACGCTTGGGGCTGGCCTGGCGAGCGGTGGCCGTATGGTTGTCTTCATTGCTGCTGCTGCTGCTGCTGCTGGCCGTAGCCTTCACCTACGCCGTAAACGGGCGATTGGTTCTGAGCTGGCGATCTTCTGCGTCACTCGCCCTTCTGTGCATATGGTTGATCGTATCTACTCTGCTTGTTTAACAGGGCTCCTTCGCTTACGAAAGAGTCGTTTTGATAGCCGCTTTAAGGGTAAGAAAGCGCGGGCTGCAGAGCTCGCTGCCGAAAAGGATCTTAAAAAGCAGCAATGCGACGCTGCAACTGCAGAAAGATCTCGCGATAGACCTACTTCTAACAAGCGCAAAGCCTTACGCAGCTCTGCAAAAAAACAAATCCGACAAAGCATCGTTGTGTTGCGGGTGCAGCAAGTCAGGTGGACGCTGCACCTGACGCTCCTCCTCCGCCCACCCAGAGGACGCGTACACGGTTAATACAGCCACGCAAGAATTAGCTGAGTAGCTAGGAAGTTTTGCGTATATCTATATATCAATACACCAAGCAATCTTGCGATAATAGCTTTTGTGGGTGACTACAGCCTCGTTTCTGGAATCGCAGCTTTACGTTGTGGTGGCTCGGATGCCGACATGGCTCGAATGCTGCGCGCTTACTGTACAGTAGCGGTTGGGGTGGAGTGGCATGATGAGGAATGTACGGAACAGTTACTTTCCGTACCCGAAAATCTTCCACATGGCATAGATGTCATCCTACAATTCTCCCTGACCGGCCGTTGATTGATAATTCCGTCCCGTGTCGGAATCTTGTCTTCGCCCGAACGCCTTGTTGTGCACCGATTCGTCAAACCATGCTACTTTGGGGGACGCATAGACCCTTCATCAACGCCACGATACGGTGTATACGGTGCGACTAAAAGCACGCGCTGGTTGACTAACGACAGTGGTCGCTCTAGATAGCAGCAGATAACGCTGTTTTGGAAGAAGTCTCTGGATCTCGGTACCTGCTACAAAAAGCTGATAACCTTACGAAACGGCGCAAAACTCGAAACAGTTTTGTACTAGCGACAGTCTGGATGGTACTACCTTTTGTGATATGATGAACGGAATCACCGGGCGCTCTGAATATCAAGTATGAGAACAGTATCCAGAGCTGTTTACAGTGTAGGACATCAGCAGTGGACCTCTTATCATTCTGCACTCAACAGAATATCGTTCATTCCTGGATAGCGATCCTCTATTTTGCTACGTACAGGCATCGCGCCACGAGGTGGCAGTGCTGGAGGCGTGACCCAGCTCACGCCGCCCTTTCAGCAATCAGATGCTGCCGCTTCTCAGCCTGATCACAAGCCAGCCCTGTCAACAGCGGAATCCTCCTAGGCAACTCTGTACCGACAGGTCTTTTTGACACCCAAGTCATTTGTGCATGCTTCGCTGCTAGGGTAGAGATTCTTTGAATTACTACGACATCGTTTTGTCGTCTCATGAAGAAGCAAGAGAGTACCGCTGACTACACACCAGAAACCCAGCCTGATCGGTTTCTGATCGGCTGTCCCACCCTTGACTCCACCATTTGAAATCCTCCTCCACACTCTCTACGCACCCGCCACTGGAATAAGACTCAATATGCCATATCACAACAACTGCCGTCTCTGTCGCAACACGCGCCGCTTGCCGACACGCTGTACTCGCTGCAATGGCACGGGTAGACGAAGCGCACAGTGCCAGCGATGCCGCGGCACTGGCACACTACGCGCACCAGATGGCATACACGCAGTGCATTGTCGAGTTTGTAGGGGATCGGGCAGTGTGATTGGGATATGCGCAAAATGTACGGGCCGGGGACAGAGCACCAAGCCATGCACTTGTTTGGGTACAGCCTGAATCTGCATGTGAAATCTATAGAGGCGGCGGTGCTGTAACTGCTATTGTAATACTTGAACGGAGAACGTTACTTACGCGAGATATCGTTGTTCTTTACAAACGCCTCCCAGCTAGTCAGCTTGTCATCAGGAGGCTGTGGCTCTTCTCCAATGCTTCAACGTTGAAGTATTCAGGTTAGGCATTGAGCAAGTGGGTCTCTAACATCTCTGATGCCCTGTCTGGAGGCATGCGCTTCTACGAGCCTTGAAACAATACTACATACAGCGCTTCGAGCTACTCTATAGACCCCGGTATGACTGTTCGAGAAATGCAAACACAAGCGAATACGTCACTTCTTGAGGCAAAATGCGCATAGTCGTAAATAGAAACCAGACCACGCATAGGCAAGGGGGCAACTACAGTAACCTTGCGATGACCAGCGCGAGGCTGGCGCAAGAACAATTCCGACGAACATGCGCTGATTCACTGCTCTACTTCAGTGGGGTGATCAACACCAATGAAAGTACTGGATGCACCCAAATGTGCGACGACTGTGCCTCAACTACGCGCCCGGGATGTGCGATGTTCGTCGGCGATCCCTCAAAACTACACCTCTTATCCATTCTCCTTCTAAACACCTTAACCCACACACATCGCAAACGATCCACAAAACCAGCCTTCAACAACATGGCGCACAATCGGGCAGCAGCTCCTTCCATTGTTGGGTCTGAAACGTGAGATATTTGCACACCTTCCGCATCTTCCGAGAATACTACACAGATCGCTTTAGGTATCGAGATGCCACAATCCTCCATCCCATAGCCTGGGCGAACCTTCATCATTCGATCTCGTAGGACTGGGCTAGTTGTTACGTTCTTAGACGGCGAGGTCGTGATGGACAAACCAGGAGGCCTTGGTACTTTTAAGTGGCGATGCGTCGAGGAGAAAGGATGGATGGGGTTCAAGGACCCAGCTTCTGCGCAATACCTTGGTTATCATGAATATGGACTTCTGTTTTGTAGAAGCCCTCATCATCGAAACAACGAATACCTATGCCCCCGAATGCGCCCAGAAGGTGGATTCGTTCTGCTGGTACGTCACGATGACCATCTTCGTCTCTTGGGTGTATTCGCAAACGAATCGGAAAGTGAAATTAGACGGAAGTTTAGAATCATGGACTGGAGCTCTGAGGAGATTGTGTGGGATTTTATTGAGGTACAACATTAGGAATGATGATAGTTACTGAGGCCGACAATTTGAAGGAAACGTACGCTATGCTGGAGAATATTGCGTCAGTACAGCTACCCCTTTGTTGATGATGAAGCAGTCTCATGTTGCTGGGAGCAGGCCAAGGTTCCTCGGCGTATGTGAGTTGTGCCATCCTCGCAAGGACAAAGAATGCCAGTTGACCGGACGAAGGATGGTTGAGGGGATGCGGCGCCTGATCGCAAAGTTTCGGGATAGTTACAATGTTCATGTTACTACAGTTGAGGCAAAACGTAAATGCGAGTCCAAGTACGTCACTAGGAATGTTGGAATGAAGTTCCACCTCACCCTGCAGCTTCCGTCAGAACTTAACCCCGCTCTCCACTAACAACAAAGGCTAGCTAATCAGCACAAACCTCAGCTCTCTTCATGGGCTTGCTCTTATCACATGACGTCCTGCAAGAAGAAGCGATGGCATATTAGCCTACAGTTGGCAGATGCATCGCTCAGCCACGGTTGTAGCCAACCAACCATGTCGCTCAGCAAGCACACGAAACGCGACTTGCAGAATTTATTGACTTGTGTGCGTACCGATGGACAGTCTTCACCGGTTTGTGCGGCTTGGCCACCCCGCCACTGCGTAGGATTGCTTCAGCCACAATAAGGCAACTGCCTAGTCTTGTTTCCAATAGGTCGACGCATTCTCTTATAAAACAGACGAAGCCTGTGCTTCGCTACACCTCTTGTCACTTCTTTTGCTCTCTTTGAGAAATGGTTTTGCTGAGCTAATACGATGATCACTAATAATTCTGAAGCGAGCGGTCGTGTGCATTGCATGATTCGCTATTACAAGAGCATGTCACTCGGGCCGATTCGGCTGCCTCGGCTGCCTGGCTTCAACTACGAACCTCTTCCTGCCAGGTGTATTCGGATACTGGAACTCCAACCCGGTGAGCGTACCGACCCATTCCAAGGCAGTTTCACTATCATATCGATCGATGGCGAAGACAAGTACGATGCTCTCTCATACATGTGGGGTGATGCGTCGCCCGTAGATCACATCGTTGTCGATGGCGCAGCTATACCGGTGGCCTGGAACCTCGCAAGGGCGTTAGAATACCTGCGCGATCAGCAGGGTTCAGAGGTTCGTAGGATCTGGATAGATGCAGTATGTGTCAACCAAGAAGATGAGAAAGAACGTGGGCATCAAGTTGCTATGATGCGTTTAGTATACAGCAAAGCGGACTGTGTTCGGGTCTGGATCAACGCACCCGACCTAGAAGAAGAGAGTGAAGCGGTGGCGGCGCTCAAAAGCTTCGAGCTACGCACAGAAGAATCGAAGTTTCGTCTAGGCGACGACATACAATTCTGGGAGCCTCTAAAGCCAATATTCAAGAACAAATACTGGAATCGACTCTGGATGTAAGTCATAATCAACTCACTCAAAGGCATGCTGTAGCTTATTCTATACGCATCGAACTATCAGACAACAGGAGGTCATGAACGCGCAGCGACTAATTCTGCATTGCATGAATGTCACCGTTCTTGGTACCAGCTTTTGGCAATTCCGAGGAGCTGTAGAGAAACTGGGCAAGGCAGCCGCCGCGAAGGCAGACATTCAAACAGGGATGCAGCTAGAAAGAACACTTGAAATTGGAAATCTCGCCGATAGGGGTTCCCTTATCGATTTACTTGATCAAACCTACTCCATGAAGTCATCCAGGATTCATGATCGACTTTATGCAATCATGCATTTAGCTAATGACTTCCAGAAAAACGACATAGGGGTCGACTATAACAAAACAGTTAATCGGGTTATGCTTGAAGCGGCTGATCACCACATCAGACTGCATCGTAATCTTCGTTTTCTGGATCAAAGCTTTCGGTCAGACTTTGACGAAACCAGATATTCGGAACACAACTCAGAATGCTCATTTCCCACTTGGCTCCCACGCAAATGGATAGGTTATGACCAAGATGGGATCGGCATATGGTCCTCGCAGAAGGATCTTGGACCCGAAATCGCCGTCGGTGAACAGCTAGGCGATGATGAAGATAGTCCCGGCAAGATCTTCTCGAACGGTAAATACGCGCACAATGAAAGATCAGTAAAATTTCTGACCAAATTTGCAGATGAGGAGTTGTTCACAACTTGTGCGCCAGACTCTGTTGATATGACTCATGTGCGATTACGTATCCGCGGAATGAAGGTTGGTGATGTTCGAACAGTATTTTTGTTGCCACTTCAAAGTGATATGGACGGAATGACCGTGGCGCAATTCTGGTCATCCAGTCTTGGTCAGCACATTGGGTCATACTTCTGCCTCGAGGAGCGACAGATATCACTTGGGATGGTCCGCGCCCTGGCTCGTCAGTGGCCAAGGAAGGAGTTCAATTACGAAGACGCCGTACTTGGGTTAAAGTGGTTCTACGACTGTAGTACGAGGCCAGATCTTGCAGATCGCCATATCGGTATTCTCGGATCCTTCATCAACTCCTTGCTAGCACCACTACGTGATCATCCCAACCGCGATGCCGCGGTCGCTGCAATATCCCTCATCGTCGCAGAACTCACCCGCCGAAAGGGCATCCTGACCGACAAAGACCAATTTGGCCTCGTTCCCGAATGCAACATAAGAGCTGGGGACGAGATATGGATGTTACTCGGATATTCCCTACCATGTGTATTAAGAAAACAACCCGACGGAACGTATGAGTACATCTGCAATGTACGTATTCACGTTCTTATGGATGGCATCGTAGGCCACACGGACATTCGACGCTTCTCAACAAAGGCGACCCCTGGCGAACAAATCGGCGAGTGGACGATTGAGGATATCGAGCTCATCTAAAGAGGCTACGCAGATCTGTGAAGCGTAGAAAGATTTCAACTGCAGTTCTACCACCAGCCTTCTAAACCACTACAACCACCTACTTCCTCTCCCCATCCTCCCCCTTCTCCTCACCCTCTCCCCCACCCTCCCCCTCCTTCTCAACAAACATCGTCTCCTGCGCACTCCAAAGCTCACTATACAACCCCCCACAATCAATCAAATCCTGATGCGTCCCACTCTCCGCGACACCCCCCTCCCTCAGCACAATAACAACATCGCTATCATAAATCGTGCGCAACCGATGCGCCACAAAGACACTCGTGCGCCTCTTCTCCCTCACAAGCGAATTAATATGTGCCAGCAAAGCCTGCTCGGTATGTGTATCCAGCGCACTCGTCGCCTCATCAAAGAACAAAAACGGCGGATCCTTCAGCACCAGCCTCGCAATCGCCAATCTCTGCTTCTCACCCCCCGAAATCATCATCCCCCGCTCCCCAACCATGGTCTGGTATCCATCCGGAAACCGCGCAATACTCTCATCGATACGCGCGCGTCTCGCCGCCTCGATGACTTGTTCCTGCGTCGCGCTCAAGTTACCGTAGTGGATATTATGTTGAATCGTATTATTAAACAGCGGCGTATCCTGCGGTACAACACCAATCGCCCTACGCAGACTATCGAGGCTCACATCGCGGATATCCTGACCATCGATCAAGATACGTCCTTCCTGCGCATCGTAGTAGCGGAACAAGAGGCGGAGGATAGTTGATTTTCCGCAGCCGCTAGGCCCAACGATGGCGACCTTCTTGCCCGCAGGAATAGTAAGGTTGAGGTTCTTGAGAATGGGTCTGTCCGGGCGGTATCCAAACGTTACGTTTTCGAATTTGATTTCCCCGGTTTTGAGGGCGAGGGGCTTGGCATCGGGCTTGTCCTTGACGGCTACGTTGACTTTTTGGAGGTTGAACAAGGTCTCCATGTCTAGGAGACTCTGGCGGAGTTCGCGGTACATGGAGCCGAGGAAGTTGAGGGGCACGGAGAGCTGGAAGACGAGCTGGTTGACCATGACGAGGTCACCGACTGTGAGTTGGCCCGTGGCAACGCCGTTGGCGGCGAGGTACATCATAGCAGTGAGAGCGGAAGAGAAGATGATGTTCTGGCCCGAGTTGAGGAAGGCGAGGGAAGTGGCCACCTTGATGGACGCTTTTTCGTAGTCTTTGAGCGCTTTGTCGTAGCGCCCGACTTCGTATTTTTCGTTGTTGAAGTATTTTACGGCCTCGTAGTTGATCATGGAGTCGACGGCGACGGTGGCGGCTTTGTTGTCGGCGGCGTTTGCTTGCTTGCGGAATTTGGTGCGCCATGATGTGGTCATGATGGTGAAGACGGAGTAGGCGGTCATGGTTGTGCCGGTGATGAGAGCAAATTGCCAGCCGTACTGATAGGTCAGGATACCGCATACCAATGAGATCTCCAGTGCCGTGGGAAAGATGTGAAAGACCATGGCAGTCAGCAAGAAGCTGATGCCCTTGGTTCCGCGATCAATGGCCCGTGTCAAGCCTCCGGTTTGTCGTGACAGATGAAAGCTCAAGTCTAGCCGGAGCAAATGCTCATAGACACTGCAAGCGACCTTGCGTATCGCCTTCTGGGCCACACTGGCGAAAACAGCATTGCGGAGTTCTTGGGATACAGTGGCGCCAATACGAGTCATTCCGTCTGGAGGGAGTCTCAGCCAGGGTGGAAGAAAGATGCATTGTTGGGTCTAGCTTACATGCAATGATCATAGAGCCTGCCACTGTCGTCGCCGTGCCGCCAACAGCTGCAAAGTCTATGTTCATGGCGTCTACAATGCTCTTGAAGTAGAAGGGAACTTGGACGTTCAGCAGCTTTGCGCCTACAAGCAAGCCCACGCTGAGGCCGACCCTAAACCTGGTGCCTAGATTGTCCTTTGGCCACAGGTATGCTGACATCTCCTTCATAATAGCCCAGTCGGCCTTGCGCTGCTCCTTGTTGGTCAGGACCTGCTCTTGGAGCAAGGGATCCGTCTTTGCGACTTTGGCAGCAGCGGGGTCGGCGGCAGGTTTGGTAGCTTCGACGGCTGGCTTTGCGCTTGGGTTTGGCCGCTGGCCGTGAGCATCTTTTCTGTGTAGCGGGGAGGAGGTGAAGACGCGGATGCCGTGGTGTAGAGGATGCGGGCGCAAACTGCATGCCCGAAGACCCGGCCGACTGGCGGCGCGGGCAAGTGGTTGGATTAACATGGCGAAGCTCACATGTTAGGAGCCCAACCGCTGCCACAGGACGGAGAGAAGCTTTATATGCTTGGAGTTGGAGATGACAAGAGGTGTTTGCGTGAGTACCTTGAGACATGTCGCCATGCATCCCACGTTGCCTTAGCGCGTTTTCCCCGGCAGGGCTGAAGCGAGTCTTGCATCATCGCTGCTCCGAGCTTGTCCTCAAGGAACACCTCCCACAGCCAACACGCGCCAATTGACCGGCACAGCCATGTTACGACCGGCTGCCTCGCCCTGGAGAAACCTCTCGCGCACATCGGCGGCTGCCATACGGCGGACGCCCATTGCGGCGCGATGCATCAACATATCTGCCACCAACTCGTCGACGGAGCCCGCGCTGCAGCAGGCAGTCAGTGTCGAGGGCACAGCGACGCCCATGCATACTCCAGGTGAGAGAGAAGCCGAGGAATAACAGACAAAAACATGCAAAAAAGACATTGACTCACCACACGTCAGACGCCCGTTTCGAAGTCATAGGCACTCCCTTCTCGCTCCTCTCAGTCTCCCTCTCCGCATCGCAGACGCTCTACACCCGCCGCGGAACACTCGTCGGCCTCAGCGGAAAGTCTGAGAACACACTGTCAACCCTCTCCTTCCTCGAGCCCCTGCAGAGAGCCCCCGTCGGCATCCCATTCCTCTACCAGAAAGTGTCTTCCACGAGCCCCGTCACCGCGCTCGTCTCCACAAAGTCGCCCATATCGAGCATCGTCTCGGTCAACATGGACGGAAGAGACGACTGGATCATCAGCCAGAGGCAGGCATTGCTTGCGTGGACTGGCCATACTCTGAAGTTGAAACCACAGTACAACGTCAAGCTAGGCCTCGCACACTGGGGAAACACATACATCACCGGCAGAGGACTGCTGGCGCTTGCAGGAAGCGGGCAAATCTACCAGGTCCAAGTCAAGGCTGGTGAGAGCTATGTTGCGCATCCCAGGTACGTCGAGACGGCAAGCACACTTGGATGTCTGCACTAACAACCACACAGCAACGTCGTAGCATACACAGCCTCCAACACACCACCAATCCCCTTCCGATTCAAGTCATCAAACCTCCGCTTCCAGGTCCCAGACCTCGGCTTCGGCTCCATGGTTCAAAACACTAAATTCTTCCGCACCATGAGCAAGACAGCCACATGGCGCGCGCTAGCAACTACATACTACACCCTCAAGACATGGCTGCGGAGAACAGTCTGGGGCGACAGAGTAAGTTTCATTATTCCAACACCCGCCCGCCCACAAAACGCTAACAACTGCGCACAGTTATTCCTCCGCTTCGAAGGCCCTACCACCATGCTGGTCCAATCCCGCGCCTCGCGAATCAGCGACGTCCTCACCCTGAGAAACGTCGACGAGATTGCAGATAGCCCACCAGGCGCTGTTGAAGATGCTGCTACGCGCAAGATTAAAGAGGAGATCAAGTCGATAGGAGAGGGCACAAAGGCACCCATACCCAATACTGATGCTTCGGGAACTATAAGGTATGCTACTGTCAAAGATGGCAAGGCCGAGTTTGAGACGCCAAAGGTAGTAGAGGCGCCGAAAGTATAGGATTAGCAAATCTGTTTACCATGTGTAACCATTGTTATGACATGTTTTTTTTTTGGCAACATGCGACTAAAAAAACTTCTCAACATTTACTATCTAGCGTCTGGTGTATGCGACCGCGAGACGCTCGCGCTAGAAAATCCCCATTTGTCCTGGACTTTGGATGTCCCCATGCCCAGCATCGAGCCGTACCAGACATGCTTCTGGTGTTCTGCTGCATGAGGAACCGGCCAAGGATGCGCTGTCAGCTTCTCGCTTTCCTGTTTGTTCTCGCCAGCATGAACGTCTTGTCCCGCGGTTGTTATTGGGCGTTGGTCGTCGTCGTCGTCGTGTGGTGGGACAGGAAGAGGGGGTTGAAGCAGCGGCGGGTCTTGGTCCACCATCTGCGGCACGACGTTGGTGGTGAGAATGGTTGGCTCTGTTGTTGATGTGCAGATAGTTTGGCTTGCGGTGACGAGAGGTGAAGCCTTGTCGGAGCGTGGGCGCGGCTCTGCTAGTAGAGGTAGAAAGGTATGTTTTGTGCTTGACATGTGTGGGAGAGACATGGTTTACTTGATGCTTTGGGTAACAGAGAATGGATTCTGTTGTATATGTCATCAATCACCGGCTTTGGAGGTCTTTATACACGCGCTTTGGTTCGAGCGAGACATGGACATGTGTGATGATGGAGGTGTGCAGCAGATATCAGGTCATCTCGTGATTATGGCGACGTCGTTGCGTTGCGGGCTGACGCAGCAATAAGCTTTCTGAATGGACAATGCAGGGTCTGGTAGGTAATTGGGGCTGTTAGAGTTTGGCGATCCTTGGATTCTCTCACACCACGTTCGTCGGACGTCGTTCGAGAACTAGTCCTTGGTTGTATGCAGGGATTTACTTTGGTAGCGTGTGTGTGCATGCAGGACGAGTGCTTTTGAAAAGCGGGGAAACCTTGTCAGCTAGTCTTCCGAGCCGCGACCTGCTTCAAGTGCGGAGGTCCTTGTCCCAACGTGCCTGCTGGTGGTGGTACGATCTTCTGTTGGTGCGTTCTTCACAAGCGAGCTGGAGTTGGCGGGTAAGAGCGAGTGGCTATGTAGGGTTTGCCAAGGCATTACTGATATTCTACGTTCAACTTCTTAAGCGGTGATGTACATGTTGTCAACAGACTTGTGTGAAACAACAAGTATACACAAAGTTTCGATTCTTGCTAAAATAGTATCTCAGTTTCACTCGTCACAGCATCATGGTATGAGAAGTCCTTTTCAGGTACCAGTTGATAAGCAGCCCGATGATTGAATCCCAAAGATTGTATACGTACACGACCAGACGAACTACATCTGACATAGGCTAGATGTGGTTTGCGTTCCACACTCACCCTTCAAAAGGAATAGAAACAGGCTCTTCAGCCGCCAACCGCTTGACCAACTCGGGGTCTCTAATGTGAAACAGATTGGTCCAGTTCATTTCCCGAGGAGCCTCTTCTGCCCGAAGTCGAAGCTTCGCAGGTGGATCCACGAGCGAGCCATCATCTGCATTGACGCAGACAATCTGTTCATCTTGAGGGATGTCGATATCCCATTGGCAGTATATGCCATCATCCTGGAAGAAACGGAAGCCCGGAAACTCTTTACCGTTACAACCAGTAGCTGGCGTTGCACCTTGGTCGCAATACGCACTGCGTGGTGTTAGCTTGACTACCGTGCAGGGTCAGTGGTTCTACTTGCATTCCGTTGGTGTTGGTAAGAGCCAGGCGAAACTGTTCGCCGTTTCCGTTGAGTGGGCGATACAACTGGCGGAGAACACCACCTTGCGCTGCCAGTACATTAGCACAGTCTCATATAATCTGAACCTCTGCGTTATACTCACAGCGTTGCTCGGCGCCACTGGCACAGATAAGAGTCGCGCCATCACCACCCTCGGCCATGCTTGCAAAGGGGAATTCGTCAGTCTCCATACCCGGTCCTCCATCTACAAGACCTAGACAAGGGCGCTCGCGACTTGACGGATCAGGGGTGACTCCAGAGTCGATGCGTTTCTGGTCGGCATCACCGTTGGGATCGTAGTTGAAGAGATCGTTGCCGGGCTGAACGCAGGTTTGGTAATAACAAATGTTCGTGCAGATGGTCGGCTGTCTGGCGCAATTGTAATTACGCGTAGTCTGGCCGAGAGTACTTGCAACCAAGGTGGAGATGACAAAGATGGGGCCGGCAAGAGAATTCATTCTGCTTATTTTGATAAGTAGCGTAGGATGGTGGAAAGGAGAATTGTCAATCGAGGTTTGTTCACTCAAAGTTATCAGTACATTATTTAGATACCAAAAGGCCTTTTATGTTCGAAGGATCTTGAGTAGGTTGCCGTGGGCGTATCTCGACATAGCTTACATGTTGCTAAGCGTGGGTAATGCTAGGCTACCCATGGATTTGCAAATGTTGCAAGTTCATAGCCCCAAGGTAACACTTACGGAGTTCCAGATTACGCCCTCTCCGCACACTGCTGGATTGATCAAGGTGCCTGTCAGCCGGGGACCATGGCATGCTGGATCAGTGGCACAGAACGTAAGCGAGATACGTCATACTGTCAGCTACCTAGGTACTGTGTAGATCTAACACCAGGGAATATATAATATGGCCCAAGCCCCAACACCGTCGTACGGCATCCAATCTGACACATACTCGACCCACGGCTAAAAGCACAACTTTTGAGAGTGCGAAGATGTCGGAGAAACTCAAGGATGCTATTCCCATCTTCTGTAACACCAGTATCCCGAGACAGGTAAGCTGATGTGTTCTCATGGATGAGCATAACAGGTGTTGAAGGCATTGCGACGCTAACCAGTCACCAGATACTGGAAGAATTCGTCACGCTGAGCCATGGTGTGCCGGATGTAGAGGATGTCGAAGGCCTGGGTATGCAGAACGGAAGAGTCGTCCTTGGGCCATAGACCTGCAACCACGGAACTCTTGACTAACAAATGACATAGCTGTTCTCGTCGATACACAAGACGTATCTCAAATCACCAGCTACATCTCCGCACCCATTTCTGAGGACCTCTCAACGCCGTTCCTAGACTGGAGCGCGGAAGACATTATCAGATGGGCAGCGCAGCACCTGGATCGCCAGAGAGACGGTATCGTCCCCTACGAGCTCGTCATCTTGGATCAGCAGACGTTGAAGGACAAGACCTGCCTCTTGGTAACAACAAAAGATGGTGAACTCTCACGTAATCCCGGGAATCCTGCACGTATCATGGTCAGGTCGGACTTTAAATCTGCGTTGGCCACGCTCAATGTCAAGGTTCAGTTTTGTGGCGGTGACGGCCATTTTGAGACAACGGCATCGGATGGTGTTATCCGACATTATGACGATTAATTCGGCGTGGTTTCGGTCAGCGATAGCATGGTGCGCCTTATTGGGGTCCGTACACAGGCTGGGTACTCTGTCTACTATAAGTTAGGTGGTTATAGTTCAGCATATGCTTGTTCAACTCTGATTTGGGTCCAAGAGACTTGTCACATCCTAGTGTATCCGTCATCTTATACCGGAAAATCAGGACCAGGCGTAATCTGATGCAAGAACACTGAGCTGTAAGATCATCGGCTTCAGTTCTAAGACACCGGGGGAATAGCCTTCCTTGCATGTGGAGGTAGGTCGGCAGATATCAAAATGTCTTACTACAAGTTATGCTACGTTTTGGATGATCCCACGCATCCATCATTAGGTATATAACATACCTCCCACATCTTTCAGGCGACTTCACTTGTTAAAATTCAACATACCCAAGACGAAGCGGTAAGCTAAGATTATCCCGCCCTCATAAGTATGTAGATGACAGCCTCCGAGTACCATTGACTTTTCTGACCGTCTCTCCAGACCAAATTTCTCCTACAAATCTTCGAGTATCCCTAGGTTTTTAAGAAAAGGCTGCCAAGATGCTCACACCGTCAACTCCCATCCTCCTCTCACTCCTCGCCATCTCCTCCGTGGTCACTGCCTCACCTCTAACTGCACGCCAAGACTCGGGAGTAGAGTGGTCCTTCAGCGTCTACCAAAGCACCTCGCGATGCACCGGTGCGACCGACACCTACAACGGCACCTCCTCTCAAGGATGCACCAAAGGCATCCGAAACGGCTCATTTGGGTCCTACATAAGAGGCAACATCAGCTCGGGGTGCTCAGTCTATCTGTACCGCGACGACAGTTGCAGTCTCGAACGAATTGTCGATGTGCTGAGCTCTGATATCGAGTCTGACTGTTCGCAGACGGTAATCGAGCACGCGAATGTTCCGAGTTTTGACGTTGTTTGTGAGTAGAGCGATACATGGTTTCAGCTGTCTTGGATGAGTGAGGGGACAGGTGGATAGGGTTCTGTAGGAAGTTTTTGACAGCGAGAAATGAAGAAGTCGTGACCATCTGCTTGAACACCGGTTCCTTTCACTGTGTTGATTCTCATTTTAAGACATGCTCCAGAATAATACACTCTCTCCATGAGGAGATTGCTTTCCTTGGATCTCCTTGTTTGCCGAATGAATGCGGTAAGAAGTGTTTGAGGTAGGTCGCACTCCCTCAATCTCCTACTTGTCTTCACTGAAAGGTTGGGGTGGCTTTCTCGGCTAACCGGCGTATGACGTAGAAGTACCCGCGTCGTTCACGACAGTGTAGAAGAAGACAACAACCTTGGGCCAGACCCTACGATGACATGAAAACTATGACAGAACGTAAAAATTGTAGGTCGAGACGTCTGTTCGTATAGAATCGTTACCATCAAGTCCAGCAACATTGCAAAGCTAGAGCAGGTTACCAAGTCCAAGCTTCTTAACGAAAAAGGCAACCCTATTACTCCACTGCCTCTATATGGCGAAATGTTTGTCCGGGGAAATTTAATCCCGGATGTTACAGGGGAAAAGGATATGGCGAGGCATGAAGGTATGTCGAGTACGAAAAAGTGTCCCAAACGGGTTCCCTCAAAGTCAACCAATATATCTAGCAAACCTCTTCCACTCCTCGTCCCGCAAAAGGCACTGCAGGTCTTCCTCTCGCAGACACATCGCAACAGCTACACTCCCCTCCCGACTCCTAGGCATCAAATACATAAGCGACTCCACAGGCACAAAGCCCGGCCGTCTAACAGCAGTTGGAGAGCCCAACCTCAACCCAAAGTCCCACTCATAAGCGGGTACTTTTGTCCACGAGCTAAGCGCAATGTCAACGCTCGTATCGAGGGTAGCTGTAAAACTCGTTTTCGTCGCGTTGTCTGGCGATTGGGATAAAAAGGTGATCAGAGAGCGAGTCCGGTATGCAACATCTGACGCTAAGGGATCGACTGCCTGCCTCATCTTGGCGGCGATATGACCCAGCGGAGTGGAAAGTAAGGACTCCTGAGGATAGCTAGTGTATGCCATGTTTTGCAGTACGCCAGGGTAGTCAGGATGTATGTCCAGATAGCGTCTAGCATCAACAGCCCGTGCAAATGTCACCGAGGCATCCGGACGCAGACGGGACTGCCTTGTGCGCAGAACAGAGAGGAAGATGAAAGCGGAGAGAGCATCGTCGGTCGATATGAAGCTGGTGAAATCTTGAGGAAGAGAGGTAGTCGCAAGCCCCTTCAACGACTCCAATGACTCGGCTGAGAAGTCGAAATACGTCCAAGCACACTTGCTAGGTGGTTCTGGACTCTTCCGCTCGACAGGGTTATCCACTTCCTTGTCAACAGTGGGAGGTAAAAGAGGGAACAGCTGATTCTGCAGCTCAGGCCCAGGCGTCCAGCCTTCATCTTCAATGAGCGGGACAATACCTACTCTCGTCATATTACCAATCCCAAGCTCATTTTCAGTAAAATGCTCGCTCCGACACGCCTGGGACAGCCAGCCCAAGACAGCCGCCTGGCCCATCATGTCGCACACATTGTGTTGCATATTAACACAAAGCACCAGCCCACCACGTACATAATTAATCTGCACAAGCATCACTGGAGCAGGCTCATCAGAAGCCCCGGAACCTTTCTTCGGGTCGAATCCCATAGCAGCCAAAGTAGGACACGGCGCCCAAACATGCTCACCCAACACACTCATCGGGAATCCCTTTTGGTGCATCAGATCAAAACTGGGTATCTCGGCATCTCCAGTGTAATCTCGTACGACTAGCTGCGGCACCGGTTCGTACGGCCGAATCTTGTAATGGGGCGCAGCCTCAGTATCAGGGTTTATGTTTACGACTTGACCAGCAACCCAAGGGAAGTTCGCTGCTAGCTCTGCCAATCCAGCAGTCATGGTCGAGGTAACCTGGTGATGTGACGGTTGCCCCTCTTCTGACTCCGACAGCGGAAACATGAAGGCTAGTTGGGTATAAAGCTTGAACAGCGCGGGCTGGGCACCCATCAGGTCGATATCCATATCCAGGGGACTCATGCTCGCAATACGCGATTGGTCCGGTATTGGGAACCTTCAAACCACATGTTAGTTGATTTCCGTGGTTGATTGGGAATAACAGCTGTACAAGTGACATTCTCGGCTTACGTGGTTAAGGCTGGTATGGTAGCGTGTGCTGCTTTCTCAAGACCCCGCAGCGCTTTGCACAGGTTTAAGAGAGAGAAAAAAAGGGACCAGACCCTCTCAAACTTCTGAAACCAGCAACGACGCGTCAAAGCCTGACGACGAAATGACCGCAGTCTCTCCTGTCAAGTTGTTGCCTCAAGCCTGAGTTGCGCAAGATGGTATCATCCCGAGTATGAGCGCTGGCAGTGGCCGACTTGTATAGTCTACTTGTACTCGACCTGACGGAGTGCACATTGGCACAAACGGCGTTAAACTCATAATGACTCATCTCGATGTTATAAGACCATTGCTCAAATCATCCAAAAGAAGATCAAGGCAAGCTCATCTTTTGAAGCCAACAAAACATAGCGACAGTCAAGCTTCTGAACTCCATTTAACAAGCACAACATCTGCCTCTCGGTAAGCATCAGGAAGAATCGCCCGATTATCAGTCGTAACTGCCAGTGCACATTGGGGTGATGGAACGTCGCTAGCCTTGCCGTCTCGGGGGACTTGCAGGGTCTCTTTGATGACCCGCAGTATGCAATGCTGCCCAACTTGACAGGTTGAATGCCAGAAAAGAATGCCCCGACCTCTCCTTTTCCCACCACCAACAGCGTAATGAGCAGAAACCAGCTTTTGATTGCATGCAGGCAGGCTCACGGCGGGTGGCGAATTTTTTTTTTCGTCATGCATATTCTTGGTTGTGTACCTGGAGCTACTGCCCAGCCCGCTTGCGTTCGCCGCGCGTGTACTTTATGTTGCTGGGATGTCTGTCGCCAATACTTTATGCCAATGGATGTTTGCAATTGAACCGTTGTCCCGCTTGCCGCAACGCACGCCCGCACGCACGCAACAGCAGGGGCATGCAAGAAAGAAGGAATAGCCTCTCCGTATTTCACAAAGTCTCCGTCTGCCGCAAATAGTCCAGCTGCGCGTGTGTCATCTTTAATTCATCTGTCGGTTTCGAGGAAGTAGAGCGATTGGCTAGTGAGCCGGCACATTAATTGCAAATACTCCAATCCCCGCTTGCCGCTCGCGTGGAAGAGCACTTTCGGGGGTTCCAGATGTCCTCATTGCCGGAGTCGGGTCGGTTTCTTTGTGGGGAAGGATTTCCTGTGGTGAGGTACCGGAACATCGGGGACTGACTATCCGGGACTAAATGATGAAGATCACTCATGTGAAGGAGAGAGAAGACGAACAAGGCGGGGGGAGGCAAGCTGACTACCAAAAAAAAAAAGATAAGACGTTGAATTCGAAAGGTATCTCGGGAGGGCGTTATAGAAGAATGTAGTACCCAAACTGAACCCATGACTTTTCCGTCCTTATTCCAGGTTTTGAGATTTCCGAATGCCATGCGCTAACAATAAACACATGCTACCACGGTACCGTCTTCCAGATTGTCAAGATATTGTTGCCTCTTTTGCAACCAAACCGCCAGCCCTAGCCCACTAATCAAACCAGCCGTACAGTGTCATGCAAGATCTCAGTGCTGCGCAGATCTCGGTCGTTAAGGAAATAAAAATAGGCTAATGTTCGTAGTACTCCAGATACTCCATGGGTCTCATGCAAAACCAAAGTGAGACCATCGATGCAAACGCCGCTCATATGCCGACGCCTTGTTGAGTGCTTTCTATCAGTGATGTAGGCCAACGACAACGCGATGTGTCGTAGCCTGTTGTTGTGCAGTAAATCCAAATATGTATATCGGAAAGCGTATCGGTCGTTGGACCGAAGGGGTATCAAGCTTGAAGCTCATAGAATCACGCACTTCGGTTTGTCTTTGCCGCGTTTATTGCCTCCAGTCATGCCAGCACCTCGTGTACGACGGTCGCCAGCTCCTCTTGTGCGGTCCTTCTCGTGGTAGCCGGTACGTGCTCGAGTTTCTTTCCTGTCTGTAGGGGAACGTCCACTGCCTTGTCGTTGCCGTCGGAGCTGTCGAACGACGTCAAAGAAGGCCTTCTCGACGTTGACGCAGTTTTTGGCGGATGCCTCGACGAAGTCGCAGCCAAGTTCCTTTGCGAGTGCTTGTCCCTCTTGGGTCGAGACTTCGCGTTCGGTGACACGGTCGCATTTGTTTCCAACCAGCATCACAGGGGCTTGGCCGAACATGGGTGCGGATGCGCTGATGGGCGAGCCGGGGTAGGTGGGCGAACCAGCCATGGCCGTCTCCTTGACGCGCTGTATTTGGCTGTGGAAACGCTGTATGCGAGCAAAGGAAGAACGTGATGAGATGCTGTAAACGAGTACGAAGCCCTCGCCGTCGCGTATCCATTGGTCCCGTAGGGCAATGTACTCTTCTTGGCCAGCCGTGTCGAGGACTTCGAGCATGCAGGACTGGCCGTCAATCTGCACCTGCTTGCGGTACGAGTCTTCGATGGTGGGGTCGTAGGTTTCAACAAAGTGGTTCAAGCACAACTAGCGGCGGTCAGCCATGTCAACAGATCAGGGATAGGGGAGCAAGTTGGGGGAAGGGCTACCTGTATGGTCAGGGCAGTTTTTCCTACACCGCCGTCGCCCAGCACCACCAGCTTGTACAGCGTCATCTTCCCCGCCATGGTGTTGGTAGTAGATTGGAGTCGGCCTCGTCAATGCAGGTCGTGTCTAGTGCGCGGATGCGGCGGACAGGGCACAGATCAAGGGCGGCGTGCTGGTGCAAGTAGAGCTCGCCACGTAGTCGCAGAGAGTCGCGTCGTGTTCTGCAGTAGATTTGCAGCTGACCAGCGGGTTCGCAGCTGAAGATGGGAGCAGTAGTGTCGGTCCAGAAGGGGGTGGGACGAAGAAGGGGGGAGGCGCGGCCAGAATCAGCGTCGATGTCGTGGTTCCTGACGACGGTCCACACTCGCACAGCAGCAACAGGTGCGCGTGTCGACGGTGAGCTGCAGACGCTTCAGAATCGATCGGGGGGGTGGCGTTGGTGGTGAGGGCAATGGTTGCACACGCAGACGTCGAGGCGGAAGCGTGGCCTGTGCAGCAGGGCCGACGCAGAAACGGCGGCAGGAGTGAGCGGGGAGGTGGTGCGGCTGATGGCAAGGAGAGAGAGAGAGAGAGAGGCCGGGCGTGGTCCGAGGGTGGTCGAGTCGAGATGATGATGGAGAGAAAGTTGGGCGAGGTAAGGTGTGGCAGGCTTGCTTGGTCAGGGCTCTCGCTCCAGTGGCTCGTGTCCCCACGTGAAGATGGTCGACTTGGATTTGGCAATGCACAGATGCGGCAAGGGAACTAGAAAGGTGCAAGAGTCTGAGACCGGGGCATCACCTATCAATCAGCATCTACTATCGAGGCTCCGTTGCATGGACGCGGGCGACGTGGGATGAGCAAGCAGCGGCGTGGACGGGGGCAACGATAGCGGCGTGATGGATGAGGGAGGTCAAAAGAAACGCGCGATTAGTCGACATGGGCGGCCGGGGTTTTTACGCTGCGTCGAGGTTGGCACCTTGGGCCTTGGGCGACGGCGCTGCAGCACTGGGGGCTGCCAGACACCAGGATTCGCCTAGTCCTGTCCAGGCCATCCAGACGAGAAACAGCCAAGCGACGCACCGCCAGAAGCACAAAAGACCGCCTCGCCGACCCGGGCCCATGGCTGGCTGCTGTGTATACATATAACCCGACGACGCCGTGGCCCCCGCCCTTCCCAAGTCCTGGAAGCCTGGTCTCTCTGCTGTGTGCGGCCGTCACTTTGTGCCATGTCGCCTGCAAGTCAATGATGCACAACGGCCAGAAGAGCTGCCGTCGTCTCAGTGCGCGCAAGCGCAGGCGGCAGGCCCTAGGACTATACTAGGGCTGCTAACGGGGACCCCCTTGGGGGTGTCATTGGGGGGAGAGGGAGCGCGCAGGCCACTACACATGCACCCTCGACTCTGTAGGAACAAGAAAGACGCCGAGCCATCGATAGCCCACTCTTTAGCAGCAACAACCCCCATCGCTGCAACACTCCAGCCACACAAAGGGACACATAGAGCATGGACCGTGTTGCAACAACATGTAAAGCATGTTTGGACATTGCAGGGCGAGCTATGGGATGGATGGGCAGTTTTGCGCCAGGGTTTCAGTCCTGGTCAGTCCTGGCCTTGAAGGGATGGTGCTTCGGGGAACAGGACCCCAAGCCGCAACAGCGTGTAGCCGATAGTCGCTTGGCTTACTGCTACTGCTTGTTGATATTCTGGCCGAGCCGACGGGATCACTGCACCAACAGACGTCGTCTCCGGCACGTCTCTGGCAAATACGAGCCACCTCCGCGACCGACAGGCGGCGCGGCCTGCTATCTCGTGTAAGACGCCAACGCCTTGCTGCCGTTACCGTATCGATTGGTGACCATGCAACAACTATTCTGCCGGTAAGAAAGCTTGCCGACGCGGCGTGAGGCACAACCTGAGATGACAGGACGAGCCAACGCGACGGTGACGAGGCTCACTCGCCGACCAGATGATGCGACTCAAGGAATGCCTGGATATATGCGCTGATGAAGTGTCAAGCTCCCAGATGGGCGGGAAGGTCGCAGCTCAGCACAGAGCTCCAAGTATGTCAGCCCCGGGAAGTTGCAGGAGCGCAGTCCGGCGGTTGGGCCATCGCCCGCAGCACCATGCGCGCACGTGTTCGGGGTGGGGCCAACAACACGCTGCCGTGACAGAAACGGTATCCTTTTCCCCTGCTTTTCAGCTGGACGTCGCCAGTTGTTTGTTGGTTTGGCCATGATGCGAGATTAACCGCTGGGGCGTTTGGCGTCGAGCGTTGAACGGCCGCTTCGTGTAACACGATTTTCGGGGGACGGGCCGCTGCTCGCCGGTTCCGACTCCACTCATTCATCCGGTAACGAGCCAGCAAATACGAAGTGGCTGCTATGCAAACGGCTTGTACTGATATTGGGGAGAATGCTAATATGCGCCCAGCTGGTGAGAGATGGTGTAGCCTACATGGCTAGGATCCCTAGAAGACTTATAAAAGAGCGAAAGCGCAACAATGATAGATGGTTACTCAACGTGTACATTCAAAGACGCTATAACAGCTAATCGCTAACACGGTTCACATTACCTCTACAACACCAATTCCTTGCTAACAGTCCACATCCCATCTCCTACAACTTCGCCCTTGCCTCCGTGGCCTTGTGCAGATCCTTCCCCTTGACCTTGAAATACTCTCTAACCTTCTCCCTCGCAACATCAACAGCCTGCCTGTCTTCAATCGTACTCGGAACACTGACTTCCTTGTCAAACTCTCCATGCGTAGCGTTCTCCAACAGCTCACGCAGCACTCTCCTCAGCGTCTTGCCGCTCCTAGTCTTAGGTATCATCCCTTTGCCTTGTATGATGCCACCGAGACTTGCAATTGCACCAATCTGCTCACGTACTAGGCGTTGAACTTCGGCGAGGAGTTTGTCGTCTGCCACAGCGGACTCGGAATGTGCGTGAGCGGATAGTGTGATGAAGGCGAAGGGAAGGTGACCTTTCAAAGCGTCGGGGATGCCGACTACAGCTGCTTCGGCGATGGAGGTGTGGGTCGTGATAGCTTGCTCGATGGCGCCTAGTACTTGTCAGTCTATTCCCACAGCCCATCAAGTGAGACGTGATATACCTGTACTGAAGCGGTGTGCCGCAACATTAATCACATCGTCTGCCCTCGCCATGATTGAAATGTATCCCTCCTCATCAATCATACCAGCATCGCCAGTGTCAATCCACTTCCCATCGAACCTCTTCATATAGCCCTTGTAGAAACGTTCTTCGTCTTCCCAGAGCGTAGTAAAAGCCGTTGGAGCAAGTGGTATCGCCATGATGATATTGCCCATCTCGCCTCTCTTCACCTCTTTGCCTGTGTCATCCACAATACGTACATCAAACCCGGGCATAGCCTTTCCAGCTGAGCCAGGCTTAATCGGAAGCGGCGCAGGTCTTTCCTGCGAAGAAAACTCCAGCCCAGCAGAGGCGCTGAGTGCGATGCCCGAGATGGGTGAGCCAGATTCGGAAGACCACCAGTTGTCTACGACCATGGCACCTGGAGCGCAGTGCTTTGTTAGCAGTTTCTGGTACATCTGGATGATGCTCGGTTCACTCCTTTCTCCTGCCAGGAAAAGCGCCCTAAGTGTCTTCAGGGCACCCCTTTGCCCTCTTTCCTCGAAAAATTCATTGTCGCCGTCGTCCCTGCGGATTGCGCGTAGAGCTGTGGGAGCGGTGAACATGGTCGTCACTTTGTAGTCTTCGATGACGCGCCAGAAGGTACTCGCATCGGGGGTTCCGACGGGTTTGCCCTCGAATAAAACAGTAGTAGCACCAGCTAGCAGTGGAGCGTAGACAATGTAAGAGTGCCCAACAACCCAACCGATATCGCTTGCCGTGAACATAACGTCGCCCGGACCATGGACTCCGAACAGGTACTTGATGGAAAAGTTCAGTCCAACAGCGTGACCCCCTGCTGAGCGAACAACACCCTTTGGTAGCCCGGTAGTACCCGATGTGTAAATGATGTACAGTCCGTCGCCGCTTTGAACAGGCACAGCATCTGCCTTCAAACCTCTATTCTTCGCGCTCTTGACCAGTCGTTGCCAGTTTCTCTGGCCCTCCTCTTTGACTATCGGATCCCATCTTAGCTGCTCTCTCTGCCAGACAATCGTCTTGAATGGCTTGAAGCTACTCTTGTGAACGGCGCCTTCAATCATCGATTTGTACTCGGTGGGCTTCTTGGCTCCTTCAATCCCGCAAGAAGCCGTCATGATCGCGACAGGGCGACTTGCCTCGATTCGCTGGGCCAGCGCCGCCGGCGAGAAGCCACCAAACACAACCGCATGTATAGCTCCAAGCCTGGCGATAGCGAGCATAGCAAACAGCGCAGCTGGTATCATCGGCATGTAAATCAAGACGACATCGCCTTTCTTGACTCCCTCTTCCCTCAACACACCTGCCAGTGTCTCTACTTCTTGTAAAAGCTGCTGATATGTGTACTGCTCTTTCTGACCGGTCACTGGACTATCCCAGCAAATCGCGACCCTCTCGCCGTTACCGTTTGCCACATGGCGGTCCACACAGTTGTATGTTGTTGAAATCTCACCATCGGCAAACCATTCCCAGTGCTCATGTGACACATTGCTCTTCTTTAAGTGCTTTGTGCTCCTTTGGAACGCTGTAGACGGCTTCTTATGCCAGTATAGGTTGTTCGCTTGGCGCTGCCAGAACTGCTCAGGGTTGTTGATGGAGGCCGCGTAGACCTGATCCTGGATGTGCTCTTGAGGCATCTTGTTAATCCGGATGGATGATGTTAATTGACTATGTGATGAAAGCACTTTGCTAGATGCAGTGGCGAAGCTAGCACACGCGCGTGGGCGACAAGCTGAAAGACAAGCAAATAGCGGTACGCTGAACTTGGGGATGGTGAATGCAGTGAAGCACGAGTTGCTCTTCGCGAAGAGCATATGGGCGTCATGAGCATTGATCTTTTAGACTTTGCCGATCGGTCCAAGGGGACCGATGATGCTGACCTCGGAAGGAGATGGCTCGGACTACCCCATGCCCTGGAGCTCCCCGCAAAGCGCTAGCGGGGTGCTAACACCTGGGCACGGCTGGGGACGGCATCCCGCCTGGTCGGATGCTGACTGTGAGCGCATCGACTTACGCATGATCTCAAGTGAGTTCTAACTTCTCCTTATTGTAGGTCCCTTCATATGTGACATTCGTGCAGGTTGTGGTAGAGAGCTTGGTGTGAATAATGTCGAGATGCGGAGGTGGCTGGGAGGCTAGACATTAAGCTTTGACGCACGACTGCTTCGTGAAGACTCAACTTTGAAGCTACTCAGATCGCGTGGCTAGATAGATGCATCCTAACTTCGTCCTATTCGATATGAAAAACCGTGAGTGGGTTCCAGACGCCCTCGACTCTGTGAGGTGTATTACGGACATTCTTACTCCGTGTATATTCCCGATGACGTACATAACCCCATGCCTTCAACCATCAGCCAAGTAGACTTCAGCCCGCAAAAACTACTACCTCTAGCCTCTACACAGCAGTTTTTCAGCATAACCATGTCTCTGTCCCCTCCACCACGCGCACTATTCTTCGATGTATTCGGTACCTGCGTCAACTGGCGCGCGACCGTCACTAGTGCGCTTTCCCTCGCAGCCCACAAGTCGCTCAACTCAGCAACCGCATCATTGGCATCTAAACTACGTTTGCGAGCATCGGAAATGACAGATGAACACTGGGGGAAGTTCGCCCAGCAATGGCGAAACACTTACAAGATATTCACAAAACAACTAGCCGCTGACCCTTCAATCCCGTGGAAATCGGTCGACGACCACCACTTGAGCGCATTGAAGCAGCTTATCACGGAATGGGAGCTTGATGGCCTGTGGAATGACGAGGAGATTCTTGCTCTGAGCTTAGTCTGGCACCAATTAGTCCCCTGGGAAGATTCTGCCGCCGGCGTTGAGTTACTCAACAAACGATTTGCAACAGCTATGCTTTCGAATGGGAATGTGAGTCTTCTTACAGATCTCCGTGCGTATAGTGGGATACCTTTTATACACATCTTCTCGGCTGAGATGTTCGGCACTTACAAACCTGCGCCGGAAGTATATCTTGGAGCGGCGGAGAAACTTGGTTTGGAACCTAAGGAGTGTGCTATGGTAGCTGCGCATCTACCTGACCTCAAAGCTGCACATGGCAATGGGCTAAAGACTGTTTACGTGGAGAGGGATGGGGAGGAGGATTGGACTGAAGAGGAGATCAAGGAGGCGAGGGAGGCGGGCTGGGTAGATCTGTGGATTGGATTGGAAGAGGGGAGTAGGGGTTTTGTTAGTGTAGCGGAAAAGTTAGGGATCGCTGATGGAATGTAAGGTGGAGGCTTTGTGGTCGTGTTGAGCTTTTCTCAGTCACATATAGTGTAAGCAACGAGACGTCTACTGAGATATAGTTGGCCGAACTATGTTACATAACCGTCTTCAGATCTCTAGCAAGAGGTAAACACTTCCTAAATTGCAACTGCATCGCACACCAAAGCACTTATCCCACAGCCATTGCTGAGAATCAGCCAGGTGATAGTCAGATCTAAATGCGACATGTTCTTTTCATTCTCAGTCCATACCATCAAAGAAGACCTCCGGCATCCTCTTCTCCACCTCTCCCAATCACCCAGACATGCACAAGGATAGCCTCCAAGTTTATGCAGGACAAGAATTTGCTATATCATCAAGCAATGTCGGTATTCATAAACATCGTCACTACGTTACCATACCATCACAATACCAACACACACACACCCGCCCTACCAAAACCCATCCTCCTCAGACAACAGCTTTCGCCTTCCCCTCCCTCCTAAGCCTACTCTTCTCCACAGCCTCCTCAACCTTCGTCTTCCTCCACGTACACGACTCAGCAAAATCGCATATCCGACATTTAAACGCCTCCTCAATCTCCACTCCCTTGGCCTCCCTCGCACCTTTCCACCAAGCCATCTCACTCCCAACATACGCATCAATAACTTCCGGCTCGTACACCGTAAGCCGACTACCAAGTACATCTCCCGTCTTTGCGTACCGAAACTCCGCCCGTAGTATCGGGCTCAAGCTTCCCCTTGGAAACGTTTCTTGCATCTCTGTGACGAGCAGACTCCATAGTGAGAGAAGATTTGGGTAATTCGTCGCTTCGGACTCCGGGTTCCCATGCGGACCTATAGAAGAGATTTCACCCAGGAAGGTTTGCGTGAAAGGCGCAAGTGGGTCGAGACTGTAGCGCTGCAGGACAGTCTCCGCATCCACGGTGTTTAAAGAGAGGGATTCGAGGAGTTTGCGGTAGAGCATGAGCTGCATCCATGTAGGGCGTAGACTCGCACCGGTTGGGAGAGATTTCGCGGAGCGAGTCTTTACATCTGCAATGTAGATTTGGCGATCTGAGGGATTTGGTGCGGAGGGCAATGGGTCGGATGAAGACGGTTTCCCAGAGGCTTTGGCAAAAGCGTCTGAGATGCTGGGCTGATTCGGTGGCAAAGGAACAATACCACCATCCTTCTCTGCCCTCGCCCTCTCAACCTCTTGTTCGAATTCCGCGTCGGGACAAACATAGCTGATCTCATCGATCACCCCGTTAACAACCTGTCCCTCAATCACACCCCAGACTTCCAGTTCTCTCGTCAAGCCCATCTCTCTCAAACACCTCAGCCCGGAAATCGCATTCCACATCCTCAGCCCAAATCCATCTTCTTTGCTTTCAACCTGCACCGGCACCGTTGTGTGGACTTGGTCTTCGAGCGTTTGGTGGATCTTGCTACCAGTCTTCATAGCCTGTGTTCGTGGCTTCCGTCCGAATTTGCTGAGCGTGTAGAAATACTGTAATTCGCACCAAGCGGGGGAGACGAGATCGGTCACCGAGAGACATTTCTTGGGTTTCGTTCGGAAACGCTCGAGGGGCGGACGGGTGTCGGTTTCAGCGGCTTGGACGGCTTGAGTTGGAGCGAGTGGAGCGGCGGCAGTGGCTTGCGATGCGCTGCGCTTAGGTTGGAATTGCAAAGGTGAAGGTGGAGTGGCTGGTTGTTCGTGAGGAACTAGGCGCTGTTAGTTGTCAGTTCATACGACATTGTCTCCTATTATGGATTCTTGGTCGACGTACCACTCCACGCCCGTCGCGATCTCTCGTCGTACTCGACTTCCAGCGCCTTCCGCTCTCGCACGGGCGAACTCTGTATGTCCCTCTGTGTATCCGCGTCGACACTTCTCTTGCCCTTGGTAACGCGCAGCACCGTGGGTCTGCGTACCTGCACGAAGCCGTCCACATCCTGTTCTTCATCTTCTCGTTCGCCCTCCTCGAACTCAATGCTAGGTAGCACTGCGCTCTTTTGGGTTTGCGCCGCGTTTCTTATCGTGTCGAAAGCGTCTGCAAGTATGGTGTCGTCGTCAATGTCGATATCGGAGCCGTAGTCACTCAGCGTCGCGATAGACTGGATGTCGATATCGGAACCATATTCGCTCGCGTAATTCGACGTCAGCTGTGTGGTTGGTGCCGCCATGATGCCATGATCTGGCCGCGACGTGCTGGTCGTGCGTGTGTGGCGACCCTTTGACGCGCTGAGCGTGCTGGCGCGTTTTCGCGTGTACTCGTGAGGTCATCGGCGGGCAGGCCAATCGAGGGGTGATTAAACACCAAAACGCGAAGAATGGAAAAACGTGTGTACAGGAAATAAAAATATAAAAAGGCAATCTAGTATCTCCACTCTTCTCATTGTTACTAGAAGTATGCGTGATTGCCTACGTTATCGTCCCAAACTCATCGAGCACATTGCACCCAGCATATGGACAGCAGCATCCATTCAATACGCCGCACCTGCACCACACACAACAACATAAATAATAGACAAGTACTCTCATACATCGCCGTAGTTTCTCTATCTCCCATCAACCCTGCATAGCCTCAGCAACACCCGCCTGCTCAAACCTCCCACCTAACACAGCATCAAGGCCCTGCCTGAAATCCGGCATATCATCCGCCCTCTGATCGACCCTCGCCCACTTCACCATCCCCTCTCCGTCTATCGCAAAATTACCCGCCGTCTGCCACCTGCTGCCGCTCTCTGTAGCTCGCACGCTGATGCCCTCTTGTTTGAGTTTCGTCGTCCCGGGTATGCTACCGAGAACGTGCCACAAGGACGATATGCCCAAGCCCCATGCGCCATATGCCTAAAGTGCAACGGGTCAGTGTACCGTCTTGTATAGCTTCTTTGTATGGCCACAATGTACCTCGCGTTCAGCATCAACAATGACGTAGAGGTTGGGTTGGGTGTTCTTCGCAGGCTCAGGTAGTGCCGCCAACCACCTCTCTGTCGCTCCTGGCTCGCTATGGCTCACAGCCACCCAGTCGACATCTCTGTGCGCCGCTGCCATGTCTCTCATATTCAAAAACGTCTTTTCCGCAAAAGGGCAGCCGCAGTGTCTGAGGAAACTGATAATGGTCGGCTTGCCATCTTTTGCAGGTATGTTTAGCTTTGGTGTTGGAGGTGCCTTTTGGCCGACAGTGGGCGTTTCTGCTGTTTGCACGCTGGGTGGCGACAGCCATGAGTTGAGTTCGGTTTGCCAGGTCATGGTGGATTAGTGGTTTGTATTAGATCGAGTAGATGGAGATGCGCGACTGCGCAACGTAATGCAAAGGACATGATAGTAGTCTTTGATGTTAGTGTCGCTCATGAAGGGACCGGTCGTGATGGTCGCATTGCTAGCTGCGATAGGCGTCATACTGCGGGATGGAGACCGGATCGCGACTATTGGCGTAGGCGAATATTCGTCGTATCAAAACACCAGGAAATGGATGTGAGATAAACATGAGAGTCAAAGCAAGACATCACCATCAGTGGAAGCAATGTGAAGTAGAAATCTGTTGATTTCGAGATAATATCGCCAGTGACCATCACTGATTAACCTGGATATACTACATGCTCAGCACCGCTCGTGTGCACTCATAAACCGAGTTGAAGACCGTGAACCATGAAACCCTATAAACGCCTTGATATCCTAACCACTAAAGACCCAATCCAATCACTGACCCGAAGAAGTTGTCATGTCGTGTCGATGTGTTGTTGAGAAGCTTAACCACGCTCACCACGGAGGCGGCGGGCGAGCTGGATGTCCTTGCTCTGGATGGTGACACGCTTGGCGTGGATGGCGCAGAGGTTGGTGTCCTCGAAGAGGGAGACGAGATAGGCCTCAACGGACTCCTGGAGAGCACCGATGGCAGAGGACTGGAAGCGGAGATCGGACTTGAAGTCCTGGGCAATCTCACGGACAAGACGCTGGAAGGGCAGCTTGCGGATGAGGAGCTCAGTCGACTTCTGGTAGCGACGGATCTCACGGAGAGCGACGGTTCCGGGCTTGTAGCGGTGGGGCTTCTTGACACCACCGGTAGATGGCGCACTCTTACGAGCTGCCTTGGATGCGAGCCTTGAAGTGATGTTAGTATGTTGCGATGCGATGAGAAAGGCAGAGCTGAGGGTTAGACTAACTGCTTGCGGGGGGCTTTGCCACCAGTGGACTTGCGGGCGGTCTGCTTAGTGCGGGCCATGTTGTTGGTAGATGGAGAAGTAGTTGTGGTGGGTGATGGAGATGGTTGTTGTTGTGATGGTGAGTGGAGTTGAGTGGATGAGAGATGGAGGAGGGTGGGCGGGCGCAGCTTATATGGTAAATGGGGGGGCGGGCGGCTGCCTGGAAAATCAATCTTTGTTGCGCGCAGTTACGAACACCAAAGTCAACTGCTAACTAGCGACCAGGTAATGCGCGCGCAGCTGGAACTTCAAAACCGCAAAGTCCACAAGTCGCGCGCGCATTCGCCATTGGCTCGCTTACGCACGCGTCCCGATTGGGAAGGGGCACGGTCGTTGATCTGGAAAGCGCGCCCGTGCGTCGGTTTGATCTAGCGGTGGCAGGACGTGTGATCCGGCGCGCTTCTGGGACGCGCCCCGCTGCCTCATAAACACGACCGCCGCCCACTCCATCTTTCTCATCATCCAAGCACATTACCAGCCTCACCAACTCTACAACTCTCTCACTCAACCAACTTTACCTCTTCCCAAAACAACTCCCTCCATCCATCAATATGACTGGTCGCGGCAAAGGTGGCAAGGGTCTCGGAAAGGGTGGTGCCAAGCGCCACCGCAAGATTCTTCGTGACAACATCCAGGGTATCACAAAGCCCGCTATCCGTCGTCTCGCACGTCGTGGTGGTGTCAAGCGTATCTCAGCCAGTATGTCTCCTCGCTCTGCCTTCTCCACTCGCCCTCTAACAAACCCTAGTGATCTACGAGGAGACCCGCGGTGTTCTCAAGACCTTCCTCGAGGGTGTCATTCGTGACGCCGTCACATACACTGAGCACGCCAAGCGCAAGACCGTCACCTCCCTCGACGTTGTCTACGCTCTCAAGCGTCAAGGACGTACTCTGTACGGTTTCGGTGGTTAAGCGCGCTTCTTGCTTTTCATCACGGTTTTCATGTTACGACTTGTTCAGTCTACGGTCGGCTCCTTTCGGTGCTTGGTGGGAATGGTCATAGCCTTTGTATAGTACAGTGAGGCTCGGAGTTCACGGGTTATATCAGTCAGGGTTCTGATTTGCATGGAATGATACCATAATAACTTCATCTATTGTCTTTTGCAACGTGATGTCCCTTCTGCTGCATCATCGCGACGCGTCTGAGTTCTGTGTCTGAACGCGGTGGTCATGGCGGTCATGGCTCCACTTGGTATGATGTGCTGTTCCGCCTTTTGTCGTGCTAGTGTCCAACGTCAATCAGACCGACTTTCATCTCCTTCACAATGAGCATGTCGTTTCTGTAGCTCGCTGTTGCTGCTGCCTAGCTGGAGACGACGTGACTCATCGCTGTTTGCCACTTGAGTGAACTCGGCATTGTGAAAGATGGCAGTTTGGCGCATGACGTCATGCCTTTGCTGTGTCTGACGGCTGCTTAACGCGATGTTCTATTGCTGGGAAATATGTAGTCTTTCGCGTTTAATGAATACACGTGAATATGATATCGATTCCGTCGTGTGGTGCATTAGCAATGCGCGTTGTGTGCTGTTGATCTGAAAGTATGCGTGCTTTGGCTGCACCGGAACGACACTTCCGCAGACCTACACACTCCAAACAACTCCAACGACGTCTGATTGATCTAAAATTCATGCGATATACTCTCATGATATATGACACTTGGTATCTCGAGTTTTGGGGAAATTGAACCTGATGTGGTGGTGTTGGAATTTTTTGAACTTGTTACGTGTTGAGTCCTAATTTGGAAAAATATGTATAGAGATTGTCGACGATATTCACCACATGGCAACCACAGCACGAAATAGGATCTGATAAAATCGCATAATCACGTCGGAATATGTACAGAGATATCAGAAGTTTCTACAGATGCGTTCGTCACGTCGATTCAAGCGATGTGGTGGGTTGCGCATCGCGTCCGGAAAGTACAGCTGGTGGGTGGGAAGACGCGTCGGAAGAGCAACGCGAAATCACGCAAGTCGCAGCATTCGAACAAGTCACATTAAGGAAATACAAAGGTCTAGAACGATGGATTATAGTAAGGCCTTCTTCATGTACTGCGCAAAGGACATATTGCACTGCGCGTGGTCGTCAAAGCTCATCATAATCATTATCATTAAGATGGCGTTACGGTTCCAAGGACATCCAAGTACCTATGCTCTGTATACAAGATAAACATCATGCGAAAGATTATTCATGAGCCTGATCAGCACTACATCCGGTCGCTCCTGCCCAAAAGCTGCAAGACGCGCAGGTTGGGCAGTATCGAAGCGCGCGCCCACCCTAACAGCATGCCTCTTATTCCTGCAGACCCGTTCGCCATATCTCGCATCTATCTACTGCCCACTAGGCACCTCATACGGCCCGTATCCCGGCTTAGGGAAATCCGGACTCCCATCTTCTTTCCAGCCAAACTTCTGCGCCCGAATCGTACGCGCGCTCCACCCATTCGTCGGATCCTCCATACCATGATACACAATCCAGTCCTCAGTGCCGTCCGGAGAAGTAGTAAACGACGCGTGTCCAACACCATACGCCTTTTCACTAGGGTTCTGGTAGAAGACAGGGTAAGGATGTTTGCGCCAGTCACTAGGGTTCATCGGGTCGTCGCCTACAAGCTCCAGCTGGCCGAGACAGTAGTTACGGTTATCAGACCGCGCAGCGCTGTAGATGAGGAAGGTTTGGTTGGTGACTGGATTGATCAACTGCTGGGGCCCTTCGTTTGAAGAGAGCCGATCATTAGAGGCCCGTCCAAAAGGTGTTTTCTCCCACGCGTACTCCGGCACGGAAATGATTTGGCGCTCGGAAAAAGGTGACACGGTGGTTAATGGGTCAGACAGCTTGGTGATGCAGAGGTTCGCGGGCCAGCCGTCGTATTTGCGGTACCAGCATGAGTAGATGTGGTACAATTGGCCGGCGTGTTGGAAGTATGTCCCGTCAATCGCAAACTGGTCGTAAGTTTCGAGTTGGCCGCGGTAGCTGTACTCAGGCGTCCAGGGATCATCAGCTTCGCCCACGGCAACAAACATGCGGTGGTTTACGGCGGGGCAGTTGTATTCACACCACATTTCCGTCTCTGGGGGTGGAGAATCGAAGTTGGGGTCCGCGGTGAAGATTACCCACCAGGCATTGTCGATCTGGTGGATTTCTGGGGCCCAGAGGTCGGTGGAATAGGGCTGATTGGGCGAAGGTTGGAAGATGGTCTTGGACTCTGCGGTTGACCAGTCGGTGAGGGATTTGCTGCGCCAGAGAGTTATGTTGACGTTGTTGGTGTAGGTCATGTAGTAGTAGTCTTCGTGGCGAAACATCCAGCTAGATAGTGTTAGGAGACAAAGGCCCGTGTAGTTACCTGGAGGACTTGACTCACGGGTCTGCTCCAGTGGGCACGATCGGGTTCATAAATGTTGATGAGTTAGTCATGTTGCCGAAAGATGGCGGCGGGCTGTACTGGGAGACGCCCACGGCAGCGAGAGCCGCCGCGATGAGAAGCTTGAACATATTGCCGTCTGAATTGCACAGTGTGTTGGAGAAGATTGGATGCAAGTGAGGGAGATGAATGTATTTATCAGGCGGTTCAAGTACTTGTGCGGGGGGAGACGCGGGGTGGTGGGTACCTAGCCCGGGCGAGTGAAAGAACAAGTCCAAGGTAGCGATCTGGCGTGACTATCACACAGGGAACCGAATACCTAGGTAGTATTCTTCTACAGTAGTCTTCTGATCATGCACAAGGACGATCGCGGTGCAGCCTCACAGCCTCTCCACTAGGGCGGAAGCAGTACGGTGATAAAGTCTACCTAGGAGGACAAGTCCACCCGTCCATCATCGTGCCCGTGGTGACGCAATACCTCTGGTAACAGACGAGGCTGGTGTTGTGCGCTTGCGTCCAAGGTTCCCCGCGTTTGGTCCAGCCACACTGCTCTAGCGCACTTTGTCGCGCGGTGCAGACGCGAACCCAAAGACGCCTGCGAAAGGCTTGGCACGTCTTTTGCGAATTCCGACTTGGTACCAAACTCTCCACTCGGCGCACAATGAACAACTCGCAATTCCGACGACTGCTCGTCGAAACACCAAAGCCTCAAGATGGCGACAAGGGCAAATCGCCCGCGGCTGCAACGCCGAGGGCAGTGCTGGGCGCACGCAAGCACTCCAGCATACCAATGACACCGTAAGTCTCCTCCACATTGTCTCGCGCACGAGGACTGATGCTAACAGTCGCGCAGCCGCCAGGTAGGCAAGGGGTCAGTCCAGTCAGACTTTGCGCGCCAACTCGCCGAACGCAACGCGAAGAACAACCCGCAGAAGAAGGCGAGAAACATAGTACCAAAAGGGACGAAGCTCGCTGCAGGCTACACCGACCGCACCAAGGCATACACCGATGAGGAAGACAACGAGATTGCGAAACGCGTCAAGAACCTCGAAGAGTCTATGAAGAAGGGCGAGATTGACCGTGAGACGTTTGAGAATCTTGTGCAAGAGATTACAGGCGGTGATGTTGGGACCACACACTTGGTCAAGGGCCTGGACAGGAAGCTTCTCGAGCGAGTAAGGCGGGGCGAGGATGTTCTGGGTGGCCAAGACAAGAAGGAGGAAGAGGTGGAAGACGAGCAGGCAGAAGAGGCACCAGAAGTCGAGGACGCGTTCGATGAGCTGGCAGAAGCAGATGTCGGGCCCATTACGCGCGAGAAGGTCGAGAAGAGAGGCGAGAAGATGACATCACCACGGCCTGTTGCTGGCGTCAAGAGGAGCCGAAACGACATCCTGAAGGACCTCAAGAGACAGCGAGAAGAAGCTGCTGCTGCTGCGGCGGCTGAGCACGAGAAAAGGTTTCCTACCTTGGGGCCAGGCTTCCGCAAGATAAATGCACAAGGCGAGACACACCGTATCGAGACAGACGAAAAGGGCCGCGAGGTATTAATCATCACGGGTCCAGACGGCAAGGAGAAACGCAAGGTCAAGAAGCAGAAGGTTGAGGAGCCAGCGCCTGAAGTACGTCATGATCTAGATGACGCGAGCAAACCGATCAACATGCACAACCTCCCTGCGCCGAAGAAGGAAGAGTCGGAAGACGAAGATATATTCCAAGGCGTAGGATCTAATTACAATCCGCTCGCCAACTTTGACGACTCAGAAGACGACGACGAAAATGAACAAGAAGAAGAGAGAGAAACAAAGCCGCAGCCGTCTGCTGTACCCAAGCTCGATACTACAACTGCAGAGTCACGCTCAGAAGGCGAGGTGTCTTCTCCCGAAACAACAGAAGAAGACGCGCCAGCGAAACCCAAAGAGAGCGCGCCCGCTGCACCCACAAAACGAGACTACTTCGCATCCACAGCCCGCAGCACCTCGAGCACAAAAGAACCATCTGACCTCTCCGCCGCCGACGCCACCGTCCGCGCCGCCCTCGCCAAAGTCCGCAACCTCGACGACAACTCCGCACTACTACAAAACCTTGGCTCTGCCGATCCCAACGATCCCGCCTCCAAAGAAGCGCGTCTCAAGAAACGTGCTGCGGAGCTTGCCGCGTCGGACCGCGACATGGAAGACATGGACATGGGCTTCGGAGCATCGCGGTTCGACGATGCCGAGGAAATGGAGAGGGAGGGCGAGAAGGTCAAGTTTAGTCAGTGGAAGGGACTGGGCGCTGAAGGCGACGATGATGAGGATGAGGGTGGTGGTAAGGGAAAGAAGGAGAAGAGGAAGAGGGGAGGGAAGAAGCGAAAGGGAGATAAGAATAATGCGGACGATGTTCTTAATGTCATGGAGAGGCAGAAGGAGAAGAAGACCAAGACGCTTGGTTGAGAGAGAGAGAGAGAGAGAGAGTGAAAGGTAAGAAATGGATCTGTAGCACCGGGTGCTGTATCGTTTCTTCACACGTGAGTTCTACACGCAGAGTGCAAGTAAAGCCATATCATCATTGATTACATTAAAGAATCCATCTACCCATCATGCTAAACATGTACATAAGCATTCGTAACCGCGTGGTATCTTTGCAATCTAATTAACGTCTAGTCCGTCAAACTTCTCTTTAAAGAAAGAAAAAAAAGAAAACGCCTAATACTCCATGCTCATACTCCAAAACGTTGATAAAGAAAAAAAAAAGAGGCGTTCAATCCCTCTAACATGGCAAAATTACTCCCTCTTCACAGACTCAATCACTCGTCCTCCTCATCCCACCCCCACCCTTGAGAACCATACTACCCAGCACCAACGACCCGCCTCCAGTACGCGATGCATCCTGCTGTATACCTCCCATAGCAGCCTGCTCAGCCATATGCTTAGCAACAGCATCCATCTCCTCGCCTTCTTCTACAAGCGTCCAATCAGCCTCGATCTCTTCATCCGTCGCATCGCCCTCATCACCGGGCTGCTTGGCCTGTTTCTTGATGAGCGTCTTCGCACGATCGAGTTCGCGGTAGATTGTTTGAATGGCAGTTTGTGTACCATTATCCTATTGTCCATGTGTTAGTAATTGAACAAAAGTGAAGAAAGAGGGTGGGTGACATGGAAGTGGGAAGAAAAAAAAAACATACCTTCCTAATCTTCTGTCCCAAAACCTTAGCCTTGACAATCATCCTCTGAGAATTCGTAACCTCCCACAGCGCGCGACTAAAAACACTTGTATTGACCTTCTTGAGCCAAACCCCCACCCCCATATCCTCGACCCTCTGTGCAAAGAAGAACTGGTCCCCGAAAAAAGGTTTGATAATGGTAGGAATACCGGCTCGCAGACTGGCACCCGTAGTACCAGACCCTCCATGATGCACCGCTGCATCCATTTGTCGAAACAGCCAATCGTGCGGCGCAGATTGAATCTGGAAAATCTCAACGGGAAGCGGAATCTCGGGTTTCGAAGCATCCTTGGTAGTAGGGTCCATGAGGCGATCGGACCAGCCTTTGCTGAGGACGCAGCGGACATCTGCTTTGAGCACCGAATCCACAACCGTCTTGGTAAGCGCAGCCGGATCGTCAATAACAATGGATCCAAAGCCCACGTAGACCAACTTCTTGCCGTCTCTCCTCGCCTTCTCGATAAACGCCATCAGCTCTTTCGGCGGCTCATACATTTCACTCTCGTCCAAAAACCAGTATCCAGTAACCCTGACCCAATCCGGCCAGTCCAGTGGCGGCGGCACAACGTGCGGACTGAAGTTGTAAAGAAAAGGACGCAGATTGGCCTGCATCTTGTGCTGATTCGTGGCCTGCAGTCCCAACTCTCTCCTTCGCCACTTATTCACCTGATTGGCTATGGCAGTCCAAAACACCTTGTCGAAAACCGTGTACGTGTAATTGTTATACGTCCCACCCATCTTCTTCTCTGTAACAGTAAAGGCATGTGGGTACGCACGTGTCTGCGTCCACGGCATGGTGAAGGCGCGGAAATACGGTATTTCAAGCGCTTCGGCAATGTGAATGCCCGCCATGGTGCTGGGGGACTCGATGAGGACGTCGGCGCCTTGGCACGCGCGCCAGGAGGAGCTGCAGACGTCGTCGAGCCAGCCGCGAAATTTGGCATTGGCTTCCTTCATGAAGCCGTAGGTGAACATGCCGTGTTCAACGCAGATGCGCATCAGCTCTGCAGGATTGCCGTCGACAACTGCAAAGTCGATACCGTGTTTACGGACCCAGGGTTCGAATTCGGCGTGCGTTGCGATGCGTGGTTTGTGACCCTCCTTGAGGAGTTCTTTGCATAGCGCGATGTAGGGCTGGACGTCGCCGCGGGATCCAATGGTGAGGCAGACGATGGTCAGGGGCTCCGAGGGCTTGAAGTCGACGAAGGAGGCGAGCGGGTCGTCGAAAATGAGGGGAATGCGGTCGTGGTCTGCAGCGCGGACGATATCCGACATGTTAGCTGGCTTGTCCGTATCGGTATGTTCGCGAGCTTGTTGTAGCAAATCGTGTTCTGCCTTTGCAGCTTCGTCATCACTATCCACGCCCGAAGACGACGAATCCTCCTCTTGGAGGTACTTTGTGTTCTCCAGAACGCGGAGCACCATGATTGCACACTCATCGCGGTACTCAGCCTTTGAAAACTCAAAGAAGAGCTCTTCGTGGCCCTTGATGGCGACGGTGAGACCATGGTAGCCTAGTCGAAATCCCTTCTCCTTGTTGACATTCTCAATATCCCGCATGGGAAGAATGATCTTAGTCTTGGATATTGGCATCAAGCTGCGGAAACAAAAATATCTCCCACTGATGTAGATTTTGCCATAGTTTGGCACAAGACGCTGGAGTGACGCGAAGAATGATGACTGGAGGACTTCAGTCTCGGGGAAGGCGAAGTGATCCCGAAAGTTCTCCGCAGCCTTCGCGGCATCTTCGTCGTCCTCGAATCCGTGGATTTGGTCGCCAGTTTCTAATCCCTCGGCTGTGTTGTAATGCTTTCGCCCACCTGCAAGCATGCCGGACACCTTTTCGTAATAACCCATAGACTCGCCGCCGGTGAGCAGGTTGCTAATCTTCTTTGAGCGCGTTCTGAGAAAGCCCGCCAAGCCCGAAGCCTTCTGAAGCGGGTAGGAAGCGAGATCTTGTAGAGCGGATGATGAACCTGATAGGCGCGGTTGCGCGCTGTTGTCAGTATCATCTTCGAACTCAGGCGCGCCAGTCGGTGTTTGGGGTCGCTTTGAACGATTGGCAGATTTTGGCTGAGTTGATCGCGCCGTGTCCTGTGAGTGTCTGGCGTGTGTGTCGAGTTTGTGAAGAGGCGTATTGACAGGTCCACGGAAAACGTCGGAGCGGTCTAGAATTTGAGAAGCGGAGGCGCCGCTCTCGTCCATGGATTGGATGGCGACAGACGACTCGGTACCTGTAGAGGTAAAGATACAAAGTCAGTGTATGTCTCATATGGATTTCGTCCAGCCAGAGCTTACCTGGGTCAAAGGCTGATTCCGAGTCCGCTGCCCCGGGCGACTGACGCGACTGACTTCCACCACCCTCCCCACTGCCTCCCCCACTCACTATCCCCGGCGTCCTGTCTCCCTGGCGACCTCTATTACTAAAGCTCCGTCGCACCTCATGACTAGGCCGTCGGACTTCCTGGCTCGTTCGTCGAAAGCCGCGACCCGCGTCCATACTACGTCGCACATCCCAGCTCTTTCTATTCGCATCATTGCTAGACCTCGCAGACACATCGCTTATACTGGTCCGTCCCGCATGAGGTGCCGGCAAAGGTGAAAGCGTAGCCCGAACGTTCTCGTGAATGTGTGGTGTCTCGGTGCTAATAGTCGGTGTTGCTACCGGTGTAGACGCTTCGCCGTCACCACCCTGTTGCTGCAGAGCCTGGTGGTGCTCGTTATCGTTGATCATGATGCGCAGAACATTCAGCGCATCCTGGCCTTTGTTGAAAAAGGAGAAGAAATACTGTCATAATTAGCATGAATGTCGTTCATACGAAGCAACCCGTTTCTATTGTGTTGTAGGGTCCCACAAGATGTCGGACGGACCTTACAACTCAACATAAATAGGCTCCTCTTGTCTGTCAGCTCAACATACCTCATCAATAGCAAACGTCTCATCGTTGTCCACGACCCTCACTCGTACCGTCTGTGCCAAATCCAACATCTTGCTCTCCTCAATCTCAATCACATTGCCAATCGGCAAGCAAATCTTCACACTACCCCCCTCATTATGCGTCCTGAAGATGACTTTTTGGATAGCACGCGTCCATTCCTTGGCACTAGCTGCGGAATCCGCTTTGAACAGGTAGCGCCGCTCATCCGTTGTGATGGCGAAGCTGGTCTCTTCTTCCCCTTTCTTAGTATTGGCGGAGGAGGGATCAGTGACCTCGGCAGAAATTGCGTACTGCAAATTGATCCGGTTCCGGGGATAGTACAATTCGGCGGGGTTGGTGTAGTAACCCAGGACATCCCCCTTCAATACGAACCAATACCGATTAAACTTGCTCCGGCCGCGCTTCGACAGATAGCCCGTCTTGCTGACATCGTGATGTTTCTTAGGGATATAGGCGTAGAAGCATATATGCTTCTGCGTGATGTACATGTACCCCTGCAGCAAGATGCTCTGAAGCAGCCAGCATGCGTATTCGGAAATGACTTCTTCCACTTCTTCGAATTCAAATATCTGCTGTATCCTCTGCGCCAGCGTGACGGGTGTTTTGCTCTTAGCTAGCCCGGCGCTGCTTCCATGTCTGCTCTTGCGACCAGAGGCCTGCGCTTTGTCTACCGCCATGTCCTCGCCGGCGCCGATGTCTTTCTTGTCTTTGTCCTTGGTCCTGGTCTTGGTCGGCATCGCGCTCGACGGCGGTGGACTGGCAAGGTCGTCGGGCGACGGCTTCGGCGGCAAGAACTGGCTGCTTGACATCTGGTTCTGGTCGCTGCGGTTCGACGTCCGCCCTTGCGCTTGTCCCTCTTTCCTGCTCGACAACTTCAACTTGGGCAAGTTGCGCAGGTATTTATTCTCAGAAAGCGTCCGTCTATGCTTTCCCTTGTCCATGTTATCATCTGCATCTTGCTCCGCAGTATGGAAGTCGTTTGCGGAACTCAGTCGACTCAATCGTGCTGCGCCGTCGAGGTTCCTGTATGTTTTCCGCTTCCCACCTCCATCATCGCTGTCCCCCGAGTCAACCTCAGCCATCGTACCCAGGTCTGTTTGTGATTGTTGGCCTGCACGTGCTATCATGGAGAAGAGCGACTGGTTCATCGACATGGTGTTGTTGCGCTTCGGCGCCGTAACGTCTTCTTGTGCATCGTCTCCATCTCGAAAGCGCTCTGGCACGTCGAGCGACATACCGCGTGCTTCTCGCGCCGAGTTTCTTCGCTTGCGGCTCAGACGGCGACTTGTCCTGTCACGGCCTCTGTCTTGTGAGGTTGCCATGGTTGGGCGAGGGGGTGGTGGAGTGCGCGGGCGCTCAACAGTTTATTGGTGAGGTGAGGTTGCGGGCGTCTGTGTTGGCGGATGTACCGCGGCCAAGGCGAGGCAGATTTACACAAAGGTTGGAGTGAGTCCAGACGTGTATTGCGTGTTTCTTGCTGCAAGGCAGTTGACAGGTTCTGTTAACAGTCACATATTGGGGGCGTTCGCGTTTGCCGGAATGACTTGTACGTCTGCGAGCTATGCACGCTCGTCAGCCACGAGATCCACGCTCCGGGGTACCTGCTAGCGTGACACGATAAGGTTACCCACGCACACCTCTAGGCAACAACAGTGACCGGTAGCAGTGGAGTGCAGTGAATTGCGTATGAATTCTAATGTCCTTCTCCAAGCCGTTATCATCCCACATGCTTCTAGGATGCCTGAGCTGCAAGCCATCCGTATCCGTCGCGGCCGTCCCGAAGACGTCATTGGTTGAGCTTATCGATAGGTGCACGTGTAAACGCCTGGGGACCGACCGTAGCCGTCCGTCTAGCGCAGACTATAATAGCTTACGCGTTGACAGCTGGGGGCGCGACAATCAGCCAGGTCCGTGGACTCGACATGTATTCACCACATCACGATGCACGACAGTTTTACTTTATTCTTCGCATTTGCTGTTGTGCTACTGTAGAACCGATACCCAAGTCATTATACCCAACTACAATTTGATCCAAACGCCGTCATAACCATGACGTTCCTAAAGCTGTATCGTATCCACACTCTACAACCACTGTCTTACTTGGATTTGGCAAGTCCGACAGCAGAGTTACCGAGGTCGTATACCGAGTACCACTTCCTGAGGAAAGCATCACCGAGGATAGCAAGAGGTCCTACGGGCTCGGGGAAGTCCATACCCATGAGGGCAGAGATGCAGGATCCCTGAACCTCGAGGATGTAGTCGAAAGCGCTGATGGTGAAGTTGTGGCCGGTAAGAGTGAAGGTGAGGTCGGGCAGACTGTCACGCTTGTCGCACTCAACCGAGTACTGGCCGTTAAAGCCCTTCTTGGCACCAATCTCCTTGTTCAAGAGCTCAGCGAGGGTGGAAGGAAGGGCGATCAGAGATGTACCGGTGTCAAGAATGACACCAGTGTTGTCCAATTCAGCCGTCTCCTTGCCGAAGGTGATGGCATCGAGATCAACCTCCCAGTAGGCCTTGCGCCTGAGGGGAAGCTTGACCATCTTGCCAGTGTAGTGGCTCTCGTCGATGCCACCAAAGGTAGCCTCGGACTCTTGGCCCTCATTGGTGTCGCCAAGGTAGAAGGCGAAGACAGGCTCGTCCAAGAGACCCTGTTCAAGCATGTTGTAAAAGGGAGGGACTATGCCCTTGACACTGATAGTGTCGTAGCCAAGACCCATGATGCCGTCGAACCTACCAAAGGCGAAGGCAAGACCGGGCTCGGACGTCGCCTCAGCGAAGTCCTGGTGCTTGACCTTGAGGTCGCCAATCTGGAAGACGTCCTGAGAGACAAAGCCACTGAGCGAGCCGGATCCGTAGCGGATCTCGAAGTCGGTGCCGTTCTTCTTGTATGTCGACGACGCTGAAGAGTCGTACTTGGTGTGAAGGTAGCAGGCAATCGAGTTGCAGCTCTGCGAGGGGACCCAGAGGTTGGAGCTTCCAGTGTCGAGAACGACCTTGAAGGTCTGGGGAGGAGTGCCGAGCGAGATCTCGGAGAAGTCTGCGTCTGTTAGTCGCCACTCGGGACTGGTAGCTTTTGACACGTACACTGCGCGTTCAAGAAGTTGCTGACGGGCACGGGGTGGGTTCCGTCGGCAATATAGGGTGCCTTCAACGCCGCCTCCATGTGAGACTGAGACTGCGACTTGAGGTCGGTCATGTGCTGTTGAGAGTACTTCTGCTTGAGGCCAGCCATTTGGGTCTCGATGTTGGCAAATTCCTACTTGTCGTTAGATTGCGACCTTGCGCATTTGATTGCGATGATGGCTTACCAGCTGCTCAGACAGAGAGACCTTCTTGAGCGGCGTCTTGTAGACGGCCGCAGAGGCCGAGGTGGCTGCTGCGAGAAGCACCGCCGTCTTCATGATGGCGGACGGTTAATGGATTCGGATGGGTGTAGAGAGGGGAAAGGTTGGATGGATGGACGATGGATGGGGGAGTGGGAGAGATGGAGTGAGTGAGTGAATGTCAGGTGTGTTGGGGACGGAGCTCAAGCTGGAGCTATCTATGGGGCTGGGGAAGGCGCGGCGGGCGAATGACGAATGTGATCAGTGCTGCCTGGCCGCCGTGCGACTAGCGTGACACGTTCCCTGTTCGAGGTCCGTTGGCGCAGGTACCGGATCCGCCGTCACTGTGGGAACCGAGGTCGACCAGCAAGGCAAGACACGACAATATGGTACTGCACCAGCTGACCGAGTCGATTGGGCAATAGACTGACAGTTGACAATTCGCGCCTTTTGCTTTGTCCACACATCGTGGCAACATGCAAATCTTGCAACCATCGCGCGAAACCTTCCCGTGATCACGCGCGTCAAGCTTCAATGACCTCAGCACTCCGATCATCTGGGGACCTGAGCAACAACCTACTAGCTCAAACATTGATGCTATACAGTCTTCCAGTCGGTGAGTTCCGAACAGCTAGATAAGACTATGCGGTGTACTATCATACACCCGCGTCAGGCTCGTCCGTGTACTGCGGCGCTTGCGCCAGGTTCGCCTCCTGCTCCCTCCTCGCCCTCTCCAAGTCCGCCGCCCACAACGCCGAGCTGGCTGGCGCCGTCATGAGAAAGAACATGCTGAGCGGCGGCACGTATTGTAGAACCAAATACACAGTGCCATACCTATTTATGTTAGCCTTGTTCTGATCAACCCATCGAGACGTTTGACCTACCAAGTATACTGCCATCTCCTCTTCCTAATCGCAGCATTCCTCTGCTTCTTGTCGTATCCCAAAAGCTGAAAGTACCGCCAGTGCTGGAACGGGCCTGCGCGATATCCCGTCAACAAAAGAAATACCGGCACTCCGACATAGGGTATAAAGTTCACAGGCAGCAGGATCACAAACTCAGCGATCTGGCGGAACGAAAAGGGCGTATAGACAGATGAGCGTATGGGCTTGCCGAGGCGGCGTACGGGGTCGTTGAGGGAATCTTCGCTGACGGGGCGGTGTTTGCGAACGAGGTCTTCGTAGCCTTTGTAGATGAGGACGGCGTCGAAGACGTCGACTTGGGACTCGTCCTAAGGGCATGAATGTTAGTGCCTGTAGGATATGCGTGTTAGATAGGAGAGCGTGTACGAACCACCAAGAAGGACTCGAAGAGTAATGCGACGACCGCGGCCCCTTCTCCCAAGACGAGGAATACGGCGTTGACCCAGGCACTACCTGCTGTATGGAACAGCTTGAGGAAAAGAACCTGTGGCAGCAATGTCCACACAAAGAGGTCGGTAAGCACGAAGATGCTGAGAAGGACTGCGGGGAGTAACCGCGCCTTGAGCAGAGGGTATAGAAACGGGTGCGCGAGGAAGAAGACGATGCCCTGTTGCCTATTAGCATATGCGCAAGCCCAGCAGAATTCCTTCGAATACCTTGACGAGGTACGTGGACGCTATGACATTATCCACTGTTGGTCGAACCACAACTCTTGGTATGTTCCCCAGCGCTGCATGCACTCCTTGCTGTGACATTGTCGTGGTTTGTCGTCGCAGGTGCTGGAGTATGCTGCGAAACACATGCGCAAAGGCAGCTGCGTAAAGAGCCGCGGGGATGACGTACGCGGGCCGGACCCTGAACAGCTACTTGGTCCCACACCCCCACGATTAACCCTAACCAAGTTGACCAACTTGAGCGTTTCCCGTCGGAAGAGACGCGCATATTATTCGTGATGGCTTGCAGTAATGTACAGAACTTACACCATGTAGACGTCCAACCAGCAATCAGGCTGGGCACGCCCTGCGAACGATTGATGGACTATACATGAAAGGGCTTCTCCAGACAGGTTGGATGGAAGTAATCTTCCAGCCAATATCATTTCAAATATATGCTTGAACACTAAACTCACCATCTCATATTCTTTTCCTCTGCCACCATGTTCCACAACCCATCGGCAGCCTCTTGGGAGTACCCTGGACCCTCTGCAAACCCAGCAGTTGAGCCTTTCCACCGCACCCTCCCAGATTACTCCGTCACTCCCCTCATCCCCTTACCAGACCTAGCCAAACAACTCGGCCTGCGTCATGTCCTCGTAAAAGACGAATCCAACCGTCTCGGTCTTCCAGCTTTCAAGATCCTAGGCGCGTCGTGGGCCATCCACAAGGCTATCGCATCAAAATGCCACCTCCCACTGTCTGCTACCCTGGATGAACTTGGCACTGCAGCAAGAGAAGCGGGTATCGAACTAGTTGCGTGTACAGAAGGGAACTGGGGTAGAGCTGTTTCGCGAATGGCAAAGTATCTGGAGATCAAAGCCGTCGTCTTCGTTCCTGGTTTCATGGACGAAGCGACGCAAGAGAAGATCAGGAGCGAAGGCGCAGAAGTGAGAGTGGTAGACGGAGACTACGACGAATCCATTGCAAAAGCTAGAGAAGAAGCGGAAGGCAAGGGTGCCATGTTAGTCATGGATGTATCTTGGGAAGGATACGAAGAGATACCCCAGGTGCGTGATTACCCAGCTAGCTACGCAACCCACATCACCATGTACCAAAATTTACATGGTTTCGATCAGAACTGCAGACTAACGGGAAGCAGTGGGTAGTAGAAGGCTACACAACCATGCTCACCGAAACAGACGCCCAGCTCAAAGCCATGCACATCCCCTCTGTAACCCACGCCATAGCCGCCTGCGGAGTAGGTTCCTGGGCGCAAGCCGTAACCATGCACTACAAGGCCCCCTCCAACTCCCCACCCGCCTCCGTCATCACAGTCGAGCCCTCCACAGCAGCTAGTCTTCTCGCTTCCCTCTCCGCCGGAAAAATCACACCCATTCGAACTGGCCATACGATATGCAACGGGATGAACTGTGGGACCACATCCACGACGGCATGGGAAGTGCTGAGAAAAGGGGTGGATTTGAGTGTTATGGTAGAGGATATCCATGTTCACAATGATTTGTTGGAGTTGCATGAAACTGGGATCAGGAATGGGCCGTGTGGAGCTGCGACATTGACGGCGTTGAAGAAAATTTGTGGGGATGGGGAGACGAAAAGAGTGCTGGACTTAGGGGAGGAGAGTGTGGTGGTGCTGTTTAGTACGGAGGGGGAGAGGGAGTATGAAGTTCCACTAGGTGTTTGAAAGCGTGTGTTTCAGCGATGGAATAAAGTGTAGTATATATATGGTGGTCAGATTAGGGAGAGTTTTATCATGAAGAGTGATGAATGTAGGATACAGCACAATACCTAGATAGCGACATAGGCAACGGAATATGTGTAATTGTGTGAGACATGTACTGAATCCGCTTTGTTAGTACTGTCGACATGTAGATAATGTCTGCAGTTTCCTGCTATCTTGGTACGCTCTGGCAACTATCAACAGAGCCAAGAAGTGGGAATAGACTCCGATTCATTCGTTTGAAGAATATGGTGTGCGTCGTCATGACGCTTCTCAGGACTCTCTGCACAGGCTGGCGGTATACGATGGGCGTGTATGGCCTTGATCATACGTGCCAATGTAACAGCCTCGAGCCCTTCACAACGCTGAAATTTCGAGCAAAGCTAGCACGAAATACGTGAGTATACACGCCAATGCGATACACCTTGAAATTCAGACTTTTTTTAGGGCTCGACGTTTTCCATTATATCATACTACGCAAAGACTCGAAAACGCCTGATGAAGATAAAACATGAGATCGGGTATCATATCGAACATTGTGACCTTTTTTTTTCCCTTCCAAAACGCCCAACCCTGACTCCTACAAGACGTGAGCTCTGTAAGAACTGCTACAGTATCATTATACCTAACACACACCAAGGGTAGTAGACGTCAGTCTGCCCCAAAACTTATACATGTCGGCCGACGACATAACCTCAGGATTCCTCAACTCCGAGAACAAGGAGAGAGAGAGAGAGAGAGAGAGAGAGAGAGAGAGAGAGAGAGAGAGAGCAAATTCCGCTACCATAACCTACTTCTGGCCCATGGGCATCCCACTCTTGATCGTCGTGTTGTGACCAGCGCTGGTCTTCGACCTCTCCTGCAACGCCTTTGGCATCTTCTTGTTGTCGCCGAGCTTGGAGATTGAGCTCTCGGTGTGCATGTGAGGTGCTACCTCGACCAGCCAATCTGGCTCGATAGGTGCACAGGTCATCATCCACTCTTTTGAGGTTGCCTGCAGAGAAGCGAATATGCACCACTTCGGTCGGCTTTCGTTGAGGGGAGAGGAGGGGTGAATATGGACGGTCAAACCGCTGTTTGCTAGGACACGGTAGGTCTGCCCATCTCTCTGCAGCCTCGCTGCATTTGTGAAGAACGCGGCGGTAAGGCACTTTCGAATGGCGATATGATCGGTACCACATGATGACTCCGGCACCTCGACGCGGTCGGCCAGTCGCTCCAATTGGTCACGAACGTCTCGCACACGTGTAAGAACCCTTCCTTGAAGATAGTTCTCACGTGCCCACCCTGGGTCGTAACCACTTTCAACGAATTCGTTCCAGATGTTGAGATACGTTATGAAGTCACCCCCTTCTAACGATGTGAACCTTTTGCGCGCAGCGTCAGCCGCAACCTTCTTGTCTTTGGGTCGGAGGAACAGGGTCGCAGATTCTCCCGTCATACTGACGATCGAGAGGATTTCCTCTCTACAACCGTACTTTTCGGACTCAATGATAGCCTTCGATAGCTTGATATCCAAAGGTAACTCCGCCATTCTTCGGCCTAATCGAGTTAAAGCTCCTGTGGAGTCCAAAGCTCCCAGGGCGTACAAGTTCTCAAGAGACTTGATCATCGACGTGCTCGAAGGGCTGTCCAGGAACTCAAACTCAAGCAAGTTAGTTATCCCGAGTTGCTTGAGGCTTAACACTACCTCATCGAGGTTTGTACGTTGGATCTCAGGTATGTTCTCAGGCTGTAACTCGTTGTAGTAGGCGGCTCGAGTATACAATCGATAGCACCAGCCAGATGACGTACGACCCGCTCTTCCTTTTCTCTGGTCTGCGTTGGCACGCGAAATTGGTGTTATGACAAGTGATGACAATCCTCGAACACTGTCCCAAGTATTTTCTTTGCTGTAGCCTGTGTCGACAACATGCCTCACGCCTTCGAAGGTCACACTGGTCTCAGCGATGTTGGTAGCTAGAATAACCTTGCGTCCATTGGGAGGGGCTGGCTCGAACGCCTTTTGTTGCAAATCCTGCGGGAGAGCAGAGTAGATAGGGCATACGACGAGCTCTCTAATCCTTGATCCAAGCTTTTTCTTCGTTTCCTCTATGCTCTCCATAGCCGCTTGAATCTCTTCCTCACCTGTCAAGAAGACTAAAATGTCCCCTTTTGGCTCTGCAGAAATATGTACCTGCATCACAGTCGTGATGCTTGCTGCAAGGTAATTTGCTTCTGGCGCTTTAGAATACAAAACCTCCACAGGAAAGGTTCGACCAGGAATTGAGAAGATAGGACAGTTGTGGAAGTACTGTGAGAAGTGCGCAGCGTTGATAGTAGCACTAAGGATGAGGAGTTTGAAGTCTGGTCGAGCATGGCAAACTTCCCTGCAGAGAACCAGTAGCAAGTCGGATTGTAGGGACCGTTCGTGGGCCTCGTCAATCATGATGCAAGAGTAGTTCGAGAGTAGCGGATCGGACTTCGCCTCCTGTAGCAACACACCGTCTGTGGCGAATTTGATCTTTGTCTTCGGCCCAGTCTTGTCCTCGAAACGAATGCTGTAACCCACTTCGTTCCCAAGCTTACAGCCAAACTCTTCTGCTACACGCTTGGCAACACTCATAGCCGCAACTCGTCGTGGTTGTGTGACAGCAATCATACCGCTCGAATCAAGAGCAGAATGGACGTATTGCGGGATTTGAGTCGACTTTCCGGATCCAGTTTCACCGACGACAACGATAACCTGATGTTGATCCACAGCGGCGAGTAGTTCGTCCCGGAACTTATAGACTGGCAAACTTCGTCGAACCTCCTCAATACTAGAAGCCCTTTTCTCTGCTTCATCTAGCTGGCGCTGCAACATCTGCTTGTCCACATCCACACGAGTCGAGGCGTCCACCTGAAACTGTACTTCGTTGGATGTGTCGAAGACATACTCATAGTCCTCCTCTTGAACACGATCCGTCGCCTTGGGCTTAGGCTGACTCTTGATCTTCTTCATCTGCTCCTCTTCCCATAGTTGAACCTCGCTCTTCTCATAAACCTTGTCTTTGTGTCGTTTGGTAAGGGCCTCATGCTTATTCGAATAGTCCGCATCGGGCAGTATGTAGCCTTCTCCCGAATCATCGATAGCATTACGCGCCTCTGCCAACTCCAGAGTTTTCCTGTTATTTCTAAACTCCTGACGTTCCCTTGCCGATAATTTATCCCCCAATCTCTCCTCCTCTTCTGCTTCCTCTGCAACCTGGCGGCGAAGTAGGGCGAGTTGTTGCGCTTCTCGTTCAGCAAGGTATTTCTGGCGCGACGCAAGCCTCAGCGCGCTGATGTCTTGGTCGCCGGTCTTGCGGCGTTTCGAATCCATGCTGTGTGGTGCGCGCGAGGGTTCGGAAGGTATCGTGTCGAGATTATTGGGGTGTGCGAAGTTTGTGGTGTGGAGGTCGTGACGGACGGTGGAGCTGTCTACGAAATGTTGAAGCTCAGACCAAGTGGCGCTAGTGTGCTCGGAATGGTTCATTTGGGACCACCTTTTGGAACCTGAGCTAAGAAGTATTCGCACACGAGAATTCTCAGACTTCCAGCTGCCGAAACCCTTGTAGGTCTCGCGCTCGATAGCGTTCGGATGGATTCTTCATATTTTTGACCTTGGTTTGCGGCAAGATGATGATGACGGCGGAGCTGTTTTTAGTGTTGATATGGGTGCACGTGTGACGGACTGGTAAAGGTAGGTGAGCATGTAACGGAACGGTACCAGTGGTAGTCTAGTTGCTCCGAGTTTTGCGCATGGTGGGAATATGGTACGTATCGGTGTGATAGTCATCTCATATCCTGGAAGTATGACTAACATGGCGGCTCTCATTCTGCCTTGCTTTCGTAACAATGGACCAAACATCTCGGTTGGATGCGAGCAGTGTCTATTTGTTGATACACTGTAGGCTGAGATGATATATCAGCACTCATTCTATAGGTACCAGAGAAAAGCACCATGGTAGCGAACGATAAGACGGCCATGGTACCAAACAGCACCTTCCGCACAAGATGTCAGACCCTTCCAAGCTTAACATAAAGATGTCATATTCATTATCATCAAACACGAAGCAACAACGCCTCTCGCGATGCCACGCTTCCCGAACGCTTAAAAAAAACATTCAGACAAAATGCAAACAACGTCCACCACTCAGTGACTGATATACTGAAACACAGCACTAACATCCTTCAAATCGTTCGCCGTCTCCTGCCTAAGCAACAAATCCTGAATCTTACCCAACGGCCCCGTCTCCCCATCATTAACAAAATGATTCCACGTACTCGTATCACCGTACAACATAGCCGGCGCCTTGATGACCTGCTTTCCATCTTCCTTCCTACACCTCTTGCACTTGAAAGTATCGTGCGTGTCGCTCGTAGTGTTGTCGCGATACTGGAAAAGTTCGCGAAGGGAGTCGAGAGAGAAGTGGCGCTCAACATCCTCCGCAGAATCGACAACACAATTCGATAAAGCCTGTTTATGGGATTGGCGCTGGAAGACTTTTTCTTCAATGGTGCCTGTGGTGATGAAGCGGTATACGAAACAATCCTTCTTTTGGCCGTCACGCCATACACGCGCGAGTGCTTGTTGATCAGCAGCTGGGTTCCAATCTGGGTCGAAGAGGACAAGGCGATTGGCGCCGATGAGATTGAGACCGCATCCACCGGCTTTTGAGGAGAGGAGGAAGACGAATTCGGGGGACTCGGGGTCGTTGAATTTGTCGACGAGCTTTTGCCGTTTAGACACATTCATTGTGCCGTCAAGGCGAAAACAGCCATAACCGCGGGACCGACAGAGCATGGCGAAGATGTCAAGGGTTTGCGTGTAGTTGGAAATCAGCACGATCTTGTCGTTTGTCTCCGCGCGGATGCGAGCCAGCATACGATCCAGGACAGCCATCTTTCCAGAGTACCAGACCTTGACTTCGCGATCTCTGCCTCTCGCATCCTTTTGCACGAAGTCGTCGGGTAGCTTGTCTTCGCAGCCGGGCAAGTCTTCGGGAAGGTTGAGAAGATCGGGGTGGTTGCAGAGTTTCTTGAGCATGCCGATGACCTTGAGTGGCTGTGAACCCTTGCCACGGAGGAGACTCTGGACGTCGGGTGACTTGATGAAGTGGTTGTATAGATCCTTCTGGAAAGGCGCGAGGTTGCAGAATACGACATGCTCATACTTGACTGGCAGGTATTTGGAGAGGATGTCGTTGGTTCGCCGAATGATGAACTTATTGACCAAGCCAAGAAGCTCATTGAGCCGTTCAGTGCCCTTCTTAACATCCTCGTCTGTACCGTTGGCATCGCGACCTTTCAGAATGGGAATTTCGTATTGCTTGCGGAACTCCATACGTGTGCCGAGGTAGTTGGGGTTGGCAAAGTTGAGTAGCGCGAAGTACTCTGATAGATCGTTCTGAATGGGTGTACCCGATAGGATGACTCGCCTCTGCACGTTCAAGTTGTTGAGCGCAGTAAACGTCAAACTGTCACCGTTCTTCAGTCGATGCCCTTCATCACAAAGCATCAAACCGATAGGTGTTTGTCCAAACTCGTCGGCGTAGAGGCGCAGGGTTTCGTATGATACAATGAGGACAGGTCTGACAACTGCGCGTCCTGATGCGATCGACCATTGTCGTATTTGCTGGATAAGCTCCTCTTTCGACGCCTTGCCGTCAATGGCGAAGGGGGTGACAGCGTCCTTTCCAAGCCATTTGACAAGCTCGTTCGCCCAATTCCTCACTAAACTCGACGGACAAGCGATGACGCACTTTTGTATCGTCGACTTGCCAGCATCGGGTGACTGTTTCAGCAGCGTCCACATGAGAGCGATACACTGTAGCGTCTTTCCGAGACCCATCTCGTCTGCCATGATACATCCGTTCGCCTTGGGGTCGATCATACCTGTTGTGGCGCGGTACAGGAACTTTACACCTTCGACTTGATGCGGTCGAAGAACTTTAGCAAGTCTTGGATCTATAACGACTGGTACGCGTGGCCGTTCATTGTCCACCTTCTTCTTCAAACCCAGTATCTCTGCCAAACTCTTGTGCACTAACGGAGCCTCCATCTCCTGCTTCTCTGTCTGGCTCAATTTTGGCTCCGCTTCTTCCTTCTCTACCGGCTTATCGTCGACTGTCGGGTCGTAGAGTACAATCGCAAACTCTCCGCTGGGGTCGTGCAGCGGTCGCGCAACAAAGACGGTTCCTGTTCGCATACCAAGCAGTGGCGCTGGTCGATTCGGATTATAGGCGCCCACATCCTTGTTGACCAGAGGTACGATGAACTTGGTCCTGAATGCGGTATCTTTGTCTTTTGGCTTGAAGACAGGAAATCGGTTTGCATCTCGAGTGGCGAGAGCTAATCGGTCTTCATTCGAATATGGCTTGTCGCTCTCCCCATCTTCACCGCCAGCACCAGAGTAATCGACCTTCCTCCTCTTCCGTGCAGGTTTCGTAGAAACACTGGATACTGTTGCTGATCCGGGACACCGAAAGGGTTTGATGAGACGTTCGGTTGACTGCGGAGTGCCACCATATAGACGCGCCGCAGGCTTCGCAGGGGTGGCCTCGCCGGCTGCGAGGGTTCTCGGACGATGCATAAAGAATTGGCACTTCTGATGTGTCGTCCGAAGTTTTGTTGCCTAGGTTCGGTCGATATGGTGGAAGTTGGGAGGAGAGCGAGTGTAGTGTGGGAATGCTGATCAGTGCTCGCAGGTGGCGGAATTGCGACGCGTCGACTATTAGCCTCATCACGTCGTCACGTGAAATCGCAGGCAGCATCATCATTCTGCCAACATCCGAAAATCCATGTTGACTGGAAAATAGCATCTCCGTTACTAAAATATACGTTCCTTACCCTCCAGATACGTTTGACGCGTCAATTCTTCCTCTGGATTTCAAGTTGAAAACCCTGTGACCGACACCTCCGAGCCCTCTCCGCAAATTCCCCAGCATAGCGCACCCACCCCATCACCAAACCAAACCCCCACTCGCAACATGGCGCGAAAAGCAATAGCAAAAGACCAAATCGTCAAACTGATTGTAGGCGCAGGGCAAGCGTCGCCCTCGCCGCCTGTCGGTCCAGCGCTAGGAAGCAAAGGTGTAAAGAGCATGGATTTCTGCAAAGTACGTTCATCATCTCCAACTGTCGCATGCCCTATGCAGCATGCCTATACCTACAATCTCTGTCTTGTTATTAGTACAAGGTTCTTATGATAAGAATTACTAATTCTCTATGACGCCTCATCCTTGCCTACATGCCATTTCCAATAGCTCACCCTCCATAACCCACCACACCTACACAACATGCATGTCCTAACAGCCCACCCCAGGAGTTCAACGCCCGCACCGCTCACTACACAGTCGGCACCCCGATTCCCGCACGCATAACAGTCCGCCCAGACCGCTCCTTCCACTTTCAATTGCGCACACCACCCACCGCAACCCTGCTCCTCTCCGCTGCCGGCGTCGCGCCCCAAAAGAACAAGATCCGGGGTGCTGGTAACGTGCCCGGACCCATGAACAACCACGATGGGCAGAAGGGCAAGACATCGACGAGTAGTCCCACTGCAGGGAATGCGGTCAAGGGCACAGTGGGCACCGTGTCTCTGAAGCATGTCTATGAGATTGCGAAGATCAAGCATAGCGAGACTAGGCTGAGTGGGCTGAGTTTGGAGGGCGTGGCGAGGAGCGTTGTGGGTCAGGCGGGGAGTATAGGAGTGGTTGTTGTGCCGTAGAATGGGGGTGTAGGGTGCGGATTAATGGATCCGAGGATGTGCTGTGCCGTGGAGAATACCTGCTATCATGAGAAGAAACATTATGAAAAAGGGCAAGAAGTGCAAGAACACATAGGATATCATGAAGGATTGTATGCAATAGGCATTATGCGACGTGGCTTGGGGATGCCGTGCGATTGGAGTATGTGCACACGTCTTGTGGAGGAAGAGCTTGTACAACTACTCTATACCTGTTGAAGACTCATGATGCATAATCAGTTCTGACATTACGTCAATTCGGATGATGTGACTTGCAATTATCTTGTGCAATTGATCGACTGCAATACTAAATGCATACGCTCCCATGCCTAACCCCAATCACGATAACCCACTAATGACCCTCCCAACAAGTATCTTACATAGATTCAGTGCTCTGCGCTGCGACTCCTTCCAACTCTGCTCATACGCCAGTCTGTTACGAAAACCCATAAACGCCCCCTTGTTCCTGAAACCTCAACTGATGGTCCCTCAAGTCCGCCCATAGTCTCAACTCACTCTCTTCGTCCAACGCGCCTCCACCATTCGGCTCACTCCCCTCCGGACTCACCCTCTCCAATTTACTCAATATATCGAGGAACTTGTAAAGGTAGTCTTGGTGCTGCAGTGCAACGCTGCCACGCCGCTCTTTGGGGACTTCCAAGAGGGTACTGGCAATACTGCGTATCTTCTGAGTCTGCGCAGGGAAGAACCGTAAGCTTGCGATCGGACTGATTGTGTTTCTGCGAAAGAAGTCGTGGGTTGACATGGAGAGAATGAACTCATTGTCGTCTGAAGGTTGATACAGGAAATCTGAATTCTGCAAGTAAACGTATAGACTTACAAAGGAGTCGCCGTTTGGCTCCATGTTGACCATGTCAATGCTGCCCAGTACTACCAGGAGGTCTTTGACCACTTGTTCGCGTTCTTCTGACATTGCTTTTTCGAGGACTTCCGCGTCGGTGGTAGTTCCGGATACAAACCTGTCGATTCCTGCCGCGAGAGCGTTGGTGCTGGGTTGTGCAGGAGCCTGGCCTACCGATCTTTCGTACTTGTCTAGTTGGAGAAAGTACTTTTCCACGAGGTGTGAGCGAGTAGACAGGTGGCTGGCGTATATATTTGCTTTCTGAATTTCGTAGCGTCGCATGTCGTGGCTATCTGTCTTTCGATAACTGTCCAAGGTGGGATCTCGCATTCCGGAGTACTCTGGCATGGGTGGGTAGTAGGGTTTTTGTTGTTCGAGACCGCTGTCTTTGCTGGATTTTGGTTGCACTTTGAGGACTTCGGGGAGGCTCTCTAGAATCTGCCGGCAGCGCTGCAAGCTCTGTGCGAAGATTTGTTGTTGTCGGTCCCAGTCGAATATCTCGTCTATGCCGAATGCCATCTCCGCCGTTGCTAGCGATGAGTAGGAGAGGTATATGCGCACGTTGACGTTGAAACCAGTGATCATGGAGACGACTCCTTCGCGCTGTGGTTGAATCTCGTTTGGGAAGATGTGTACGTCGTCGACTTCGCGGGGCAGTGGTGGGAGGGGCTCGGTAGGTGTCGCGGGCGGAATCATCAACTCCCCGAACGAAGCGCCTAGTTGTTGTATGGTTCTGGCCAAAGTCAGCATTGTCGACCCTGAAGAAGAAGTGTTATGAGAACCTACCGCACGCCCACGAACACCGTCCAGAACACACGTCGGCCAATCTCCTCGGTGATATAGTCTACTTTGAACTCTCTCGAGCCATCGTAGTTGGGTCCATTCGAGCCCCACGCATGCGGCATGCCACCAAGATAGGTATAACCCTGAGCCTCGTGTTTATGGAGACCCAATGACCGTATGATAGTTAGGCACTCAGCCAAATAAAGTCGTAGTTGCCGCCACTGGAATACGTAGGCTCCAGTCAAGCCTAGGAAGTAGCTGGTACACGCGTCGTATACATTCAAAGACGGCCGATCAAGATAGCCCGGCCCGCGCGCCCGCGCACACACATCTCTACACTTGTCGACCAAGGAGAGATGGTTTGGGTATTCGCGTCGCGTCTGTGTATTGAGGTGCAGGCGTGGTTTTCGAGGGAAGGAAGCGACCAGGACCGCGATCATGGACGCCAGCAGCGCCAGGAACGAGGAATTCGACAAGTCCTCCCTCTGGCCCCACGCTTCGCGAAACGACGGCTCGTGAGGAAAGGGACATAGTGGGTGTATGTATGTGAAGAAATCGTCGATGAGGGCGTTGAGTGTAGGGAGGGCGCATATCTCTTCGGCAGAGAGCTGGGTCGGATGCGACGACTGCAGCTGGGCCAGCGCATGGGCGGCATTGGTGGGAGACTGCGGATTCGACGAGCCAGAGTCTACATCGCCAATCCTTCGCTTCTTGATCGCTTCGGCATGTCTGTTAGGCGGACCGCGTCGTCGGCTCGGGCGCTCAAAAGTACACGGGATTTCTAGAGCTAGGCAAGCTCTACACGGCGGCCCCGATTCATCGCACTACCGAGGTCAGTGTTGCCGACTACAGTGCTAGAACAAAGCAGTTACCTTGACCTTGCGTATGCTGCATGAATCGCAGGCTTTGCGCAGGCGGTTCGGCTTTGATTGTTGGGGCAGCGGAGGATTCAGGACATGATTCGCTTGGAGAGCCTGCTGCGCCTGGAGCACCTCGTTGATATTCTCGAGCTTCGGGTAGGCGGCTTCTTGCGGGTAACCGATGCGCGGTGGTGCCTGACCGTCCAGAACCTGCCCGTTGGGATACAAGGGCGTGTAATTATGCGGGTCCTGGCCGTCTGGTGGTGCAGCATACTGCGACGCATGCGGAGAAGAAGTCATGGCGTAGCCGCAGTTCTACCGCGACGAGGGAAGGACGTTGGCTGATGTCCCGTTAGCTTCCGGATAAAGAAACGTCTGCAAGGTAGGGTCCAGATGTATTTCATCCGACGAGGCGCATTCCTGCCTGACAGCCAGTGACAGATCTCAGAGTTTCTCGAGTCTAGAGGGCTTACTTGCATATAAGTTTCGCGGTCCGATCACACGCGGCAATTACCGATGCGATCAGATACAGGGCCGGGGGAGATGATCTGAGCCTGGGTAGACGCGTACACGGGTTTCGGTAGCAAGAGAAGGATAACAATTGGCCTGTTAACACTCCAGAGTCGAGTTGACGTTGCTGGACATTGTGTGTGCTCAGTGACATGAAAGTTTGGCAGTTGTTTCAAGCTACAGATGATGTTAGGCAGGAGCGATCCGCCATGGCATCCGCAAGGACGAAAACATTTTCGCCCGTCACTCCGCTCAACGTAGTACTTATTCCTACTTGGATGGAGACGCGGTGCTAGACATTGTCGCGTCCCGATTTATATGTCCATCAATGACGCATCTCGTATGATCTTCTAGCGACGTCGATCTTGTCCAAAGGAGTATACTCCGAGCGGGAACCCGTGTTCCTGGTCTGCTTGAGTCGCATGGGTCTGACAGGCCATGTCGTGGACGTATTCTTCATACCAATTTGGTCGCAAAACTTCATGTTGCAAAGAATGTATTGTAGATGCCAACGCCCGCTGAACTCTTCAAATTGGTATAAAAGCTGATCGCGACCTGTTCAGCCCATTCCAGCCCTCGGTCAATATCACTACGACATACCCCTGTAGGTTGAGAACCGAAGCGCAAGCTGCCAACCAATACCTGCTGATACCTCTTCCATGCCCTACCACTCCAACCGTACCTGTCAGAGATCACTATCATCGCTCCCTGGCTCGCTTCTACTCGGTGGCCTCGAACTCCTACTCAGCGAGAAATCCAAGATATCAGACTTTGATCCTGCATCGATGAATTTGCGCAAACACCATCCGATTTGTACCGCCGTTGAAGTCTCATTGCCTAGGGGATCGATTTGGCGGCCTTTGACAAAGACTACATGAGTGAGATAGGTTAGCAAGAGTCATGTTATGAGGTTGGGGGAAAGGGGAGCGAGGAGAGAAAACAGGTGGATACGTACTGATCTGGTTTTCACTATCCTCCCGATCATAAACCTTATCACTTGACCCAAACGCAATAATGCCCAACTTACTACTCCTGCTCTTCTCCTTCGCATTACTTGCGCTTCTCTCAAACCCCTGCTGTGCCAAACCAGCAAGCAAATGTTCGTAAATCTTGCGTGGCAGCTTAGTTGATGAAGGACTGTTGGTAGGCCAGGTAGTGATGTTCAAAGTTGCTAATTGTGGTAGATCACCCAAACAGTTCTCAAAGTTGACAAAGCTATCGTTTTTACTGCGGATGACGCTGACGCTGGGGAAGGCGACGGAAATTTGTTCGAGGAGAGTGCATTCTTTGCAAATGGAAGAAAACGAGGCGTAGTCGTAGATGAGTTCTTCGTCGCACATGTCTGGGCCGGTGCTCGCGTGGACGTTGAGGCTCTTTAGTGTCTTGCTGTGGCGCACGATACCTGCGGCGGCCGGTAGCGCTTTGACGTACGTGAGGTCGAGGGTGAGGGTCTTGATGCCTGAGACGAGGCAAAGGAATCCGTCGATAGCCCCTAGACCGTCATTCTCGGCGTTATCGTCATGTTTGAACTCGAGGGTTTCTAGCTTATCAGGGAGCTTTGTGCTCTTGCTGAGTTCGGCGAAGAGAGCGTCAGCACCGGAGCAGCCAAAGATGCGGATGCTCTTGATGGACTGGAAGTCAATCAACTTGCAGTACGTCTCTGCTGCGTAGCGCAAATGTAGCTTCTGTAGCGTGATCTCGTTAAGTGCAATTGGAGTGCACTTCGCGAACGGCTGCATGTGGCTGAACATGGTCGAGGTTATGAGTCCAGGCTCATTGACAGTATCATTTAATTCGCGCGTCGTGACAGTCGGATCCATCTCATCGAAGCTCGCATGCAGCGTAATCTTCTCCAGTTTGCGACCAGCCACATTCTTCAGCAAGAAGTGACAAAAGTCTAGCACCTCCCGTGAATCCGGGTACAATCCAAGCTTGCGTACTTCCTTGAAGCACCCCTCAATGTTCGGCAGCTTCTGGAGTTCGGGAAGAACATTGCGGTCGAGCGAGATGCTCTCTAGCCATCGCATGCGTTTCTGTTTCCTGTACAGTAACACCAGGTTGTCACCCGAAAACGGAGACCACGGATGCCACGAAAACTTCTCTAGCTGGTTCTCCGGAAGCAGTTCCAAGATCATGCGGATAGCAAAGTTGGCTTGTTGCTGCTGATTGCATTTATCTAGGACGTCCGCGAGGTAGAGGTCCAGTTTCCGGACATGTTGTAGGCCAATGTTCTTAGGGTTGAGGAAGGCTGCGAGGCGGGTATCGTGGGATGAACCAACATCGAGGGTCACTTCGTAGTAGAGTTGACGAACGGCGATCTCGTGGAGTTGCTTGCAGGTGAGGCAGACGTTCTTGAGGTCGGTTGGGCGGTTGATCTGGAGATTATAGTGTCAGCTGTGCTTCTCTTGCAGCCATGAACCTCGCCCCGGAGATCAATTCAGGACACGTTCGAGTCGTCCGAATGCGCCAAAACACCCATTCAAGAGGTATGCCAGAAGGTCCTCATGCTCATCTACCCCACGGCGCGACCCCTCCCCCAGCCTCGCGAACCGCCCATCAACCCAAACACTTACATGCTGGACAATCAACGTCTTGATATCGACCGAAAGGTCCATGAAGGCCAGTCGCGGTGCCATGCTGTAAACTCCCCTCCGAATCTGGCCTTCTCGTGATATCGCAAGGAGTACTCCGTAGTATGTTCGTGTTGTTGCCTTTATCGATACGTGCGACGGTCCACGTAATCACAATGGCCGTGTTCGCAGCTCTTCCGGATTATTATTCTTCCTTTCTGCTGCCTAATTGCCAACAAAACACACAGCTGCAGTAGTTCCCAAGATGACCGGCAGGCTGACCGGTAGAAGTGGAGTAACGAAGCGTGAACAGCTGGCGGGCAACAAAAAGAAAGTAAGCAAGCCGTTCAGCCTCACTTGTGTCCCGCCAAAGGGGACCCACACATCGTATTAACTCCGCGCAAGCAAGGGTCCACGCGGGACGAAAAAGGGCGCTAATGCAGCCGATAAACTGGGGTAAGCGCCGCCTGAGCTCCAGTGGCGAACCCTACAAGACTATGAAGACGCTCATTATGGATTGTTTACAAAGCGAACTAAAGTACCCCCTATAGGATACACTGTTGCTACGTCTGAGCTCCTGTAAGTGGAACATTGAGTGAATACCTTCTAGGTTAGTTTTCGGGTTCAACCCATAAGAAACGAGCTCCCTCGTACATCTAAACTCAGAAGATTTCGTTATTCCTGCCTTTCATAACATTTATATGAACACCCTACTTCCTCACCCTCTAGCGCCGCAAATTACTCTGTACTCCAGCAATAGCCCAGCGCAGTCAGGTTTGTCACATCTCCCATAGTTGTCTCACCTCCCACTGCACCACACCCAAGACCATCACCCCCTATCATCCAGCTCCATAACCCGTCCCAGCCGCTCCCCCCGCCATTCCATACCCCATTCCACCAGCAGTCCTTCCCGTCTTAGCCATCTCTCTCCCTGCCGCCGCCGCATCGTATTTCCCGTTTTCATCGAGGAAATCAGGCGGCCTGGCTGTGGTCCTGGTATTCTCATTCTTGTTATGAGCTTCTAGGGCAGAAGGGTTCTTGGGGGTAAGTGATGACATGGAGAGGCAGGAACCCATTTTCAGGACCGACTTGGCGAGCTAAGTAGTGTGGTAGTGTCGTGTTGATGATGCACCTGGCGTTCAATTGAAGTTGTCGTGGTTGGTGTAGTTGGTTTACGAAGTAAATGGTCAAAGTTGGAATCAGTTGTTGCAACGATTATGAGGACTTCATCTCTTTTAGACGAGGCACATGCTTTCTTACTGTTAGTCCTTGGGAATAAAGGAAAAGATAGAAGCTTATGTAGCATAGTACGCTTGTAGTCCTCAGTGGTGGTGATGTTGAAGCGATTTACCCGGTAAATCAATCCCGTGGCTGAGCAAGGCGAACATGAGGTCACGAGCACATGGGCAGTGCACACTTGCTATATGTCGATCTCACCATTCTTGAGCAACGAACACACTCACGTCCATCAAGTTGTTAATAACAATGGCTCATCGTTTCCGTATACCGTCTTGATCCTCTGCACTACCAACTGAGGTCCTGCTCAGCCACCGATGTCGCCACCACCACCACCACCACCATCTTTGCCTGAAGAAAAGGTCGGGTAGTCTGTAAGAGTTGCGTCCATTTGGCTACCTGTCGCCAGCACAGCCAGGTAATAGCGCTCAATCACACTGCTGATCCTGAATGCCTAAATAGCCTCATACAATACATCACGCAAACAATACTGAAAAAGGGTATCAAACCTTCCATTTCATAGGAGCTTCGCTCCCTTGTGATAATCTGATCTTGACCCAAACCATGTCCCACGCCTTCAAAAGGCAGAATGTTCCCAAGAATGCCAGTCATGTTGTGAAAAAACGCCAGACAGCCAAACACCTCGCTATGCATGCCTCATACAAAGTCCTTCGGTAACAGAAGTCCTACTCCTCGTCACTGTCCCCAAAACCAGCCAATAGCTCCGCTTCAAGACCATCATCATAGTCGTCTTGGAGATCTGGCGCCGCACCATCCATGCCTTCGACCCCATTTATCTTCTCCTCCGCATCGTTTGCCTCATCTCCCATATCCTCCTCCGGCCCCGTCGTCTCCGGACTAGGCAACCCGGATGACTTGCTCTCTGCAAGAACGACGTTGGTCAGGCTAGTCACCCTCTCCATCGTCCTCTTCTTCCGCCGTTGCAGCCGCGACGTCGTGCTGTTGACACTGCTATCGCTCCTATCGCTTTCCCCATCATTTTCGGCTTCACTTCCTTCCGTCGAATTGGTGCTAGTGCGTTTCCGCTTCTTCTTTCCGCCATTCTGTCTCGACTCGGTTCCTGTAGAGGCAGTGCTATTTTCTGACCGAACGCTATCAGTATCTGATTCGCTGGCCTCTGAATCCGTCGCGTTCATGAAATCAGCCAATTCATCGTCTAGTTGCGCCCAGTCGTCATTTGACATTTCGACAATCGGTGAGTGTGGTACATCGTCTGGTGCTTCGTCACCCGTACCATCAATACTCTCGTCTTCGAGGTCAGCGACGGGTGACCCTGCTGCTTCTGTCTCGATGATATAAGGCGTCTCGTCTACATGCTCCCATCGGGTACAGCACTGGAACATCCATTCCGGATTGACAATCTTTATGTGGGGATACCGGGCTGCGCGCTTTACTTTTGTGGTCTTGCGGTCAGGATTGGCGATGACGTGTGTGGTACGGCGGGTTACGTTCAACGTTACTTCAGCGCCGAAGGAGGAGATCCAGAGGGCGAAATCGGATCTGAGATGGGTCAGCTCTGCTCAAGGGGATTTGAAGTAGGGAACTTACGTTAGGACGTCTACACCAAGCGGTATGATCCCAGAGAAGACGACCACGGCACCGTCGAGCACCTCGTTCTTGATCCGAGGCATTATCTCGGCAACGTCGGGGATGAAGTCTTCCATAGAGCGTTTCTTGGGGCTCTTTTCGCCTTTCAATGCGGCGACGCGACCATCTGCAGGCGCCTTTCCTCTGGCTTTCCTGTATTCGTCGTAAAATGTGCGGTGAACAAGGTTGAGGTTCTGTTCAATGACATCAAGTCCTCTGTCGTCATTGTTGAGGATACTATGTCGTGCCTTTGGATGCTCAATCTGCCGGGAGTCCTCGATGAGCGACTCAGTATCGTCGGCCTCTTCATCCTCTTTATCTTGCATTAGCTGTTGCTGCAACAGAGGCCGCTCGGTTTGTTGCGCAATGATGAGCTTTTCTTGCTCCTTGGCCTGCTCCTCCAGGTCTTCGGTTGCAGCCAAGGATATAAGTTGCTGTCCCAGCTCATTCAGGTCACCATTCGCAGCGTCGATCGGGGTTGTTTCCAGCGGTTTGCCTGCCACAGACACAATGTTCGTAGGCGCAGCTTCAGCCGTAGCCTTTTTGGGCGTCGGGGGTGATTTGTCTTTTGCGAATGTAACCAGCTCCTGCTGCTTAGGCAGGAAGCTCGCGTTGATGTCGCCAGCGCCGGGGAAGAAGTTGAATACGGGTACGCGGACGAGGTGGGGGCTGTATTGCCAGACGTCTGCTCTGTCGTCAATGATGACACACATTGCTGTGTTCTGGTAGAAGAGCCGCGTCAGGCTCTTCAGCTTGTCGGTGTAGTTTTCGTCGCGACTGAGGATGCGGTCGCCAAAGTATTTGCGCTCGGGATCGATGATCTTTGCGACAGCTTGCGCATAGGCTCGGGTGGCCATGGTATAGACGTGCATCTCATAGAGCTTTGAGACGCGATCGAAGAAGTCCTTGAGACCTGGGCGCATCTTGACATAGTACCAGTTTGCGGCCACATTGGAAACATTGTCATCGGCCAATTGGAAACCCTCGACATCTTTGACGGCATCGTGGTTTGGGTTCTCCGGGTCGTTCTTCCAGTCGGCAATGGTGCGCTCGCAGGTAGTGTGGATGACGGTCTGGTCCAAGTCAACAATCAAGGTCAGCTTTCGCGCGCTCAAGAGTCGCTTCTTCGCGTCTTCCTCCGCAGCTACCGCCTCTTTGTGGCTGACGAGGAGCGCAGTGTTGTCGTGCGCCATGTTCACCGTCGCGCGTCCTGTGCCGAGCTCCTTGGTGAGATAGTCAACTTGCGTCATGTCTTTGCCGCAGTCGACGCAGAGGCCACCGAATTGTGTTTCGTGAGTGCAGGGCTCTTCAATTTCAAGAAGTGGTGTTCTGGAGGGTTGTCAGCATGTCGCGCCTGCAGCAGGCGCGCGGTGGATGGGCCTACCCATGTCTCTCAATGATAGTGCCCGGCTTGATGAACCATCGCGTGATCTTTCCCTCGGTGCTCGCAGCAAATGTCTGCCTAAACTTCTTCATGACCGTCTTCTCGCCTCCCCACTTGTCGCCCTCGGTGACGCGACTGTCATAGCTGTAGTTGAACAGCTTCCCAGACCGCTGGACATCTTCATCGCGCTTCTTGAGGAGATCGACGACGGTGACGGGATAGTTCAAATCTCGGGGTGAAAGGACCTTCATTCCGAGTGGAGGCAGCCCATGCGACTGGCGACGTGGTGGTGTTGATGGCGGGCGCGTTGTGCTTGGAATTGGCGCATTCGGGACTTCCGCGGCGATGCAAGGGAACGAGCTCGAGCTAGGCGCCTGCAATGACGTGGGCAATCTTTGGCGGTACGCGCTGAATTGGGGTTGGAGGTGATATTGCTATCGTGGGTGGTTGTGTCGCGCGACTGGGGTTGACGTAGGCGTCGCGGCTCGTTTACCATATTTTGGAGCGAGGGGCGGCTACCTTTATACCTTTCAGCCACCAAAACTAGCGTGCACCGCCAGTACCTCAAACATGGCAGCAACAAAGAGCCCCATGAAGGATACCGCGTCTGTCACGAAGACCTGTTACGAATGCATCCGAGGTTGCCTAATATTGGCATCGTTATAATGCTTTTTTACAATGACTTTACGTGGTAGCTGAGTAGTAGCCTAGACGCGTCGAGCCCCTCGGAGAGTACTGCCAAGACATGACTGTTGCGAACATCAGGCTGCGATAGAGCACAACCTCCATGTCGCATACAACTGATCTTGATTGCTCTGTGGTCTCGTCATTGCGAGGGAGCTCGCTTCTTCTGTTACGCACCGAACTAGAACATACCTTCAAGGCATACGTAATGTATCACGTTAGAAATCCAACGGGACGTCGACAGTGTATAGCTTTAGAGTGAGAAAGAGTGCTCAGGGTACGGGTCACAGGAAACAGGCTTCTTCGTAATGTACTCCTGCTGCTCATACTGGTGCATGCTCTCGAGCTTCAAGTGACTACATAGTCCTAGCACTGCCGAGGCCCGTCACATGACTCTACCAAGACTGGCTAGTGCCATGGTATGTGGGCCTCATCCAATCTTAGCTTAGCTTGGGGGACTCAAATCTACTGCATGTGTACATTCGCTCTAGGGGCACAGCTTCCACAATGAACACCAGCGACAACACATCCTATCACTGTTGGTAGTCCTCCCGAATTAATTCCCCTTGGACAATTCTTTGACCCAATCAAACAATTGCTTCAACACTCGATCCTGCACCTCTTTCACCCCAGCATTCACTTTCCCATTCTTAGTGCTTAAATCAGTCACATGACCACCGCCAGGGACGATCTCGACAGGAACCTGCTTGGTGCTCTGCAGCGGACCTCCAGGCCTCCCTTTCGCCGAAACGCTGATTTCTCGCCATGGGTCGTACTCGCCATTCACATAGATGAGTCGGCTTGTATTAGTGAAATTCCGACCTCCCGAGTACGCATTAACTTGCTCTGCGGTTCTCCCTGCTGCGATGCCGTACGTTTCTCCATTCGGTCCGGGAGGGAAGTATAGTCCGCATTGGCGAACCCAGTAGTCTGTTGTTATGAGGCGGGAAGTGAGCGACGGACGTCCTGGGGGAGCGCCAACTTTCCAGTTTCCAAAAGGTTCATTGCAAGTCATCCAGACCCACTGACGGCTCATGGAATTGCCCAGTTTCGTATCAGTGAAGAGCGGGGAGCTCGCGTTGTAGGTGTCGAAGCAGCCAGTATTGTCCGTGGTGTTGAAATCAGGGTACTCATATGAGGCGCAGTGATTCGGGAGTCTGGTCTCTTTCCACCATTTCGCGTATCCTTCGAGCGCTTTGTCGAGACCAACACCAGCTTCGGACGGAAGGTTGCTGGGGGTAGCGTTCACGGCGTTTTCAATGTAGTCGGAAAAAGTGAAAAAGCCCGTGTTGTAGGAAAACTGATTACCCAGCCAGAGATAAGGCCCATGCGCCAGAGCAGCCATGAAGTCGTCATTATGAGCGACGTCTTGCATGCTAAACTTAGCCTTGAGTGCGTATTGCTCGTCCCGAGAGCCAGTGTTCAGGATGCTATCCATGTGGTCGATAACAAGAGATGTCTTTACTACAGTTCTTCGGCATGCCCTCTTCTGTAGGGAGGAAGTAGGCCGAATAGTCGTCAACAGCTTGAACTGATGCACTTGAGGCGTAGTAGGCGCATATAGTGCCTGGATCGAGGTTTGCAATCCATGCTAACAGTGCACCAAAGTAGCTACCGCCTATACCTATCCATGGAACATCTTTAGCGTTGCTGCTAGCGTTCTCATGGGTAGCAAAAGGCAGTTGAACCTCACGTGCGAAATGTGTTACATCCTTCATGCTGTTCTCGAAAGTAAGGTACTTCAGATTTTCGGTGCTGAGGTTAGAAAAAGGTGTGCTAGTACCCCAGTACCGGTGTTCGAGAAGAATGGCAGCTGCTCCAATCTGCTCAGCCAGAACTCCCGGCGAGCCACTTTTGGTTAAAAAGCTGTAGTACATAGAAGCATTAACTTCTCCAAGGGAAAAGAAGATCACTGGCGACCCGGGGCCTCTCCAGTACGTGGTGTCGTAGTTGAAAATTGATCAAAAGTCCCGAGACTAGGGTTATTGTGATCTATCAATTGTTTGAAAGTGCTGTTCTTGTGGTAATGCGTTTTCGGCGGCTCGCTGTCTGTCATGGAATGGGCACAGCCCTAGCCTTGACAAGACGTTAACAATTGTATTCCAGGCTGTATCAGTGGAAAAGAAAAGCTCACCTCCATAAGGACCGCAGTCATACCAGTCCTCGCCATGGTATTTGTCGACATAGCTGATGTTGTCATGTTGCTTCCGAGCTCGAGTAAAGATATAAAAGGTTGCCAATCTCAACAGGCTCTTCATATTCTCTCAGGGCTAGGTAATCAAGGTACGGGGAACAAGCACGATGTCGTCAAGAGAAGAATGCTGTGCAAATCTTCTTACATACGTTCTAGCTTAAAACCGCTTATCGAAAGCCCCATGATGACTGCACATGTCCGTATCTCTATGGTGTACATCTCACCACGTTGCGGAGTAATCAACCATGTACTCCGGATGTTGTCAGCCCCTGTACCCCATCGTCGCCCTCTACCGCTTCCGCCCAACGCCGCTCGGCCCGTCTCCAAGACGATCTTTGTTTGTCATGCGGATCCGATAATTGTTTTCAACATCCCGCTCAACTCTGCTTACCAGGTAAAGAACAAAGAAAACGGCCCGTTGCTCTAACGTGGGCTTCCTATTCAGTTCTAATGATCCTGAGAAGGGGGTCGATGTGAATCGTTAGAGCCAACAACCTCGGTTACCTAGGTACACTGTTAGGCTTACGTCAGGAGTGGTTACACAGCATTCGGTGATGAGCAATCGATGATCTGCGTAGAAGTTACTAGATATGGTGTTTTCCGTAAGCAGTCGTAGGATCGCAACATCATTTATCCATCCCGAAGTCTAATCGATAAGTGACTACAGCCAATGCCTGTTCCGACGTACACGTCGCTCGAACCCTCTCCTCAAAAAGACCACTTACATATCATTCCGCTCGCATAACACGTGCCTTCTTTTACCCACTACTCTCGCATACTCTAATAACAGTCGTAACCAGTATAACTCCATGTCTGCCTTACGGAGGACTCTGCGGCTCCAGATGGCTGCGCCTACATCAATTGCTTCAGCGTGCCTCTCGTGATTCTCACAACCGTCTGCTCGACAACATCCGCCGATAAAGAAGCAGAGTTTGTGCCAAAGATCAGGAAGACTGCCAAAATCAAACGGAACAAAATGTTTGTACGGTACAAGCCACGATCGATGTCATTCCTCGAAAATAGTGCCCTTCAACACCACGGAGCCCGTCATGAGCAATGCGCGGAAACGAGCTGTGACTGACGTTATACAGCGAATATCATCCATGAGAACAAAAGGACTTACCACTATACGCGTTACCATCAATATCTGGCAAGTACTTGTACGTGGCCATATCAGCCATAGATGTATGCGCTGCAGTTCGAAAGTGGTGATCGAGGTAGCTGCAGGCATCTCCTACGTCCCAACCTTGCTCCGCACACCGCAGCTGTGTGAAGGCACAGTCCAAATGCTCGTTGATCCATCTAGAGTGCCGCGGCTCGAGTGTTGCTAGGTTCCCTAGAGAAGCATTCGTCCAGTCGATTTGACCACTGCTGATAGCCTCAAGAAAAGTGGAATTCATTAGCACTACAAAACGATGGTGATGAGATCTCATCCAGATCAAGGAATTATGCCTACCCCCGGTGTTAGAGCCCCGCCAGATGGCCTTGTTGTGCTTCTCTGATCACGCTACACCCACGGATGAGTTGATCAAGTGTTTGAGTAGGCTGAAAGTGGGTTCCTCCACCCGCTTCCATAAGTCAGGGACTGCTATTTCAGTACTCACGTGTCGTATGTGCGTTGAGGAGAAAATGGGTGAAAGGGTAGATGATGCCGATACCATGTGAGGCGCCAACATCGTGCCGTGGCTACCGGCCAACTCTGGTTGAGCGCACACATCTTGAACGGCAGAATCCGCAGGTGATACGTGATCGGACGATGCGTTTTGTGGGGGGCAGACGATGCCGTGGAAAAGGTATGGAGGAATATCTGCGCGTAGTCCAAACGTCAACCGGAGAAGCTTCACACATGGCCATACTGCAGCTTACCTCGATTCCATCCGTTCACGACATCTTTCTCTCCAGCATGAAGAGCCCTGTTAACGCCCTCGTGAACATGGATCTGGGCGCCTGCTGAGCGTGATACTAATAGGCTATGCTGGCGTGCCTGCTGTCGGGCTTGTGTACTTGCTCGGTAGCTTGACAATGGTTGGCCGAGCCGCGTCCTGGTACTTACGTACGTATTCAACTCGTCGCCACTCATCTTTTCTCACGCTTGCGATCAACGATCGTCCACGTCGCTTCTCATAAGAAAATCCCCGCCTGCTTGATGAGTTCTGCGGAGGTACGTCCTAATTGAGCGTGGCCAAGCTAGATGCTCTGAGAACGTTCCGCTATCGGGGACGGGACGATGCCGCATGCATTTCGTGAGCGCTAATCGCTCTTTGACCAAAGCTTCAGCTAACGTAAATACACTTCAGAAGGGTACACCAGCTTCGCACGTCTCTCCTCCAAGCTAGAGTTGAGCATGAACATTTCACCACAATGTCTGATATGTCCCTCGTCTGATGCTGTCGTAGGCATCACAATGCCTGTGAACTGCTACCGGAACTGCTTTCTCCATGCAAAGACGCAGTGCGCAACATGCTGTTTGTAGGTGAGCCATATGGCTTCTACACCACGACCGCCTTCACGTCTGGGCTACGGACACCGAGGGTATATTGACAGGGTGCAAAGACGTGGCCTCAGCTCTATTCGAGACGGGTGTTGTGAACTACAAGGATCAAAGGAATTCTTTCCATGCAGCATCCGCATACAACAATCATGCGAGCCCAGACGCGATATACGATGAACTAAAGGACAATATAACATACAGAGAGAGCCGAATAACTCCTATGTTTATTAAGAAGGCATACAAGTCTATCCTACCGCGGTTACCAGAAGACTCAGTAACAATGCGAGAGCGCTTTCTCTCAGAGACTAGGTTTGACGAAGACAAAGCGTTGCTTTTGGTATGAGGCCGGGGCTTGAAATGAGACACAGAGTCAGTTGGTCGGATGCTTCGACGATGCAACGAGATGTTGGCAAAGAAAGAGGAAGTCCAGCATCACTGCGATATTCTAAACGTTCTGTATTTATATCCCACATGTACTAATTGCACCCACCTCACTGTAGAAGGAAGGGCGTCATTGTCAAATGTCTGGAAGCTATGCTTTGCGGACGACGCTACTGTTACAGATCAGACGTCGTCGCTAGCGCATTTTAACCAGAACGAACTCTCTTTGTGAAGCCTGCTATCCTGTGACCATCTCTCTGTTACCTCCTCCCTTAAACCGATTCACTCTATAAGAGCATACGCGTCTTCAACTTTTGCCTAGTATTTGGGGTGTTCTGACAGGAATCAGTCGTGTCCTCGACGAGTAGACGATACTAGGTCTATCATTACTCAGCGGAGTACCGTCCGCTCTGCAGTCCACCGTGTTAATGAGAAAAACCAAACTTCCTCTTTAAGAGTACTTCTTCCTACTACAAAAGAGCATAATAAGAGTATATAGGTATAGATTAAAAACTTAGAAGACTACAATACTGTTAACCTTCATAAGTTTTTTAATTAGAAGATAATGTAGGCTGCAAGGTAAAGCTTATCATATCTATACCTGTTTAATTTTTCTCTCGTATACGGCAAGTTCACCATGGAGATGGTGCTGGAAACATGAGATCGAGCAGAGGCCCGTAGTGGACACAATTGTCTTTGATATGCACAACGGGCTTCCTCATCTCTCCTGTTGAGCATTGGTAGATGTAGTGGTACTCCACGTCTCGAGGCCACCTTACTGGGTTAGTTCTTGTAATTTTGCGACATTTTGCGGACACGTTATGCAGTTCTTTTTCTTTTACATTTTCCGATTTTTGTTAACTCTCCGGAACAACCGATAGTGCTATTGTGAATTGTAGCGGAATAGGAACATAGCTTGCTGATTCGTTTTCGTTCACCGTAAGTGCGCATATGCGCGATCGTATCCTCTTTGTTGTAGAATAGCTTCGAAGTTCTGATACAACACCAAGGTCGAGTTGGGCCATCTTTGTGCGCTTTTCTCCCGTGAGATATTGCCTCATCTGGTCCAGCTGCGAGATGTGCGTGGAACATCTGTGACAGCTGAAGTCTGTGTCCGGAGTGCCCGCATACTAGTGTTCTCGCAAAGGTATTCCTAGGACCTATATTCTGGCCGCCGGGTTGGGATTGGATGCCGTATCTGTAAAACTTGAGATATTCTGCAGGTCTCGGCCGGGGTGGTGAGTCTCTTTTTCGTTTCGCCATGCTAACACGTAGAGTAGAAGAGAAGGATAACTTTAAAGAGTAACGCCTTGAGGTGAGTGAGTACCAAGGTATAGCGGGAAGGCGCGATGTATCACCTTGTTGCCGTCTTGAAGAAGGCACAACCGGACCACACACTCACGGTAGGCCAAGCTTGCATTGACATGTCGTATCTGCAGTTCGTTTCTTCAGATCGATTGTGGCAGAGGAAGCACCATAGCAGGCTTAAGCATACACTAAATGAATTCGTATCTGACCCTTCGGCCTCATCCTCCTTCTCTCATATCTTGAACCCGTCATCGGGTATCTGCTCTACGGCAGCGTTCGCATTTGGAAGATCGTCGCCCAAGTCGCTCTCGCTTTCGCTACCGCTCGAGATTGTAATGGTGTTGTCTTGCGCCTTCTACGTAGCCGGATCGCCATGGAACATTCGCATAAACCACTGCAAGAACCTGAAAGCTCAAGAGACCGTTGGGCTGATTGAACCCCTTGTTTTCATAGTGCGAGGTTTCAGTCCAATTTAGCGTGTACCCACGCGCCGCGCAGTAGTAGATTATCCATCTCTTGGGCGACGGTCTCGTTCGAGATCTTGAGCTTTAGATAATGCTGGCTAGTCCGTCGTTCGTCCTCCACCCAGACATTAGTGCCATTCGGATATAGATAGTTGTACCCATTGTTGTTGCCGTACTCGAACCATCTGCCTAGACCCCTGCCTGCATAGACCATGGTCAAAAAGTCCCACGAGTATTCCGATTTGTTATAGGATCCGTACCATTCCCAGGCTGACTACAGTTGTGGAGATGCGAAGTCAGTGTATGTCTCACATGTATTTCGTACAGTCATAACTCACCTTGACCGGATCATTCGGGGGCCCACACACGGTGAAACGTGCGCCTGACGAAACCTCAACGCCCACTTCTGCACCAAGGAATGTCATGGGAACACATTCGGGCCAAGTGTTGACAACATGCGGCGCATTCTGGATAGCAAAGTTGTACTCTTCATCGAGAGATGGCTCTGGTGAGTATCCACCTCCCATAACCACAAGCTCCTTCACTTTTGCTTTCACGAGCTCGTAGCCGCCTAGAGAGGAATATGCATCGCCCGTGCTGTTGAGGAGACCAGACAGCGATCCCATGAACCCAATTGACACGATGGTCACACTGCTGTTCTTCGCCTCCGCCAACGTCTTGCGATATAGCTCTACTGGATCCCAGGTCTTGTTGACCTGTCCGAAGGGCACTGAACCGCCGGAAAACTCAGCAGCTACTTTGCTCGCGTACTCGTTTCCAAATGGTTCGGGAGAGGTTATGTTTGTGAAAGGCCTAGGCAGTCCAATCGGTACGGTGTTGTAGCCATAATGATTTACAATTGCGGACGCAGCAAAAGCTGTGTATGTCGAGTTGACGTTCACGTTCACGGCGAGGAGGTTCGTGTTTGGCAATGTACATGCGAGGAGTAACGCGGCGGTGTCGCTATTGCGGCGTTAGCTAGGTTCCAGGGCTTCATGTGCTACTATTACTCACTCGATCGCCTCGAAAAGATCGGCATCCACAATTAGGTTCTTGGTTTCTGGTTCCGTTGCCGTCTCAACTAGTGTAAAGGCCGACACAATCGCCAGTCCATATGTCAGAGCAAATCGAAAGAACATTGCGTCGCGATTTTCTAATCAGACGATTCCACTGTAGATGAAAGCAGGAGCAATGAAGACCGTCCAGTCAAGCAATGATCGTGAGATGCTGATGTGTGTCGATATAAGATAGATGCAATCCGCTCCCACGATCCACAGGAATGATGTGCTCAGCGTGCTAGATCACTACAGCAAGGCGCTCCGCCATCGGATCTTCATACAAAGAAGCTACGGCGATAAACGGCAATCGATCCCCATTTTGCACTGTGATGAGTGGAGCGAATGATACGCGGAGCTTGTGGTGCACAACATGGGCGCGCGATAAGAGCCCGTGTGAGGATTGTCTTCTTTATCGATCTCGGTCGTATTTCGGAAGTGCGTGCCAGCCCAGCGGGAAGAGACGCTTCCTCTCCAGCTTCATCATCGCCTCGCCATGGATATCCAATGTCGCGGAGCTAGGGTGGTGGGCTATCACAGAGGGTGGGAGTCAATGACGGTGGTGCCCAGAAGCCGGAGGCGATCGCTGAGCGGCAGGACGCGCTTACTTCCTTCACAAGAGAGGCTGTGCGTATCACCCACGAATCACCCCATACTACGACACGACCAACGCAAACATTTGCAAACATGTACAAGCTCGCGTTAACCTGCTTCGCATTGTCGCTTATTGGAGTATCTGCATCTTATCACGAACGCATCGGCGCACAAGACGTCATCGCCAAGCTTGGACTGAAGCCAAATCCTGAAAAGGGCTATTACCGACAAACGTTTGAAGACACTGGAAGCATCGGCAATCGCTCGTACTCAACTGCCATCTACCATCTTCTCGAGGGTCAGGCTGGCCCATCCTACTGGCACCGCGTCACCGATGCCGTCGAAATTTGGCACTACTATGCTGGCGCGCCCATGAGGCTGGAGCTGTCGTGGAATAACGGGACAGCAACCCAACAGCAGACTTTAGGCAGCGACATTTTCAGCAATCAAACTCCACAGGTCATCATAGATAAAGGACAGTGGCAGCGGGCGACTAGTCTCGGATATTGGACGTTGGTGGGCACGACAGTTGCGCCCGGCTTCTCGGAAAATGGATATGAGTTGCCAGCGCCAGGATTCCAGCCAGACGATGGCCATCAAACAAAGAAATTCCACAAAGTCACACGAGAAACCTACCAGGGCTAGAAAGCCTCCAGATTTTTTGCTCTTCTTGCACTGAGAATAGTGCTAGACGTCAAATCTTACGGATCTGTCACGATGCCTGTCGGCGTGCTCTGCGGACTTCGCTTCACCGGTTCAACTGAGACTTCCAATAGCTGGCTCGGATATCTGAAGCCACTATATGCTCTTGTCAGACTATTGAAGTGCTACTACCGTTGCCATATCTGAACGCGAGAACACGATCTGGAAAGGCAACCTGACACGCTTCACAACGCCCGATGGCCAAAACAATCTTGTTGGGCATACTATCTCACAAGAACACGAAGACGTCTCTCCAAATGTCTGTTGCAGATTCCAGTATCAGGGCGGCTGCGATTATCGATGGCACCCCAAACCACGGCGTCCCTCCACTCATAGCAGCCCAACCGTCGCGCGGCAGTCGGGTGGATCACGTAGATGTAAAGTATCAACCTTGCAGTCGATTTATAATAGCGCCAAGCGAACTGCTAGTCGTTCGTAATCAGGCAGCTTCGCCCTCTCATTCTTGCATCTCACCGTCAGCTGAAGCACCTCGATCAGCTTGGATGCCTAAAAATTCTGTATTCCAACTGCTCCAGCAAAGCACATGAGCTTGATCACGTACCCATTCACAGCTCTATCAGTTCACATGGTATGGCTTGACCCGATATCTGCTTTCTGACAACCTTCGTCGTGTGCGCGGTCTTTGCGCGATCTGTGCGGCTCCGCCACACGTCAGACATGATGGGTGCGCCTTTCAATGATGTAAGCCGACTCTCTGGCGAATACACTGCGCGCTACTTGAGGCTGCATAGGTTTCGACCCAAATTGAGATGGGCGGAGTGGCTGCGAAACTCGTGTAAGCCACCTCGCGAACTTCGGACCTGACTTCGCCGAGGCCGTCACCATTCGAAGAGACACTCCCGCTCACGAGGTTGTCTGAGCTGTTCTTTCCTGGAGTCAGACTCGCGACTCGGAGGTCTGGATTGAGCGGTCAAACTCCGTGCTGACTGTATTCATGTAGGATTGGGTGGTCATGCATCTTCATCGCCCTCTGCCCATATCCGTTTTCAAGCGTCAAATTTCTATGAATACGATCTCCGAGCATCAAATCTCCGTTCGCCTTATCCTAAGCCATACTAACATCCTGGTAGTTAGAGAGTCAGAGAGGAACTTCATTGTATTGCGCCATGGCGCCTCCAAAACCTATCGAACGCAGAATGGCCATCTGAGCTGAAGATGCAAGCCACGGACTGTAAGAGCAGATATAAGTACGAGTTTGCTGCTTCATGATTCTCTGGTAGCATATCGAGCAGTCATTTACGCATTATACTATCTTCTCTTTCCTCCAGTCTTCACATCTCCACATTCGTTGATATCCAGCTTATTCAGCAAGGATGAAGTCCTTCTCCATCCTTGGTGCTGCCCTCTTTGGGCTTTTTACTCCAGTCGCCATTGCAGCAGCGATCCCTGCTGAGCTCGCCGAACTTGCCCCATTTACGCCAATACGAGACAGTCTTGATGAACGTCAGTCCCCAGCTTCATGTGTCAATGTTGGCAACACTGCTACTACCAGGCATTGTTGGGCTCCAGGGTTCACTTCCTCCACGGACATGTACACGTCCTGGCCTAATACTGGTGTGGTTCGCTCATACAACCTACGCATCGAGAACACGACTTGCAACCCTGATGGCGCAGGTTCTAGAGTTTGCATGTTGATCAATGGAAGGTACCCTGGTCCCACGATTGTTGCCAACTGGGGCGACACGATCAGAGTAACTGTCCGCAACCTCCTCCAGGCTAATGGTACTTCTATTCACTGGCACGGCTTTCGCATGCTCAACAAGAACATCCAGGACGGTGTTAATGGAATCACCGAGTGTGCATTGGCACCTAACGACGTTAAGACTTATGAGTTCCAAGCGACTGAGTACGGCACGACATGGTACCATTCCCATTTCTCACATCAGTATGGAGACGGAGTCGTTGGAACAGTCATCGTGAATGGCCCTGCTACTGCGAATTACGACGAAGACCTTGGGGTCATGCCAATCACTGACTGGTATTACCAGACCGCGTTTCAAGCAGCCTCCATCGCATTTCAGAATGGCCAAGCTGGGCTGGGCCCACCAGTCGGTGACAACATCTTGATTAACGGGACAGCTAAGAACGCAGCAGGAGGGGGCGCATGGAACAATGTGACGATGCAAGCAGGCAAACGCTATCGTCTTCGACTTGTCAATACCGCGGTTGATACCAACATGGTTGTAAACCTCGATGGCCATCCTTTCCAGGTCATCGCAACGGATTTTGTTCCCATAAATCCCTACAACACTAGTCACCTACAAATTGGTATCGGCCAACGATACGATGTGATCATCACTGCCAATCAAACAGCTGGAAACTACTGGTTCCGTGCTGTCGCAGATGGACTTTGTCAATCGCGGAACTCTCGCGAGGGACGAGCTGTCTTCACGTACCAAGGCCAGACTGTCGCTGATCCTACCTCAAACGCCACAGCTATCCCTTTCACGGAATGTGTGGATCCGGTCACTAGCCCGAAGATCGCAAAGAATGTCCCCAGCACAACCTTTGCGGCCCAAGCCAAGAGCCTTCCTGTTGCTTTCGGTCCGGTGGCAGCCAACGGCAATACAGTACTCTGGACTATCAATGGCACATCGATGATCATCGATCCTGGAAAACCGACTATCAAATACGTCGCGGAAGCCAACAACAGTTTCCCTCAATCATACAACGTCGTGGAGGTACCATCGACTTCCCAGAATACCTGGACTTTTTGGGTTGTGCAACAAGCCGTTGGTGCACCGCCTCTTGCTCACCCTATCCATCTTCATGGTCACGACAGCTACGTTCTCGGTGCAGGCGATGGACAATTCAACGTAAGCACCCACTTCAGTCAGCTACGTTTCACCAATCCTCCGCGTCGCGATGTCACTCAGCTCAAAAAGAACGGTTGGCTTGTTCTTGCGTATCCAACGGATAATCCAGGTGCTGTAAGTAACCATACCCTGTTTCAGTCCTTGAAGAATACTTCTAGGCATCTTACCATGAACGGACCTTCCACCCGTCGCGCTTTTTCGGCAAATGCTGACTGTTTTTCTCTAGTGGCTGATGCACTGCCACATCGCCTTCCACGTGGGCATGGGTCTCAGCGTCCAGTTCCTTGAGCGCAAGCAGTCTATCAATCTACCTGCTGCCGGCTCCGAGTGGTACGGCAACTGCAACAAATGGGCTAGCTACAAGGCTGGCACGACAGACGTTTGGCCTCAAGACGACTCTGGTCTTAAGAAGCGATGGCCTCCTCTCATTGAGGGCGGCTCAACATTCAGATTGGACTAGATTTTTCGTTCGTACACCCTCGTTCACAAAAGATATCGATGGTCAGCAGTGTCGGATGCAACCTACAAGGGCGATGCAACCGTTTCAACTTTTCGCGTCGTATGCTTGGAGATGTTTCCCCTTTCTTGGTTCGCGCGTTATCTTCTAACTCTCCCTAACCCAGTTTTGTGTTTACATCTTCTTTCTGATACATACCTTGTTGTGTTGGCTTAGTTCGTATTCTGATTTGGGAACTGCATGTACATACATCTGACACTACTCATACCTTCAATGTATATATTCCAGCATCAAATCATTTGCAAATTGCAGTTCGATCCTTACCCCATGTCCAGCCACCATTGGTATTCCGGCTATCGCACGGTGGCTTAGGTCTTGCTGACCTCTCCTAAGACCTGGGGCACGCACGGCACGGGAGTACACCCAGCACTGACCAATCACCATGCATCCAGGAATTGCCGGCCAGCTCAACGAGGAAGCGAGCGGGGAAGCTCGACCTCCACCACAGCGTCGAGCATGCTGACCAGTATCATTCATTTGAACAGCAGTCTTTGGCGATGGTGGCTTCTCGGCGCCATTTGATATATATCCAGCCAGTCACAAGGAGTGGCTGAGCTCCATCGGCTTTACTTGACGAATGGAATGTCGCGACTCTAGCATACGGAGTCCGAGACGAGCATACTGTCAAGCATGTCGTGATGTGGGTTGTTGAACTCCAAGACACGGGCGTTCTGTGGATATGTACCCCACCACGCTTGTGCATGTGGAGAAGAGACTTGAGTGACAGGGTGCTCTTGGAGCTGATAAGTGCAGAGCACCCTGAACTCGTGCCACAAGGCTACGGTCGCCATCTGACATTAGGACTTTGGTTTGCCAGCAATACCGAGAGCCCATTGCAGCAGTTATGGCGACGACTACGACAGCGCATCCAGCGCCTGCCATGAGCAGTACAGATTCTGATCGGATTGACAAGGAGCCGCGACTTACTCACACATCGACGAACATCTCCCTCAGTCCGGAGCTATTCGAGAAGTTGTACCTCGCGCCCAAGACACCAAGTGCGAACGATCACGTCGGCCGATATGCTAACGCGACACCATTGGGCTTTTTGGGGTAAGATGATTATCTGCATGTACGAGAGACACAGTACTGAGTACTTAGCAGATTCGTCATCTCAACCTTCACCTTTTCTATGGTTTTGATGGGTTGGGGCGGCGCTTCTGGTCTCCAGGCTGTCGTGTAAGTATTTATTCCCTTCACAGTGTGCACTTCCCATCACGAAACTGTATTAAGCCATTCTTAGTGGTATTTTCTTCTTCACTGGCCCAGTGCTTCTTACCCTGGCAACAATATTCCTCTGGATCCAAGCGCAATTCTTTCCGATGATGGTTTGTGGTCTCTTCTCGGTCTTCTGGTTGTCCTTTGGAATGTTGCAATTACCTACGCTTGGTCTTGCAGCAGCCTACTCGTCCGATGGCGATGCAGCAGCAGGGGCTGTGAGCAAAGAGATGAATGCTGTCATCGCATTGTATCTTCTTGTTTGGGGCTTCGCATTGGGTACATTCTGGCTGTTTACGATCAGAATCAACGTAGTGTTTGCTGGCATTTTCGGGTTCGTGACAATCGGTGCCTGGGTGTTGAGCGGAGCTTACTGGGCGTTGAGCAACGGAGAGTTTGACAAGGCGCTAAGGTTGCAGAAGGTAAGCTGATGAAATGTTTTCCAGAACGTTGCTGATGTTTAGCAGGCTGGTGGGGCGCTTCTATTCATAGTAGGCTTACTGGGATGGTACATGCTCTTCGTTATCATGGCGGCAGAGATGCGATGGTCTGTTTGCCCACCTGTTGGAGATCTGAGTAAATACTGGGCCAAGACAGATGTTGAGATTGGTGCAAACGCAAGTGAAAAGAAGGACTAGACGTCAGCTTAGCACCCTGTCTAAGGTACATTACACATCTGTTGCTATACACATGAGCCCTTGGGTATAATGTAAAAAAACATTTTTGGTTCCCAATACACACTCTTTAGTTCGCCATCTTCGCGTGAAGCGACTGCATGTCTGCGACCAGCCCGACGAATCCTAGAGGGAGTAACCGACAGGTTCACTGTCAGACATACGGTCACAAACAAAGCAGGGTAGAGCATGAGCAAACGGAACATTGGTCGCATGGATGGTCCATTTGGACGTAAGACTATTGGTACCCGATGTCTTCGCTCTCATATGAAAGCCGTCTCAAAATCTTCGGTCCGCTGGTGACGATGGGCGTGACGATCACCAGCGCGCTCCCTACTCTTGCTTTGAGCTCGTCGCTCGCCGCTGCGATGCGAAGACCGATGCTCGTGCCTGTCACGGCTGTGCGTGGAAGTCTTTGGCTCACGCTTGTCACGGCTATGGCTAGGACTTGTGTGGCGATGCTTGTGGCGCGATGACGCACTGTCCTTCTTGGGAGTGCCATGCTCATTGTCTTCCGCGTCTCGCCTCTTCCTCTTAAGATGTCTACTCCGCCTATCCTCGCGTTCCTGAGCCGATCGTAGCTCCATCAATTCGCGACTGCGCTCCTCAGCCCATTGTTTTCTGTCCTGCTTGGACTTCTTCAACTGTGCCTGTGCCTTCTGCATGAAGGCAAAAGGGTCGTTTGTCGATATGCGGGCTTGCTCTCTTTCTTTACGGCGCGGGTCTTCATTTCCCCAAACGTCCTTGTTCACGAAGCCTTCGTAGATTGACAGTTCCTTCTTGTCTCCAGCGCTCTGCTTGGGCGAATGTACGGCAGCGTACCAGGGTCGACTGACGCCGTCCCTTCCTGCCGCACTGGAGAAGCGCATGGTGAACTGAGACTCGATGGCCTTTTCCTTGTTGCGCTTCTCCTGTTCCGCTTCTGCGTTTCTCTCGCGCTTGAGGGCGTCTTTCATGTCTACCGGAAACAAGTCAATGTGGCCGGCATGGTCTTGCAACGGGGCATCACTCGCAGTGCTCCGTAACTTCAGGACTCTGGCGTCCTTGTCGTCATGCTCAGGTCGCGCCGTGAGGGACTTGGCCATGCGTATGTCCAGATCGGTGTCATCCTCCCCAGCGAGCTTCCTCCTTTTCCTGATATGTCCGCGTTCATCTGCGTGTCCTGGGCGCCTAGATTCTGACGTCTTGCCGGCTTGTCTTTCTGGCAAAGGTGGGGGCGTTCGACCTCGGAGGATGGCAGCACGTCGTTCGGCATCGAGCTCTTGCATGCGCTGCTCATCGGCGGCTTCGCGTGCGGCAGCAGCAGCCTCGTCGGCCTTGACGCGCGCTATGTTGTCGGAATTGTATACGTTCCATGACTTCTTGCCGAGCAGGTGTCTACAGTCGTTAGTGACTCCAAGGGTTAGACCTAGGAGAGGAGAGCCACTCACAGAGGCATGATGAGAAGATGTGCCAGGCGGACGAGACCAGAGCGTCTTGTTTGTTGTCATGCGCCATCGGGACGGCCGCCTTCTTAACTCTCACCCCAGCGAGGTCGGGCGCGGAGGCAAGCAGTGGCACCCGTCGACGCGAACGGGAGCGACCTTGCATTAGCGTCGAGCGGGGCCCTATCCAGTTCTCTCCCCACAGTGCCATTGGCATAACCCAAAGAGACAACCCGAGTTCCTGGCTAGATGCATCGCCGTCAATAGTGCCCCTCTGATCTTGCTTCTCCGTGGTAACCGTCGTATCGATTCCCTTGTTGCTTCTTTCCTAGCGTGCATCTGGCCACAAGACGAGCCCTGCCAGCCACGCTGCGGCAATCGTCTAGACCTCTGCATAAGCTCTCAAGACGCGGTCCCGACCTACATAACACAACGTCTGTGACCATGTACGACCTGCAAGCCAAAGTCTGCTAAAGACCTTGTCCCTCACTTTGACCTATCTCTGTGTGTTGCTTTTTTGCATCGACTTTCTTCCACGGCACTCCACCTCCGAAGCGGAGAATTGTTACGAAAAGCACTTCAACATGCCCACCTGGCTCGTTCACGGTTTTCGATGGCCGCGCGCACAGATTCGCATTCACATTATTCTGCAGAACCTCGACGATGCCGCTCCAGAATGGCTCATGGCCCCCGCTACTACGGCCTGTATGATGCAAAACTTCAAGGAGCAATGGCCAGAACAGATAGCCCAGCTGCCTGATCTACGCTTCATCGAGCAATACGATCCCGAAGATCTCACCGTCAAGGATCAGCCGTACGCATATGTGTGCGATATTGTGCACGAGATCAAGCTGGGCGTAGACGTGGAAGAGATGAGGGGGGCTGGGCTGGGAGATGACCAGTGGGCAGCCATTGCAGAATTGCGAGACAAGGTTGCACCAGGAGAAAAATTAGGTTGGTTCGTAGTGGTCAACGGAGATGTCGAGAGGTGGGCACCGCCACTGGAGGAAGACGACGATATAACCCCAGACGCCAGCGCCGTCAGTGCGTCAAGTCACAGGAGTAGCATGGCACAATCCGACACCGCACGCACCAAAGAACCGGAGCGGCCGTCCTCGAGTAGGAGTTTCAAGAAGTGGTTCGGAGGGAAGTTGAGGAAAACGAAGAGGTACGATTGATGACAACACGGATCCAGCATGTGCTAACTTGATGAAGCGGAAGGAATTTGAGAGGTGATACCACGCCAGAAGAGCCAGTTCCTCCATTGCCACCAATCTCACCCCGATATGCTCTTCAATCTTCGCACGGGAAGGCATCTGCGCAGAAGTAAGGACGAAACGGACAGGGATGACATCAGGTACACATACATATATGGCCCGAGTGAAGTCAGCCGCAACATGTCAGCTGTCGAATAGGTCTTTTAGGTAGCCAAGTATCCGCGGCAAGATAACATACGTGAAGTTGTGGATAGCCATTGCCTGCATGAATTCATGTGCCCGTCGCAAACCGACCTTTTGGGTTAGTGCATTTCATACCTCGTTGCACGTGACACGCGATTGCCTAGCTCAAATTATTATCCAAGTCGCGACTGCCCTACCACGCCGCCTCGGTATTAACACCACCCACCACTCTACCGTATTTCACGCCCAACTTTTCCATCGCGGCCGCAATCCAAGTCTGCATACATCCAGCGAAGATACTGGTGCATCGCGTTTAGGTCAATTGTTCCAAAAGCCTGCGCAGCTTGCGGCGCGCTCCAGCCCGAGGCTACGACCAATACCTTCCGTCGTCAACCCCGGAACTACCGCCAAGATGAGTCGACGCGACTTTCTCTCCATGCCTGCGCCCGAGAACTATGTGGCTGGTCTCGGTAGAGGAGCTACGGGCTTTACAACCCGAAGCGATCTGGGTCCCGCCCGTGAGGGTCCATCCGAGGAGCAGATGAAAGAGATGCTAGCAAAGCGCGCAGCTTCGCTAGGTCAGGCAGCCCCCTCGGCCTACGGTGTCACTGAAAAGAAGGAGGAAGAGAGGGACGAAGAGGAGGACCGGTTTCAAGATCCCGATAATGAAGTTGGCCTTTTCTCAAGCGGCATGAACTACGACAAGGACGATGACGAGGCAGACCGCATATACCAAGAAGTCGACGAGAAGATGGACAAGCGCCGTAGAGCAAGAAGGTTAGTCCCCCTGTTTTCCTTTACCTTATGCCCCTCCCCTCTATCTTTGTTATTGAAGTATTCATCGTGTTTTTTTCCACGAACAGATACCGATTGTGTCCGCCCTAGGGAAGCTCGCGAGCAACAAGAACGAGACGAGTACGAACGAAACAACCCCAAGATCCAGCTCCAGTTTGCCGATCTGAAGCGAGCCCTCGGCGGCGTCTCTGAGGAAGAATGGGCAGCGCTGCCTGAGGTTGGAGATATGACCGGCAAAGCCAAGCGCGCTCGTGAAGCTCGACTGGCGAATTCGAGGTCATACGCCGTTCCGGATAGTGTTTTGGCCGCAGCATCCAAGAGTGGCGAGCTCGATACCACGATATCGTCAGGCGACGCAGACGGCATGACAACGAACCTTGCCAGTATTGGAGCTGCGCAGCTATCTGCCTTGACGGTACGACTGGACTCAGCAGCAAGTGCGCCTGGCACGCAAACCACAACAACTTCTGGTACCTCGACGTCCGTGGACCCCAAGGGATACATGACTGCGTTGAGCAAAAAGGAAGCTATGGGCGAGGAAGTTCCAGTTGAGGACATCAACCGCGCGCGTGTGCTGTTAGAATCGGCCGTCAAAACCAACGTCCACAACGGCCCCGGATACGTTGCGCTAGCCCGACTTGAAGAGGTTGCTGGAAAGATTCACACGGCCAAAAAGGTCATTGCACGTGGATGCGAACTATGTCCTCGGTCTGTAGTCGTCTGGGAGGAAGCGATCAGGCTGAACCGCGACAACATTCACAATGCGAAGATCATTGCCGCCAATGGTATCAAGCAGAACACAAAGGCGGTAAAACTATGGCAAGCTGCCATCGATCTGGAACAAACACCAGCGTCTAGGAAAAAGGTTACACGTCAGGCTCTAGACCACAACCCCCAGAGTGTTGAGTTGTGGAAGACCCTGATCAACGACACGGAAGAGTTGGACGCTGTCCGCTTACTGTTCGCCAAAGCTACAGAAACTGTTCCTCTCTCAGAGGAGTTGTGGATCTCATTCGCCAGAGTTTCAAAACCAGAAGACGCGCAGCAGATCCTCAACAAGGCTCGCAAAGCCATCCCCACCAGTTGGGCGATTTGGATTCATGCTTGCAGACTGCAAGAAGAGCTGGGCAAGGTTGACATGTTGGACATGATCATGACTAGAGCAGTCAAGTCCCTGATCAAGGAGAACGCTATGATCAAACGCGAAGAGTGGATCACTCAAGCTGAGATTTGTGAGGAGCAAGGCGACACTGGCACAGCTGCTGCGATCATCAAGGCGACTGTGGGCTGGGGTCTTGACGAAGATGACGAGCGTCGGGACGTTTGGCTAGAAGATGCCAGGAGTGTGTTGAACAGAAACAAGCCGGAAACAGCTAGGGCAATCCTCGGATTTGCTGTCGCCGTCTTCCCGTATAGTACAACAGTCTGGCACGCGTCCACTGACCTCGAAAAGCATCACGGTACAACAGACACCCTACTAAGTGTTCTGGAGCGTGCCGTGAACGCCTGCCCAAACTCGGAGTCCTTGTGGCTTCAATACGCTCGAGAAATGTGGCAGTCAGGGAACCCTGAAGGTGCTCGCCAGGTCCTGGGAAGAAGTTTCGAGGCTCTGCCAGGCAACGAAATGCTGTACACCCGCGCTGTTGATTTTGAAGTTGACGCCGGCAACTACGAGCAGGCCCGTAGCTTCCTCCAGGTAGCACGTGAATCAGCTGCCACCGACCGCATCTACATGAAGTCGGCCGTGCTAGAACGACAACTGGATAACTATGAGACAGCGATCGACATCTGTAACCAGGGTCTGCAGAACTGGCCCGGCAGCTGGAAGTTACATGCTATCAAAGGCCAAGTCTACGAGCAGCTTTCAAAGCTGCCAGAAGCTCATGAGGCATTCAACATCGGTACACGCGCGGCACCGAAAGCTCCAGTCCTGTATATTCTTCTTTCACGACTCCAGGTGAAGCAAGGAGCAATTGTAAAGGCTAGGTCCACCCTGGACCGTGGTCGACAGCAGAACCCCAAGAGCGAAGAGATCCTTCTGGAGCAAGTCCGTCTCGAGCGCCGCCAGAACAACACGAACGCTGCCCAACAGCTGATGGCCGGCGCTCTACAGCAATGTCCCAACTCAGGGCTTTTGTGGGCAGAGAAGATCATGCATCTCGAGGGCCGCACACAACGTAAACCGCGTGCACTCGAAGCCATCAAGAAGGTGGAAAAGGACCCTCTACTATTCGTCGTCGTCGCACGGATCTTCTGGTCGGAGCGACGTCTCGACAAAGCCGCGACGTGGTTCGTCAAGGCTGTCACCCTTGACAGCGATTACGGTGATGCTTGGGTGTGGTACTACAAGTTCCTCGAACAGCATGGCACTGAGGAGAAGAAGGAGGATACGCTTTCAAAGGCTGCCATGGCTGAGCCCAAGCATGGTGAAATATGGCAGTCTGTCGCCAAGGATCCTAAGAATGCGAGGAAGAGTGTAGAGGAGATTTTGAAGATTGCTGCGGCGAAGGCGGAGTAGAGTGCTGCTGTAAATCGGTGTCTGTATTGATAAGGTCGAAGCATAATCGAAACATTTTCCGGCCTTAGTAGCGGGTCTGGCTCACAGCTGCGGTCTACACGGATTGATGTTAGTTCGGCATATTCGAGGATGATAGGTTCCTGTTTCTGGCATTTATTAAATTTATCCAAGTAAGTTGTGTTTTCCAGATCTGAGCCGTGAACCGCTTTTGGGATCTCTAGATTTAAGAGGGATCCCCCACCATCATAGCTTTCTAACTTAGCCTGCAGACTGAATTGAAAAACTGTAAGGTAGAATTGTCAATGGGCTGCAAGTTATTGCTGTCGCCACTCACTGACTCAATTTCATCCGCCTGACCTGCACACGGCATAACCACGTATAAAACTCAGTACGTCTCTATTCATATATACACGACGCACGAATATCCGCGTTAAATACTACTACTGTGGTCTTTTGAAACCGACAAGCTGATTATCATGGCAGAGAATCTGTTTGTCCAATGTGAATGCTCACATGTGGTGTGGCAGGCCATAACACGGCTTACATTACCACCCATTAGCCCCAAGATCAAATGACGAAGTGAACATGCTGCCGTCCTCGAAAGCAATGACACGATCCATGTCTATAAAATCCTGATCAAGCATGGGGTCGGTGTTGAACTCCGGACTCAGCAGGGATAACCCCAGGTCGTCCAATGGCAGAGTCACCCCGACATTTGGCCATGTGCGAAAAGATTGCGACGGCTCACTCCCACGACAATCATCCATATCCTTGGTGTAGTCCATGATGTTTAGTCGAAAGTTTTCATCTTCTGCGCAGCGCTCATGTAATCTCCTTAGCCGACGGTGATACTGGCTGAACAGGTTCTCCTCGCAATGTAATCGACCGGAAAAGGCGATCCATCGCCTTGACATTTCCTCAAGGCTGTGTAAGATGGACCAGAACTCGGCCGCCAGGATCTTCTCACGTGCGTACCGCCAATGAGCTAGAAGCACTCTGGCAGCAACGAACAGGCAGAAAGCATACTGGCATCCAACCGGTGATGTAGGCGACGACTTTGTGAGGTATTTCTCTGTAATGGTTGCAATCTCAGTACCAGCAGTGTAGCAAGCCTCTGCGCTGCAAGTGCTAGGTAATCGGTTTCGAAAGCTCCACTGTGGAGGTGGATAAGCGATGAGCTGATGAAGCAGTATCATCGAAGTGTTATGTGTGACGTGAGCTGTAGTTAAATTCGGGTCCTAACAGATGTTACTTGATGTCTGTAATGCATCAATCGTTCGAATGCTTACCATCAACGGAACCTGTCTTGTTAAGTTAGGATTGGCCTTCCATTTCTGAGGTAGCAGCATCTTCCAATGCACCAAGCGAAGATCTAGCTCTTTAAATCGAGTGAGCCAAGAGCTGATCTCGCCTTGGTTTCGGATACTGACTTTTTGTTGGAGAAAATAGCTCACTACACGACTCATAGACTCGGTCGCTTCGATGTTGTACGCAAAAGCACCGACCGTGGACATATCTGCCGCTCCGTTTTGACCCATGTCGATTGATGGTGTCCCTCTCATCTGGCCATGGGCTGCAGTCTCAGTGGCAGATGACTCATCGATCAGAGATGTAGGCTGTGAGATGAAGCCGATCGGGTTGCCGATGCGACCTTTTGACTTGTCCCAAATGCCGAAGTAAGGCGTCAAGACAGCATTCTGCTTGCGCCACAGGTGACCGTCACAGGGCAGTCTCCGAAAGACATCATCAGAGGTTAGACTCGTACTCCAGCCCATAGTTACCGAGCAGAATCGATCAAGGAGGAAAACATTCCAAAAGACTCTCCGCCGTTCTTCCTCTTCTGTCCAATCGTCGGTATTCTCTAGGCATGCGTATGCTTGGCAAAAAGGGTGAAGCTCACTATCCTCTTGCTCCTGTGCCAAGCCCATGTATTCAACGGTACGCGTCATTGATCCGATGATAGCCCAGGCTTTTGATGCTTGTCCGTTCCCAATATCATCGAAAGCCAGTATAGTCAGCGCTTGGAGGCTCTCAAGTGATAGAGTCTCCATAGCTGTGCAGACAACCCACCTGCGCGCTTGTTCAACGTGACCCCCTTGCGAGCCAGATACAAATTTGGAGGCGGCTAGAATCATAGCTTGGATGACCACTGAGAGCTTTCTGCGCTGCTGCTCTATGCTGAAGCGTTGAAGAAACCTGGCCTGATGGATCATCGGGATCCAAGGATGAACACGGGAAAAGTATGCTGCAACGATAGCTTCCAGCATTTCAGCCTGGGGCAGAGGAGGCACTTCATCTGAGTCCAACGTATGGAGAATAATATTGTCTTTGTCTGCTAGGCGTCTCCTCTTGTTGCTCTCCTCGTTTGTTGCCGGCGTGGCAACTCCTCCATTCGATAAGCCATCAGTCAGCTTGGGCAGTTCCTTGGCCAACAGAGCCAAGATGCTGCAAGCTGCCGACTTGCTTGAACTCTGACGTATATGTCCAGTTTCATGTGGTGAGCTGTGTTTGTACTGTTCAAAACGAGATTCTTGCGCGTTGAAGCGCTGTTCTAACTCGTCAATCCTTCTATGCAGATTGTCAATAGCTCCTGACTTTAAGCCCGGCTTGATACGTTTCGATTCGTATTCGCATTCTTCTCCTGCTGGATTTTAGCAGATGAAATCTGGCTGCGTAACCATGTAATGCCTTACCTGTCTTTCTACAATGTAGGCAACTGGGCCTGTCTCTCGAACAGCGCAGTTTCGCTTTCCGGCACGAATTGCAAGCTAGGCCATACGGCGTGCCAGAGGCTTGCTTCAGCTCACAGTCAGGCTGCTCATTTGACCTGTCCTTAGAAGTTTCATCTGACATGGCATGCGTTTACTGAGAGCTAGGACTAACTACAACCTTATGTAGATGATCCATCCGAACACCGGTGGAGATGCCCCGAACCACCGAGAGGGCAGCCAGGTTCTCCGCATTGGCGCGACCCAATCAGTATATAGTCTAGCGCCTTAAGATATACAGTGACACTAATGATGAACCGAGCTAGTACCCATCAGACGTTCTCCATCCCTTAAGTGATCCCAGTCTTCTACACCAGAGATGTCTTGATCCAGACATGACAATGCACATTTGCCTATTTGCGCTGGCCGAAGTCTCACCTGGCTTATACTAGGCCCATTCGTAACAACCTATTTCCAAATTCGACCAGATAGTAGTCTCCATAAACTAGGCCATGATTGGCGTAACGATTACGCGCATTCGCATTGTTGTTCGCAGTTCCAAACTTCAACATCCCATCGTAACGACGTTCTGGCGACATCTCCTCCGCACGAATCTGATGATATGAACCACTGACAAGCCGAGCCTTCTCTGGTGCCAGCGCAAAGCTGAGTGTGTCTTGAACTATGCGCAACGCTGTATTCCGAAATCTCAGTGACAACTGAGTCTGCCCGATACCCGCTAATGCTTGCGATAGCAATAGCATTCCGTTAGCGGCGATGGTGCCTGCAGAAGAGTCGCGCAACGGTTCATTTTCGTTCTCGATTGGTGCATCAAAGTCCCACAAAGGCACGTAACGCGCGCAGGATACACAGACAGGTGATGTCTCCAGACGATACACGAAATATTCTGCGAGTCCACAGGCTGCCTCTAGAAACCTGGAATCTCTTGTCCACATGTACGTCTCAGCATATCCGAGTATACCCCATGCCTGGCCACGACTCCACGTCGAATCGTGCTCGTATCCTTGTGCCGTCATTCGTTGCTTCAGTTCTCCTGTTCTTGGATCAATGTTTGCGACGTGGCAAGTCGAATACCATTGACCTCTGTAGGCGTCTTTCGATGCGGATAGCATAAACTCGGGTCGCAAATGGCTGTGCAAAAGTGTGGCAGCGTGGGTAGTGGCAATTTCCGCAAGTTTGGAGTCTTGCGCATGATGTGCCGCATAATACAGCAGATCGAGATTGCACATGCTGTCGATGATAACGATCATGTTCTGATCTTGGTCGATGATCTCTATATTCTTCTTCTTCAGCAAGTCCCAGCTTCGGATAGCACCAGCTGTAGGAACATATCGCGTCGCCAGACTATGCGCAGCCTTGACGATAGAATCCAGACTCTGCTGGTTTCCGAACAGTTCCCAGTCAGCGCGGAGTGCTGGCATGACAATGAAACCGATATCATGGGTATCGGTTCGCTCGTCCATACCTCGAACGGGCTCGACCCAGGTGCGACATAAGACAGTGAGTTGATTTCGAAGATGTTTCAGATCAACCGAACTAGAGAGATGCATACGCTGAGGGTACTTGATGAGCCTCTCCAACATGTTGTACATAGTCCCGGGGAAGAAGCCACAAGTCCAAAAGTCAGCTTCACGTAAGCTATAACTACCATCGTGGTTGTCCTGCTGTGGGACAATCTCTGGAAATGCGGTAGGAAGGAAGGGCAAAGCAGCCTGTGCGGTCCGAAGGACTTTGGCCATGATGTTTTCAGTGAACAGCTCCGGTACGAGATCGGCTATCGCAGTGCTTGAGGCGAAGTGATGGGTTGCGCAGTCCAAGTTCCCGCTTTCTGATGGCGGTGCACTGCTGCTGGGTGTCGTCGTGTCATGCTCAGATGAGTCTTCCTCAATGCTGCTTCCTAAGGACCGTACGCTCGCTGCTGGGATAGCTTCCTCCGTGAGAGCGGAGCCAAGATTCTCGGAAACATCGTATTGAGTTCGTTCTGGTGCTGGCTTAAGTACCAAGAGATCGTCTTCTGGCTTCACGTCTCCCGCTGGTTTGGAAGGCGCTTGCGATGAATCGTCTTGTGGTTCGACGAGGTTCGTCACGAGTGGATCCATGTGATCGGTTTAACGTAGCGTGATTTCTTCGTTGCTGGCACTCCAAAGTCAGGGAGGATGCTGAATTCTCGCAATAGGGATGGCGTTTGCTACGCGCGGTCGTCTGTAACGGGAGAGAATCGAATTGAAGTTAGAACGATCATCCCATGAAAGGGATGCGGCTGCTATGTACATAGCCATGGCGGAATTCAGGTGATGTGGTTTCGGGGTATGGGAACGCGAACTGCCAATGCTCCGAGATGTGTGTCTTGTGTGAGATGGAACGATTCTAATGTTCGCGATAGCCCGAAGCCCGCTGCCAAGGATGCGAAACGACGCCAACAACAGCCCCACACGCTCGTGATTGGGTTTCCACCGAATGCGTACTGCGGCCCTTACCCCATGGGAAAGCGCCACAACCCGCGGGGTATGCAGCAGCAAGGAACTTTGACCGACACGACTGGTAAAGGATAGGAAATCAGAATGGCGAGGACTTGGTATCCGCTCAGTGTTCATGGCAGAGCTCATAATACTTAAACTCGGGTGGAGAATACTTTGTTGTGAAGAACCTCCAACCAAGCAGCACTTCTGGCGCTTGCATCATACCACCGCACCAAAGTTCTTTCTTGAAGACAGAGTACGACAATGCAGCCTTCTCAAGATGATATCAAGGTCATGACGCCCGACGGCGAACGCAACGTCGTCATGGTCAATGGCAAAGAAGTTGTCGTAAGCTCCGCCACCGAGAAGCCCAACCGCTCTTTCTGGGTTGCTTGGATGTACATCTTCGATGTGAGTTTTGTAGGCGTACATGGTTATGGCACTTACTCATAGTGGATAGTGGTATCCGAGTCATTACTCTCCCGAAGAAAAACGACTAGTACGCAAGCTCGACTGCGTCTTGCTTACTTTGTGCTGCCTTTGCTTCTACATAAAGTGGCTGGATCAAAACGCACTCAATACTGCGTATTGGTCTGGCATGCGGGAAGAGTTGGCGATAAAGGGCAATGAGTATTCGCTCTTCGGAACTTTGTGAGCATCACCAAAAAGCCTTACCATGAAACAATGTCTCATATCTCCCAGCTACAATATCGGTTACATGATCTTCGAAATACCGAGCATGATGATCATCTCACGTCCAAAGCTGGCTCGGTATTACGTCCCGACAATGGAATGCGCCTGGTCTATCTTGACTTTCACGCAGTCCCGCTTGAGTAGCGTACCGCAGATTTACGGGCTTCGCTTCCTTCTTGGTGTCCTAGAAACTCCTGCTTCGACTGGCTCGATCTATCTTCTCACATCCTGGTACCGCGCTGATGAGGTGTTCAAGCGTGCCGGCGTTTGGTATGTTTCAAGTAATGCTGGCGCTATGTTCAGCGGCTATCTACAAGCCGCTGCCCACAAGAACCTCGACGGAATCCATGGGATGTCGGGATGGCGCTGGTAAGTTATGGCTGAACGCAATGCATGCGAAACATACACTGACTTCATATGTTCACATCTGTAGGTTGTTTATTATCGATGGATCCATCTCTTTGCCCATTGGTCTCGCCGGCTTCTTCCTATACCCTGGACTTCCCACTAGTCCAAAGGTTTGGTGGCTGACAGAAGACGAGAGAAAACTCGCCGTCGCGCGCATGCAGAGCCAGGGTACAAAGCAGAGCGGCAAGATCGGCAAACGTATGCTCAAACGCGTATTTACTCACTGGCACTTCTATGTCGCGGTCTTGACATACGTCTTCTTCCAATGTACGAGCTACGTTGGTGGTCAGATGCAAGCTTGGCTCAAGAAGGAAGCCGATCTGAACGGTACCTACACCATCGAAGAGATCAACCTCATCCCCACCGGAGTTCAAGGCCTGGCCATCGTTTGTGGCATTTTAATCACTAGTTTGGTGATGATTTATCCGATGTGGATCGTTTTTTCCGTAGTCACGGCAATTTTGCTTTTCGCAAACGTGTGCTTGCGAGTGTGGTACATCCCACTTGGCCTTCATTGTGAGTAACGTCATTTCCAACGCGTACGAAGATCCAGCTAACATCCCTGCAGTTACTTGCTATTACCTGCTTGGCCTGACGTCTTGCGTCACCCCCATCCTGTTTCCGTGGGTAAATATGATAATGAAGGATGACAACGAAGCACGAAGTTTCACCACTGGTGCAATGATGACCATCGGCTGGGCCTTCTTCTCCTTCTATCCGATTACTGTATTTCCCATCCTGGAAGCGCCGCAATGGACTAAGGGCTATACTGTCAACATCGTATTCATCATTTGCTACTGGATTCTCTTTATGGTTGGACAATACCTCTGGCGCCGTGAAGAGAAGACTAAGAAGTTTGACATCAACAGGCAAGAGGACGAAGATGTTCTTAATAAACCAGAAGCAGTTCACATCGAGGTTGCAGATGACAAGACCATGAAGGAAGGTAGACCTTGAGTTCCGGAGGATATCAACATTCACACTATTATGGATATATGGATCATCGGAATGATCATGTTTGTCTCGGGGTTAAAATTTCGGTTGATACATTCTGAACGGCTTGGCGATCTCGGGCTATCTTCGCGATATGTCTGTCCGAAGCGAGGAGCTGCTGGATGATAAAGCACCTCGACGCCTCTTAGAAAGAAATCATGAAATTCTGTTCCTGTGATCATTAAATGCCCGCAACCTGGCCCTACGCAGTCATTGCAACAATATGCCGCCTCTTCCTGGCTTCTCTGATAATCAATTTCGCACGAGAGACGACTTCATACGTGCAGCTTCCGCACTCATCAGCCCTTTAGGCCAATACAGGTCACCCGGTCACGCACGAATAAGAATCGCGACATGCACAGGTGCTGGATTCAGCGAGACGGCAGCTCAGCTAGAGGGCTTCGCGCGGCCGCTTTGGGCTGTTGCCATCCTATTCCAGCTCAAGCAACAAGGCAACCAGAGCACGAGCGATCCCTTAGAAGGTGCATTAGAACCCTGGGTGACTGGCATCCGAGCTGGAACCGACCCGCAGAGTCCGGAATACTGGGGCGATTTATCTGACTTTGACCAGCGCATGGTGGAGATGGAGTCCATCGCTTTTGCCCTGCTTGCAAATCCCACTGTGTTCTCTTTCGACAGTGAGCCAACCACTCAAGCCAATCTCATTTCATGGCTTCGGCAGATCAATGAGCATAAGATGCCTGAAACAAATTGGCTGTGGTTTCGGGTATTGGTTAATATTGCGCTAGTGAAGACGCTTAATGTCCCCTTGCTTGAGGTGCAAGCGCACATCGATAAGAGCTTGGAAAAGCTGGACACATTCGATATCGGCGAGGGGTGGTCTTCGGATGGTCTCTGGTGCGAACAAAGAAAACAAGCCGATTACTACAGCGGGAGCTTTGCGATACAGTTTGCGCAACTCCTCTACATTCGTTTTGCCCCGGAATACGATCCAGCTCGTACTTTCAAGTACATAGAGCAAGCGCGTGAGTTTGGGAAGGAATATTGGAGGTACTTCGACCCCCAAGGTGCAGCAATCCCGTTTGGGCGAAGTCTAACGTATCGCTTCGCGTTCGCTGCCTTCTGGGCAGCCGTCGTATTCGCTGGCGTTGAGCTACCAGCTCCAATTGAGGAGATGGGATCGGTGAAAGGCCTGTTGCTCAGGCACTTGCGGTGGTGGGCGAAACAGCCACACATTTTCAACACTGATGGGACGCCTAATATCGGATTTGCGTATCCGAACATGTACCTTGCTGAAGATTACAACTCGCCGCAATCAGTGTATTGGTGTCTGAAAAGCTTCTTGGTTCTCGGCCTGAATGACACGGATGCATTCTGGCAGGCAGAAGAACTTGGTCATCCAAGGATTAGGGAAGAAATTATGCGACTCGACAATGAAGTTGGAGATGTCAAAGTTCTCTGGCCTCCACGCCAAATACTGTGCAACACCCAAGAGCACACATTTTTGCTTTCTTCGGAGCAGTCGACCACTAAACGGTTCAAGGCTCGCGAAGCCAAGTATGGTAAACTTGCTTACTCTTCTGCTTTTGGCTTCAGCGTACCATGCGGTCCGTCACTAGAGCAGGTAGCACCAGATTCGACGTTGCTAGTTTCACTGGGGCTCGAGGAAGACGACTGGAAGGTAAGGTGGAGCCCTTACGATGTCGAAACTGGAGAGGTGTACATGAAAGAGTGCGGCGAGACGGTACCGATCATGATGAGTCGCTGGAAGCCATGGATAAGGCTTGATGTGGTCATCGAAACACTTCTCATGCCGCCCATGCGAAGATGGCCCGGGTGGAGTGTGAGGGTGCACCACGTGAAGTGCACGACGCACCTCTCGATGAGGGAAAGGCTGCAAATCGTGGAAGGGGGCTTCGCAGCAAGTGCGCAAGCGGCCGATAGTGTTTCTATTTTCGAAGAGCCGTGTGCACCCTTGCCTACTAGAGCCGAGCACATTGAGAAGACGTTCGGGTGGTGGAGTAACCGTGATAGCGCTTTCATACTCTCAGAGTCTGGCGCGAGCGGTATTGTCAATTTGACGGATCCTAGTTTGCGCGACGCATCAGCGAACGTGCTTGTTTCCAGTAGGGCGACTGTTATTCGTGCAGACCCTAACACGTAAGTCTTGCTTCTCTTTCAGGTGGACCCAGGTGATACGGAGGCCTCCCCGCAGCAGATGCATTGAGTCGTATCGCGATAGCTGACTCCACATCCGCACAGGAATCTCATCGCGCAACGCACCCTTATACCAATTGTGCAACACGAAGTGAGCGCAGAAGGAGAACACTTTCAGTCTGATTTTGTCACAGGTGTATTCGCGATTGACGCGGCGGCGAATGTAAGCGTGCAAGATGTGTGGCGGATGTGGCAAGACCGACCCTCTCGTGAGGTTGTCCAATGGTGCGAACCGAAGTGGAAAGACTATAGAGGCGTCCGACAAACTACCTAGGTAGTATTCGACTTTTGAAAAATGTGCATGTAAGCGACGTTTGCGTCCAGATAGAAAGAAATGAAGTTGAGAGATCGATCGCCCAGGGACGAGGAGGAGTGTGTGACATTTCCTTAATCATGTAAGCGCTTCCAGAGAACGTTCTATAGACGGAAACGCAGTAGCAAAAACCTTTCAGGATCATTGCCTCAACTGTACAGATAAACTGGGGTACCAAGTCTATGTAAGCAAAGTTAGCTCGTCAAGTATCATGTCTCAAGGTAGCTACAAAGTTGTGATCTTGAGTCGTAGAGTTGGTAAGAGTCCTCTATCTGGCCACCAAGGTATTAATTATGTTAGGATGCCGTAGACAGCGAGACTACGCACGTTGAATGGAGAAAGGTCAACCATTACAGCTATGCTTCACTCGTAGCAGCTCTTAGTGGAATCGATAGCTTACTGTCTTTTGTAGCAACCGCTTACAAGAAGGCGGCTTTCGAGTTGAAAACAGTACTGATTCAAGCAGCTATCGAAGCGGGCGTATGAAGATTTGCCACGAAGATTTGCCCCGTCTGAATGGTCGTCGTGAGTTTTGCTCTATATCAAGCTGAGATCTTACAATACCTAAGTACTAACATACCATCGCGAAGGCGCTCAGAAAGTGGCATTGCTCACTACGCATACAAGGATGAAACGCCCAAGTACTTCGAAGCCATAAAAAAAGAGAAAGATGTAGGCAGCTAATATGGGTGTTTGTGACGTGTGGAAAGCTGACGATATAGCAAATTGAGTAATCCCTCTTCCAACCCGGCTTCTTCACTGGATACTTTGCAGTACCAAACGCAACAGGCGGGCACCTTCAGAGCTTCAAGATGCTTGCTGACTTTGAGTATCGCCGGGCCATCATAGTGAAGGGATCGGAGGGTTCACCACTCACACTCACGACGGTCGGAGATATGGCTAAGGTCGTGGCTCTTGCACTGGATTACAAGGGCAGGTCTCCCACAACTGGAGGTATGCGGGGAACACAGACAACAATCTCCGGATTTTTGAGCCTTGCCGAAGGCATTCGAGGTAAATCGCTACTGAGCCTTTTGTTGGTAATGCTAAAAGACCATCAGGTCCCTGCCAGATTGAATGACTGGTCCCAGAAGACGTGAATAAGGGGGAGCTGAAGGCGTCATGGTATCCCATTATTGGACATGAAGCCCTTCCAGATCAGTACAAGGAGCTCTTCTCGAAAAATGTAACGATGGAGTATGTCAAATCTCTGGCCGCTGGTGGTTGGTCTACCAGCCAAGAATGGAATAGTTTGCTGCCTGATCACAAATTTATCTCGGCAGAGGAATATTTGAGCAAAGTTTTGAAAGCCACTTGAAATCATATAAATACAGTTCGCTTCTCTGCACAATGATTCGGGTGATTGAGACGTGACTGGGGCTAGCCCCAAAACTCTGTAGGAATTACGATTCTGAGACGCCATCAAGATGTCTTCTGATACCACACCTATTATCTTCCCCGTCTATGGTATCAGTCCGCAAAGCTTTTCTGTCATCACAAACCTCTTTCCTAACATCATTGCAAGGTCCTCGCAAGCGGTGTCGCTTCCGCTCGCGCAATAAAACTTGCTACCCTCCTCATCGTCTCTTTCATATAGGGCACATTCACAAATAAGAGTATGCTGGGGGTTAGCTATTCCGGATGTGATGATGCTTGCGATTACATCGCTACCTTGAATAGTGACGAGAAAGTAGAAAGGCAATAAGCTGTGCGCTAATGTAAGCTCGCTTCAGAGAGCGGCCTGGGCATCAAGCGGTAACGCATGGTATACCCTCGCGAAAAGCACACTGAGCAATAGGCATTTTCTCTGCTGTCAGAACCAACTTATCTCGTTTAAGTTTCTGGGGTACAGCACCACATACAAAGGTACAGGGAAATATGCGTCAAAGGTAGCATGCGCTGGTCATACTTAGATATTCTCGAAGAACTAGTCATAAGCGGCCATCCGCTCAAAGTATTCTTGAACAGAGTTAGAAGCCCTGATCAGGTTGAAACCCATGATTTTGCATCGACCCCGGCGCCTCCAGTGGTCCATCTAGAGCCTTCGCCTCCCACGAATCAACACCATACTCCTTATCCAAGCCCCCTATGAACTTCTTCGCTGTGTCGCCTACCAGGCACGACCGCTCAATATTCTGCATACCACCAATCCTGGACTCCGGGATCCGCACGCTGCCTTTCACCCACTCGTAGCTCACGCCATCCGCGCTCTCCTTCTGTTTGCGCTCGAAACCCTTGAGGGGTACGGGCTGATAATCATTGCCTAGTTGCCGCATTCTGTACCACACAGCGGGATGGATCTCCTCTTCCGTTTCTCCTGTCACGCCTCGAGGAGCGTTCTTGTCGCGGTATTCGCCAGGTGTACGGTACTTTGAGCCGGCTTTCTTCATATTTTCGAATTCGTCGACGAAAGGTCCCGTCGCCCAGTCTTGCAGAGCTTCGGTCGCGAGCACTTTGAAACGCGTCTTATTGCCGTCGTTCCACGGGTCATTTTTGTCTTTGGCAAGCATGTTGTTGACCTTTTTGACCAGCCAGTTGTTTTTGTACTTAGCGTGATCGTCAAGGTGACTCTGGATGAAGGGTTGCAAAAGGAGGAAGCGATCTTGGTTCCAGAGGTTCATGGCGTTCAATTCGAAGGCGAGATGCTCTTTGAGTTGTTCGACCATCCAAGCGAGCGTGATCGTGGAGATTTCTATGTGGCAGTTGATGAGTCCCCTGATATAATAGAAGGTACTTGGTTCAACTCACGCTCAAAGTCACTTAGTTTGTCTTTGAAGAGATCATTACTTCCCCCACCAATATTGATGTGGTGGCCAGGGAACCAGACTTGCTTAAGCTTTGAATTGCTGCCTTTGAGCTCTTCGTGCATCTCAGCGTCAACGAGGTTCTCCCAAGCTGTCTGAATCTCGAATTCAGGAGTGCCATCCGTGTCGCGAAGCTGGTTTAGTTTCTCTTTCAGCTCAAATACTGGCTTATGAGTTCTTGCTGTGCCGTCACCTGGATAGAGATGCCACATTGTGGTATCGAAGGGCTTCCTGTGCTCGTCCAGGGCCATCGCATGGTACGCGTGTTTGATGTCTGCGAACTGAAATCAGTATACTCAATCTCTGCAAGTCAATGTATGTATAGAACTTACAAGGGCTGAGCGCGACATTGTGGAAGCCGAACTCCTCGGCGGGAATTTTGTGAGCCAGGAAATTAATAGTATACCTGAACAAGCCTTCTACGTCCGGGACACCGAGAGAGCCAACGGTATCGAAGACACCAACGGCTTCAACCCACCGAGTTGACTCTGGTGCTGCACCATGAGGTCGTTTCTTCCAAAGGTATGGCGATTGTCTAAATCCTTCGGGAAGGTCTTTCTGAGCTGTGTCGAAGAGGCGCGCGCCGCTGACCCACTCGCGCCATGCCTTTGACTTCCTGAACATGTTACTGTCCTTGTACTGCTGATAGGTGCGGTACAGTTCCGGAAAGTCCCTACACCCAATGGTAAGTCGGTGAGCACTCTCTTGTACGACGAAACATGAGGGACAGAGAGTAAAAAACCCAAATGAGCGATGAACGTACTGCATATCTCTCGGCTTCACAATACCAATGTCTGTGACTAACCCAGCAACAGCACGCGCCGTATAGGCGCCACGTGAGAAGCCGAAGCAGAAAATCTGATCACCGGGATTGTAGTTCAATACAATGAAGTTGTACGCCTCAATGACATTGCCCACAAAGCCAGAGCCCGTCATGCCTTCTCGAGCGGCTTCCATGAAGCTTGCACCAGTACCAATGCCGGCATCGTAGTAAACAAGCTGCTGCCATTGCTCACCCTTGGTATCTTTGCCAACCTTAAGGAGGTATCGTGCGATCCGGGTTATATTTGACGGAACATTGTCGACGTTGGTAACGGACGATTGCCATGTGCCATCGCAGCAAATGACAATGCGTTTTGGAGCAGGTTTCAAGGTCGTGTCTTGGAAGCCATTCGGCCTGAAATCTTGATCAAAACTCATGCTGTAAACAAGATCTAGGTGAGGAATGTCGAAATCTACGAATTGTTTCCTCGACCTATTACTTATACTTCTGAGAGCTGCATTCACCTAGGCCCTTCGCTCACTTTATCTGAAATGGGAATCTGTGGCGCTCGTAAAGAGATACAGTAGCATCTTCTCACCGCTTTGATGCTAGCCAATTAGCGACGCCTCTATCGAACGCTAGACCATTTGAATGGTTCAGCCAGCCATACAAAGGCAGATGACAGCGGTATTGGGCCAGAGCAAATAGGCTGATGCATTGTTTTTCAGCTGAGCTTTGATGCGCCCTGCAAGGGACGATTCTAGACGGGCCGCCGATCTACGGCTGCAGTGCGGCAGTGCCCGTGCACTACGGGGTGGGTGCGCGTAACGAACTAGTTCACGTAGCGAGCCGCGTTAGCAAGTAGAAAGCTATGTGTCTAAGGTTCGTACGTTAGTAAGAAAGAAAAGAAGAATATAACGTAACGTATAATTAATTAAGTAGAAAGAGAACTTAATAAAAAGTATACTAAGTAAAACTCTTAAGCTTTATTATATAGTAAATTTTATACTTATTTAGAGTCTAAAAGCTATAAAAGTTAATAAACTTACTAGTAGTAAGATATAGATAGAACGCTACTTAGTTATAGTATAGTATACTAAAGTAGAAGTATATTTTTAGAAACTCTTTTAAGCTTCTTATATATACTAATATAAATATAATATTATATTCTTTTTAAATAAAAGCTTTTTATTAAATTTATTTACTTTTTTAAAGTAGCTCTTTAAGCTTATATAATACTTATAGCTTTTACTATAATTAATAAAGCTTTTTTAAAGTAAAGATATAGCTATATATAGTAAACTTAAGTATCTAAAAATCTACTTATACTAAAAATAATATATAAATAGTAAAAGTTATATATATAAATACTAGTATACTTCTATCTTATAAGTAGATATTTATACTAGTTATAATAAAGCTACTACCTTTTAATTATAAAAAGTATAAAATATATTAATATTTATAAGTTATATATATTTTATAAAAAAAATATACTTTTTAAGCTTTAGTAGTAGAGATTAGAGCTCTTTTATAGTATAATATACTATAGTATAATATTATTAAATAAAATTTTATTATAGTATTAATAGAAAGTTAAAAAGCTAAAATTAAATACTCTTATAAAAAGTATAGTAGTATACTAAGTAATAAGTATTTTCTCTACTATTAGAATTCTAGCTATACCTTATATTAGATAATAGTAAGGGTTTATAGACTTTAAACGCGTAAGTAGTTATATTAGAATATTATAACTATAACTACTAATATCTTAAGAAGGAATAGAGGCTAAAGCCTTTAGTGCGTCGTTACGTAGCTACAGTAATATCTAGGCCCTTGGCTGTTATGTAACTTTTCTAGTAGTCTGTAAGAATAATAAAACTCTCTTTTTATTTTCGTATAAGAGATAACTAGAGCATTGAGTGATCTGCAAAAATCTGCGCAATTTGTGGGCGGTGCCTCTTCTCATGGCAAGCTCATTCGGAGGACATACTGCGAAGTATCTGATCAGGCAACATCGTGACGGTGGACGAGCCAAGTGGCATGTGTTTGCATACAAGCATAAGCTTTTCCTCATCACGGGCAAAAACCAATCTCGTAACCCGGATATATGCAAGCTAAGCAGCCTCCACGTCAGTGGCTCTTACCGCACTTTCTTCCACCTCCATCATACTCCGTCTCGCAAGATATACTCACGCTGATTATCTAGTGCAGTCTGGTAAGAAAAGTAGAGACAAGGCAATAATAGTGCACGAAAGATTTATAATTAAGGTTTTGTATTACTGATATAGGGTGGTGGTATCTCCTGCATAATGTTGTGTCATGCAGAAGTGTTCACTACCATCTACGGCTGCGCCGGTGTTGAACCGACTGAAGCCATCTTATGTACCAACTGTACTAGAAAGATGAAGTCCAACAGCCTGATCCGTACCGTGCATGTTCGCTTAACCAGTGCACTGGTAGTCGAAGTTCATGCGCGAAGCCTCCGTGTCCTTAGGAACCCAAATAGTAACCCGACGTCCGTCTGACTCGAGAGTACCTTCATACTGGTCGAAGAAGGGGCGCCAGTAGACCTGACCGGTTCTACCGCCGCAGTCAATGTTGATAGTAACAGAGGTGCTGCTGGTCTGGGATGTCGAATAGCCAGCAGAAACGCCAATCTCGGCGCTGACTGCATCCCATGCACTTGCACCTAGGCTAGCACTTGCCGAGATGGAAAACGTCTGTGTCTTCGACTCGGAGACGGTGTATGAGCCACCTCCGGGGACTTGGGCTACGAAGACCGCGCTTCCTGGCTTGTATACGTTGTAGGACGTGATGACGTCTGAGAACCTGTCCGCTTGCTGCATAGTATACTTAGCTTTTGGAGAACCCGTAAGGGAGCTGTTGTACATACCCGGTTCTTCAATCCGTTGGCTTCAGACACCGCGGCGGGGCTATCGATCTCCGCCATCAGAGTTTGAAGCTCAGCCTTGTTCTCTTCGACAGTGATCTCTTTGTAGCTGGTTGCTGTGGCTGTAGACATGAGGCGCCAATTTGTGTTCAGCCTAATGGCGACCTCAGTCCAATCTGCGGGTGGAGCTGGCGACTGGTAACCGCCCGTGGACTCGTCGCAGCCGTCTTCAATGGCTCGGGCCCTGGATCCCCAGCTGGAAGCAGAATCACAGACTTCGTAATTCTCATTGTTGCAGAATGAGATACGGCAGTTTCCCTGTGTCCAGATACGGCATTCTCTTGGGATGACACAGACACTCATATCCGGGTTGCTGCCCTCGCCGAAATAGGCGTTGCCATTCATGATATTGCGACCTATTTATCGGAGAAGAAAACTTCAGTCTTGCTTGACAATGGTAAAGAGGTTGGAAGCAAGAGATGTCGGAGAACTCACAGTCACCCCAGTTGGGCATCAGTCTTTTTTCGCAAAAGATGCCACCGGTTTGAGTCCCGTCCCAGTCCTCTTGACGAGGAACAAGAGGGGAGGAAGCTCCCATAGCCGCAAGCATCGGTAAGAGAGTGAAAACGTAGTGCATCATGTCGATGATGGAATTTGGAGCTCGAGGATGAACCAGGTGATCTGAGAAGATGATGTTTGGCTGTGATGATGGAAACGAGAGCAGAAGCACACCTCTTTATACGTCTTTGCTCTCCCTTTTCCTCATGGTTTCCGTGTATCCAGCGTCATGGTTGGCCTTACTATGCACGATATCTACTATCGAACATGGGATATGGTATGCCTTGAACGAGAACCGCAGTTCTGAGCTCTACCGGTTGGTCCCCTCGCACACTGTTGTTGATGTGCATACCTCTGGGGGCCAGAAGTTATGCGCTACCGAGAGTATACGATACTTGGCTGCTGTCATCCAGTGTCTTAGAATGATTCTCTAAGATTAGTAGAGCTCCTTGCCAGGCAAAAGCATCCGAGTCTCCCGGTGCTGATAGAGTTGGAGGAGTGGAGAAGGGGCTGAAATGACGATCTCAGGTGTTAGGATCGCAGAACGATATCACGGTCCCAGTGACGTCTCGTGGTGCCTTGCTCTTCTAGGACTTCAATGCCTTCCATGTGTACGTCTTGCGAACTTGTGAGAGAAAACAGACGTAACCACTCTAATGCTTCACATCATTTCATGTGGTCTCAGAAAGGTCTTGACAAGACTCAGACAACTTCCTGTTTCAGCTTCACCACACGCTCGTCGAGACAACAGGCGATAGGGACATGCATCGGCTAACACGGCGCGGGAGTAAAATCCTCACGTTTCTCTTCCTAATGCTTTTTCTGGTCGAATGGTTCGTGAAGGAAACGGCATGTCCGACGTACGTGCGTAGGCAAGGTTTCGAGCCTCGAGGCGAAGAAGAGGTACCAAGACGACCGCCAAGCGCCAAGCATTCCGATCACCCCACTGCAACCACGACTGTACATTCCTTCTGAGTTGTTTCCCCACAGTATCTTGCTGAATGTAACATGATGACATGCGATTGTAGTCAATACGATGCAACCTGTTCCCGTTAGTTTGACAGTATTTACGCCCTGCAGGTGCGACGGAGGCGAATTACTACTGCATCTGCTCTAGCCCATACTGACTTGGATATCGGAGTATGAAAACTATCCGATTATCCGTCTTGACAGACAAGGCAACCTCTCACCTATCCCCAAAGCATTCTCAACAGCTATTCTGGCGGGGGGCCTGTCTGCGGTGCGAGCCGCACACCCGTCATTGCAGGTACCTTGATGTCCTCCGCGCTTGGCAAACTCCGCTGAAGGATTACTACGTCATGGCAGACCCACTGTGAGGCTGACTTATACAACAGTGTAGAGGCAGCTTGAACCTACATCAGAATACACTTGGTGCTTGACACTCGCACCCATTCCGGTCATGCTGAACATGATGGCCAATCTTGTCCTGCTACTTGCAGCGCTCCTTCTCACCTCGTGTTACGCGCAAAGCCTGAACGACACATCTTTGGAAGGCTGCCAGGGTCCCATCACCACTATCGCCAGGGGCAGCCAGTACTTCAACTCGACTGGGACCGTCCGCCTAGCCTCAAACCCCACACACGATGATGACTGGTATGTCAGCGTCACTATAACCGATAGACGCAATCCCCGTCAGATCTATGGCCCTAGCATGCCCTGGCAAGAGAGAGAAGCATTTCTTAGTGTTCCTGATTCTCTCGTTGGAAGTCAGGAAGGCAATCAGTCGGAGTACTGCGTCTACGAACTCCCGGGACAAGACGCCTCCTCGCAAGAAGAAGCTGGGAACTGCAGCGGCGTGCTGAGCGACGACTGCATTGACGCCTTGATGAAGAACACGCCGATCATGTCAGATGGCCAATGTCATAAGCCAGAGAATGTCGAAGACGCCTGTGGGATGGTTGCGTCGCAGCCAGTAGGTCAGTTTACCCCAATCTTACTTAGCAGCGACAGCATCTTTATGACCTTCTGGCCTGTTCATGCGTCGAACTTGTACTGATGTCGTGGAAAGGTACACCATCAAACTTCAACAGTACCGAGTGTAGTTTGTCCGGAATGCCGCATATCGATCTACCGGATAATTACCGCACCTACTACGCCCACCATGTGCCTGTATCAGAAGGCGGAGGTGGTTACGAGAATTTTGACCTTTATGATAGGCATGTTCGCGAAGCAGTGCCCATGGTATTCACCATCAAGTCTCCAGGTGGCACCATCGCCCACAAGGCCATTTGTGTAGTACCCAACAAGGTCGTAGAGGGAAGCCGTGTTCCAGAATCTGCTGCTACTCAACTAGCCTCCGGAAACTCACTGGCAGCAACATTGGTTGTCATGGCACTTGTATCTGTTTTCTCCATAGCCTGATAGAGGTTTGTGTTTCCGTGTCGTTTAATTGCGACTCACAATCTAGACATTCACACCCGGTGACTTGTACAATTAGCGCTGTCGTAGTAGTGCCCACAGAAATGTCATCTTAGCTAAGCATTTAGCATTAATCGAAAGTATGATGGGGTGACTTGTAATGTGTAAACGCGACGAAGCTTGGAATGACATGTTCACATGAGACGTGCGAGATTACGGCTAGGGTGGTACCTCAAGAAAAGGCAAAATGATAGACCTTCCGTTGCATCCCAAATACTAGACATAGCGACTGAAGATGGGACCCGCGTCTCGCTACACCCGATGGTAGTCTGTATATTAGAAGGAATACGCGATAACGATCGTCAAATCAGCAGAAGCAAAAGCTAAGATTATGTTATAAGAGTTTAAGCTAGAAGACACTTAAAAAGTATTAAAAATATTATAATAGAAGTTAATAGAAGTACTAATACTATTATAATTTAATTTAACTAAGCTAGTAATAATACTAACTAATACAACTAACTTTACTATAGTATTTATTTTTATTAAACTTAGGAATATTAATATTTTAAAAGATAAAACTAAAAAATAGTACTTTTCTAGAGTAAGAGCTTTACTAGCTTATTACTATAGTAGTATACTAATATTATATAAAGTTAAGCTATACTTCTTTTAACTTAGTCTATAGTAAAGTAAAGTAAACTAATATAGTAGTTTATAGAGTATTGTTATATAGAGTTAAGCTATACTTCTCTAGGCTTAGTCTGTACTAAGGCGAGGTAAATTTAAGCAGTAGTCTGTAAAGTATTATATAGAAGATTAAGTAGAAAAGAGTTATTATTATTAACTAAAAGGTAATAATACTAATTCTATAATTAATAGAATAACTAGTTAATAATCTATATAAGAGATAAACTATTTAAGTTAACTATAATAAGTATAATAATAAAATTTATTTATTTTATATACTTATTAAAATCTATTTCTACTATTTTAGCTATTTTAAGTATAAAAGATATTTATAATAGCTTTACTATTTTAAGTAGTTCTACTATTCTAAATAGTTAGCTTTAGTAAGATATTAGTTTTATAATTAGTACTTTATATTAATTATTACTTTTTAACGTAGACGTTAGTTAGCGCTCTTTACTAATTCCTTTATTAAGAGTAGAGTTCTTTTTATTACTTATAATATTATCTTCTCTTTTAGGCGTATTATCTTAATACTCTAGATTATTATTTTCTTATACTATATTTTAGTAAGTAGGTTATATATAAGGCTTTTATAAGTCTATTATATTATAACTATTTTTTTTTTACTTTACCTTCTTAACTATATCTAAGGTTCTATCTTTTTACTATTCTTATCTTTAGAGTTTAACTTTTAAATATTACGCCTATACTAATTATATAAAAAAGTAAAGTTTAGAAATAATTTTTTATTATAAACGCTATAAAGAGAAAAACTTTTATTACTTTATAAATACTATAATAAGTTACTATACTAGCTATATTTTAGTAAAGACTAAATATAGTCTATTTATATTTAAAGAAGAGTAAAAAAAAGTTTAGTAGAAAAAATAAAAGAAACGTCTTAAAGTTACGTATTTAAAAGCTTAGCTAGTCTAGAGTAAACTTAAGCTTCTAAAGGCTAAAGCGTAAAAGTAGTTATTTACTAATTAAGATCTTACTATTTTAAATTTTTAGAATTATATAAAAAAGTAAGCTAAAGAGAATTCTACTCTAAGTATAAACTTTCTAGTAACTAAACTATTACTACTTAGATTATTAACTAACTTAGGCTAGTTATAAGCTAACGCTTCTTTTAATCTTTTTTTAATTATTTTTTTTCTTTTAAGAACTTAGTCTTTACTTTTTTAAATATTTCTAGTAGTACTTAAGTATCTATAACTTATAGTTTATTAAATTTTCTTTTAGTTTTTAAGTATTCTAGCTTTTTAGCTATTTTTACTACTTAACTAAGTATTTCTACTAATAACTAATTTTTTATAGATTCTTAATTTCTTTAACTTTATACTTATTATCTTTAAGCTCTATATTTATTACTAGCTTAGTCTTTAGAAGTACTAGTTCTAGAAGTTTCTTATAAAAGATAGAGTAGATATATATATCTAGTAGTAGTTAGAGTTTATAGTTTACTATACTTATTTCTTCTAGAATTTTAAAAGGTCTTACTTAGAAGTTATCTAGTTTCTTATATAGTTATTTAGTTTTTAAGTTCTATTATAATAAAAAAACTTTATCTTCTCTCTTAAAAGTTAGTCTTTTAATTTTTTACTTATTTACTACTTTAGCTAATATAAGGTTCTTATAAGTAATATTTTTTCTTAATTCTTTATATAGCTCTTATATTAAGTAAGCTTTATTATTTATATTTACTATAATACTTTCTATATTCTTTAGATCTTAATAAGTAGTTAGCTTATATCTATAGGTTGCGTAGTATAATAAGTACTTTATTATTACTAACTTAGTACTGTTATAAGCTAATTATACTATTAATAAGAGTTTAACCTAGTTATCTTATAGCTTATTAGCGTATATCTTTAGATACTATTTTAGTATCTAGTTTATTCTTTCTATCTAGCTGTCTATTTTAGGGTAAAAGCTAGTTAATAGCTTCTTTTTTATACTTAATTTTACTAGAAATATATTTTAATATTTAGATATAAATAGCTTATTATAATTAGTAATAAATTCTTTAAGTATTCTATACTTTAATATTAAAGCTTTACTAACCTTATATATATATTTTTCTATAGTAATAGTCTCTTCTATAGATATAAATTTTACTTCTTTTATATATTAGTATATAATAATAAGAATTATATTATATAATCTTCTAAATTCTAGTTCTAATAATTTTAAGAGCTTTACTATAAAGTCTATTATTACGCTACTCTATAGTCTTATTAGTAGCTATAAGAGTTATAATAGGCTATAAAGTTTATATCTCTTTAGCTTATTTTAATAATATACTAAATAGTTACTTAAAATATTCTATACCTTTACTTATAGGTATAGTATTATAAATACTTTAGCTAGTTATCTAACTATTTCTTTAATTACTATATACCTAAACTTTAGAAATTTATATAGTTCTTAGATAAGACTTAATTTTATATATAAAAGTATATATATTTAATTCTCTTAAATTATATTTTAGTATTTTTACTTATTCTATAATAGTTTATTAAAGCTACTTTCTTTAGGCTTAAACTTCTAGCTAGCTACCTTCTACTACTATTATTATTATAGTAATTCTACTTACTTCGCTACTTTAGCTACTCTAGCTAGTTTTAGCTAGTTATATTATAATATACTATTAAGTACTTTCTTAAATATAGCTTTATATAGTTCTTTATAACCTTCTTTACGTAAGTTAGACTTTTTATTTAGTATATCTACTACTTTATTAAGCGTTTTAGCTTAATAAGTAATTTTAAAGTTAAACTAAGCTAATATCTTAGCCTATTAAGTTTACTATTTATTAAGTTTTTTAGTTATTATAAATATTACTAAGTTCTAATAATTAGAAAAAACTCTAATTTAGTATAGTAGTCTTAATAAGTAAACTTCCTATTATTTAAAAGTATTAACTATTTCTATTAGTTCCTTATTATAAATATTATAATTAAGTTCTACTCTAGAGAACTTTCTTAAATAGTAAAATACTAGTCTTTATTTCTTATCTAGGTATTACTATAATAATATAGCTCTTAGTGCGTAATCTAATATATTAGTCTTAATTTATATTTCTTATTTTAGGTTATATATTTTTAGTATAAGTACTTTAAGAAATATCTACTTAATTTAATTAAAAGCTTTCTAATATTTCTTATTCTATCTAAATCTTATCTTCTTTTTTATAATCTCTAAGAGAGGTATTATAATCTTTAAGTAATCTTTAATAAACTTCTAATAGTAGTTAGTAAATTTTAAAAAAAATTATATATCTTTAACTATTTTAGGTATTAGCTACTCTTATATAATTAAGATCTTTTTTAAGTTTATCTTAACTTTTTTTATAGATACTATAAAGCCTAAGAATTCTATCTCTTTAATATAGAATTTGCACTTCTTTAGCTATAAGTATAACTTATATTTTTTAAGCTTTCTAAGTACTTTCTTAATATACTTAATATATTCTTTAAGTGTTCTACTAGAGTATACTAGTATATTATCTAAGTACGCTGTAATAAAGATTCTAAAATATTTATAGAGTGCGTTATTAATAACTAATTAAAAAGTTACTAGCGCGTTTATTAACTTAAATAGTATAACTATAAATTTAAATAGCTTATATTTTATTTTAAACGCTATTATTTACTTATAACTTTTTTTAATCTTAATTTAGTAAAATCTTTCTTAAATATTAAACTTTATAAACTACTTAGTTCTTTAGAGCTAATCTATAAGCTCTATAATAAGTAGTAAGAGATATTAGTTCTTTTATATTATACTATTTAGCTTTCTAAAGTTAATATATAATTACTACTTTTTATTTACTTTTTTTATTAATAGAATAAGTAAAGCTATTAAGCCTAATCTTAGTTAGATAAATTTCTTTTTTAAATTCTTCTAGATATAATTCTTTAGCTTAGTATTATACTTAGACGCTATTAAGTATATTAGTTCTAAGCTAAGCTTTACTTTTTTTTCTAAGATAATTTTATAATTCTATTCTTAATAGTCTACTAAGTCTATAGCTTTATTTTTCTTAAAGAGTTCTTTAAACTTATTAGTCTAATACTCTCTTAGTATTTTTAGTAGTAAGAGTTCTTTTTTTATAGTTATAACTTATTTTATTTATATAACTCTTACTTTTTAAAAGTTTTTTTTATAGATTCTTCTAATCTTATAAAGTAAGATCTTACTAAACCTTCTATTTTAGATTAAGCTCTAGTTTATTAGGCTTACTCTATATACTCTAGTAACTTTATATATAGATTCTCTTCTAAGTATTATTCTTAGTTACTAAT